GGGAGATATTAGATTCCAGATTGCGCTGAATCCGCGCCAGACCGCAGTCTCCTCTCAGATAGAAGTCGGAGACAAGAGACGGAGGGAGCGAGAGTCAGAGTTGAGCCCGGATAAAGAGACATGTGGTTGTCTTTAGCAACAAGCTCCGAAACCACCGCCACCCCCTCCTCCTCTTCAACATGCCATCAGCTCCTCTTTTCTTCGTCTCTCACTCCGGAGCCAAATCGAAGTTCGCTCATGTTTTGTAATCAGCTCATCAAAAGGGAAAGTGGAATGAAAACCACACTGGCTGCATGCGGCGCTGTCTTTGTGTTTCAGTTGTTTCACATGCAAGACTTGACAAAGTCGGGCAGCTTACGGCGAGCTCTACGGTGTCAACAGGTGGTCGCAGCGAGCCGAGGAGGACGCCCCACAGTCCTCTGTATCATAGAGAGCAGCTTTAAATGAGTGTCAGCCAATCAGGGAATCAAGTCACTTCTACTTTTATAAATCTACGTCCTGTTTTTCAGAATAACTGAATTCATACGTGCACAAACTTCTGGAAATGTACCTGAATTTTCTTCACGCAAACAGAAACAACTTTACCCAAACTTGAGCAGAATTCGCCGTCTTGCTGACAGTCGGCGTGTTGGAAACGCTGACTCAGCCTAACTTTTGAATGACCTTCTGTGAGACAAAGAGGAAGAGGTCGGCCTTTAGCCTCGTCTTTAACAGCTGCTCGTCTGTCAGTCAGATCAGCTGTGCGTCTAAATGTTCAAAACAGGAAACAGAAATATCTCAGAACTCAGAAAGTGGATTTTTTTGTACGCCATAACCTTAAAGCTTTTGTCCTCCTGACTTAACTGCTCTGTAACCTTTGACCTGTTAGTGCAGGTTTTAACCCCCCCGTTAAAACACAGAGAGCCCGCTCTAGAACATGTCAGCAATCCGCCTTATTCTGCAGAATCCTGAAACGTTAAAAAAAGGGTTCAGTTAGTCAGCGAAGTGAGGGCGTAGTTATTTAGATCTCACCTGGTGACGTGCTCTGACAGCTGACGACGACAGGTTCCCCCCCTCTGCCAACACAAACACACTCACACACACACACACACACACACACACACACTGACACCCTCAACTTAAAGGAACCCCCTCCTCCTGATACCAAAGCGTGTGATCGGACTCGGACTGAAAAGATGATTGTTAAACTCACCTGAATGAAGCAAACACCAACTTTGATTGGACTAAACTTACAGGCATATCCCGTGTATCTGGGAATACACACACAGAAACACGCACACACACACACACACTTGCGTAAGGAGCTGGCGGGGCTAATGACAGCTGAAGCAGTGGAGAGTGAGTGCTAACAACACGTTTGGGATGAATGACCCCGTCCAAACGCTTCAGAGAGGAAGCCGGCTCGACTCAGCAGTGTGTAATGTGTCACCAGTGACAGCTGTGACTCCTGTGCTCACACACACACACACACACACACACACACACACCTATTACATGGTTACAGGGTCAGTTGAGTGTCACTCAGCTCTGAAATGTTACGTTAGTTTGAGAAAAAGGTCGTTAAAGCCGACGCTGATATTTTAAAGAAGCGTCATTTAGATTTCCAGTGTCGCTGATCGGAGACCAACGGTGTCTAATAATTTTAGAGGAGGAGTGAGGCTGATTTTTCCAGGCAGGACGATGATGATGATGAAGATGATGATGATGCATTTTTGTTGAGCTGTTTCATTGCGTAACTGAGGAAGTGTCAGACTCATTCCTGTAACTAAAGCTGTCTGTGTTTTTCTTTTTACCTCGACCACAAACTCCTGCAGTCCTCCTCAAAAGACCGATGTTCCTCATCATCAGCTGATTTATGACGCCATGATTGTCCTACCTGAAGTGGAAGGACAGTCTGAAGGTCTGAGGACAACAGGAAGTTTGTGGATGAGATGTCAGGGTGGTTGTCGAAGAATCTGTGGAAATACTTCTTATGAAACCGAACCCACTGCAGCATTTTGATGATGGTCTTACAGTTTCATGATGTAGGCTTGCAGAGGATGGGAAAAACAATGACTGCTTTGACCACAGGGGGCGCCAAAATTGTCACAAACTGAAAGCTGCTCACAGGAGCTTTAAATATCCGATTAATTTGACTGTTTCTGAGAGTTCAGATGATTTAGAGTCGTAGGAAATTATTCACTTTAGAAGATCCGTAAGATCAGAGGTAGACCATTGAAATCCTTCACATGAAGATTTCCCTGTTTGTCTGTTTTAATTCTGTCTGTAATGTTTTCAGACACTTTAGATAACCTGAGCCTGACAGGAGGGACAAAAACACAACACGCTGTCTTCCTTTCAAAATAAAATGTTGTAGTGTTTTGGGATTAACTCTTACAGTCCTGCACACTTCTCTGCTCACTGACTGTTTCACTGTTCCTCTCTGAAGACTAAAACCTCCTCTGGTCCGCTCTCAGATTCCTCCTCCCAAACTATGTGTAGGCCTTGAGCGTCACATCTGTTTTCTGTTGGTCGAGGGAGACGAAGAGATCAAGCACAGGATATTGCCTTTACTAGCAGGAAAGGTCAGGTTCAGGGGTGGGGTAAGAACTCATCCAAAGGGCTTTTCTCTGCTGGTTCTTCATTAGAGCTGTTGTTAGCTGCTCATTACTCTGTATCTCATGCGATCCACTGGGCGGATGGGTCCTGCTCGGGGATTTGAGTCTCCTTATTCCTGCAGATGATGATGGTTTGAGTCAGGAGCGAAACGCAGAGGCCTGTCTGTCCGACTCACGGCTGATGTGCTGCTGTCAGACCTTTCACGATCTCCTGTGTGACCTCTTAGACCCGAGTCTTAAATCCTCACATGGAGATGTTTCCTAAAAGACCTCGGTGATTCACCCACAGAGAATGCTCCTCGTCCCAGTCTGAACTTGTCCAAGAAAGTTACCGTCCACTTCTCGTCAACAGAAACATCCTCCTGTCATGTGAGACGTTTGCTGACGATGCTGCGCACATTTTCTGCATCAAAAGTTTTGGTGAAGATCAAATGAGACAAGAGCAACTTTTCTCAGTTTGTCAGGAAGATAGAGAGAGAGATGGACGGAGGTGAGACTGATGCATGTGGTTAAAGGGACATTCCGGCGTAAAACTAATTTAGGGTCAAACACACCATAACACCGAGTTAGACCCCCCCTCCAGAGATGAATGTTGTCGACCGCTTCCTTCTCTAGTTATACCAACTTTAGTAACGACCGCAGGATAGTAATACAGAGAGCCACGCGCTCAACCAAAACGCCACTCTATAGCCACAAATAATGCTCAGAACAGCACCTAACTTCATCAACAGGACATATAGGGTCACAGACATAGTACTATATTCAGAGTTGTTCTAACTCCTAAGAAACATAAACTTAAGTGGGGTCGTTTCTCCACCTCTGTAGTCTATAAGCTGGGCCAATAAACTTCTACTGTAGTTAAAATGAAAAGGTAAAGGTGTTTTTATTGAGCCGAATTATCAATAAAATCATGATTTTGTTAACAGGTATGAATATATGTGCTGTCGAGTTAGTATATGTGAACAAGAGCACAGTAAAGTTAAATCAGCTAATTTTCCAATGAGGTTCTGTTACTAAACGGAACTACACCATGTTCTACTGAGGTTAGTACATATAGGGTCACAGACATAGTACTAGACACCAAACATCTTTTTAACTTTGACTCATTTCTTTAGCAAAGAGACTAAAAACACAACTCACCTACTCTCTTCCAGCAGACGCTTGTTTGTAGAGAGACCTCAGGCCAGTCCATTACAGACTACAGTGGGGTGACGCAGCTCAAGGAAGAACATTTACGATCCTTTCTTCATGGAAATAAAATCAGACCGAGACGCTTAGACAGAAGAACTATGATGGAGAAGAACATGATGGAGCTCCCAGAAAGTTTGATAATCTTGACTTTTGTTTTAATTATTCTAATGAACCTGCTCTTCTGTGGTTGTCTAGTGTGGTAACGTGGCTGGCGTCGGTTTTTCAGGAGCTCCACTTCGGTTGTTTTCCAGGTTCTCATTCAGGTCCTATGAGACTGACACTGAAACTATCGTTCTCTGGGATATGGAGGCGTATGCCGACCTGAGGACGTCGGAATAAAACCAAAAATCTAAGACAGAAGAAGAAGGATATGAGGTTTAATCATGGATAGGATTTCAAACTTTATACCGACTTTTAGTCCTAGAAACAGAAAACTTAGATGTGCGTATCTGTGCTCACTCATGTTACCTCGCTGAGCGAGTCCAGGCTCAGACCGGTCACATCATAGAGATTAACACGAACCCAGAGACGTGTTTAATGTTGCTGAGTAATCCCATCAGTGAACCGCCGACTCTTTCTACAGCAGACAGAAGTTAAAGTGAGATCTTTTACTTTTTCTGAGGAGTTTGAGAGGAAAGGTTCGCTCCGTTAAAGACAGCTCGACATGAAACTGAGTAACTGAGAGTCTGAGCGTGTGAACGTGTCGCAGAAACAGCTGAACTCGGCCTGTTTGAGGGATGAGTGAAGGAGGAGCTGAGGCCCGGGGAAAGGAGACGACCTTCACACCTGTCCACCTGTAAATCAGGTCTGATGGTTCCTCCTCAGGGAATCATCGTGTTTGTGGAGTTCAGAGCTGAGAGAGATGTTTTTATGTCACTGTTAGATTTCTAATATTCCTAAAAAACGAAGAGTCCAACCTCCTTTAATGATGGAGACACAAAACTATGTAAAACAAAACCATATTTAGTTTTTTTCTTCCTGTTTGTTTTGTTGACCTGCATGAGAGCGAGCACCAGAAACCCGAGCAGAGAGGTCTGCAGGTGGCATAGGGGCAGAAACCAGAGCTCCAGTTTGCATGTGTGCAGATTGTTCATGTGTGTGAGTGTGTGTGTGTGTGTGTGTGTGTGTGTGTGTGTGTGTGTGTGTGTGTGTGTGTGTGTGTGTGTGTGTGAGTGTGTGAGTGTGTGCTGCCAGGAAAGAGCGCCTACCGGCATGAGGAGATCACTCAGACTGAAAGATAGGAAGGAAGAAAGTCAGAGGAGCAAAGCCTGGAGATCTTCAAAATGAGAGGGGCTCTTTTGATGTGTGTTTGCATTCCTCTCAGTGTTGGTGAAAGCCGAGCCGTCCAACGGTAGTGGAGGAGAGGAACTCTTGAAACTGACCGAGCCGCGAAGAAAAACACACACCAGGTCTCCGAAACAAAAGTTTGAGGAGGAGGAGAAGGAGGAGGAGGAGGAGAGGGCTGAAGGAAAACCAGCAGAGACAGGGATGATGGTTCCTTCTGCTGCATTTTCTTCGACAAACTCGTATGGATGAAAATCAAACAGTCACTTTCCCCATTACCTCAGACCTCCTCCTGGACCACATGTGGTTTAGTGTCATGTCTGGATGGTCCATCAGAGCAGGAGCTGGTGGAGGATCACCCAGACGCTTTAGTGTCTGCTTTAGTGTCTTTAAGGGGAATTCCTCCTTCTGTACATGAACCCAGTTTTCTCATTTTCAGGGTCTTAAAGTTCAGGATCAGTCAGAGGACAGGAATCAGACGAGCAGAATAGTCCTTAAAGAGTGTCTGATAAAAACCTGTCCTCAGATCATCACTCCAAGTTCCTCCATCCGTCTGGTATCACTGGACAAGAGTGGGGGGTGCACTCTGGACTTGGTCTACTTCAGCCGCTCCAACTTTCTCTCCGTCCTCCATCTCCTCACCTGTCTTTCCCTCTTTGTTATGGACTGGATGGGGCGGAGTCACGTCTCTGACCGCGTCTTAAAGGGACATGAGACCATAGCCTACCTACACACATCAATGTTATGTTTTGGGTTTTGTTTTGTTACTCGTAAAATCACCACAAGGGGCGCTGCAGGTGAATGGGCAGGTGAAGCAGTGATCTGGGGAACGGGAAGAGCTCACTGTTTTTACCGCTAATTTTCGACCACTCTCACTCTCATCATGTACATCGCCATCGTCGCAAGTTGGACGTATCTGTCTATTGGATTGGACAAGAAGCGCGTCAAAAACACCTCACTGCCGCACCCAGACAGTGACTAAAATTCAGGTCAGGTCAGTCACGACAGTCGTAGATTTCGGTATCGGTAAAATTTGGGTTTATCGCCCAGCCCTAATCTGCTGGATGGCAACTTCTACATGACAGAAAACACGTCTTCTTCTGCACATGATGTTTACATCATGTTTAGCCTGACCAATCACGGGGCTTGTATGTCTGAAAGCTCTGTGCAGGTACGGTGCATGTGCATGTGCAGAAATCTGGCGCATTTTAAAGGTTCAGTGCAAAACAAATATTTAATTTAAAGAGCCAAAACGAACCAGTTCAGTGACTCCTGTTTCTTCATGGAGTCTGGCGGCTTCAGAAACCGCTCCACAGTCTCCCCTGGTGTGGGCAGACAGCCTGACAACATAATTGAGGAATTAGTTGAATTTATTAAACAGAAAAAGTCGAATTTCTTTGCATCTGCGTTCACTTAAACAACAGTCAAAGCAGAAGTCATGCACTGGGCAGAGCTGAGTCTGAATGTTTGTAAGATAAACCCCCGAAGGCAAAGGCATTCTTTAATGAAAGAAAACATCCAGTTTGTGGTCGTGTGGCAGGAAGGAACAAGAACAAAGCCGCCTCGCTGTAAAACTCCGGCTGAAGGATTCGGATATGGTTAGTCTGGCCGTACCCACGTTTAAAGAAAAGCAGCTTTGGAACCAGATTCACTAAATAAACCATTAAAAGCTGGAATCTGAGCTGGCCGCTCTGGGATTTGGCTGCTTGATTGACATTGTTATGGTGCCGATTTCCCAGAAATCAAACGGTCATGAGGCGTCCTTTTCCCTCTAAATCTAAAACCTTCATGGAAATAGTCCTCAGCCTCCATGATGTTGAAGTTCTCATGATGTTGGAGGAGGGTGAAGAGGTTTGGGGTAAAATTCATCTGCAGTCGAGGATGCCATCTTTGATTTCTTGGGAGCTGGGTGCCTTTCTAAGCGGGGTAATCCTGCTATCTGAAGTCTGCCGCCTGCGGTCACATGGCAGAGGACTGGGAGGGGGAAGGGGTGAGGAGAAAGAGGGGGTGAGTGGGTTTTTGGGGGGGCTTATCCCGTCCGTGCCGCAACGAGCTGCCCAGCCAACCAGAAGATGAGAAAAGAAGTGCACCCTTGTTGTTTGTCCGCCTTTGGCCTCTGCCATCTGTCCACCCGGTTCCTGACACCTGTACCAGTCTGTCAGAGCCGGGCTCCCCTGTCAGGAGGGGCAACGCGGGTCTGGTCTGTAGGGAGACTCCGGGTGGAGGGGGGTAATGTAACAGCTCCAAAGGCTTAGGGAAGAAAGGGGGGTCAGGGTGAAGTCGGGGCCACTTTTTCAGAAAGGAAGCACTGAATGATCAGATCTAACACGCCGTCTCGCCGCCGCACCTGCTGATATTGTTTTGATTTTTGGGTAAATGACCCTCACAGGTGCTCGTACCCCGAACCTTTCTTCATCTAAATATTGGCTGGAGGTTCAGAGGCAAATCACAGAGTAAATAGTTGGCATGCAGTAAAAGCACGGAAACAGCCATTAATGCGGTGCCAGATGTTCATCAGACGCCGATGTTAAGAGGAGAGGCTTCTGGGCCGTTTTTAAGCGCACCGGCTGCTTGAAAGGAAGACTCTGTTGCTGTGAGCGCCGGCGTGCTCATGGACTCATCTTATCTGGGCCAAGAGGGTCCGCTACCAAAGACCGGGCCTGTTTCTCTGGCCTGCGCTGAATACGATAAAAGCCCATGAAAGAGCACATTAAATTCTATCACAAAGGTGATGTCAGAGTGACGGGGCTCGCCAAAAGCCCGCTGAAGGACGTCTTGGCACCGGGAAAATCAGGAAGCAGATGCAGCCTAAACCTGTTAGTCACCCACCTCTAATCGGCTTAGATTGGCGCCGTGACAGGCGACTGGCACCTTCGGAGGGTCGCAGACATGGAGGCTAACACACACCTCACAACGTAGGGTGACATGTTGGATATCCACATGGAACCAAAACCAGCACTTCACACGATCAGCTCGCAGTAACCAGATCACTGAGCAATGACTCACTCCTGACGCCGGGATCCTCCTCCTTACTGTCAACTTCCTCTCTCTGGTTTTTGACCGTTTTTAAAGCGTCCGACACGCAGAAGTCGGTGAAGATTTTCAAGATTCTTCTAGAAATAAAATCACAGCTGCAAATAAATGTTTTCAGACAGAGAGTCCAAAGAGTTAATGACCAGAAATCACTTTGTTTCTGTGACTTTAAAGGTGGAGTAGACAGGAATCTGTTAAAGCAGCGTCTTTTTTGTGGTGTAATTACAAAAAATCTTTTAATAACAGTCAACAGTTATTAGTTATTGATGACATTTGGTAATATAACGATATCTCTGTGTTCTCTCTCTGACTGTAAACAAAGCCGTTCTCCACCTCCTCTAACCTGATTGGTTGTGAGGCAGACGCTGCTCCCCCGTGTCGTTCAGGAGCCCAAACAAAGTTAGCGTGCTACAATATCGGACAGTAGAAACCAACCAGAAAGTTCGGAAAATTGTCTGAATCCTCCTTTGGCCACGACTGCCGACACAAGCAAGAAAACAAAGTAAATACCGGAGACTCTGGAGGAATAACGGGCGCTTAAAACGGAGGTAGACCGGACAAGAGCTAAAAAGCCGGGTCAACATAAACCATGGGGGACGCTTGGGGATCTTGGTGACCCTGTAACCTTTCTGCTGGACAGGTAAACCGCTTTAACAAAGTAAGACAAGTGTCTGTAACAGAAGTGTTTCTTGTCAAACGGACCTGCTGTAGCGTGTTGTAGCGCCATCGCTAAACTGTCCTCCCTCGGGTCCTGGACTATGTCACTTTATCCTCGTTGTAGAAGTCCTGCAAACATTGTGTTTGCTGGTAGTCTGTTGGCATCTACAGTAGCCCCAATGCTTTTGACTTTCACCTTGACTGGGCCCCATTTGTAATGATCTGAAGTATTTATCTGCATTATATCTGAATTTAATTGGAACGAGACGAGCGAGCAGGAGCGTCTGTTTGAGATTTCCTCAGATCCTGACTACCCCGCCTTATAAAGAATTAAATCATGAGTTTCTGTGTCAGAGTTTTGTCTGTGTCTGTTTTGGACACATCAGGACATAAACTCCTTCTTTTATTCAGACTAAAGACTGTAGAGTTTACCTTCCTTCAGTTTTCAGATGCGTTAAAATGTTTTTTATTTTCTTGCACCTGTGAAATATGAAGTCACTCCCTGTGATCGTTTCCAGTCGCTCAGTTTTACCGTCGAGTCGCCGCCGCTCCGTCAGACGTATGTGTGAAAGCAGGTGGAAAAGCGTTGACCTCGGGCTCGCTGCAGACGGTGGAATAACTTCTCCTCTCCGGGCTGGGACTGGGTCTTGTTTGTTCTCGGCTGAGGATGATCTTGTAGGTCCCACCAAGTCAAACAAGTGGCGCGTTGCCAAGTCATGGAGCCTTTCACACAGACGTGAGGAGGTATTGACACAGTGTGTGCGGTTGAAACCACAGCGCGCCGAGAGCCTCTCAGGTTTACAGAGGAGCTCTGTGAACTCATGACAGCAAACTGAGAGACCTGTGTGTGTGTGTGTGTGTGTGTGTGTGTGTGTGTGTGTGTGTGTGTGTGTGTGTGTGTGTGTGTGTGTGTGTGTGTGTGTGTGTGTGTGTGTGTGTGTGTGTGTGTGTGTGTGACCTGACATCGGCTACACTCCAGCGCAGTCACAGTAATATAATTTAGATTATGTTTCCACCACCATGATTAATGCTGTTTAACACTTTCAAAGACGGTCCAGAAAATAAGATCTTGATATTCTGGAGGATTTTAGCGATGATAGAAAAAAAAAGGACAAATTTTCATCAAGAATGAGCAAAAATTACAAAAGTTTTTTATTGTACCGCTCACTCTTGTCAAAGTTTATTCAAAGCTGTTAGAAAAAACAACTTCAGAGTTGTTTTACTAGATAAGTAAACTTATTCGTTGAGCTGTCAAACGCTTCCTGACAGACTCTTCTGAGCAAAGACAAACCTTCTCCTCCATGTGGGTCAGGACCGTCCATGTCCGCGTCCACGAGGGTTGGTCAAGTTTCAGTTTTTATCTCCTGGTTCTGTTCGGTCACTTACTTGTAACTTCCTCCGTGCGTGCGGCAGTTAAGACATTTGCATAGTTTCTCCGTCAAACTGAAACCAAAAGACCCATATCGCCCCCTAGTGTTGGGGAGGAGGACACGTTCACGTCAATAATTTAATTGTCTCAGCTTCATGTTTACGAGGACAAGGAGAGAAGTCTGATTCAGAGAAAAAGAAATGAATTATGAGATTAGTCCAATTAAACTGTGACAGTAAATGTACTGAATAAGACATTAATTATGTGCATGCAATGACAGTTTTCACATCTCGACTGTAAAGATGATTTTAAAGTAGGAATTCACCGATCCGATATTTGGATTGGATATTGGCTCCGATATTGACAAATTAACCGGATCGGATATCTGATGAATGAAGCCGATCCAGCGTTCCGATCCAGGCTTTTTTTTTCTTTTACTTAATTTTTCTTTCAATACATGAGAGTCTTACTTCTGTTTGCTGTGTGCTAATGTGACATTTGTTATTTGTGAATAAATGATGTTGAGTAAATTTATATCTGTAGTAATTTGTTACTTTTTTTAACAAGGCTAATATCAAGCCTGATGCCTCCAATCACAGGGTCAGGTATACAGTTCATTCATTCAACAGTAGGATTGGATCGGTATCGGATATTTTAGCCGATACACTCAGCCCAGATATCGGTATCGGACTGGATCAGAAAACAATTGTTCTCTATTTTACAGTCAGAAACAGTGAAAGAATAAATTGACGATTTAAAATGTTGAGTGTCTCTTTCCTCTCGTGCCTCATGTTCCGACTGAAATGAGTGTCTTCTATCTAATTTAACATGTGGTTTCTCTTGTGTTTGTGAAGGTTGTGACGGGAACTAAAGAGCATCATGGAGACTTCAGCTCCAACAGCCACTGAGAAGAAGGAGTGTAAGAATTCAGGTCTGGATGGAAGCAGCTTCTCGGAGATCCCCAAGAAGCCGTCGCCCACCACGCTGAGCAGAGGTAGAGCTGCTTTTAGTCTGCTTTTTACATTGACTCCGCACACGAGATCCTGATAGAGGATTACAGGACTCTTCTTTAGGACTTGTCTCTGGTAGGAACTCGCATAAGTAACAGGGTGGCACATGAAAGAGTGAGAGCGCGAGACGGAGATGTCAGAGAATGGCTGATGAAAAAACCTCATAATGAGGACCAAAGACCTTGTGCTCACCTCCCAAGTGTAAATTTCATGAATTACTAAAACAGGCTGGCACAGCGCTGGACAACATGGAGTATCAGAGGCCTTGGATACAGGCTAGGGTGGAGGAAGTATCTTTGAAATGCTAAGGAGACGTCGTAGGACATTGTGGCGTTGGCGTTATTTCTGCTTAACGATGGGCTTGGTGGCCTGCCACGAGAGGAGCGGCGATGAGCATTAATTGTTTAGAGACGCTGGGTGAGAAAGTAGGACGTTTCAGAGCGCCCGCCCTGGCATCTCCACAAAGAGGACACAAGTTCTCAAACCGGCAAAGATAAATATAAGATAATACCGAGCATGAATTATTCAGACGTTTACACAGCGAGGACGGGTGTGCGTCATGTGGGCTGCAGGGCCGCCGTGTTCATAACCTTCTTCTGCTGTACAGGAAGTGTGCGCACCCATCAGGGTTATTTGTGCTGCTGAGGTAACACGGAGGGTGCAGGGCGAGCAAGATCCCGCTACAAAGAGGTCATCATTAAAAGATGAAGCTCCTGTTTTCATTAGTGGGTGTGTGATGAAAACTCCTCATAACGAGGTTTGAGGACCTCTGAGGTATCGGCTGGTATAAATTACTAATGCTGCTGCTGCTGGAGTCTGCTGGTGGACACTCAAACCCCTCAGGAGGACACACACACACACACACACACACATGATCTGAGAACACACCATTCAAGTAGCTTCAGAGTTTAATGAAGGGCCTGGTGGCCTGCCATAGCAGCGCTCGCCTCCTCACGGTGCAGAGGAGCCGCTAAAGTAGGACACTGGTATGACATGAGAAAGTTTAAAGGCTCGGCTCTGGGCTTTGTTTACTCTCGCTCGCTCTCTTGATTTGAATTAGTATGCATGTGGAAACAATAATATGGGACAAACGTGAATAAATGAAGAAGCTTGGAAACTGTGTCCCCAACTGGCTGACTTTGAGGTGCCGCAAAGTAGTCCAAACCACCACAACACTGGTCCTTTCTCACCACAGCGTGTCAAAACACGCCCCCTCCCTCAGGAGGTCGGGTCTGTTCAGGTCTGAACCTTTAGTTTGGACTTTAGAGTCTGTTTTAAAACACTCAAACTACTCTGTTAGGTCTCAGAGACGCATCATGATGTGGTCTGAGATGACAGCTGGACTCTCTGAACCTCATGTCTGTATTTGCAGTGACTGTAGCCTGTTATTAGGGCTGAGCGATATATGAAAAAGTTTATCACGATATATTTTTTTCATATCAGCTGATATCGATCAATATCAGGATATAAAAATGAAATGTAACAGTGTTTATTCGTCTTATGTCTTTTTCGTCTGACGTCTCTTTGTGTCTCTTTGGCGTTTTGTCGTAAGGCGTTGCTCTAGAGAAAGCCGACTAAATGGTCATCTGTTTCGGCTCCTCTGCTGTCTGCTACGACTTTGCAGTTGTTTAATACTTGGTTCTAATTCAGAACATGATTGGTTCAGCTCTCTACAGCGGGGTGCCGCAGCTCAAGGAAGAACATTTATGATCATTTCCTTGAAGTAATAATCACCATGCATAACAATCATCAGTCTGATTGTATTTCCATGAAGAAATGATCATAAATGTTCTTCCTTAAGCTGCGGCACCCCGCTGTAGTCTGTAATGAACTGGCCTGAGGTCTCTCTACAAACAAGCGTCTGCTGGAAGAGAGTAGGTGAGTTGTGTTTAGTCTCTTTGTTAAAGAAATGAGTCAAAGTTAAAAAGATGTTTGGTGTCTAGTACTATGTCTGTGACCCTGTATGTCCTGTTGATGAAGTTAGGTGCTGTTCTGAGCATTATTTGTGGCTATAGAGTGGCGTTTTGGTTGAGGGCGTGGCTCTCTGTATTACTATCCTGCGGTCGTTACTAAAGTTGACTTTATTCAAGTCTTTGGTGAAGTTCTCATGGATCACTTTGGCTGCAGGTGAGCTGTCAGGTTATCGGAGCTGTTTCTTCTTCTCTGCTCAGCTGGTGTTTTAATGCCTCTAATATTTACACACAGGGTTACAGAGGTGTGTTTTCGTCCTCCTGAAGTCAGAAAAGCTGAAAACATAATAGTGTAACTTTAGCAGAAACATCCTGAGGACGTCTCGTTGTATCATCCAGCTGCAGCTCTTCTTCTCACCTGAGTTTCCTGTGACATGCCTTACCCTGTTGAACCCGTCTCTGTTTCAGAGCGAGGGCGAGACTTCGTGATAGACATGTGCGGAGTATTTCGTTGAGGAAATAGGGATTGATGAGGAGGAGCTGAGGTCCAGCGGAGTCCTCATGATAAGGATCAGGCCTCTCTCTTCACAGCCTTGTTAATGGTTTTAAATGGGCACCCACACTCGCCGTGACAGCCTGCATCTGTCTGGCAGCCACAGGGCATGCTCCCACAAGCTCGGCCTTTGCAACCCGACTCCGAGGCTGTGGGATTTACGAGTCTGTGTCGGCTTGTGCTTTACCATGTCAGCGTAACATGTGTTCAGATTAGGTGCCCGCTACCAGGACCGTAAAACATCTCAGGGTTTCAAAGGAATACCTGTGATTGATGCAGACCCTCCTCCTCCTCCACTCTTCACACCAAAGCCTCACGTGCACGCTCAAACTGGCTCAGAAAGGCAGCAGGTCCGACCGCTTTTCATCCAGGTCTTATCGGACACTAAAGGCTGAAACATACAGGATGTGTATTTGGAGCGAGGCAGCGGCGTCACGTATCACGCAGAAAATAGGTTTCCACTGTAAACAATGCAGCAAAGTGTGCAAGGGAAGGTCCCGCCCTCCTTCGCCTCTGATTGGCTAGAAGTTCTTGGCTCCGATTGGTTATTCCTAATGGCTGTGAAACGTCATCGTCTGTCGGGTTCGGGTTAGGAGATTCAGAAGTGCGATAGTGTTCTGTTCGATGTACAGAGATGACAAGTCCGTGTTAAGCTTGAGCGTGTGATGACATTTCCAGCTTTTCTATCCAATCAGAGGCGAAGGAGGCGGGACTTTCCCCTACCATCGTACAAAAAAAAATCGCATAAAGGACGTGTATTAGCTCCATCGCAGAATCGTATCAAGAGTCTATTTTTGCGGCTCTACGCCTCCAACGCACGTCAATCCACACAGAGAAGGTCGTTTCAGACAGGAAGTCAAGCATGAAAACCGTGCATGTCACCCGGTATTTCAAAATAAAACAGCATACGTGAACTCCTGACTGTGTATCAGTTCATGTAGATGAGAAATCCTTCCTGGTTCTGGATTTATCAGTAACACAGATTCTGATGGTCAATCTCTGATCCATGTGGACCCCAACAGGACTTTGACCTGCTCAGAGTTTACTTTATTAAACACCAGGAAACCTGCAGAAACACAAACTGTAAAATCACTTCAAGCTTTTTCACAGACAGTCGAGGCTCAACAAGCAGATATGGAACGCTCTCAATCCGGATCCTGTAAGAAAGAGTCTCAGACGAGAGTTTTTCCATCATTTCTCACTTTGTTGTTGACTGTACGAGGCCAGTGGAGCAGACGAGCGCCGTATCTGTCGGATGACTGCAGCCAAACGTGTGTTATATTCATCTTTTTCAGGGTTTGGCTGAAGTTCTTCCACAGGAGATGGATGTTGTTTGGCTCGGTGTGAAGACATCTCCATGAGCGAGGAGGATGAGGAGGAAACAAATATGTCCTCACCTCTGTCAACACTTTCTCTTTCATTTTCGTTAAATCACCCGTCCTCTGTTCGTTCCAGTCAAAGTTTCTGAGCTGCACATCGAGCCCTGATTGGACGCTCTGGACGGGTCGGCTTTAATTAGTCTTGCACGGAGCGTAGCGCCGCGATAACGAGCTGCGTGTTAATCACGGCCCTCACGGCTCCTTCTCGAAGGGTCTCCGCTGGGGTCTCACCGCTGCCCACGGCTCCTTTTTCTGGAGGGCGCTCTGAAGCAGGTCACGGCCCCCCCTGGCAGAGAAAAATGTCCCCGAGAAAAAAAGAGCCCCGCCTCTCACGGCTCCCTCCCTGTCCGCAGGCCCACTCCAAAGGGACGGCCACTAATCTTCCTGAGAAAGAGATTTCTGCCTTTCTTTCTGTGCACCTAAATGAGGCTCTTACGCCGCTGTGGTTCCACAGACTGGAGGAGGGGTCGGTGGGGGCTCGGTGGTCCGGGTTATGCAGGGATGACCGCATTCATGCCAGACCCCTGTGCCCCCTTTTGGTTTAACTCCTTGGCCCTCAAACTGGGTAAAAAGGATCAGCGCGTTCACCTCCTGACGCCTTAAGTTTTCCGTCCTCTGAGCGAGTTAAGTGTCGGTTCAAGTTACGAGAAACCCCTCCCCCGGCTCCTTCGGCTCCAAACACGTCATAGATTTCACTTTTACCAGCTCCGCCGTAAATATCCTTGTTTCTCTTTCAAGAATCGGCTCGATCAGGTGTCATCGAGCGTACATTTTTGTAGGAGCTTATCAATAACGTCTTTACTGATACTTGAGAAGATCTGTGGACAACAAGCTTACAGGAAAGCTTATTGACTCTGTCCTGATGTCGTGGACTTTCCTGTCAGGGTCTATAGCTGCTGTCCCAGAATGACTTACAGAGACGCTGATTATGTTTCTGTCCCAGAGCCACCGTTTGGGACTCGAACTGAGGATAAAGTAGATTCTGTCAAACTCTGCAGGCGTCTGATCCAGACTTTGCCGTGAACTCTCACGCATTTTTATCCTCCTGGTTTTGGTTACGTGGTTTCTTCTTAAACCTTTAAGTGTTTTAATTCTGTTTGATGCAAAAGTGCATTTAAATTTTTGCATTTTAACTGAGTTTTTAAGTGAAACATGCCGTTTAATTTTCTTCTACAGCAGTAGGAGGACGCTGCAGCTGCTAAAGGAAAATGAAACACCTTAAACATTCAGTCAGTCGCTCGGCGTGTTTTTGATCTTAAATCTCAGTCAGCTTCATTTTAAGGTGGTTCCTACAGGAGACAGGCTCTCGATCACATCTGAACAAAACTTTTAGAGGTTTCCCTCGTTGTTTTTATCTTTATTTCCGTCTTTTAAACCTGAAGAAAGCTGGAGTGTCAATAACATGCTTTTCCACTGTGGATTTACTCCTTCATTTCCTCCTCCTGCCTCTTTGCGGCTCGGGATTTTCTTTTTTCCTAAATCATGTCAAAAACAAACAAACAAAATAAAACTTAGTTAGTTCTGAATATGACCGGTAGAAGACAGCATGCTGGAGAAGAAGAAGAAGAAGTGAAAGAAGAAAAAGCCGCATCAGTGAACGTCGAAGGGCAAATTTCAAACGATGGACGCCAGGTTCATCGATCCAGGAGAAGAAACGGCGATATTGGAAGCTGGACTCGGGTGGAAGAGGCTGGAAAAGATGGAAAGCTTCACGGTAGCTGGTGACGTGTGTCGTTCGCCAGAAAGGTTCGGTAAATTTGGAAAGATATTCGCAGATTCGGACTTCGGGGATCAGTAACTCTGAGACGAATCGCGTCTAAACACAAATGACGCCTCTTTCACATCATAATAGCACAGACTATTATCTACAAGAATCAAACATCGATTTGTTTTACAAAAATAAGCCGTTCTTGGAGCTGGATGAATTATACTGATACTAATACAGGATCTATTATAGATATCTTATCTGACGTAGTTGATCGCTGCTCTTGCACGTCTCTCTCTCTTTCAGTCTTTTCTGCTGAAGACTGGATCTGAAGAGAAGTTAAAGCAGTAGGGACCACTCTTGTTTCCTTGTTTCCTTGTTTCCTTATGTCCTCACTGAAGCTGTGGCCTCTCATCAGAAAGTCTGGCCTACATACTGAGACGAGAGAGCCGCAGTCGTCCTCCCCGCGGGTGAAATGTAGTGATTGTTCACGAGGGTTTTAAAGCGTAATTTACTCCATATACATGTATTATCATTACTTGTGTTTTAAAATGAATTAAACATAAGATCCCTGGGCTCCTTTTTTATGTTTACTTAATAAGTCGGCAAAGAAATCCAACCATGGAGTTCAGAGGAATTTTTAACCAGCGGAGAGAACGACGGAGACTCTTTTCCTGGTTTTCAAAAGGAATTTCTCAAGACAAATGTTTATTTTAGCAAAGGCGTAAAAAGGCAAATATTAAGCAGCCTTGTCTTCCAATTGTAGTTCAGAGCCGGGGCCTGCAGACCGAGCGGAGGACCGGCAGTCTTTGTTAGGTCTCTAATGTGGTTATGAAACATAAATCAGGCAGAAATGAGAGGACGGTTCTGATATCGGCTGTTTCTCTGAGAGGAGCTGCCTCTGCTTCAAAGCCTCCAGAGTTTAGAGAGTAAAGTGGTTTGCTGTGGGCAACGTCTGCAAATATAAATCTCTCTGTACCAGAGGCGTCTGCTCACACAGCGCCCAAAGACAACATGTTACATTCCTCGCCGTTTACAGGCAGAGCGAGGAGGCGGAGGCAATATATGGATGCTTTAGGGGATTAACCAACACCCCGTCAGCCTCCGCTCTCTCTCTCTCTCTCTCTCTCTCTCTCTCTCTCTTCTCCTTGTACTTCCCTTTTTCTTCGGCTACTCCATCCTCTCTTAAACAGAAAGCTTCTCCCAGCATGCAGAGTGTAATCCACGAAACACTTCCTGCCTGTTTTGTTTCGAATCGGCCCAATCAGGCGTCTCGCTCCCTCCTCAGGAAGATGCAGCTGAAACTTCTCTGACCCCGTTTAACCTTTCGTTGTCCGTCAGATCTGCCAGCTTCTGCGAACGTCGCCCCGACACTCACAGTTCAAGCGAAGCAAAATAAACGTGGACGGAGTTTAGAGGCGGTAAAACAAAAATGTGTGCGAGCTGTAAACACTAGCGGGAGGCGCTTGTGTAAACAGGCCTGGTTCCTATGGCGGAGTTGGTCTAGAGGCGGACAGTTTGTGGTCAGGCTCTTCCGGTTCGAGCCCCCCCCCACACACACACACACACACAAACACAAACACACCGGCCCCCCCTCGCCTGCAGACACAGCTGTGGTCCGCCTCCTGAGAAACTCTGCTGGAGGAAATGGATTAATCTGCTCTAAAGGCCCGCTCACCCGTGAGGAGGAGAAGTGCGTGTCTGCAGCCGCCCAGGTGAGAGGACAGCAACGGTTACACCTCCAGACTCTGAAGACGGTGAAGACGTCGTCGTCTTTTAACGAGTACCTGCTGTAACCGAGAACACGAGCGGAGGACGGAGATTTCTGCCATCAGTGAAATTCCTCCTGATTACAGAGCTTCAGTTTCACTGCTGCCTCTGCTAGCATTTAGCAATTAGCTTAATCACTGCAGGCTCAGGGGCACAGTCACATAAAGTCCAACATGTTCCTGCGAATGACCCGCCTGCCAGTGGGCGAACCCGGGGAGATGTTTAGAGCTTCAAAAACGGTCCCAGGCGGACGCGGCGGCGAACCATCCTGCAGCACGCTGAGCGAAGAGGAGGAGGCGGAGGAATTCCATAAACATTTATGAAATAATAAACTTTTACAACTCGCTCACATCCTCAGGAGCGGTGTGGGTGTGTGTGTGTGTGCGACCATGACACTGCCCGTCCACAGTGGCATCAGTCCAAAGACAGGACGCAGACGAGCTGCAGTAAACTCTGCGACCAGCAAAATAAGCAGAAGAGGTTCCCTGAGTAAACGGCGAGGACGCAGGTATAATAAACAAAAGCTCTGAGGAGACGGTCGGAACGTTCGCTAAAAACAGGAGCAGAGAGGAGGCCCAGAGTTCAAGTGTCATGGTGTGAGGACCACGTAACTGCAGCAGGTCAAAGAAGCGACTTCCACTTCTCTGTAATCACCGCCACGCCCATCGTAAGGTCGTCACGGTCCGTCTAACAACCAGCGGACAAAATGCCGCCATGTGGAAAACAAATTTGTAAAGTTGTTCGTCATCCAGCTGCAGGAAATACGGCAGCAGAAGAAGAATAAAGACGGAGCCTCTCTAACAGCTACAGATGATTGAGTGTTAATCCTGGCAGGTTTTGGCAGCGCTCCTCTCTCCTCAGATGAAATAAGTCCGTACGTTTCTAGAAACAGAGTCTGGAGTTAAAGTCTGAGATCCTGAAGAGCTTCCTCTGCCACATGAGTCCGTTAGAAAGTCGGTAAAAACACACCTGAGTATCGTTCGTAGAGTCTGAGCGTTACATGGAGCTCAGCTGGTTCAGGTCGAAGAAACATCTGATCTGGAAATTCATCTGATGTTCTTCTTTGGTCCACGACGGGGTTTTTCACACGTATTCCTTTAACTTCAATTATTTCAGTATGTTAGCGCTGATCAATGACCAATTTCAGATCAATTTCAAGTCTTTTGGTCACATGACAGTGAAGCTATTAAGGGGAAAACAACCTTTTCTGAGAACATCAACCGGTAATTTATTGACGCTCCCTTATTCAACACCGACGTTGACAGTGAGGGTGTCGAGTAGATTTAACCACGCTGCTGTTGTTATTCCTGGTTATGGAGAGTGACCCCTAATCTCCACCTTCATCCTGATCGTCTCCTAAAAGGTTGTATCCTCCGATCGTAGCTGATCGTAACCATTCAAGTTAACGTGTCAATTTACACCGACTTCTTTCCGTTCCTCTGAGGATCGCCGGACTCCTCAGCTGATCACACGAATTCTATTTTTTGGCGGATAAATTCAGCACAGATTAACCCGTGCTGGAAAGGAAGTAGGGCACAGACACAAAATAAAACATCCGGCTTCTTTTCAAAATAAAACACTCCGCGTTTCAGGAGGATCGTATTTCACACCATGCAAACGGGCGGAGACGAACAAGTGAAAGGTTTTTAGACGTCATTTCACCCCGATGACACCATGGATGAGGAGATGCTGATTCTAGAAGTCTAGAAGTAGATTTCCTCCTCTGGAAGGACACAATCTACTGCTTATATGTCTATGTGTCTGTCTGCAGGTTCTTGTGACTCCTGTAAAGGTCGTCTGAGCAGATTTTAGCAGAGGTGGATCGATCAGTAAATCAGATCATGTGACCTTACAGAGGAGACGTACAAAAATATAAAACAGAGGAAGTAAATTTCTCTAAAGGCGAACGTGGAGACGACGAGTCGCTCCGTCGTTTCTTTCTTCGACACCATCCTGAAAAAAAACACCCTGTAAGCTCTCTCTATAAAACACGGAGCTGTGATCGTTGAATTCAGTTTTGTTCTGTAATAACAGCCTGAAGTGCGTCTCTCTGCTCCAGCATCATTACGTATGTTAGCAGGCAGCTGTCTCATAAACAGTCTACACATGAGCAGGCTGTGTGTGTGTGTGTGTGTGTGTGTGTGTGTGTGTGTGTGTGTGTTAGCATAGCGTGTAAGCCTGTTAGGTTTTGTTTGCCAGGTGATTTCCCCGACAGCGTTAGCTAAGCCCGAGAATTCTTGGCTCGGGCTTCAAAGGAGCGGCGGGGTCGTCCCCCGGCAGCGGCGAATACAGACATGTCCTCCGCAGACGTGAGGCCGACGCGCACAAAAGAGCGACAAACAGTCTGACCACCTCCGATGGACATCTCTGTCCGCTGATTCAGAGGAAGAGTTTCAGAGAGACGGTGAGGAGGAGGACAGTATGTCAAAGGTCAAAGGTCAGAAAATTTAGATTAGGGGACGTGCACATTTGTGTCTCAGTCTAAATATGCAGAAAAATCTCAACTTAAAGGTTGTATCAGCTACTTTTATGTCAAATGCATGAAAAATATAAGAGTTTCTGCAGAGTTTTTCAAAGTAAAAGCCTTCCTCTATGTGTTTACTCTGTGCTTTTATTTTGAAAACACATCCAGGACAGATGCATTTGAACTTTAGCAGGAAATCAAGTTCTCATGAATCACCTGAAAATTAATCATCACTGCATCTGCAATCTGCATCCACCTCTGAGCCCCTCTCTCTCTCTTAACTCTCTACCTGAGGTGATCTACGGTGGCCGAGAACCGCCACTGCTGCAAATAAAAAAGAAACCAAAGCCCGCTGCAAATAAAAAACAATGCAAATAAAAAAGAAGTTACCAATGCAAAAAAAAAGAGAAACTGAAGCCTGCTGCAAATTAAAAAAGAATGCAAATAAAAAATAAGTTACAAATGCAAAAAAAAGAGAAACCGAAGCCCGCTGCAAATAAAAAAAGAAACAGTGCAGATGTAAAAGAAAACCCCAATGGAAGATAACAACACAAAAAAAAAAATGGTGAAAAAAAAATAAGTAACTTTTTTTTTTTTTTTCATTCTGTTTTATTTGCAGCAGCTGCAGTTCTCGGCCACCGTAGAGACCAACCTCAACACGGTGTTGGTATCTCCTCTTGGCTTTAACAGCTTCACGCAGCCCACCTCTTCTTATCCCGGTCTCATCAGAGCGGGTCGGCGTGAGCTGTCACGCTGAGAGATCGCTCTTTCTGACGTGTCGTGACACGGCGTCTTTCCTGTAAACACTCCGGCGTTCTGTGACTCTAAAAAAAAGTTAAAACACCTCCAAACTCAAGTACAGCCTCATGATTTAACTACAGTGTTCCTTCATTACATCTTGACTTTTATAATAAACTTCATAAAAGTGGAGTAAAGCGTGTGTGTGTGTGTGTGTGTGTGTGTGTGTGTGTGTGTGTGTGTGTGTGTGTGTGTGTGTGTGTGTGTGTGTGTGTGTGTGTGTGTGTGTGTGTAAGCTGAGTGTTAGCTTTGGCAAACAGGTCTGAGATGCTTAAGCGATAAAGGTACGATAAATCCTCTTTATTCAGCGGCGTTGTAGTCTCAGAGAGAATCTGGCCCGTCTGAAATTCCCACGGAACAAAGAGGGAGGAGGGGGGAGAGAGGAGGGGGTGAGGAAAGGAGAGGGAGAGAGGGTACTCGGCTGAAGAGGGGGTATTGTTTACATATCAAGACACTTCCTGCGGCTCCCAGGAAAAGCAGTAATTTACCTCGCGAGGTTTTACAGTTTAATTTCTCCATTGTGCGGGGGGATAACCCCTTAATTATCGAGGAGGAAGTAGCCTAAAGCCCCGGACAGAGGGTGAGGGCTCACACAAATCCTCAGTCTGGATCCCCTCCCTCCATCTTCGCCTCGGCCATTTTGCCCGTTCATTAGCACTTGCGGGGTGCCTGGACACTTGCCAGTTCGCGCTCGGCTCCAGTCATATTTCCTCCGGTGAAGCCAGACGAGCTCCACAAGTGGAGACTTTTAGGCGTCTGTGCCCGAAAGATGAGGAGGGGTCTGGGGGTTGGCACAAGCTGCCAAACCCCTGGAGACCCCGACCCTTTACAAGCTGGTGGAAATCGCTCCGTAAAATCATCCCGCCTCTTGGAACGTTTAATGCAAAAGCCATCTCGTAACAACGCCGATGATTAACATCCAGAGCGGGTACTTTTGCAGAAAAGCCCGATGACAGACGTGAACAAATATTGACTCAAGTTATAAATGTTCCAAGAAGTATGTCGGGTCGGATACTATATGGACTCTGCAGAACCATCCATCAGCACGAAGTGATGTGTGTTCAGTCTGAGACGTTTAACTGAAGGTTTGAGTTTTTCACTTTTTCAGACGGAGTATAAACTGAGATGACGAGCGCCAAAAACTTCAACCACGTTCATTTATTTCCATTTTGACATGATGTAGAAAAACTCTGAGAGCAGGTCCACACAGAGATATCGTGATATTACCAAATGTCATCAATATTCAAAGATTTTTTATAAATACACCACGAAAAAAAAGATACTTCTTCTGCAGTTTGTCTTCTTCTGTAAATACGGAGCATGCTCAGAAGGCCGAGAGAAACCCACGGCTGCATTATTATGTATTTTTAGAGTCCAGTTTCAGTCGTGTTAACAGAATAAATCGTTCTGAAGGTAACCTTAAATGTCGAGGTTATAATCACTCCAGAGTTAACGTAAAACTTCCTTCAGCTCACCTCAAAGTTGCACTCTGGTCTTCATACTCTCGGTCTTCAGAGTCTGGGGGGGTCCTGTAGACTTCCTGATCCTAACATCCCAGGACAGTCGATGAAAACCTCCATTCAGGACCAGGATCTGGACTCTGATTGGACGACATTTATTCTTAATAGTTTTTTGCTTCATCTGCAGGCTCCCGTGTTTCTCCTCCACTTCCACTTTCTCTCCCCCCCTCCCTTCCCACACAGTTACCAGCACCATTAGGCTGTCATAACACGGCACATATAACCTGAGGTGATCCCTGGACTGAGTGAACCGAGCGTCCCTGGAGGCAACGCGCTGCCGCAACCCAACAGGATTGCTACCTCATGGTCTGGGGTGATGGGGACCACATGTAAGCAGAGGCAACCGCTGGTCCTAATAGGAGCTGACAAGTGGCGGTCTGACGGAGGGAGATCAGATGGCCTGGGCTGGCCTATCGCTATAGAAACAAGGCAGTGTTTCTACAGCCCCGTATAGCACAGCGGTTAGCTTTAAATAGAGTCTTTGTGCGGAGGAAACACTCCCGCTCCTTTGTCTTTGAATAAACCCCGTTTAACCTTTAGTTGGAGTTTGAAGTTTGTTTCTACGCCGATAAAACCGTTCCTCTCTGCACGCTGTCACACTCTCAGAGCCACACAAGACGACATCCTCTCACCAATCCATGAGGGAGGGGGGGACTTTCACAGCTTCTCCGAGGTGTCAGAGGGTGTTTATCCAGGAAAATAGGACAGTGGCGTTCCCGACATGGAAGCTCACCTCAGCGATGGTGTGTGGCCGCACGTTTAACCCTTTAACCACAGCGTTCAACCAGAATATCACACTCTGCAGGATTTCATTGACGCTATGGTGGATTTAGACTCGTTTCTATCAAGTTCAACTACAGCTGCATTAAACAAAGACGCAACAAACTGACCTGTAACTTTTGGTGTGTCGTCATGCAAACTGCAACTCCACAACTACAGCTTTAACCTGCACACACATCCTGAAACAAGATCTGTGTCTTTGCATTCAGACACACACACTAACCCTTTTACACCCACATATCAGCTGATACCAATTATTTCAAAACGCCTTAAAGGTGAAGTAGGCAGGAATCTGTTAAAGAAGCATCTTTTTTTTGTGGTTTTAATACAAAAAACTTTGAATATCAGTCAATAGTTATTAGTTATTGATGACATTTGGTAATATAATGAGCTCATTCTTGGGTAACCTGCTCTTTCTGACTGTAATCAAAGCCGTTCTCCACCTCCTCTGACCTGATTGGTTGTGAGGCAGACGCTGCTCCCCCGTGTCGTTCAGGAGCCCAAACAAAGTTAGCGTGCTACAATATCGGACAGTAGAAACCAACCAGAAAGTTCGGAAAATTGTCTGAATCCTCCTTTGGCCACGACTGCCGACACAAGCAAGAAAACAAAGTAAATACCGGAGACTCTGGAGGAATAACGGGCGCTTAAAACGGAGGTAGACCGGACAAGAGCTAAAAAGCCGGGTCAACATAAACCATGGGGGACGCTTGGGGATCTTGGTGACCCTGTAACCTTTCTGCTGGACAGGTAAACCGCTTTAACAAAGTAAGACAAGTGTCTGTAACAGAAGTGTTTCTTGTCAAACGGACCTGCTGTAGCGTGTTGTAGCGCCATCGCTAAACTGTCCTCCCTCGGGTCCTGGACCATGTCACTTTATCCTCGTTGTAGAAGTCCTGCAAACATTGTGTTTGCTGGTAGTCTGTTGGCATCTACAGTAGCACCAGTGCTTTTGACTTTCACCTTGACTGGGCCCCATTTGTAATGATCTGAAGTATTTATCTGCATTATATCTGAATTTAAATGGAACGATACGAGCGAGCAGGAGCGTCTGTTTGTGGGCGGGGCTTGACATTGCTTCAGATGTCAAGAATATCAGATTTTTGATTGAAGTTTCACATTTTCCAACAACAGTACTCCAAGTTTCCCCTTTTTCCATCCGTCTTCTTTCTCTTTTGCGTAATGAAACCAGTTCATTTTCACGCGTCAGTGTCTCGGTTTATTGACTCGGGTTGCTTTAGGTAAAAACCTGTGAAGATGGTGCAAGAAATGACATCAGGTTTACTTCAGTCGCTCAGAAAGGTTAAGGCGATCTTTGCGGGGGACGGATGAAGCCGCCAAAATCACAACTGTTTTTATTGCCTTCGCGTGAGTCATGATCCGTCCCGGCTCCCCGAAAACCGCGGCGCAGTGTGACTTCACAGACGCTTGGTGTGAGCTTTTAATGTGGTGCATCTGAGGAGAAGGGTAAGAAAAACACAGCAGCCCTCCCTCTCTCTCTCCCTCCTCCCTCCTCGCTCCCTCGCTCCCCGCAGAACCGAACAAGAGCTGGTCGATGAAGATCACGACTGTACCACATGTGGATCATTATGAGGAGCCGCTTTCAGATCGGGGCGAAGAGAAACACTTTCTAATCAAGTCTTTGGGAAAACAAAAACCACGACGCCAAAACTGAAAGGGCGATCTCCAACCTTTGAGGAGACAGATGGTTTTTGTTTGTTTCTTTGGAGGGAAAAGCAAATAAAAGTGAAGGAGTTGTCTCATTAATCAGTGTGCCGTCATTTGTTTGTTGATGACATAAAAGCTGAGCAACACTTCCCTTCAGGGACTCTTTACTGCGCTTAAAACAACAGCGCTTTTCAGCTTTAATAAGAGGAATCCAGCAGCGGAAAAAAACTAATTCTCCAAATTTTTTCCCCCTTTTTGGAATCGAGTTAAGATAAGCGCACAAGACTTAACTCTGGATTTGCTCTGGAGCCTGGAGCTTGGCCCGGGTCCACACTGTAATTGTTTCACCATGTCGGCGCTCAACGGTCCTGCGACTACAACCCAGATAGTGATATGTGAAAGGCTCGCCCGTTCCAGCGTGTCTTATTTTAGACTCTGAAATAACCAGAGTTTAAAAACGTCCGCTTTTATCATCACGTTTGAACTCTGAGTTAAACATCTGTAACTGTCGGTGTTTGTGTCTGACCGTAAACCAGTCTAGAAACAGGCTCAGTGACGCCTTAGAAGGTCTGTAACAGGACGGAAGAAGTAACCATCATGAACGCAACTTTGCACGTTTAGGCATCTTATTGGAAGATACCTGTAGAGGGCGCACCGGCGAGCTCAGGCTGTGTGCAGCTTCTGGACTCGCAGGATGCAAAGAAGAGAAGTGACCGAACTTTTAAGAGTTTTCTTTGATGTTGACACTTTGTGAGTCGTTTCATGAAGATCACGATCTCAGCACCGCCAAGACGAACTCAGCCAGTGCCAGTTTTAAAGCATCTGAACTAAAAACTGAATAAATAGAGATTAGTTCAACGTTTTATTAACATACACAGTAAATAATTAAACAGATCTGTTGTGTCGACGCTTTTTTAGGCGTCGACCGCCGACATTCCTTACACATCGGCTGAATTAATCGACGTCACTTTGGAGATTCCAGAACCACCGCCACACAGCCGACGATCAATAACTTTTCTTCTCAACAACGGCGTCTTCAGAGGATGACTCAAAGTCGCGTTTAGCTCCACGTTCAGTCATTCGGTTTACTTTAGAAAATTACAGAAGTGAAGCAGGAAAAGCTCGACTCTGATTGGCTGTTGTGACGCACATTTCCGCCATGGTTGATCGAGTAAATATGCTCTCAGCTGATCGTCATGTTTGAACTGAAATTTATCACGATCATACAATCGCTCAGACTTATGACCGCCTTCAGCAGCTAGGGTTGGGCGATAAATTTACCGATACCAAAATTTACGACAATAACCGACGTCATTTTTCCCGTATCGGTATATTCTGTGTTAGTTTTGGATGTGTGTAGGTGGGCTATGGTCTCATGTCCCTTTGAGACGCTGTCCTACGTCGCAAAGGACAGCGTCTTAAAGGGACCGGAGGGAAAGACAGGTGAGGAGATGGAGGACGGTTCAGAAGTTGGAGCGGCTGAAGTAGACGAAGTTAATGTGGGAGGGGGTGAGCAGCTTGTGGAGGAGTTATCGAGGTGAACTGATCAATATATCGTGATATTGATTTGAGGACATATCGCCCAGCCCTAATCCAGAGTCGCACAGTTACAGCAGTAACAAACATTAAAGCATTTGTGTTTTTATTTTTTCATTCTTTAGTTTTTTCTTGAATTAAAAACTCTTTGCTGCATCTCTCTGTGGTCCTCTCTGACCACGTCCACCATGACGGTAGATTCCCCCACAGACTCACCCCCGAGGTGACTCGACTCTGTCAGCGTCACACACAGGGGAAGCGACATGTCGGCTAATTATATCACACAAAGCCTGCTGTTTGTCAGCGCGGCTCCGGTGACAAACGATTCCTTATCTTGAGGGCTGTTGTTTGTTGTTGCTGAGTAATGTCCCCGCCGCTCGCTCTCGTCTCTGGAGCCTTCGGGGGGCTTCAGCTGCCGAACGATCATCCCACATGTGCACACCTGAGCGTGCGGCGGCATCAGAGAGGGGCGGAGGTTTCAGCTCTGCAGAAAAACCAACTTTCTTTGATTTGTGTCGTTCACCCTGCGGGCCTTTTCTGTGTTTGCTGTTTCCTGTTTGACTCCAGCTTTCAGACACGCAGTCTGATGGACTTTCCATTCGCCTGCAAATCTAATGAAGACAGACGTGTGGACCAACACACAGAGAGAGAGAGAGAGAGAGCTCCTTTTCTCTTCCAATGTCACAAATCTCTTTGCTTTATAAACGCTTTGACCTCATTGCCGGTGAGGGACTGATGAAAGCGACATGTGTTACTCGTAGGGCCGCTGTTTATTTGACTTCCATACTTGCATTAAGGCCAAGTAAACAGATCAGCCGCCCTCCAGCTGCTTTAGCAGAGCCACCAGAGCTGCAGGGAGGAAAGAGGAGAAACGAACCTCTGAGGGAGGATGTTCAGCGACGGTGTAAGAAGAAGAAATACATGTCCTCGTTTATATCTCTGGATAAAAAGTCAGAGAAAGAGAATTGAACTGCTTCGTTAAGTTGAGATGATGCTGTTTGTGAGTTTTTGTGATGTCTGAGGACAGTCTGTCACCTCCTCATCGCTCTTTCAGATCTGTAGTTTTCATTTACAGCTGCTGGAGGTTGATAACTGTAAGAGGACTTTCTCGGTCTCTGTAAACAAACTTTCAGGAAGTAAAACCCGATGATTATCCTCTCCTCCTGACTTCTGATTGTGCAAGAGTCACATTTCTGCTCGCACATTTATTTCTCTGCTGCAAGAAACTTTAATTTTACTGCGTTTTTCGCTGCAGGTTTTGCATAAATCCATGTTTTCTTTCTCACTGCGGATGCCTGAATCTGATGCACTTAAAGTTGCAGCATTTCTTCTTATGATACGATACTGATATTGTAGCCTTCAGTATTGTCCGATATTGATCCGATATTGGCACATACTTGTGCATGATTAGTTTTGCACTCAGCTGCAACGTCTTTTTCGGACTTTAACAAAAAATACTGACATCACTCCGACTCCTCTCTGCTTTGTCCGTACTTTAGTTCACTCTGTTGTCGGGATCACATGGGCTCTGTATGATGGATCCGGGCGCCACTATTTAGAAGTACTGGAGCGGAGTCTGGAATGGACTTCTGATATCAGAGATTTTAGATGCAGGCCGATATAATCCCATATATCTCTGCTTGGACGATTTGCTTTCCTGATTCGTTTTTTTTTGGATGTCGATATTCTACGATGTTATCAATTCTCTCCATTCCAGTCTGCATTTTTAACACCAGTGAGACAGTTGAATGATTAAGATTGTCTACTAACTATTCCAGGGTTATTTCCCCCAATGAAAACACATCACATGTCAGTCAGTTTTTAAGATTTATTCTCAAATTTGAAAAATAAAATAAAAAATTGATTTTTTCCTCCCACCTCTAATCTGATTTGTTTTTGGCTGATATCGACAGATATTCAATATCAATATCGTATCGGGACAGCCCTGACGATGAAAGCTTTCTCGTTTGATTCTTTGGGTTCATAGACGATTTTCGGTCCTCCTGACCGGGAACAAGACGAGCAGCAAAGAGACGTTTCAGAATAATCTGTGGGTTTAACAGGCCCAGCAAAGACCAGGTTGTTGATAATGAGTCACTCTGTGTCTGTGGGGCTCCTGTCTGTCACTGTCACAGCGTCACAGTTGTCCTCTTCAGCGTCTCTGACATCAGTCTGAGAAAACGAGCTGAAACAACAACAGATGGAAAAGAGTTTACTGCTCCTGACGGCAGCAGCGGGACGGTTGGAGAGTCTGAGGGTCTCGGCTCGCTCTGCTTTTAACAGTCAGTCACCTGAGAGCCCATCCAGTTGGTCGGAGCCCCTCTGACCTGCCGCACAGCTGTTTCTTGTTAGTGCTTTAAAACAAATTCCCAGAGTGAGATGGTTTCCATGCTCAATCCCGCCCTGGAGAAAGAGGCCAGACTGAGAGGAGGAGGAGGAGGAGGAGGAGGAGGAGGAGGTTCATGAGACCCTGCTCTGAGTCTGTGTGTGTGTGTGTGCGTGTGTGTGTGTGTGTGTGTGTGTGTGTGTGTGTGTGTGTGTGTGTGTGTGTGTGTGTGTGTGTGTGTGTGTGTGTGTGTGTGTGTGTGTGTAAACAGCACCGCCTTAATGTTTTATCTTATCAGGAGAGGTGACCTGAGAGCACAGAGGCCTGTTTCTAAGACGCTCTGTCCTGCGTTAAGAACGCCATCCACAGTCGGATTCAGAGTCGATCTCCGGCGTTTCCTTCAGAAAGACTCAGAGGACGCTCGCCGTCAGTCAGTCAGTCAGTCAGTCAGTGAGAGTCTAACCGCTAAAGACAACAAACACAACAGTCTTCTTATTTTTGTTTCAGCTCTGATCAAATCTTACCAAGTAAAAAAAAACATTTTTCCTAAAACCTGCTGCAGCATCATCACCTGCTTTAACGCCTCCTAACATCCTTTCAACAAAGATCTGTAAATCATAGATGCTGCATCCTCAGTTTTAAACAACATCTCAACCTCAATCTCCACCTTCATCCTGATCGTCTCCTAAAAGGTCGTATCCTCCGATCGTAGCTGATCGTAACCATTCAAGTTAACGTGTCAATTTACACCGACTTCTTTCCGTTCCTCTGCGGATCGCCGGACTCCTCAGCTGATCACAAGAGTTCTATTTTTTCTGGACGCCGGAGCATGGCGGATAAATTCAGCACAGATTAACCCGTGCTGGAAAGGAAGTCGGGCACAGACACAAAATAAAACATGGATGAGGAGATGCTGATTCTAGAAGTCTAGAAGTAGATTTCCTCCTCTGCAAGGACACAATCTACTGCTTATACGGTTAACCTCTGTGGCTAAAGACGGCTCGTTATCGCACGATTACACGTGAATCTGCAGGTTCTCGTGAGTTCTCATGATTCCCAGTGTCCCGTTATCCGCCATGAAATTCGCCTCACAAATGGATCCGGTAGAAATTGGCGGACGGTAAAAATCGCTGCGTTCCGAATGTGGTGGAAATTCAGGGTTAAAGAGTCTGAATGATTGGTCAGATCTGCAGATTAAACATCAGCTGTAAAACAGTGCTAAGTGATGTGGGATTAGATTAAGGCTGTATTATTTTATACACTGGAGGTTATTCCTAAATATCCGAGTCTCTCTCTGAGGTAAATCGACTTTGATTGTGTTGTTGGAGTTTACTGTAGCAGCTGTTCCTGGTTAAAGTCAGGATCTGTTTTTCGGTGATACGTTCAGAGGAACAGTCAGAGTCTGTCAGAGGTTAAAAAAGCTCTCATGGTCGATAAGCTCTCCCCCACGCACAGCCGGTCTGTTGCAGCCGTTTCCGCCTGTTTGACGATTTCGCCTCCAAATCTGTTCTGATCACGTTTCGTTAAAACGACTGAATCTCTCTCTAAACTTGGCTGCTCTTAACGCCGCCATTAAACTAATGGAGGACGGTTGTTTATTGAATCAGACCTCCTCACACACACAGAGGGGTATAAAAGTCTGTTATCTGAACCTGGACAACTTTAATAGTCCCTCAGAAAGAGTTTACCTCCACCCCTTTGAGTCCACATCCATCCTTGTCTCGAGAAGACTCGTGTCGTCTCCACCGACCAAAAGAGAAGTTGCGTCTCGTCCTGTAAGACCTCGGACACGTTTAACAGACTCACTGCGGCGGTTTGATGGAGTCCAGATCAGGTCGGGCAAAGAGATCCTCCCCAGCCTCCCACTCAGGCCCGGAGAGCGCTCTCCCCGGGGGGCGCCTCACCTCAGGGTGACCCCCAGCTGAGACGGCTTTAGATTGATGCGTGCTGCCTCCGTCTCCCACACACTGTGAGCTCTTCTGGGTATTTCCTCCGCCTTTCCCGTCTTTTCTTTACGGGGAGAAAAGGCCTGTTTACAAGCCGGGGCGGGGGGAGCGCTGAGCTTGCACTGAGGATGCCGTCATCGGGCGCTGAGGACGCTCTTTGTGTGAACTGGCAGCTTCGCCGTCAGCTGTGGCTCAGAGGTTAAAGGGCTCACGGAACGCTCGGGGCTCCCGCCGTTTGGAGCTTGATTGGCGGTTTGCTCTGTTCTGAAACTGGCGAGAAAACGGCGTCTGATAAAGTTACATGTAAAATAAAAGTCGAACAGAAAGACAGGACTGATCCAGCTCTCGTGTTTTTTTCTTTTTTTCCATACATCCTCCTGAATTCGCCGTTTTTACCATCCCAGCTACAAAAACAATCCCACCGCTTTAATTACGCGATCAGGACTACACCTGCGCTCCAAAAGGACCGGGCGATAAATCAGGAGTCTGCACAGGAAGCTGATTATCCTGACACCTCATCAGTCTTCTCTGAGAGGACGGCTAAGCTAATGCTAACTGTACGCTAACACCACACGCTCAGATTTGAAGGATTTCACTCATGAGCTCTCAGAAAATAATCCAATCAGGAATTCACACAACGACTAAAAAGGTTCAAGGTTCAGACAAAAACAAACCCCTCCTCGTTCTCCTTGTTCTCCTCGTTCTTGGTTTCTCTCGGCCCTAACCTCACACTGATTGGATGCTCGCACCACCAGCTGATGGCGGCCCAGGTGAGAGAAGGTCTTAGCCGTCAGCGTTTAGAACAATTAGGAGACCTGGTTCAGCATCTTGCCGTCCGGGTGATGGATCACGCTTGAGGTGGGCTTTGTGGGTTTGCACTCTGAGACCGCTGACGGAGAAGCCAGCTGAGTCTGAGGGATGCAGGTGCCATGGCAACGGAACATAAACAGAGGCAAAGGGCCCTCATGGAGACACGCTAGTTTAGATTTTAATCTCAAAGTTTCTCTCAGCTCATCAGGAAACTCGGATAAACAAAGTCAGACTTTAAGAAGACAAGGCGGTCCTCCTCCACGCTCCTCCTCACACATCTGAATTCTTGTACTTTGCTGTCCTGCTGTCTGCAGCAGTAAGGAGTTGCTTTTAGGAGAAGTTAGGGATGACAGCAGCTGAACAAAGGGGAGCATAATAAGCTAAGGAAGTTTCTTTAACTATTTTTCTTAAGTGTTTGTTTAGTTTCTCGCCTGTTTTCAACAAGCTGTTGGTGTTGCTGCTGCAGCCAACCAATCCTAAACCAGAAGGGGCGGGGCTGGTCATCTTTGGTAACCAGGAATACAGATGATTGTCAAATCCAACACAGAGAAGAAACTGAAGAAACAAATCAGACCCAGACAGAAACTCCTCCTTTAAATCAATCATTTTAACAAAGTCATGAACAGAAGACTGACATCTCTGAAGTTTTATTTTTGTTTTGATCAAAGTGTGCAGCGTTCATTCTTCCACACAGCTGCTTTGTTTAATCTGACCTGTAAATATAAATATAGATCTATATAAAGTTAGAAGCTGAGTCCAAACCTGTGGAAAACAACAGTGGATCCAGTGTTGAGTGAGTGTTTGATGTGCGCGGGTTCACAGGGACTAATGAATTTCCGCTCCGACCATCTCGTGTCATTACAGAGACCACCGGCCTAATCCACTTACCTTCTGCCCCAAATCCTCCTATCAATAAAAAAGGTATCATTTTACTCTCCCTGGGGGCGGCTAAAAGCAGAGAGTGACTCTGTTAAGACCTCCTTTCATAGATGGCGGTGGTTTCGTGCTCTCCTGTAAGCCCCTAATCCCTCTGTCGCCATCACTCGCCCATGCGCTGCCCTGGAGGAAGCAACGTCTTGCAAACTAAACCTGCAGGTTTGGTGTTGTGTGCGTAGCGCAGGATTCTCGGATTAGGCTAAACACACACTTTTTATTAACCTTGGGCATCGCACTCGCTGTGTGTGTGTGTGTGTTTGTGAGTGTGTGTGTGTGTGTGTGTGTGTGTGTGAGAGACGGCTCTGCTCAGCCTCAGCGTCCGTGTTCGTCTCCGTCACTCTCGATAGTTGCTTACTGAAAGTGAACTGCAGAACAAATCACTGTCTGTGTGTGTCATTGTGAGCCTGTGAGTGTGTGTGCATGCACATGAGCGTTTGTGTATAGCTGTTGGCACGGTGCTGTGTAGTTAGGACCCGGGCCAACTTTTTCTGCTGGAATTTCCTGTCTGAATCGAGCGCCCCCTCCTCTCCTGCTCCTCTCTCCTCTCTTCTCCCTTTCTCTCGTGCCTCCCCCCCCCTCCTCTCCTCTCCTCTCCTCCCTCTCAAAGCTCCACAAAAGCTTTTTTTCCCCTGAATTATTCCTGGCCTGGCTCGGCCCAGCCTCTCAGGGCATTATTATTATCGTTGAGTACTTCCTAGTAGACATGAGCCCACTTCACTCAGGGCTGCAGCAGCACGGTTCTGATCCGGGGCTTCATTTGGACATAATGAGAGAGTGCTTTTCCTTCCTCTTTGTCTGAGTCATGAGACTCATAGGGGCCTTTGTTAACATCGAACACCTGGCATTGTCTTAAGTGAAAGATCAAACCGTGGCTTTGGGATCCGAAGTAAAAAGGAGAAGATGTGGGGCTCTCGGCAGGATGTTTGGCACGTCTGGAGCCTCATTATGGGGGCTGGGGGGCGAAGATATGTTGGGCTTTTAAACAAACAGGTTATGAGAGATCAGAGCAGATACGGCGCCTGAGAACGGCCACCAGTCAAAGGGTTCCTGGGGGCTGGATTGATTTATGATATAAGATTACTCCAATACAAAAGCCCCTCAGTGCAGCGCGCACGTATAACTGCAGTTTGAGCCGCTGCCATGAATTACAAGATCAGTATCTGCGATAAAACCGAGCGGAGCAGAAAGAGACGTTTTAAAACGTTTACATGATTTCCTCCTAAAGTTAGTGACCTAAACTCCGACATTCACATGAGATAAACCGTCTTTACGAAGTTTTCTTTGAGGAGAGACCAAAACAGGAGGTCTGCTTGACAAATTAGTTAGTTATAAACAACTTAATGTTGTGGCAAATATGTAATAATACCGTACTAAAGTGTGTGTGGTTTGAGTTTTATTACCCCCTTTTACTGAGGCTCTATCACGCTCTTAACTAGCCACAATTTGGTCTTAATTAGTCTTTATTACACTCGTACACTAAACCATTACTAAGTCTTTGTTGTTCTTTATATTTAGCCTTAACTAAGGGATTATAACAACATATTATAGGCACAGATTTCTTCATATACATAGCCTTAACCAAGCCTTTATAACAACCTTAACTAAGTCTTTATAACAACAGTTATTGCACCTTTTATAAAGCGTGTCCACATCCTGTTATAAACCTTTATTACACTCTTATCTAAACCTTTACTAAGCCTTTGTTGTTCCCTTTATTTAGCCTTAACTAACTCTTTATAACAACCTTAACTAAGTCTCATCTTAACCTTATTACGTCCTTTTATGACTTTTACATCCTTTAATAAGCTTCTATTACACTCTTAATTAAATATTTGATACACTCTTAACCTTTATTACACTTTTTATAAAGCATTTTTACAGCCTTTAAGAAAACTATATTACACTCTTAATAAACCTGTATTACACTCTTAACTTCAATTTTTATTACACTCTTAATTAAACCTTTATTACACCTTTATAACACCCTTTAATAAACCCAGAATTTCACTTGTAACTAATCCTTTATTACACTCTTAATTACACCTTTATTACACTCTTTATTAAACCTTTATTACACTCTTAATTACACCTTTATTACACTCTTAATTAAACCTTTATTACACTCTTTATTAAACCTTTATTACACTCTTAATTACACCTTTATTTCACTCTTAATTACACCTTTATTACACTCTTTATTAAACCTTTATTACACTCTTAATTACGCCTTTATTACACTCTTAATTAGGCCTTTATTACACTTTTTATTAAACCTTTATTTCACTCTTAATTACACCTTTATTACACTCTTAAATTTTTATTACACTCTTAATTAAACCTTTATTACACCTTTATAACACCCTTTAATAAACCCTGAATTTCACTTGTAACTAAACCTTTATTACACTCTTAATTACACCTTTATTACACTATTAATTACACCTTTATTACACTCTTTATTAAACCTTCATTACACCTTTTCCTGAACCACAGATCTTTATCTCCTGTAATATCTTTAAACAACATGACTTTAGTTTCTCCTGACCTTTGACCTCTGAAGTGACTCTATGACGACTTTTCTAACAGGACGGCGTTTTGGACCGACCCTCTTTGAGACCCTGATGGTAGTGTGTGGTATCTCACCCTGAGACATAAACAGACCCCTGCAGTTTGACAGTTTAATAGATCGACTGAAGCTCGAGTGTTGGCGTGACTTCCAGCTCAACCTTGCAGCCTTTGTGGCGGCGGTCTCTTCCCTCGTCCCGTGTCCTCCCTCTCCTCCTGAGATGTGCCAGGCAGCGCAAGCGGGGGGCACCTCTCGGACAAAGCCCCAACTTCTGGCTCCACTTGTGACACAAAGCTCAAACTCCTTTTCCCAGCTCTCACTCCCTCTCGCTCATTTACTGGTCGCCTCTTTTGGCTTTGTGGCGCACAAGTTGACTCAGAATTGGCCGCCTGTCTCTGACACAAAAGCGAGGGAGGGTGATTGGCTGAGATCCAGCGGCGTAGATCTTGATGGAGAGACAAAAACATCAGCCGCCAAAGCTCGAAGAGGAGATACTGGATTTCTACATCTCACTCTGACTCCACGGAGACAGATTTTTGAGCAGCTGTCGTGTTTTGACGTCTCTGCAGGAATGCACGAGGAATTCACGGCGAAAGCAAAGTTTCCAGAGAGATAGAAAGTAATTGTCTTGTAATAATGCGTCTTCTTAAACAAATCCCACAGCAGTCAGATGTCTCACAGGTCAGAGCTGCCTTCAGGGGAACTTCCTTGCCAGTCGTGGTAATCCCTTCAGAATTAACAAAGAGCAAGACGGTACAACGTCACGACGGTTACCGCAATCACGCCAACAAAAGGCTCAATCAGGGTTAAGTAGCAGTAATGTCTGCCTTTGTATTAGGCATCACCTTAAAACAACACTCAGTGTTGAGCCGCAGCCCACAGGCACAGAGTCCTGTTACGTCTTGTTCTCACAGCTCTGGCTGGAGCGCGTCAGTCAGGACCCCGAGGCTCCTCTGAAAGGCGACAGAGTTTAAAAACCCAAATCCATCCTGTGATCGCTGCAATAACAAGAGCCAACGCTTCGAGTGTGAAAGTTACGTTTTTAAAGTTAAAGTTAGAGCGGCATTTTTACCAGAAAGACATCGTACGGTGGCCGAGAACCGCCAATGCTGCAAATGAAAAAAGAGTGCAGAAAAAAAGTCATGACAGATGTTACCAATGCAAAAAAAAAAAGAAAACTGAAGTGCACAGCAAATAAAACAAGAAACGGTGCAGATTAAAAAAAAAAGCCACAACGGAAGTTAATGACGCAAAAAAAACAAAAAGTGGTGATGCAAAAAAAAAAAGAAAAGAAAAGGTAGTTAGTGCGAAAATAAAAGGATGTAAATAAAAAAAGAATGCAAAAAAAGAAGCCACAACAGAAGTTAATGATGCGGAAAACAAACAAAAAAAAGTGTTGAGGCAGAAAAAAAAAAGTTACCCACTGCAGAAATAAAAGGATGCAAATAAAAAAGAATGCAAAAAAAAAGAAGTCCCAACGGATGTTACTGATGCAAAATAACAAACAAAAAAAAGAAACGGTGCAGATAATGACGCAAATAAAAAAACATAGCGATGCAGGAAAAAAAAATACTGTCTGCGAAAATAAAAGGATGCAAATAAAAAAGGAGCCACAACGGATGTTAACGATGCAAAAAAGTCATGATGCAAAAAAAAAAAAAGTTACTTAGTGTGAAAATAAAAAGATGCAAATAAAAAAAGACTGACTAGTTCGTAAAACACCGGTGCATCATCATTATTGGTCCCCTGCAGCTCTCTTTCATTTTGGCGTTTTTTATTTGCATTCTTTTATTTTCGCAGAAAGTAACTTTTTTTTTTCCATCGCCACTTTTTTTTGTGTCGTTAACTCCTGTTGTGACTTCTTTTTTTTTTGCATTCTTTTGTTATACGCAGCAGTGGCAGTTCTCGGCCACCGTAACATCGTCACAGGATAAAACGGCCTGCAGAGAGAGATAAAATTTAATGCTGCAGGTTCGTCGTCTGATCGGCAGCCTCATGCTTCAGTACAGTCAGGGTTCATCTGGACCAGCAGAACCTCTAGTTTTAAAGAAAACAGGCGAAGAAAGGTCGGACTCTGGTGCTGATTCACGGCGTTTAACACGAAGGCGTCTGATTCTGGCAGCTCGTCTTTTTACGTGTTTCCACATCAGCGTGAATCAACACCCCCGTTTCCTCTTTGTCACACAGTCCCAACGATCCTCTCAGTTAGAGATAATGATGTGCGCGCTCACTGAGCTTTGACCTTTGGCCTCGCTGGTCTCTGCTCTCAGGTCAGCCCAGGTTTATTGGACCGTGGAGTCCTGAGTGCAGGCAGAGGTAGTTTCAGAATCAGAATCAGAAATAATCACATTTCTCTGTAAAACATCCCGAGTCTGTGTTTTTGTGTTTCTGATGATGTCCTGATTCAAAGTAAAAACCTTCGCAGCCTTTCGACTTGATTTCCGTTTTCTTTCTCCTTCACTCGGAGGTTGTAACGGCGGGAATTAATGAAGACACGCCGTGTTGTTTTCATGAGACTTCCTTCAAGCCTGCAGACCATTTACGGCAGGAAATGGTGGATTTGTGCATCCTCTGTCTGACAAATAAAAACACACTCCTCCTCCTCCTCCTCCTCCTCCTCCTCCTCCTCGTTGTTGTTGTTGTTGTGTAAACCTCGCTTTGGTCTCATCGGATAAGAGGTGCCGTTAATGAAACATGCAGCTCTCAGGGAAAACGCCACAGCGGTGAGACGGTTTCAATTAGTGGCGAGTTACGGGAACAGTAAAGTGGAGCAGATTGATCTCCCGCTGGTTTGAGGTTTAGTCAGGAGCTTCATCATCACAGACGTCTTCATCAGTTTACTGCCTGTTTGACCTTTTCTCTCTCCTCTCTCCTCTCACAGGGACCCACCACCTCTTCCCCACCTTCCACACACCCATCCCGATCGACATGAGACACCACGAGGGGCGGTACCATTACGAGCCGCACCCACTTCATGCCATGCATGGGTAAGGATGGTCATCTGTTAATATGAAAGAAGTTATCAATAAGTAAAGCACATTCTCTTGTCGTGGAATCGAGGAGATCCCAAACTCTTACCGTCCATTTGATCGTTCTGCGGATCAGAACTGAACTGGGCAAAAAAGCATTTTTTAGTTTTGCTGCCACTTCATCGTGGAATACTCTCCAGACTGACCCACAATTTGGGCGCCACAGCCGAGAAAGCTCGGCCGCCGACTAGTTTTAGTGACGAGGAGTTGGAGCTGATGAGCAGACCTCAGGGAACATCTAAGAGGTCAGAGATGTTCTGTGGCGCTGATCCGTGTAAAGATTTTAAAACAAACATTAAAATTTGAAAATGAATTCTAAGATGAACGGGAAACCAGCGGAGGGACGCCAGAAATCATAGTGATGTGGTCATGTTTTCGTTTACGTGTTAAAAGACGAGCAGCAGCGTTTTGGACGAACTGTAAGCGTGTGAGAGAAACCGGATTAACACCGACGTAAAGAACGTTACAGTCGACCAACCGAAAGATAAAACCGATTTAATCTTAAATAAAAGCCTCAGATGATAAAAACTGGATAAAATTCTTGGATAAAGTTGGTCCTGACTGAAAATTAAAAACGTTTCTATCTGATCTATGAGGATTTTTGCGTCTTGAAATTGCAGAACTTTTGCAGCGAATTAAACTGACGGGCAAAGGTGGGATGTTGCTTTCAGCTCTGCCTCTTTTCTCACAGTCCTATCTCTCTTCTCTCTTTTAGGATGGACAAACTTTAGATTTGAAAGAAGTCCTGTTGAATTAAATACTTTTTAATAAACCCGTGTCTGTTTTGAGTGTTTTGCTCTTCTTGGTTGTAAATCTTGTATCCTGACCCGACCTACAAAGATCCTGATTTATTTTCGGACTGTGGCGTTACCTTAAAGGTCCGTCTGTTTGTCCTAACGCTCTTCTTATCTGAAATATTCAAATCCAGGAAAGAAACCCTGCAGGAGGAAGATCAATAGAGGTTTTGTGGGAACTCTGCTGTTCCATTGAAATTCAGCGAGATCAGGTGATACATAGAGGAGGCAGAGCTATTCATCAACCGCGAGAGCGAGGGAGAGGAGGTGAAGAAGTGTGGCCGTGGACCGGGTTTGTTCTGATTAATGTGATGAGACTCTGACAGAGCGCTCCGACTAATTCATCAACACCTTGATGTCGCCGTCTCTCCTCTGCACGCGACAAACTCGCCTAATTACGGCGTGCCGTCCCGGCGAAATGGAGCAGGGTGTGAGTGTCGGTGCAGCGTGCTGGATGGCAGCGCTTTGAGGGATTGTAGGAACTTCATATGCAGAGCTCTTTATCACCGTGTTTTTACACAATAGTGGCTGCAGGTCAGGATGCGTTTGGAGTTTCTGCAGAACTTGTACTTTTGTTATCCGCCGCGCTTTTCGGCTGGTGACGCCAGAGGAGTGTTTGGTGACAAAGTGGGTCAATGCAAACAAATTGACGCACTTTTGCAACCTCTGTTTCTCACCACTGAGCTCAAGTAGAGCCCGTTCTTGACGTTTTTACACTATCTGTCGTGTTTTTGAGGAATGTTAAGGTGATGTTTCTGCAGAAGAGTCAGATCAGCGTCTGTGTTTAGAAGGACGCTGCAGCTGCTGTCACAAAATAGAGAAATGGTCGTGAAACCTTGTTGTGATTGGTCAGATATCACTATGCCTATAAGCGAAGTCATGGCACTAATTCATGGCCGTGTGACAAAAAGGTTGGTCGTAAAGTGGGACAAACTTGGGCAGCAAAAATAAAACCCTGATTTATTTTTCTGAATATTTTTTATTCAGTGACGACTTCACCAAACTTCACTTTAATAATAAAAAGATTTTCTACCATCGAATACGAATTTCGCGGCAGATTACAGACAGTGGTAATCACAAGAACCTGCGGATTCACGTGCAATCACGGAAAGAAGTCGGTGTAAATTGACACGTTAACTTGAATGTTTACGATCAGCTACGATCGGAGGAGACGACCTTTTAGGAGACGATCAGGATGAAGGTGGAGGTTGGGGTAAAACAGAGCAGGTATGATGCTGGTGAAATCAGACACAGCGTAGAAAGGTGGAGCTGGGTGGAGGCGGGTTGGGGTAACTGGATGAGCTGTCAGGATCGGGATCTTTGCGGCCTGCCTGGACTAACACTTTGCCCAGTCTCTTCTGTAATCTGTTTATTTTCTGCTTAGTTTCACTTTTGTCCGATGACCTCGTCATCAGAGCAGACTTATCCGGGGAAGTTTGTCGGGGTCGTTCTGCAGGTGATGACGCCTGTTTTCAAGGTGAAGTCTTCAAGCTGCACTCCAACTTCTCTGCCCTCCTGTCTGACCAACAAGTCCGAATTTGCCTGTACGGCATTTTCCCTACTGGGCTCAGGGTGGGATGAATTATGATGTGACACACTCCCTTCTGTACTTCTGGGCAGCCACGGCGATCAAGATAAATCACCACGCTGCCCCACATGGGACACGCTCAGATCCTGCCTCGGTTGTTTTTGGGGCCCTGATCAGGATGCGGAGGATTTGGACACAACTTGATACTGTACTCCCTGAGAAACCGGGTCTGTGTGCAGAGGAGGGGCCCGGTGGAGCTGTGTCAGACGACGGGATAATACACTTAAATGAGACGGGATTACAGCGAGGGTAATTATCCATTATTCTGCTCCCTGCCTGTCACATACCATTTAGTCTTTTTTGAGCGCAGGAACGTTTGGAAGGGGCCGTGTGATAAACCGTGACAGTCTGAGGCTATTGATTTGCAACTCTGCAGCCCAGTGATGGATGGGTCCCTTGTCTTTTCAGCAGCACATTCCTGGCTGTAACTCAGGGGAGCATCCAAATTCAGACTTCAGCCGTGACGCTGAGCCGAGCCGGAGCCAACGTAAGATAACAACATGTCAGTCAAAACCGCCGACAACCAATCGTCAGGCTCGAACATCGGCTCCTTTTACCTCCGACCCTTTCCTCCCGTTTTAACCAGACCAACACAATGAAGGCAAAAAACAACATCGACCCAAATGGCTGATGGGTAAACTGTATTTAATCAACACATTCCACGCAGAGGGGGAGACCACATCTGTTTGTGCAGAGGGGCGGTGCACGCCACAGCTCTGCCACACAAAAACCTTGGGCATACTTCAACTTTTCAGTGCTGCAATTTGCCCCCCGACTGCTTCCCAAAAAGCCTAAATACAGGCTGTGGAATGAGCGGGGGATCTGTTTTTCTCATCCGCTGCGTTGTCGTTGAGGTTCTGGGAACGGAAGGCTGGATTTCGGATGCTAATTACCCGGTCGAACATGCTGGCACAAGTGGCAGGCTTTGCTGGGTTGTGGGTTTGAGGAGAGGAAGATGCCCGACTCCACAACATGCAGCAACATCCAGTCCTACTGTAATCCCACAGGGACTCGTCGTCATAATGTCTTCCAGAGACAGTTGGAATATGACATGTTTCCTCTGTCAGGAATGTGAAGTTCGTGAAAGGCAGAGAGACCACAGCCGGAAGATTACTACTTTGAAATCCTCAAACAAGCGTTCAGAAAAGTGCTGAGAGACGCCGTGTGCAGCTCGCCGTCTTCGCTGTGACTCTGCAACACTCAGCAGGTCGTTTTAAAGAGATTCACATGAGCTGGGAGGGCGTTATTTACAACCACCTGTGTGTGTGAACGCCAACACGAGGGTCATAATCAAGGAGTTATGCTGCGTTCGAGTTTCCTCGGAGGTCAGGAGTCCGAGCTGAAAATGACGTCACACCCGAGTAGAATCGGAGGCAGAAACAAGATGGCTACATCTACGGAAGTTATTTTAGAGCTTGCCTTGTCCGAATATAAGGCAAGTGCTAAACACACACAAGTGTAAACAAACATGGCGTTTGCAAAATAGGGGGGTTATATCGTGGTTAAATAGGACAAGAGCGAGTCAGTCGTGTTGAATTGGTACGACTTCACAGTTTCAGATGAAGAGTAAACCACTCCCCGCTGCAAAGTCTGTCTGAAGGCGGTATCAACCCGTCACCAAGGAAACTAATTCAGGAGTAAACGCTAAAGTTTTTTTTTTTTTTTTGAAAACGGGTCAGAGAGTGAATAAATCTGTAAACGACGACCATTTCATCTCCATGTGGATGTCTATCTGCATCTCTGGAAACGATCATGTGACACACAGAGTAACTCTTTTATGGCGCCAAAACAACCTTTATACACATGCTTTGTACGCTACAGCGCCATTTACTGGTTTGGCATATGAACTACATCGTTTTCAGTGGGTTTTTTTGAGAAATTCCGAGTTTTCGGAGAAAAATATTTGAATTTTATTTTTAGCCAATCCTGAAAGTTTGTTAGTAAACTGCCCAGTCCAGTTTAATAATAATACCTTTATTTTTATAGCACTTTTAAAAACAGAAGTTTACAAAGTGACAAACAGTCGAGAAGCACATGGAGATAAAAAAAACATATAAAAACAAAAGCTCAGTTAAAAACAAGACCTCCAATCGACAATACAAGAACCCTACAACATAAAATGAGACCATGAGGACCGAAATAAAAACAACAAAATAATTAAAAAGGGGGGTAGAAAACAGGAAACAGTATGGTAAATATAAAAAGACGATATTAATAATGATAATAAAATTAGAACAAAATAAAAGTTAGATAAGAAAAGGTTATAAGTAAAAACAAAGGCTAAAAGGACAGAAAGTCGAAGTTAGATAAAGAGAAAAGACGTTAAATTATCTAAACTTAACTTTGCATGTAAACAAACTGACATTCACTCTTCTGTATGATCAAAACTGGACCACAAACAAAAGCTGAAAATGTGACTGAAACTCCGGGACATTTAACCAGGTCATCTTTTTATAAACAAGTGTTCATGTCTGATGTCTAATTTCAGCCGTTTGATTCTTTGTTTGTTGGATCGTGTTTCCACAGTCACTCATGTCTTTAGATCGGCACCGATCGTGCCCCTACCGTGAGTCTGATGTACACGCACTCTGGTATGCACTTACTCAGACTTACTCATCCTCTAGACAAGCTGTACCATGTCCAAAATCACTTTTTCTCACCGCAGAGTTTTAACAATGGAACAACAGAGAGCGTGTAATCACACAGTACAGAACACACAGACAAACAGCAATTACCTCCTTCAAAAATATGTCATCTACTGACTCACAGCGGCTTCAGATCCATCCCTGTACCCCTGTTTCTCCTTAACTACCATCTTTGCCGCTTTCCTAAAGGATCCAGATTTTGAACGTCACGCGGCGGTCCGAGGCAGCCACCCAAAGTGCTCAGGTATGATGGAGGTGTCTTTAAATGGCAGGCGCTGATTCAGAGAGCTCTCAGGCCTCCAGGAGCTTCCTATTCAGCCTCTGCGAGTGAAAGAAAACACACAGACTTCAAGTAACATCTTGTCAGGAGGAGGGTGGATCGACAAGGCTTCAATAATGGTACCTGCCAGACGGGACTGTTATTTGCAGCCTCCTGACAGGCAACGGCAGTAAATTTCAGCGTATTATCAGGGACTCCTATACACTTTTAAGCTGCTTGAGTGATTTACTGCAGCTACAGTGATGTGCGCCGACACGCTGGCTTGTTATTGGCCAAGAAACAAATAACTATCCTTTATGGATAGAGACACACCCGGCGCTATGGGCGGGCTTTAGTGGGGCCAGGTAAGCCACGGTTAACCTCTGTGCCCCCCAGGCTGAGTCAAACCTCCTGGAGTTTCTGCCAGATAATAATTAACACAATTTGTTTTAATCAGGAGCAGAAGGAGCATCATAGAGACCCGAGGATGTCAAATTAGGAGAGCTTACAGCCCAGTCAGGCAGTTAGTCACCCAGTCAGCTGGTTTCTTCAGACTCTCATCCTGGTTTATTCTCAGTTTGTTGTGTGCAAACAGAAAAACTGCAGGAATGAAACTCACTTCATCTTTTTATATAAATTGTGGCCCTAGATCTGTGAGGGAACATCTGCAGCTAAATTTGGCTGAAAGAATCCATTTACATCATCTTATATTCAGTCAGAGTAAGGGCCTGTGTACACTGAGAGCTTCCACTACAGGCAGCGAACACAACCGAACTTTCACCACCCGTCCAATCGTCTCTTGTCGTTGGTAGTCCAGTTTAAAGAACCAAAAGAAGGTCCACAGGCCAGAGAGAATCCATCGAATATATAAACCTACACTTTGGGATGAAGTTTGATAGTTTGGTAGAGTAACCCCCAATTTCCACCTTCATCATAATCGTCTCCTAAAAGGTCGTATCCTCCGATCGTAGCTGATCGTAACCATTGAAGTTAACGTGTCAATTTACACCGACTTCTTTCCGTTCCTCTGCGGATCGCCGGACTCCTCAGCTGATCACAAGAGTTCTATTTTTTCTGGACGCCGGAGCATGGCGGATAAATTCAGCACAGATTAACCCGTGCTGGAAAGGAAGTCGGGCACAGACACAAAATAAAACATCCGGCTTATTTTCAAAATAAAACACTCCGTGTTTCAGGAGGATCGTATTTCACACCATGCAAACGGGCGGAGACGAACAAGTGAAAGGTTTTTAGACGTCATTTCACCCCGATGACACCATGGATGAGGAGATGCTGATTCTAGAAGTCTAGAAGTAGATTTCCTCCTCTGGAAGGACACAATCTACTGCTTATATGTCTATGTGTCTGTCTTTAGAGAGACAACTCGTTATCGCACGATTGAACGTGAATCTGTTCCGGATTTGAGCTGGTCCAGATGTGGTGGAAATCCCGGGTAAGGGCCTGTGTACACTAACTGCTCTGCTCACAGCCTTAAATTCCCTGCCCTCCTCATGAACTCTCACGTATGCTAGTTCAAGTTAAAGTACTAAATAAAGGTGCAGGGACCTAAAGGGTTTCAGACTCGTATGATCTTGTGATTGGGGGCATATTTGGCTAAAGTAAGGGCCTGTTTCCACTGACAGGACCTGTTTCCACTGATGCTACGTCACAAACGCCGTCTCATGGCATCTCCTCGACCCTGTTGTCTGTTTTCAGGTGTTTTCAAACTCTCTCCATTCAGAAAACTTTAAACATTTCATCAGGAATAAAAGCCGAATACTTGAACTCGAAGGTTGACGTTCGTGTGACGATGTCTGATAAGAACTGGAGCGCTCCTCGGTGCCAGCTTACCCAGGTAGTCCATCAGTAAAAACAGCCTGACACTAATTTGAGTCAGCGCTGCCAAACTCCGCGTCCAGCGCTCAGAGGCAGGCGGAGGGAAGCGTGTTTTTGTGTATGGAGCGTCTGTTTCTTCTCACTTCTCCCCTCCTGTCCAGAACAGAGAGCTCTTTATGGCTGTTTGTAGGGGAAGAGACGGCAGAAAGTTGGCCCGCAGACAAGGCCGGCAGTCTGCAGGCCCTTACTGGAAATGGAGCGAGGGCCGAGGCTCTGGGTTGGTTGGCTCGGTCCGAGCTGGGCAGGGCCGGGCCCGGGTGCAGGTTGGCGTCCGCACAGAGATGGTGAATGAGAGACTGAGCGGGGGGAAACTCTGGAGGGAGAGGTTCTGCCAAGCATGCAGGCGAGACCTCAGGCCGGGCTTTCACAGCCTCAGCCAGAAAATACAACCTGCAGCAGTCACGCTCACTTCATCAGAGTCCAATCATTTTACACCCTCAGCTGAATTTTCTTTTCTAATGTAAACTGAAACAGAAGAATCTCAATATTTCAACGTTTTCTTGATCAGGATCCACATTCTTCTGATCTTCTGTTGGTCGGTGTTTGGATTTTCTTTCAGTCCGCCGAAGGATCCATCAATCAAACTTAGATTATACACACAAGGAAAGGTTTCATGTAGGCAACAGAACGGACTCATGCAAGGCAACTGTAAAGCAAATTTAGTTCATATCCAGAGATGTGAAGTCTACTTAACAATAAACTGAGGAGAAAAAATGCAATTCAGGGCTTATTTTTGGCAGAAAATATCTTGAATTGAGGAATTTTTCTGGACTTGTCAGGTTTAAATCAAAACTAAAAACACCTCCTTCACCAGAAATCAGACTAAACACTTTCTAAGATTTGAGTTATTGCTGAAAAAAGCAGAATTTAAAAACAAAAAACGAAATGAAACAAAGTCCTGATTTTAAGATTTACGTTGAAATGCTCCCTTCCTCATCTCTCCTGTTGCTGATGCAACGGTGGCCCTCAAGGACAAAAACCCTCTGTGATACATGATGAGTACGATCTTCTGCTTCATCTGCTTCATCTGTGTGGTCATCTTGCAGCTGCAGCATGTTGCACACTCCCTAAACACACATCAAACTAGTTAGAAACATGGCGGTGCAATATGGCGGCCTCTATTTCTATCACGTCTGCTGAGCTAAAAACCACTGAAATCTGTGCACTGTACCTTTAAATCTGTGGATAAACATGCAAGAAGTTTACAGATGTGAGTGTTAACTAAGATAAAAAGTGTTCAATAATAAAATAATTTTTAAAAAATGTAAAATTTAAGAGAAAACTGTTTTAAAAAAAGTCAGTTTGGTGAGGGTAGAGGCACACAGGCCTGTCCTTACACCCTGTTATCTCTCTCTCTCTCTCTCTCTCTCTCACACACACACACACACACACACACACACACACACGCTGTTTACTCAGCATGCAGTCAGCTCTGCCAAGAATCAAACCGCACATATAAACACTGGTGTGTTCACAGCAGCCGAGGAGCAGCTCCGAAGTTTGTTGGTGAAAAGAAAACGTCTCTGATTTGTTTGTGATGTTTCTGTTTTTCGATCAAGCGTCGTTGTGGTCACGTTAACGGGGTCGTCATTCCTGATCATGTTTGGTTTAAGATTCTGCAGATGGACTTTTCTCGTCATGTTCGTCTGTTTGTCAGTCAATCAATTCATTCAGTAATCAATTAGGAACAAATTGAAAGTAAGACATGCGTTTCTCACGTCCTCCTTTTTGCAGAAAAATATCACTTCATTAATATCCTGAGGTCAAAGTGCATGCAGTGGTCAGGTTACGCCATGATTGCCCTTAAGGTGGCGGCCCTGATTTGTACACTGAAGATGCACATTGCAGGAGGCGGGTTTGTAGAGGAGCAGCAGATGTAGGCAGTATGAAGAAGTGCTGTTGGCTCAGCTTCACTTGTGGCCTGCCTGAACTAGCACCAAAAAGGTTGGGAATCTTTCCATCTCGCAGATAGTGAACTTCATCATCGCCGTCTTCGCTCAGCGACTTGTTGGGACATTGTCTTAGATATGCTGAGGTGTCAAACGTTGAGTCTTTCTAGAGTCTTCTTAAGTCATCCTTTCTCAGGTTTTGAGACTGTATTCTTCAAACTGAACAGGGTCTACATAAGTCCTGGTGTCCCCTCAGAAGCTCGTGCCACAGTACACTGTTTGTATCTGGAGCCGGGGCCCTCTGGGTTTTTGAGAATTACACACCCGCATGTCTGTGTTTCTACAAGAGGAGCTGCCAATTACCTGCCGGGGATGACAAATTTACTGCTCAGCTTGATGTGACCACCAGACGAGCTCCTCTCTGAGCTCTCTTATCACACACACCTGAGTAATACCTGAGCTGAGGGACCCTGGAGCTCACCCACCCCAACAGAGATCCTCCTCCTCCTGGTCGCCTCGCCATGGAGCGTCCTCGGTCTGGACTTGTCTGCAGCTCCAGGGTTTAATAGGTGAAGGTGAACAAAAGGGGATTATTATGTATTAGCTGCTGAACTGTGGAGGAGAAAGGGTGTAAGTGGATCACAGACACATTAGTGGGACAACAGACGTTAAGGCTTGTCTGTGAACATACCGATGAAGATCACTCAGGATGATAACAGAGCAGGATGCAGGCAATCAAACCGACACAGATGGGCTCCTCCACTGGTCTTTCCTGATCACCCTCATCCTCCATCCTTTCTTCTTCCTTTTTTCACATTATTGTTGAGATTATTTCTGTCTCTCCACAGACCTCCAGGACTGACAGGCAGCCCCGTCATCTCAGACATTTCCCTGATCCGTCTGTCGCCCCACGCAGCGCCCGGGACAGGCGAATCCCCGTTCAGCCCTCCACATCCGTACGTCAGCCCCCACATGGAGCACTACCTCCGCTCGGTCCACAGCAGTCCCACCCTCTCCATGATCTCAGCGGCCCGAGGACTGAGTCCCGCTGAAGGTAAGACTGACACCTCAGACCAGATTTAGTTCAGCTTTGTTAAATATTAAAGAATAAGTTAAACTCAACGATGTTCCATTCCTACTTCTAAACAGCTGCTGAGATTGACCTGTGCTCACACAGAGGCCTAATGCATGTCCCTAAAAATAAAACAGGCACATATGTTCATCCATAAACACTCTCATACCTGTTCGCTTAGGTTATGATCACCATCAGGCATTTGCAAAGTGGAAACTCTCAGCTCTGGCCGGCTAATGATGTGTGTAAAGTACACAATATGATGAATAAACTGTGATGTGGAATATTTCGCAGCTGCTCTCACCGGTTAGCTGAAAGGATGTGAGATTTGAGTCGAGCAGGTTGAGGATTTATGTTTCCTGCTCACTATAAACCAACTCTGTCTGCTTGGCTGCAGCTCACTGGACTCACACTTCAGTTTACACAGCTGATTATTTTACCGACGGTGATAATTACTCTTGCACTTTATATGTTCCCCTATATAAGGTACTAAAGCAGGCCTGTCATCGGACATGTTACAGTGTTTTTGCATGTTAGTGCAGGCTGGTGGTTTGGAGGTAAACGCTCTGGAGTTGTAGTGCAGCTGTCCGGCAAACAGACTTAGCAGGAGGACCACGGACACTGTTACTGTTACCATGGACACAGACATGATCCACTCAATATCAGACCTGTTACTGTTACCATGGACACAGACTTCAGACCTGTTACTGTTACCATGGACACAACTTGATTCACTCAGTATCAGACTAGTTAGTGTTACCCTGGACACGGACATCATTCAGCCAATAACAGACCTGTTACTGTTACCATGGACACAGACTTGATTTACTATATATCAGAACTGTGAGTGTTACCACGGATACAGACATGATTCACTCAATATCAGACCCGTTAGCGTTACCATGGACACGGACATGATTCACCTGATATCAGACCTGTTAGCGTTACCATGGACACTGACATGATTCACTCAATATCAGACCCGTTAGCGTTACCATAGACACTGACATGATTCACTCAATATCAGACCTGTTAGCGTTACCATGGACACAGACATGATTCACCTGATATCAGACCTGTCACTGTTAAGCAGAGGTGAGGAGCCACAGGCCCGCTCTCACCACACAATGCCTTCCTGCCTCTCAGTAGAAGCAGCGCTGCAGAGATGCTGGCGTTGATAAAGTAGCAGGGAAGTCTGGCACCAAATAAACAGCTGCAGCTCTGCAGAACATAAATAAATCTATGTGAGCAGCCGAGCATGTGTAAACTTCTCACAGGGATACCTGAGTGTAAGGCATGTGTTAAAGACTGTTTTCTGAACCTGAATAAATAATCATGATGATCAAACTCAAACAGGGTTGTCATTGTGCACAGACTCTTCCTGCAGGATTTCTTTATCAAATAAATGAATCACTCACTCATACAAGTCCTTGGTGCTTTTGACATAAAACTAGGTGATATGTTTGGGAATTTTCACCTGATTTTATTAAAATAAAGTCTTTGTGTGGTTGTCGTGGATCTGCTCTTTCTCATCCTCCTGCAGTCAGAAGTGAGATCACACATGCACAAACACTCAGATGCAAAATGCTGCTCTGTGGAGGTGGTAACGTGATCTGGCAGCCGTGAACAAACCAAAAGAATATCCCTGAGTCGCTGCTGCTGGAGCACAAACACGCCGCCTGTGCTCTGTTACTGCAGCCGTGGCCTAATCGGTTCTGATAGATCCTCCGTTTGTGTGTGTGTGTGCAACTGCAGGATGGAGTTTCGCTCCCCAAATGTCCAACTTTGCACAAACCTCCTCCCCACCCCCACTCTCCCCTCTGTTCCCATTACTGTGTATAATAATAATCCCACAGACCGAAGAGGGGGGGGCAGGAAACGGAGGGAAATGGACGCAGACACAGTTAGATTTTATGAAAGACGATCTATCCGGCCCTCTCATTCCTCCTGACACTTTTCAACGAGGCTTTACCGGCTGCAGGTGTGAACTCACTTCACGTCATTATTACCTTTACACATGCAGTACTTAAAACCTTCTCAGCATTAGACATGTGTGCATGTGTGTGTGTGTGTGTGTGTGTTTGTGCACCTGCCCTCTTTGTATGTCTTCAGCCTGTCAAACCAACTGCACACACAACACCAGAGCTCTGCAGGAATGTGGTTTTCCTTTTCTCTGCAGCCCCCCTCCCCTGCCCCGCTCCATCCTCCCTCCTCTGCTTCCTTTACTCCCTGGAGATATTTCCCCCCCCAACCCAGCAAGCCTCAAAGACATCAGACATCTTTTATCAAACGCCTCGTGCCCCGGGGCATGCATGCAGGCACGCACCAATCTCCAAATCTGTAAAGCAGAGCACTCGTCTTTGTCGAGTCCTTCTTACAACCTTTCCCTCCATCCTCACAATAAGAAGACGACATCCAAATGTGTAGTGCACGTTTAATTTGACCATGAAGACTTACAAATAAACCCTTTTGAAAGCTGACACTGAGGTTGTTTTTCTGCCCCCTCTTCCCTGCAGTGACCCACGAGCACCTGAAGGACCGTGCCCTCTTCAGCCTCCCCCCTCCACCGCCAGGAGCCAACCCCACAGAGTACTACCACCTGATGGCCAGCGCCAGCCAGAGGAGTCCCTACGGCGACCTCCTGATGCAGAGCGGAGCAGCGGCGGCGGCGGCAGCTGCTGCTGCTGCAGCTGCAGCTCATCTGCCAGATTACATCAGCCCTGTGGATGGTGAGGAGGATTCGTCTTATTCTGCTTTTTAAGGGAAATAGATCCGGAGGTCATTTAACCTCACTTACACACTTGAAGGCCGGAGATAAATCGCTGTGTAGCCGTGCGTTCTTGCACATGTGCTGCTGCAAAACGGACTTAACTGTGAATATCCCTGACTGTGCGTGACACATGTTACTGGAGCAGAGGTCATATTTAACTACAGCATGTGTGAGATGTGAATGAAAGAAAACACTCGAGGAGGCCACTCTGAAAACTGAAATCAAAGCAGAGATAGGTGCTGTTTTAGGCCTCTGCATCATCTTCTTAAAGGGATATTCTGGCGTTAAATTAATTTAGGGTCAAACACACCATAACACCGAGTCAGACACCCCGACGAGAGATGAATGTTGCCGACCGCTTCCTGCTCTAGTTATACCAACTTTAGTAACGACTGCAGGATAGTAATACAGAGCGGGGGTCTGAGGAGCGGGGTGCCGCAGCTCAAGGAAGAACATTTATGATCATTTCTTTATCATTTCCTTGAAGTAATAATCACCATATTAATGATTTTACAGATGTGGTAGTTCTTCTGTCTTAGTGTCTCGGTCTGATTGTATTTCCATGAAGAAATGATCATAAATGTTCTTCCTTGAGCTGCGGCACCCTGCTGTAGTCTGTAATGGACTGGCCTGAGGTCTCTCTACAAACAAGCGTCTGCTGGAAGAGAGTAGGTGAGTTGTGTTTAGTCTCTTTGCTAAAGAAAACAGCATCTTCTGTCTTCATAAGTGATTAACTCGCACACATCAGTTCATTTGCATCTTTTTTGAATGTTAAAGTTTCACTTAATGCGTCGATGGAGCAAAAAGCCTTTTTTTAATGAAGATTTACTTCAGCAGAACCTTCAGTTTCAATCACTCCTGAATTCATTCATCTGTGATTTCTGATATTTTCTGCCATCGCTCGTGTTTGAAACCTTTGCTGGTCTCCTGTCCTCCTCCAGTAAGTCGTCTGTTGTATCTGAATAATTTACGGATCAGCCTCTTATATTAAAAAAAAGGAACCAGAGAGACAGCGGGCTGTGGCCTTCGGAGCTTCGCAGATACAGACATTTTATAACCTGGAGCCAGATTTATACGAGGGTCTGTAAAACAGAGGGCTTGTGAAAGTACCGACTCGACATGTGGTGTAATATTTTGTTAAAATGTCCAAAATAGCGAATCTCTATCAAGGAATACCAAAGCACACGCATGTCTTTCATCCCGGGTTCGAGACGAGGAGCCAAACTTAACAGCCGTGCCGCTCTTTGTTCTCAGCACCAGGCATGTTGATACCATCCTCCTCCTCCTCTTCTTCTTCTTCTTCTTCTTCTTCTTCCTCTGGAGCTTTTTTCATGGCAGAGTTCGCCACATCAAAGCTGGAGGAGCTTTTTAGACTCGCACATAGCATGGGGGCCGCGGCGAGCCGGGGTTTAGGCCGCATAAACACTAAAAGCCCCGAGGCCAGGAGATCGTAAAAACACGTGTTACTCTGGAGTCTCTTATTCTGACGGGGCTTCAGGTGAACTCTGATTAGGAGTTACGCCCTTCAAAATAAAAGCTCAGATTACTGCTAATGGAGGTATTTTAGCTGTACGAAGTTGGAGGAGTGTGAGAACAACAAGGATTCGATGGCAGCAACACACACACACACACAGATTCACAACAACTTTAACAGCCAGGCAAACAGGCTGCAAACGCTCACAAACTGGTACACGTGTTTGCACACAAACTCACAGAGACCAGCCTGTTCTTTCATGGCGCTCCGAGCCCCGCCACCCTCTATCAAGATGACGGTCAGGCACCAGAACAGACGTTTGATTTCAGCATCCAAGAAACCTTCAGGCCTCATGAATGGGGAACAGAGAGCACACAGAGTGGAACAGTGTCCGTGAAAGTCAGCCTTTTCGATGGCTGATAATCAAATACTCACCCTGGCAGTGACGCCCGCTCCGCTCCTGGAGCCCACCCACCCTGATTTAAAAAAAAAAACAAGTAAAGAAAACACTGAAACACTCCCCGCCGCTCTCACTGCCGCAGTGTCACGCTCTCCAAGGTCACTGCACGGCATCCAGGAGGGTTTCTGAGCACACAGGTGGAAAAAAAAAAACCTTAAACTGATAGGATTACTTTTTAAAAATGGACCTCAGTGCCGCAGATCTCTAACCTCCAATTTTCAACGTATCTGGAACGGCAGCAATTTTCGACGTCCGCCAATTCCTACCGGATCCTTTTTGAGGCGAATTTCATGGCAGATTACGGACAGCAGGATTTGCGAGAATTCACAAGAACCCGTGGATTTCCATGCTATTGCGCGATAACAAGTTGTCTTTAGCCACAGAGGCTAACAATATAAGAGGTACCGCCTTTTCGTAGCCATTCCGGATATGGTGGAAATTGGCTGTACCTCCAATTTCCATCCAGAACGGCTACAAAAAAGCCGTATCTGCCGATCGTAGCTGATCGTAACCAATCAAGTTAATTTTATTTTTTTCTGGACGCCGGAGCATGGCGGATAAAGTCAGCACAGATTAACCCGTGCTGGAAAGGAAGTCGGGCACAGACACAAAATAAAACATCCGGCTCCTTTTCAAAATTCAAAATCGTATTTCACACCACGCAAATGGGTGGAGACGAACAAGTGAAAGGTTTTTAGACGTCATTTCACCCCGATGACACCATGGATGAGGAGATGCTGATTCTAGAAGTCTAGAAGTAGATTTCCTCCTCTGGAAGGACATAATCTACTGCTTATATGTCTATGTGTCTGTCTTTAGAGAGACAACTCGTTATCGCGGGATTGAACGTGAATCTGCGGGTTCTTGTGAGCTCTTGCAATTACTGCTGTCTGAAGAAGAATCTGGTAGGAATTAGCGGCTGGCGTTCCAGATCAGAGCCGATCGGTCAAAACTGTTCATATTCATGTTATAAAACTCGATACGAGAGCTAATGATGTAACAGACAGCTGAGGCCTCGGTCTTTTTACTCAGAAATCGGATCTTAACATGGACTGACGTGGATCATCTTAAACTGGAAAGTGTAGGAACAAATCCGGCTCAGTACCAACATGGCTCCAAACGTCTGTAATAAACAGCGGTCCAATCACCTCTCATGTCGTCTCTGCTTCAGTCAGCTGGTCGCTGAAATGTGGCGTTGAGACTGCAGGACAATAAAAACCTGCGAGACGGTTGAAAGCGATAAATTTACTGTAATTACTGAAGCGGCTCGAGCCGAGTGATAAATCAGGATTTAAACTTTCTTCTGTAAAGTGGCGTCCAAACGACAAAAATGCTGTTGTAGGTGCGGGCAAAGTTCAAGGGTTAATCTTTGTCATGATCTCAATCACTTCATCATGGGTGAGGAGGGTGAGGAGGGTGAGGAGGGGGAAGAAGAAGAACGGCAGACCACCTCTTTCTCCTCCTCTACCTCCAACCACCTCAGTGACCGCCGTGTGCTGCCGTGCCCGCACTTGTTTGCTCAAACAGCCACAGCCCCCTCCTCACCCCGTCCTCCCCCACCGCCTGCTCCTCCACAGCCTCCACCCTCTCTGCCACCATCCCAGCAGCTCCTATTCAGCGTCTTAGTGGAGCTGGGAGTGATGTGGTCAGCGTTCAGGCCGCTCTGCCAGTCTGGAGGCTCTTCCATTGCGGCCGTCAGACACAGGGCCCGTATTGACCGAGGCGGCCGGCTAATGGTCATGGCGGGCAGCCTCGGCCTGAATCAAAAGCCTCATTTACTGCCAGAGGAGGAGGAGCGGGCGAGGTGGCAAACATGCGCTTCATCCCATGCCGTTAGTTTTGGAAGGCAGTGCAGATAAACCTGTATTAAAAATCAATTTATGCACTAATATCCAGCAGACCCACCGCAAACCTGGAAGCCCTCAGTGAACCCTGAGTCAGGCTCCTCACACCGGCCTCCTCCCTCCTCCTGTTTTCTCTCTGCAGAGGTGAACTGCATGGCTTACTGTTGAAGCATGAAACACTGAACGCTGCTGTGAGGGAGTGTGCCGGTGGAAAAGACGTGAACTGGAGCGTCTGTGCAGGTTTCAGCGACGCAGGGTGAAACCTGGAGTCTGATCCTCGAACTCAGGAACTGAATATAAGGAATCATTAATCTGCTCAAACTCTTCAGCGTTATATCCGCTGACCTTATACTCAACCCTTAATGGACCTTTTACTGTTTATGTCGAGGGAGAGTCGAGGAGTCAAACTGAATTAAAACAACAAAAATGATTTAACCTTAAAGACACAAATATCATTTTTAACAAGTTCATAAGTCCGACAGTCCTCTTTTATACTCATTTGTGATGACCTGAAAGTGCTCAGTGTCGTCACAAACCTGTCGAACCTCAAGTCCTTATTTTACGACTCACTCATCGTCTGAAAAAACCCTCCGTCTCAAACACGTCACTGATGTAAACTTAGACATACTTTTTACAGTTTTGTAGTCATGCAACAACCTGGAAGGTTTGCTTTTACAGGAAACAGCGGTATCTTTAAGCTAAGGCTGCAGCTGTCGAATATTTTAGTAATCGAGTATTCTACCAAATATTCCATCGATTAAAGGGATATTCTGGCGTAAAATTAATTTAGGGTCAAACCCACCGTAACACCGAGTTAGACCCCCCCTCAGAGATGAATGTTGCCGACTGTTTGCTTCTCTAGTAAATCCCACAGGATATGTCTGGGTGTAATTATTAATAGACGAGAGAAAATAAGACATTTAACTTAATAATGAATTCATGTTTTCCTTCATTAGAAACGAAGAACGCAGAACAAGCGTGCGTTAGTGGATTGTAATGTTCGTTACAATCCGCTTTCATCATGTCCTTAAAGACACGCATATCTGTATATGTCCTTTGTTACCTGCTTCGTCTACTAAACTGATGATGTTAGGCTACAAGCTAGCGTAAAGAGGAGCGTAAAGAGGAGCGTGCAGAGCAGCGCTGTCTCCGCCCACGACTCGGAGGTGAATTACGAATGATCTACTGGAGCTCTGCAGAAGAAAAGTCCCTCTCATCGTTCATTTTTTTCACAGAACCGCGCTTACTCCTCCTTCTACCATGGTGATGTAAGCGTCACCTTGAAAATAATCTGTGCGAAAGAGTGACGATTTGAGTTTATAAACAAGAACTCCAGGCAGAGAAAATTCCCCGATCGTTTTTTGTAATGGAGGCACTCAAGGAATCAAATGTGTCCTTTTGTCTGCTTGTCCACTTGGGTAAAGATAAGAAATGCTCCTGGGTGTTACTTTTTACACAGCTCTCCTTTTTCCTGTTAGCTTGTTTTTCTGAGTCTCTATGATCAGGTCCAGACTGAAGTAACAACAACTCAGACACCGGTCCAGGTTTGAAAGATCATGTGAATAAATCTACGTTAGATATCAGTCAGTTTAAAGACATTCACGTTGGCTCTCCTCCAGGTCTGTCAGCGTATATAAAGTCAGATTGTATTTAGCGGGTCACATTGGGGGTCTTTCAGAGGCGTGTTTGTTTGTTTGTGAGTGGGCGGGTGTGGAAGGGCTGGGTGGGCAGAGAAATATCAGAGCAGTTTGTTGGAAGAGGCTGAAGCTCCCACGACAAAAGCGGCGGCCAAAGTAAACGTCTGCCATCCTGAGGAAAAAGATCTCAGTGTTGGAGCAGCGAGGGGGAGGGGGCTGATAGATCTGTGTACTGATGTGGTGGTGGGGGGGTGAGGGGTTCGAGCGGTCCCCTCAGACTGCATACACAAACACTTAACTATATGTTTTTTCATGAGCACATGGGTAGAAGTGTGTGCATAAACACACGGGCAAACACAACGGTGGCTTTAGGCCCGACACTGGGGGCTCATAGAGGACTCGGCCCCCTCACTAATAAAATTCACAGTGTTAGCATTAGTGAGATTTAGCAGGGAAAATAAACATTTCCTCACCCGGCGAGGAGGAGGAGGAGGAGGAGAAGGAGGAGGAGGAGGGGGGACACTGGCTGAAGATGGAGAGGGATGGAGCACTGCTCCTGCTGCTGCTGCTCAGGCCCAAGTGTGGAGGGGGGTGCAGCTCCTCTTCCTCATGGAGGCAAGGTCACAGTGGACAAGTTTCTGAGAAGTCTTGTCCAGTAAAGGCTGAAACATACAGGATGTGTATTTGGAGCGTGGCAGCGGCGCCGTGTATCACGCAGCAAAGCGTTCAGGACGCGTCTTGGCTCCGTCGCAGCATCGCATCGAGAGCAGCTCTGCTAAAGATACGCGGCAAGTCTATTTTTGATGCTCTATGCTTGCAACGCGGGTCAATCCACACAGAGAAGATCGTTCCAGACAGGAAGTCAAGCACAAAAACCGTGCATGTCATCCTGTATTTCAAAATAAAACACCACATGTGAACTCCTGACTGTGTATCAGTTGAGAAATCCTTCCTGGTTCTGGATTTATCAGTAACACAGAACGATCTGATGGTCAATCCCTGATCCACTTGGACCCCAACAGGACTTTGACCTGCTAACTCTGTCTGAAGGGAACATCATAAAGGAACAGAGTTTACTTTATTAAACACCAGGAAACCTGAACGTTTTACGTATCCCGGTCTAGTCCAGTCGAGTCTAGTGAGTCCATGTTCGGTTCAGGATCCAGAGTATCTGCAGAAAAGTCAGGCCTGATAATGACCCTCCATGTGTTCGGGGTCAGGATGACACTGAGAGCTGAAGCTGCTTCTGGGGAGGATCAAACCCTCCAATTACAGTGTTTTCATTTTCCACAAAGATTAAAACGGCACAGGCAGCCCATTACTTTATTTTTTTTTTGTCTTTACTGTATCGACGGGCACCGAAGCCCCTGTAATTACAACTCTCTATATAAATCCAGATCCCACAATTACAACCAGCCTCCTGTGCAGACACACACACTCACATACATGTGCGCACATTCGCACACATGCCGTATTACCACATTTGCTGCGCCGCCACGGTCTGTGCAACATCTGTTTTCTCACTCCCCGCCGGAACCTGCTCACCCTTTCAATTAACCGCCGTCTATAAAACACGCCTTTAGCGAGCGCTGAGAGGTGTGTGAGCACGTTATGTGAAATTTGTTCCAGGTAAGATTGGGTTAGACTAGTTTTTGACGTGCATTAAAACACCCGGTTAAGCATCATCCACTGAGCGTTTCAACATCTAATATCGTCGACGGCGAGAGGCTTCGTCGCTGGAGGTGTAATGAATTCCTCGGCGTGGGGGTTGGTGTAGAGATGTGGGGGTGGTTTGAAGTCATGGAGGGCGTTTTTTTGGGCACAGGGCCCAGAAGGAGGCAGGCGCCAGCCTACCAGGCCACCAGGCAGCGGGGCCTGTTTCCTGCGTTATAAAGGGGAATATTAATTCACTTATCTCTTTAAATCTGTTGGCACGGCCAAGCGCTCACCTCCGAGAAAAACAACAAATCCCAGCAGCTCTGTTGGAGTAGTGCGTGACTTTAAAGAACAGGGCGCCCCGTGGACTCGACTCCCTCCTTAGAAAAAAAAACCAAAGATGATGTTTCTCCACCATCTCCACCTTCCAGGAGACTCCCTGCTGTTCTCGCCGACCTTTTCCCTCCCTTTCTGTCATCTCTTCTTGCTTTTGAAGGCCCACAGCCGCCGTTGTCTGCGGTTCCCCGGGTCTTTTAACCAAGTGCAGATGCCCCTGCTTTACGACTCGCCACCTCCAAACGTAATAGTTTTGGAAGTACGAGCCGGTTTATAGCTGCAGGTCTGGCCTGGTGATTATGGCGGTGCCTGGATTCATTTGGCTTCAGGGGTTTTGGGTTCCACCAGCAGAGACTCGGGGACTGGAGGCATTTTGACAACAGCGGAGGTGACGTGCAGAAAACGTGTGTGTGTGTGTGTGTGTGTGTGTGTGTGTGTGTGTGTGTGTGTGTGTGTGTGTGTGTGTGTGTGTGTGTGTGTGTGTGTGTGATGAAAGGCGCTGTGCACATGCTTAGGTGACTGGTGATGGGCCTATTATGAGTTTCCTGCCTCTCGCGCCTCTGATGATGTCTGTTGTATGACCTAATTACACATGTGCACACACACACACACACACACACACACACACACACACACGGCGGCCCTGCTCTCCGTCCGCTCACACTGACAGGCTGCACCTGTTGGTCTCTACAAAGTGATTCGTCTCTGTCTCTGCTGCTGCAGCACGAGTGAAGGTGGTAAAAATAATGACGGGCGGAGCGACTGTGAAGACACCGACTCGTCACTGCCTCCTCGAAGACTTTGACTTTATCTTCTTGTTTTTGTGAAGTGACCACGTTTGGAGGGGATTGTAACAGCTGAACATGTTGGACACCTACATCAGCTGATCTGTGTTGTTTTTATATTAGACATCAGTTTCAACAATCACCTGATTAAATAAAGAGAAAGAGAGGAAAGAACAGACCAGATCCTCCGTGATTTTGCGGTGAAGTTGTGTCTAATATTCTAAGATGCTGGTTTGTCGAATTAGTCCAGTCCCTGCAGTCAGGACCACTTTCTGTCAAATCATTTTCATGCCATAGGTCATATTTCGGGACAGCTTTGTCTTACTACCAATTTCCACCACATCCGTAACGGCTCCGATCCAGACTAGCTGCGATTTTCAATTTGTGAGGCAAATTTCGTGGCGGATTGAGCTGAGATGTCCACCTCTTACTTGAAGCTGATTTTCAACTATAACTGCAGAACTGAAAGATGCTGTCAGTAAAACAGACAAGTTAGATAAAATTCAGATTCTGTTTGAGACCACATGCACACATGATAAATACCGTTTTTATGTTTTCATTTGGATTGACCCCCTCTTACAGTTTGCCCCCTGTGGTCGCTCGAGGAACTGCAGTTCTCGGTCCAGCTGTTCCGGCATTTTCCATCTCCCTAGATTTCCACTTTAATGGAGCCACATGCCTCAGCGATCTAAAATGAGTAAAAAGACGTAGATGATGGCCGTCACTTTGGGTTCATGGGAAAGTGGTGTGTTTTCGTACTCCAATAAGAAAACCGTGCAACAGTCAGGTCCAGCAGGAGGCCGTGAACCCTACCTTTGTGAGGCTGCCTTGTTCTTCTCTAATGGTATTCTCAGATCAATTTGGTTAAATTGCCTCCATTTAACTTTCCCGAGAACGGCGGTCTGAAAGAGATTACTATCGAGGTAATTACTGAGAATGATTGGAGGCGATTCATTATGCATAAGAGGATGTGAATGTTAAATAGGGGAGCTGTGTGTATGTCTGTGTACGTGTGTATGTGTGTGTGTGTGTGTGTGTGAGATGTAGGAGATAGAGCGTAGCTTAGCATGACTGTGACCTCTGCTGTAGAGCTCCGAGCTGAATGTTTCCTCGAACATGGTCCAGGGTGACCATCAGGGAAAATATCATAGAAACATGAAGAATGAAACACGGATGTACGCTGTCTGACTGACCGCCGTACTCTGCTTTAGACACCATGAACACAAGTCTGAGTATTTGGTGGCTGATGTTGTCTCTGTCTCCCTCTCTGTGTCCAGTGTCCCGCTTCTCCAGCCCACGTTTGACTCCCAGGTTGAGCAGAAAGAGGGCGCTGTCCATCTCCCCGCTCTCAGACGCCAGCATAGACCTGCAGACCATGATCCGCACCTCTCCAAACTCCCTGGTGGCCTACATCAACAACTCCCGCTCCAGCTCGGCCGCCAGCAGCTCCTATGGACACCTGTCAGTAGGAGGCATCAGGTATTACTCTTTTTTAATAACGTCTTTGGAAAGTAATGAACCAAAAATGATATTTTAAAGTAAAAGTTTACTTTGAATTCAGTCTGTTACCACTGAACTGACGTGACCTGAATCGAATCACAGCCGTTAAAGACTAAATTAGGATTAACAGACTCACGTGTTTCCTCCCTCTCTCCTTCAGCCCGTCCTTCAGCTTCCCTCACCCCATCAACCCCGTAGCCTACCAGCAGCTGTTGTCCCAGCAGAGAGGTCTCAACGCCTTCGGCCACACGCCTCCTCTCATTCAGCCATCGCCGTCCTCTTTCTCCGCTCGCCAGCACCCCCTGACTGCCTCGCCGATGTCCACGTCCCACAACAGCTCCAACTCTGAAGCGAACCAGGTTTGGACGGGAACACTTCTACTTTCACCCAAAGATCAGTTATACCACCAAATATAACTATTGCATTGAGAAAATTCATTATTAGGGTAATCTGTAATCATGTAAAAACTGAGCCATCTACAAAAATGATAATAATAAAGAGTTTCCTGAGGGGGGAGTGGCCAGAAGCATTGGCAACAGTAAGATAAACCCACATAGAAATTGAACTTTTTCAGGCTGAACTCGGACTTTGAACCGTGGACTTTTGAAAAGCAGAAAGTGACCCATCGATTCACTCATTCATAATCCTCTAGAAACATCAGCCTGTCTGTGTATCCCGCTGGTAATCCCACCTCAGAGAACGGCGCGGACACCTCGCCGTTGTTTTTGGCCGGATATCTCACCGTGAAGAGATTTGTGGAGTCCTGGTTGCAGCAGGCACCCCGGCCCATAAGTCAGACCAGGACCCGCCGCCGAGACTAAACAGTTTAGACTGCTTTATGTTCGCCAAAGCCACAAGGAAATATGAAAGAAGAGGAGTTATTACCCTCCATACAGAGGAGGAGGGGGGCGGCGGCGGGGTGGGCGGAGCTTTGATCTGATTCAAAAAAGACCCTTAAAAGCTCTGACGGAGACAGACAGAAAAGAGGACTTCAAGATTCGAAGCAGCTGATGACTTATTGTGAATGTGTGTGTGTGTGTGTGTGTGTGTGTGTGTAGTGAGGCTCATTGGAGGGGGTCCAATAATGGAGGGGGGGTCCTTTAATCCCACCCAGACATTACAGCAGAGTTCTGGGGGCCCGGATGATTCAGTGGGCTGGCTGGGAACCAGAAGGGAAATATGGTTCTGATCTCAGTTCGAATGAAGCTGTGAGTGTGTGTGTTAGTAAACTGAGGCGTGTCTCCTCCTTTAGCAGGAGTTCAGATCCTCCAGGAGGAATACTGAGATTCTTCTGGTGTGTGTCAGTGAGTCTGTGCTGAAACATCTCTGATAGACGGAGGTTTACAGAAACACTGCTGTATTCAGAGTGCAGATAAAGAGAGTGAGTAACACGGATAAAACGTGGAGGATGTCTGCTGCATATTTCTGACCTGGATCTGATTCTCCCCCAAAAAAAGGCGTTTCTTCACCTCTGTAGTCTATAAGCTGGTCAAGAAACTTCTACTGTAGTGAAAATGAAAAGGTAAAGGTGTTTTTATTGAGCCGAATTATCAATAAAATCATGATTTTGTTAACAGGTATGGATATATGTGCTGTGGCATTAGTATATGTGAACAAGAGCACAGTAAAGTTAAATCTGCTAATTTTCCAATGAGGTTCTGTTACTAAACGGAACTACACCATGTTCTACTCAGGTTAGTACATATAGGGTCACAGACATAGTACTAGACACCAAACATCCTTTTAACTTTGACTCATTTCTTTAGCAAAGAGACTAAACACAACTCACCTACTCTCTTCCAGCAGCCGCTTGTTTGTAGAGAGACCTCAGGCCAGTCCATTACAGACTACAGCGGGGTGCCGCAGCTCAAGGAAGAACATAAAGTCTATAAAGTCTATACTTAGCTTTTGTCTAACTCATCACTTTTACTTCCTGTCTTTTAGAACGCCGGTGGAGACCCAGCAGTGAGTAGCACAGTCAACCCGCTGACCACCAAGAGGTCAAAGGTGAAGACCGAGACAGAGGGTCCTCTGCCCATCTCGCCGTCCTCTCAGGTAAGAGAATCAGAAGACGATAAATCCTGAACAGCGAGGTAAAGGTTTCCTTTGACCTTGAAAATCCCCATCAAGCTTCCTCTGCAGCGGCTTACAGTGAGTTCAGTCCCACGTCGTTGCTAATTTGGCTTTTATTGATTATAGATAGGGAATAAAAACGCAGCCTTAATCAATGACAAAGGCAAGCGAGCAAGCAACAACTCATTAGGATGAAGAAACAGATAAGATAAGGGAGATGCAAAAGAGCACAGATCGCCTCGGTAAACACCTGGTATGCAGATTCTGGTTGAAGATGGTTTTATTCAGGTCGTTTATATCCTGTAACGACGCTTTTAGTCCTCTCTGATTAAGTGCTCTTCTCTTATTCCAGGACCTGGGCGGGGGCATCCTGGACCTGAGTGAGGATCTGGATAAAGACGAGTGCAAACAGGAGCCAGAGGCCATCTACGAGACCAACTGTCACTGGGAGGGCTGCACCAAGGAGTACGACACCCAGGACCAGCTGGTTCATGTGAGTATTTAAAGGCACACTGGGGGATTTTACACAAGCTCTTTATATACAGTCAGGTGCAAATATGACTTCAATTTTAACAAAAGGTTGTTTAACTGTGTTTTATAGTATTAGATGTTCTTAATAACAAACTCAAAGTTTACCAAAGTTTGACCGCCAGATAGGCGTCATTTTCAAGATGGCGTCCATGATGGTAGGAGACCCCCTAGGTGAATAGGGTAAAATTTTTAACAAACAGATATCACCATGAAACTTCCCAAGTTTATAAATTACATTAAGACAAATACTTTTTGTATTACAAGTTTAGTCAAATGTTATGTTTGAATATGTAAATTAGGTAATATCTAATTAAATATGCACTAAGTTACATACATTTAAAATACTCTCACCACCCCTAAACATTCAAATATCTCCATGTGTTTTTTTTTCAGGTTCTTGAAATGACCATTACTCCTTTGTATTCATTCTAGACCAGAAATACTGGTGCCTGATACATGGTTTGACCATTTGATATTCTAATTAGCATATCTATATGATAGATAAGTGATTACAAGTACAACTAGTGTCAACTAGGGTGGTGAGAGTATTTTTTCATTTACAGAGTGATAAAAAGAGATATCCAAAGTCCCCTCCTCCCCCCCTTCTCACTCTAGTATGTCAACAAAATAAAACATGAATTTTAAAAGGGTCTTTATCCATCATTCAGTTTTCTGTAAATGTCTGTAAATTAGTGCATATTTAATTAGATATGACCTCATTTACATATTCAAACATAATATTAAAAAAAAACTTGTAATATAAAAAATATTTGTCTTAATGTTAGTTATAAACTTGGGAAGTTTCATGGTGATATCTGTTTGTTGAAAATGTTACTCTATTTACCTGGGGGGTCTCCCCGGGCTTCCTACCATCATGGACGCCATCGTGAAAATGAAGCATTACTAGTGGTCAAAGTTTGTTCAACTTTGAGTTTGTTATTGAGGACATCTAATACTATAAAAACAGCTGAGAAACATTTTGTTGAATTTTTTTTTTTTTCATATATGCATTTTTAAGGTTTATGTAATACAGGGCTGAGAAAGCCGAGGTAGTGAGAGGGCCGAGGGGACATGACTGATTTAGTCCGTTATCAGCTGTGAGATCTGCTGCTCCATGTTTCTGGACGGCAGTGTGTCCTCAGTGTTTGGTTCAGGGTCTAAAAGGGTCTAAACAGACGGGTTTATCTGACTCAAACCTGAAGAATCCTCCGTGAAGAGACAGACCGTCCTCCACAGATGTTCCTCTTGGTTTCCTGTCATCAGAGTTGTTCATCTCCTTCAGTGTACTGAAGGTGAGGGACGAGCCGACCCGTCAGAGGACCTCTTGTTGTGGTCGAAAAGTTAAAGCGGCGCTCGTCTCTCCTCTGCTGCTCATTAAACGCCTGCTGATTGAGTCCGCTCTGAAAGCTGTCAGGTAACAGATCCCTTCCTGTCTGTTGACACGCGCTGCGTTAATGAGCCTGCCGACTCTCGCCAAATTCAAGCCCGAGCCCCGCAGCTGTGCCCCTGCAACCCCTCAGCCCCGTGACCCCTGACCCCTAACCTCTTACTCTCAGAAACACCCCCAACCCCTGAAGCCCAGAGGGTCGACCATAAATCCATCGTAGTGCCAGAAGCTCTGGAGTTATGAACCCCACGCTCAGCCCCTTTTTCTTCTTGTTTTCCACATTTTGACTCTCGGACGGTTATCTCTGAACATCCGGCGGTGAAATACAGAAATACAACCTTTAACGTAAACCCTGAATCCTGAACTCTGCGAGAGGGTGAGGAGGCGGGAGGAGGATCAGAGGTCTGATCTCAGGAAAAGATCATCTTAAATCCTCCGAGGATCCACCGCTTTCTGCCAAACTTCAAATAAACATGAAAACCAAGAGTGCAGCATCCATTTCTACCCCAAAAAGAAACCCTGACATCCTCCTCCTGCACATCCAGGACCGACCACAGTTCTCCTAATATCAGCACACACCTGTGGATTATTTTTGCTTCCACGCGGCCGAGGTTAACGGTAAATTATGGATTCACAGCTGTGTGTAACCTGAAAATAGAAGCCTACACTTGTGTCCAGTCCTCCTCCTCCACCTAAAATAGATCTCAGCAGAATCATCAGCCGCTGAACTTTCTCGCCGGTGGAGAGGCGGCCACATAAGTGCAGCGTTGTGGGTCTGGATGTCCTCAGGAAATGAAGTGGTTCCTCTGGGGGTGTGGATATTTGCATGTGGTGCAGGGGAAGAGGGTTTTTAAGTGTGTCTGTTGAGAAACGTGTGTGTCTGTGTGTTCACTGCGCGCATGTTAGTCTGCAAAGTAAGTCATTAGAGTTTGTGAAAACCTTCTGAAGACATCACTTAGATCTCAGCGAAGCTCGATTCAGTCTTTGTCTCAGATCCGTATTTTTACACAGACATGAACTTCATCACTTTAACTGAGATCTTCCTTAAAAAAGTCACAAACACAGACTGAAAAAACTGAATTTTTTATCGTCTGTTTGTGAATTCACTCCTCTGACTGTATTTGGACCGTCTCCTCCTCAGCACATCAACAATGATCACATCCACGGGGAGAAGAAGGAGTTTGTGTGTCGCTGGGAGGAGTGTTCCCGGGAGCAGAAGCCCTTCAAGGCTCAGTACATGCTGGTGGTCCACATGAGGCGTCACACGGGGGAGAAACCACACAAGTGCACGGTAAGAAGCAAACGTTCCTTCAGAGGGGGGTGCCTCTGTTATCCACCTGTCGTCTCTCTCCTTTTCACAACAGCAGGTGAAACTTTTTGCAGATTTGCTATAACTCCTCCTCTCTGGTCAACTTTTGCCCCAAAACTGAGAAAATCTGGTATCTCTGATATTTTAAAAATGGAGTTATTCGAAATAATTCGCTCCTGTTTCATGTGCAGATGGAGAAACAAGCTTCTCAGACTTGTACAGATCTTTCATGTTTATTTCTGCTGTAAAGATGGACTTCTTTCAGTGGGTGTCTATGCAGCTCCTGTAGCTTTTGAACATCCCTCTAGTGGACACTTGAGGAACTATCATTTACCACCAGTTAAATGACTCAAGACTGGTGATATCCTCTTATTCCTACATCAGTATTTTGACACACTACTCTCTCCTTTTATGGAGTAACTTTGAGTTCTTATAAAATAACGTTGGTAGCAGAACATAACTACAAAACAAGGCCTCAGGTTATATGGAGATTTCTGCAGAAGACACTTCAACAAACAAAAGATTTAAATGAACATTCTGGCAAAATTTATTCGAATAGATTGTTTCAAATGTGCCACATAAATATACGTTTGTAAAAGACTCAGGGCCTGTGGGTAAAAGCATTAGCAGCCACAAGCATCCTCTCCACCGCCATCAAAAAAGGAAAGTGGTTTAGAGATTTTTCTTTGTGGTAACAGTCAGACATGTTGATAAATCATGGGGGGTTTCATCGGAGCCGTTGTTTGCCCTGTGAAGATCAGATTGAGGGTCTGTTTGCTCGGCTTCAAAGCTCGCTCACAGGGTCTTGTGAATGCATTAAAACAGATGACTGTTGGAAAAGTAGTGGAGAAAGCTGATTGACGGCGTGGGCGTGTAATTAAAATCTGCAGAAAAGCAGGGGGTCTTGAGTCCTTATTACAGGCACGCTTTATATTTTCTGCTCAAATCCCAAATGCATCTTCTTTTAGCACTGCTCTGTCTTTAAAGGGAGAAACTTTAGACTTTTATTTCTCATTTCTGAGCTGCTTTAATTCAATTCTCTTTTAATTTCAAAGTCAGCTCCGTTCACAATGACTGCTCAGAAGGAATACCAAATTATAGCTTGTACAGTACAAGCGAATACAAAGGCGAAACACAGACTTCTCTTTGTTTCAACAAAGCACACCATACACAAAGCTTTACCACACCTCACACTTAGTTTAGCTATTTCGCATAATCGCCCTTTTTATCAAAGTGCAGCGCTGCTTTGCTTTTGTGTGGCACGCCACAGTAGGCGGGCAAGAGTCCAACAGTGGATTACACGTCATAAATGTTAAACACAGAGCTGTTTTTTTTTTTTGTATTTGTGTCGCTGGATCATTTCTCTATCCAGCTGCAGACAAAACGGCACAGCTCTCAGATCTGTCTCTCTGTCTGTGTGTCTGACTCTGAGTCTGTCTCTCTGTCTCTCCAGTTTGAGGGCTGCACTAAAGCCTACTCCCGCCTGGAGAACCTCAAAACCCACCTCCGGTCCCACACGGGGGAGAAGCCATATGTGTGTGAGCACGAAGGCTGCAACAAGGCCTTCTCCAACGCCTCCGACCGGGCCAAGCACCAGAACCGCACACACTCCAATGAGGTATTTACTAATCCAAATGTCAGGAATGTCATGCATTTGAGCAACCGTCAGCTCTGAAGTGTAAACACCACATTTCCACCATGATTACATTTTTCAGTATAAAGAGAATAAACGACATTAACACTGAAAATCCTCGAATCGCTCAAACAGGACTCACTGCTCAGATCTCATTATCTGTCCTACACTGACCCACATGCGTTAAAGAACAAGTACATGGACGCCACATGCAGCGAACATGAGGGTGAAGAGGAGAAACCGTGTCGTAGAGATACATTTTATAGTTTTTAGTGAGCATGACCGACTCTCCGTCTGTTCCACCAACGCCACCATGATAAATAACACTCGAGTGATTTTGAAGTTGAAGATCTGAGTCATAATTTTTAAAATATGTAAAACTTCTGGTATCTTTGGACGTAAGTGTGAACTTATTCACACACACTTTATGTTGGGCTGTTTAGCTGTTTGAGGAACATGTTAAAGTTTTAAACTCATGGTTGATGATCTGAGAAGCAGTTGAAAAAAACTGAGCTGTTGTACCTGCTGCGTACCTGTACCTGTTTGTTCTGCTGTCATGGAAAGGTCTCATACACTGAGACTGTATGTTTACTATTGTTTCACCCTGACCTCCACAGAAACCGTATGTCTGTAAGATCCCGGGCTGCACTAAGCGCTACACTGACCCCAGCTCCCTCAGGAAACACGTCAAAACGGTCCATGGACCTGAAGCCCACGTGACCAAGAAACAGCGAAATGACGCGCCTCCGAGACAACAGCCACCTAAAGGAAACGGGGAGAACGACACCAATTCAAAGTTCGGCGCTAGAGGCCTGGACGGCAAGATTGAGGCCAACAGCACCTCTAGAGGAGCGGAAGACTTCCTACAAGTGAAATCTATCAAGACAGAAAACTCCATGGTGGGTCCTGATAACAAAAACAATCTGATGTTGATTAACTGCATCTGGCAGCAAATGAAGGCACCACACTCTGACACTTTTCCTACTGTGACACTCTTTACTAACATTGCTGTAAGGTTAAATGTTCACCAGTGCTGCCTGCATCCTTCCTAATTCACCTCTCTGGTTAATGCTCAAACTTGCTTCTCTAAAGTTAACCTTCCTAATGGACAGACTTCACTGAGGTGAGCGCTCAAACACTCTCTGTCTTGTTTCAACTCGGCATGGAAGATGTGCAAAGTTTTCTTTGCGTTTCATGAACTTGCATGTGATGAAATTTTCCTTTCTGCATGGTTTTCCATTATCATACATTGAAGACGTGCTCCTTTGTGTATGCGACGCACACATTTGCATGTATGGAGTCAAACCCAGCTATGCACCAGTGTTTAACGGGGGTTTCACACCCAGAAGATCCCAGGCTGTAGCCTCTGCTGTGGACCTCTGATGAAAGTCCTCACTGCATTAATATTTAAAGGCTGTTATAGTATGTGTGCTGAAGAAATAGTGCCAACACCAAGCTGTGAGGCCGCCTTTAGTACATTTTTCCTTCTTGATTTACTGTCATCACTGTTTTATTGTCATCCACATCTATTATCGACTTGTGTTCTTGTTTTAAATAAATCAAAGTCATTTATATTTAATTATATGTTTGAACCGTAGACCAGCATTAGCTTTAACAAAGCATCATTACAGTCAGAATTTTTTAACTTTGGTAATTATTCATATTTAAGAGAATATCGAATGAAGCTCTTAGAGCTCTACAAAGACTTTATAATGTCATTTCATCCAAATGTTCTCATTTTTTCTCATTTTTGAAAACCATCTCAGTGATAATTGTTGTTGGCAGAGTAAATATTTCCCAGTAAAAGATTAAAAAACTGTACTGCAGTACTTTCAAAGGCTTTCACAGACTGACACAGTACGCTCACATCATGTTCTGTCCGTTTTCTCCCACTAGACGTATCAGTCCAGTCCTGGCGGCCACTCGTCCTGCAGCAGCGAGCCGTCGCCTCTCAGCAGCGCCAACAATAATGACAGTGGGGTGGAGATGGCCATGCACAGCGGGGGCAGCTTCGGGGACCTCAGTGCACAGGATGAGTGCCCAATGGTTGACTCCACCGTTCCTGTTGGGGGGCAGCAGGCTAGCATGGGACTGCAGATGAGGAAAGCCATGGGTCATGGTGGTGTGGTCACCATCAAGCTGGAGAACATCAAGAAAGAACGGCTGAAGACAGTAAGGGAGTCCTGCCCCTGGGTGAACTCTGCACCACAGCCACCTCAGGGCCAACGCAACAGTATGAAGCTGCCTCCCATACCTGCAGTCGGTAAGTGCAGATGGTGAAGACATCCGTTTGCTTTGATTGACGGTAAAAAATGGCGAAATGGTTCTGTCAAATACTCAGTCTTTTTCTAACAATGTTGCTCTTGTTGTCAGGTTCCCTGCTGGAGAACTCCAACATCATGAGCAACTCAAGTGGTTCGTACCCTGGCCAGCGCATTGGCGACCTGCCTTCATGTGAAGTAACACTGTTGAACCAGCTGAACGAGCGCCGGGACAGCACCACCAGCACCATCAGCTCAGCCTACACCCTGAGTCGGCGCTCATCTGGTATTTCACCCTGCTATTCCAGCCGCCGCTCCAGCGAAGCATCGCAGTTTGGTGCCAACCGCCACAACAACATCAGCTCGGCTGACTCCTACGATCCAATCTCCACAGACCTGTCTCGCCGCTCCAGCGAAGCCAGCCAGTGTGGAGGTGGTGGTGTCAGCGGTGGGGGTGGAGGAGGTCTCCCAAGTATCCTCAGTCTGACACCAGCCCAGCACTATCGGCTCAAGGCAAAGTATGCTGCCGCCACTGGTGGAGCTCCGCCTACTCCTCTCCCCAACATGGATCGAATGAGCGTAAGGACCCGCATGGCCCTCTACAGCGACTCCCAGGAAGGCTTGTCACACTCTTTCCACCAGCCACTGTCTGGGACCGTGCCTCGGCGGTGCAGTGATATCGGGTACGGTATACAGAGCATGATGCCCCACGAGGTGCCAACCAACCTCCCTCGCCGTGCAAGCGACCCAGTCCGTCGTCCCACACTGGACCCCCTCTCCCTTCCAAGAGTTCAGCGCTATAACAGTATGAACAATGTAAACCCTATGATTGGTCCACCAGCAGACCGTCATCAGGCTCTGGCTATGCAAGGCTACACTCGCTCAGATGGCAGCCTGCAGCGCTACCCATTTGCCCCCAGACCGCCGAGCATTTCTGAGAATGTAGCCATGGAAAACATGGCGGTAGACGGGATGATGGCTGGAGGGGAGCAGACTGGAGAAGACGATATGGTGCTGCCAGATGACATGATGCAGTACCTCAGGTCCCAGAATTCTGGGCCCTCAGGACACAACTCGGGACAACTGGAATACAGAGCCGGTAATCAGACTCAGGGCTACCAGACAGGCATGCCCCCACCAGCATCATTTTATGGACAGAGAAGGATGGCCATGGTGGATGCCACCATGACTCACTCTGGTCAGGACATGCAATCATGCCAGATGGGCCAAACCGGTTCCCAGCAGCCTTTCTCGGTACCATCGAACAACATGCATAAGAGTAATATGCCGGTGCAGTGGAACGAGGTGAGCTCAGGGACTGTTGACACCACGACCAAGCTCTCAAAACAACAGCAGCATCCTCTCAGGGGGAACTTAGCTGTTGTTCAGCAAAGACACAATTTTAGTTCCTTCCAGGGTCAAGGTCAGAATTTGAGCAGCAACCAGCAGGTGGTGCCGATGAGTCAGAATGTGTCATTGCAGGGATATGGAAACCAGAGGCTGATGAACGTCTCTCACCAACAGAGGCAGTGCAACAGTGTGAACTTTAATGAGCAGATGAGTCCTCAGCAAGGGTTCGGCCAAGAGGCCACCCCAAATTCTATGTCAGGGAGTACTAGCATGCGACCTGCTAGGAACGGTATGGCTGATCCAGAGCTGCAAAGTTACAAAGCAAGGACACAGGCTGATGGATATCCTCATGTGAACCAAGTGGATCAGCAGCTCAACTACAGTGTGCTCCCCCAGCAGCAGCAGCAGCAGCACGGTGTTCATAACGGAGGCAGAAGCATGTTACAACCCAGGCCTCCTGCAGAGCCCAGGTCTACAGGCAGACAGCAGTTCACAGGGACAAGCATGATGCAACCGAGCCAAATCCCCAAGTCATCTGCTCTGAGCCCTACCCGTGGCACTGGCACCTCGGAGGCAAGCCCCAAAAGGCCCAGTGGTTCAGTGACCCACACCAGCAACTCTGAAAACCCAAACCCCGCTGTTTTCTACACAGGTCAGATTCACATGTTTGAGCCAGCTTCTGCCACCTTCGACGCCTCCATGTCCCACCAGACCCCCGCAAGTAACACCTCCACTGGAGCCAACATGGCCTCACCAGGGGTAAACCAGGTCTCTAGTAGTACAGTGGACTCTTCCACTGGTGGATCTGGTGGCACTGAGCATGCCCAGATCGACTTTGACGCTATGCTCGATGACGGGGACCACTCCAGCCTTATGTCGGGCACTCTGAGTCCCGGCCTTCTGCAGAGCCTATCCCAGAGTTCCTCACGCCTCACCACCCCTCGAAACTCGGTCACCCTGGCGTCGGTGCCGGCGGGGATTGGCAACATGGCAATTGGTGACATGAACTCTATGCTCACTGCTTTAGCCGAAGAAAGCAAGTTCCTCAACATGATCAGCTGAGAGCAATCAAAGCCCTCCTCATCCATCCAGTCGGATCTATTTCTGTATCAGGAATAAACGTAACACAGAAGAAAGCACTGATTTCATAATGCAAAAATGGCTGTCTCGAATGATTTCCTATGTTTCCATGTTACTTTGCCCTTCTTGTTATACGAGCTTCAGATGTTTATGTTACATTAAAAGTGTAATTGTAAGTATAGCTAGGAGAATTTTATATCATGTTGTTACAAAGCCATACATTTGACCTCCAAGTACATATCCCAGGGGATATCGATGTATCTTGCCATTCAGTATTTTCTGGTGTATTCGCCCCTTACAAAAGTGTGCACTGAAAGCAGTCATAATGGTACCTTGCTAAAGATATCAAAAGTTGAGCGCCTGAGTTTGACATGGAAGAGGAGATACCAGGAAATGGACATGATATGTAAATAAAAAGTATTTCTTCATGAAGATGTTTATGTGTATAGATAACACTGTATGGTACTTGCTTTAAATTATGCTATAGATTTTTGGTGTTTAAACTAGGGCTGTCAGAAGTACCTGAAAACTTGATCGCAGTGAAGAGTAGGTACATTTTAAATTATTTTACCCTCTTATTGTTCCATACAAACAATGAGTGCAAACCATGTAATTTCTACAGACTATTTCCAGTACTTGCAAAAAATAAGGGGAGACACGTGCAGAACTTACTGCTTACCTTGCAAACAGAGTAAACACGCAATGAGCATGACTAATTTTAAAATGAAGAAATCTTCCAAGTGATGTTTGTCGAACCCTTGAAAGACACTATCACAGATCTTCAGTGTCTTCAGCTTCTCTGCCAGTGTCAGATCGAGCATTCGCTTAAAGCAGTAACCATGGGTTTAGAAATCAATGTATGAAGTTTTTTAGACCACTGCAAAGACTAAAATAAGAGTTTTTAATTACCCTATCTTGAGAACAAGTTGTTCTATGTTTCCAAATTTTAATCACTCACATGCAGAAATAATGTTTAATGGTGCAAATTCAAGACTTTTACTTTGAAAAGTTTCTCTATTTATGTGGAAATTCAGTTTAACCAGCAATGTGTTGCAAAATAAGAAATTGACAGCCCTAGTTTAAACACCTGGTTGTATGTCTTATGTTCCACACATATTAAGTGCTTTCTGATCACGGTTTGAGCTCTTGGGGATGGTTAAGCAAATTCAAGATTTCCTCCTCTCCCCCCCTGCATCAGAAGAATAACTCTCCATGGTCCAATCTCACAAGGGTAAATGATTGAAACGGACAAGGGTATGCCTCTGTGTTGGTTTATCAGGGCACATGAACCCCTGTGTCTGATGAGGAGCTCTCTCTAAAAGAATATACAAGTACCTCTGTGTGTTCTCAGCAGAGATCCAGCCCTAATTAACACATTCATACCACCCCCCTCTGCTGCACGCCCTGCTTCCCCTGAGCTCTGGATGAACTGCAGAGAGTCCAAGAAGGGACACAGACTTTGATTATGAAAAGCCCTCTTTCTGACTGGATTGGCAAACTATTTCTGCCAATTCCTCAGTTTTATTTTGTTTGCTGAATTTCTAAGTAGCCTTTAAAATGTTTGTGTGTGTATGCTTCCATTCACGTTTACTATGCTGAGAGTGTGTGGGGTTTGTGTGAGTGTGTGTATATATCTTTTGTACATTTCAAATAAACTATCTCCTTTTTTTTCTGTTTAAATCCCTCGCTGTGTGTCTTTGATATATCGTGGTCTGTGGTCTCTGGAGGTCACATGAAAGCAGAGTCAGTGTTCACAAGAAAATCACACTTGGCATGTTCTCAAAGAACTGTAATTCCTGCAGTCATATGAGTGGTGTATACACATAAAGAGGCATCTTAGGAAATAATGGTCATATCACTCTAACAAACAAATTTTCTAAAGCATTTTTTTAATTCATGCAAAAAAAACAGGAGAAGAAAGTACTGTAATGACTTTTGGATAACTTTTACCTGTGGCGGCTGGTCAGTGGTGAGCAAAGGCACCACCCCATCACTATACTCTCAACATGTAGCCTAGAATGGTGGACTATTGTTGAATAATAATAATAATTCTGTTAACATTTTTCATAGTTTGGTGGCCAAGAACCGCCACTGCTGCAAAAAAAAAAAGTGCAAAAAAAAAAAAGTCACGAAAGTTAATGATGCAAAAAAAAGTGGCGATGCAAAAAGAAAAGTTACTTACTGCGAAAATAAAAGGATTCAAATAAAAAAAGCCACATCAGAAGTTGACGACGCAAAAAAAGTGGTTATGGAAAAAAAAGTTACACACTGCCAAAATAAAAGGATGCAAATTTTAAAAAAGCCTGAATGGAAGTTAACAACGAAAAAGAAAGTAGCTTCCGTTTTTTTGTTTTTTTTTTTTTCATCGGTAACTTCCGTTTTGACTTTGTTCTTTTTCTGCAGCAGTGCTGTTCCCATTTTTTGTGATCCTTTTTATTTGCAGCAGTGGCGTTCTTTTTTTTATTACTATTATTTTATTGGCAGCAGTGGCTTCTTTTTTTCATTCTTTTTTATTTGCATCACTTACTTCAGTTGTGGCTTCTTTTTTTTTTTTTTTGTATTCTTTTTTATTTTGCAGCAGCGGCGGTTGCTGGCCACCATAAAAACGCGTAAACTACAGTTAAATTCAGATTGGAAGTTTTCTACGTGACATGATCGATGACGTGTTTGATACGTTCGAAAGCTGCACATGCGCATTCCCTCAACTGGTTTAGGCGCGAACTATGCGCTCTGGACGGTCCGGAAGAGGATGACCGATCCTTGGTTCTGTGACTGTTCACTACTGTTTAGCTACCCCTTAAGTAATAAACCAGTTACTTTAAAAAATGTAATAAAACTATTACCTTTGTCGAAATATTAAACGACCCGTTAATCGTTACTGTTGGTCAAATATCCGCCAGCTACCCCAGATTAAAGAGGATAGCAGTATTTTACTGTTTACACTCATCGGATAAAGTAGCTACTGGGACATTTAAAGCAAAGCTAAAGTCATCTCATACTGACTCGGGATCCATTTCTTCAAACCCGAATCGGAACAACAACAACAATATAGCGGAGCTGTAGATATTGACCAGTATTCACCTGACAGAAGAGTGGACTAAGAGCAGAGTGGAGGTGAAAAGATAACCGCTAACCCCGACAACAGGCTTCGGGGAGGAGGAGGACCTGCTTTCACTTCTCTTTGTGGACCTAAATGGACCCACTGTGGACATACCTGATCCAGGACCGTTCCTGAGGTTCTGGATTACAACCGGACATCGACTCTTGGGAACCAGGATGGTCACGAAGAGAGGCCCGGTCCACTAAGGTCAGTGAAAAATGTTCTGGTTTCGGGTCCGTGTTGAAACGAGCGTGTGTCTTTTGGGTTCGTGTGTGTGTGCAGAGCGCAGTGTGTGTTTATTACTGGGTTGGGAAATGATTAGTTTCTTTTACCATTTCCAAACAACAGAGGGTGGCCCAACTTACCCCACTGTCAAACTTCCTACATCAGCCTATTAGTCTGCTGCTTCACTGAACAAATGAACAAAACACCAGACCAGGAGTGAGGAAGAGTAAGGAAGAGGTGTGGGCTAGAGAAGAAAAAGGGAGCATAAGATACAATTACTAATGACTGGATTTCTTTTCTGATGCAGTTACTCAATCAGTCGCCTTTGAAAGGAGCCTGGAGTCCCAGAGAGTTAAGACTCTGATAATAACGCTGTCTGAGAGGAGGTCTGTGCAGACTGAGAGGTAAATGGTTTGGACCTGATCAAACAGAGGGAAAGATGAGAGTTTTGGAAAACTTAAAACAATGAAGAGAAAACGATGTAAACACTAAAAAGGGTTCATGTGGAAAATGTTCATTCAACTTTACAAATCCTGCAGAGAAACCCTCCCCCACAGTTTCAGATTATATCTATTTTGGATTTAGTTACCTCACCAGATGCTGCTGAAGCTGACCCTCGTTCCTTTGGGACAAATATATTTTTGAAAATCAAGAAAGCAACTCAAATAAAAAATAATGAAACACTATTTTATAATAGTATATTGCTTGATGCTGCAGCGTTGAATTAAACTACTTCTTGAATCAGCTCTTTTTAGACTCCACATGTCCACATGCTTTAATAACACAGAGGAAGCTAAAGTTTCATTTTGAAGCTGCAGACATCTTGATACTTTATCTGCAGAGATAATGTATTTCTTTGATAGCTATAAACTTAATCCAGTGGGTCTTCATTCTGCATACTTGAGAGCAAAAAGATGGAAAAACTGTCCTCTGAAAAGCAGGTGAAAAGTGTATTTCAGATACACAACGTGCACACTGAGCGGTTTCTAAAGATAGATGCCATGTTGTCCAAAATTAACAGTGGCAGGTCAACCCTCAAGAAATGGGTCTTGGAGCAACATGAAAAAGGAGGAGAAGACGAGGGAGGAAAGGTGGAACAAGAGAGAATGAGAAATCAGAGGAGAGAGACAGAGCTGCTGCAGAGGTGAAAAGAGTAACGCTTGGGAGAGGTGAGCGGCAGGAGAGAGATAAAGGAAGAGGTAAAACATGCAAAAGAGTTAAAAGAAAGAGAGCAAATCACTTTTAATTTGACAGCCAATTCAGCGGGGATCCGGGGAGAAGTAAAGTCCGCTGATTGCGTTTGCCACTGGAATTTTTTATTCTCTCAGAGAGAGGATGGGAGGAAAACAGCCCGGGGGTAAGGAGTCTCAGCAGAGAGGAGAACAAGAGGTCAGCAAGGCAGAAAAGGATGATCAGACAAAGCACACAGATGAGGAGAGACAGGGAACTCCAAAGCAGTTTCTACTGTAAATACATGAAGATTCTGACACAGAGTACAGTGCATCCATCTGAAAAAAGGATTACAGGTGAAGGAATCAGCCTGCTGACTTTACAGGAAACAGTTCGACTGTCATCTAAGCAGAGACATATTTTACATTTTTGGAGCAGCTTCTTTTTAGTTCCATTTTTATTTCAACTTTGAGGCAAAACTCTTTCTAAAAGATAACACAAAAGTAATTTTAACATCTTTGCAAAGACATCTTCACTATCTCACAGGGACGTTTCTGATACTTAATACTAATGCTGTTACCAATGACTTGGTTTGAATGTTGTGTCTTTGACCTGGAACTCAACGCAGATGCTCCAAAACATGTAAAACTAGATCATGACATCAATTTTAAAACCATGTGACACATAATCGGTTATGACTTACACAACCAACCTTCATCGTGCAAATCGTATTCTGTTATTCAGCGTGGAGATCCAAAGGAGTCCGTCTTTGAAATCCCCCCCTACCGGGTCAGCTGTCCCCATGTTGGCTTTAAGGAATCGCTGTCTGTAAGGAGGATGTATTTGAGGGAAGTCAGCTGTTGTTTGATGACATTCTCACTCTGCGTCGTGGCCACAAGCAGACAAAACAACACACGTCCGAGAGGCGGAGGGTCGAGCGGATGAACGATAGCTATCCTCAGCTGACACACAACAGAACCAATGTTTGAAAACAGACTCGTGTTTGAACACCGTTAGCTTTCAGTAAGTAAAAACCACAGATTCACAGATCCAGACGCTCTACACTGGGTGATAAATAAATACATAGATTTCATGAAATTTCTTTTTTATATTTGGGTTTAATGTTGTTTGGACAGAGCCTGCTCGTCTTTGCTGCTGCTCTCCCTGCCTTGGCACACAGCCCTGAGCGGTAGAAAACCTTTGACCCACTGTCCCTCTCTTTGTGGTTCATTTTACACAGGAGATGCAAGGGGTGTAAATATGCAGCTTTGAACCGCCGGCCTCCAAGACTGATGACACTGCTGGTCTTTGTGACTTAGACCCAGTCTGCAAATGTGGATGTGGATTAGTTTCTAAAATCATCACTTTGTGCCGTCCACAGAAAACATAATCCAGAGGATTAGAACTTTAGGGAGTCCACCCTGTTTTTAAGGGTCCCAGACAAAAGAAGAGTTGCGCTGAAATCTGTGTATTGTCGACTAAAAAAATCATAGTACCTTGTAGTCAGCTCCAAAGTTCACCCCTCTCCATTTTGATGTGAACTGTAGTTAAATATCTAGTTTGATAAGCTGCTTAAAGGTGGGGTAGTCATTGATCTAATGATATATATATATATATATATATATATATATATATATATATATATATATAGTGGTGTCATACAGCAGTAGTTTTGTTGATACAACTCAACACCATTATGATCCCATGAGTTTAATCGGATAACTTTAGTCCGTGGTAGATTGGACTGGAGCGGGTGGATATATTTGAGGAGTATCGGAGTGTGTCACATGCTGCTCTTTGACCTTCGGGGTCAGGTCATCATAATAAAGTGATTCACTGGCTGGAGCTGTTGTGCCTTTCTCCCCAGGCCTCGGTTCAGTTTCATCAAAGGCTTCCTGGGCTGAGCTCTGAGCAGGATCAGAGGGACGTGACCCGTGTCAGAGTCAGGGTTACCTACTGCTCCTCTGGAGCTTTGGCTCGTCCTGCTGCTGCCAGCCTGAGGGCAGACCGTGCCCTGCTAAACTCTGGAAGAGCAGGAATTATGATCAGAGCCCGGGGGATGTCTGGGATGAAGGCCGGCATTGTGACTCTCCTCTGGGTAGTGAGAGTCCAGGGTCAGCCTCTTACCCGGTTCGTGACCTCTTTAGGTTGCCAACCAGATTGGAGGTCAGAGCGTCGTCATGAGTGGGCCGTTTAGGAATGCCATGGTTCGATTGAAGTCAGGGATCTTCTGCTTTAAGGCTCATGTGAGGAAGAGCGGGTGTAGAGACAGGGTGACCTCTCCTCAGCTCTTGGTCAGCACGTTTTGAGCTCTTCCTTTATGCTTCTTTTCTTCCTGTTGGCACCGGAACGCACGCCCACTCGTCCTCTCCTCCCACTGCAGCTCTCCCTTTGAAATGAATGATGTAATCGTACATTCAGATCACTCCAGCACTATTTTGTTTTTCCTCTTAATTTGTCTGCTGTAACCCACAAAATAAGACGAGTTTATTCCTGACTGCATTAACAAGTTAAAGTTAGCTCTGTTATTGTGGTGGAGAAAAATGTGCTGGTTGAAGACCACAGGGAGTCTGGGCCGTTCCTCTTCTCCTAATGTTCCTTTGGTTTGGCAATCGCAGGTTTTCTTTGGGCCACACTGACCCAGGCACCTCCCCAGCTCTGTTAAACCGTCTGCAGCTTCTTTTGTGGAGCCAAACATCAAAATTAATGAGCCAAAAAAAGCGTCTCACCATAAAGGGGTCTGCAGGTGTTTGAAAGAGTGGGCCTTATTTTTACATGTTAGGGTCAGCGCTAAAAGACTGAAAAGATTAGTCATGTAACCTCAAAGTACGGGCGGCTCATGACCTCAGTGGAAGTGCGCCTCACATACAGAGGCTGTAGTCCTCGTCGCAGCGGACGCTGGTTCCACTTTCTGCTGCATGTCTTAGCCCACTTTCTACTCCCTGCATTTCCTCTCCTCCTCCCTGTCCCATCAAATAAAGGCAAATAATGTATAAAATACCCAAACTATAGACCTCAGAATATGTTTAAAATATATATGTATATATATACAGATGAATTCCCTTTAAAACTCCAACCTTTGACCTAGTGAGGAGCTGGAAGACCGACATAGGTGGTAGTTAATGTTGCTACATAAAGCTGGTATATGGACTTGTATTTTCACCACCACAGCGCTGTAATGTAGAAGTGGTAATGCCAAAGACAACTACAGTCAAACAGCTCAGAAATAGTGGACAACTAGGATCCAGAAAGGGGAAAATTTCACTTAAAACCCACAAATATATATTTTGAGGCTGCACGATGCTGGAAAAAAACTTACATTGCAATCATTTTCAACCCTGCGATATAAACTGGGATATTAAAAATAGAAGAATTTTCACCAGACGACCTGAATCTGACTTTCTGCTGAAATCTTGAGGACAGTCTACCTGCTCTAATCTTCCCTCTTTTAGTGAATGTTAGTAGAATGTCTTCTGTCTGTCTTAGAGATATTTTTAGTTTTTCTTGTTCTGGGACGTTATTGTGGAAACAGATGAAAACAGAACACGTGTTTTAGTCGACATCATCCTTCTTGTTACTGAAATAATTCCAGATAACTGACGTTGTTCTTGCTTTTTGCTTTTTCTTGTTCGTTTCTCGTTCTGCAGTGGTTGTTGTTGTTACCGGTGTTGTGCCAAAACGCGCACCGCTCATCATGGAGTGGTTCATGTAAATGTAGAATTTTAAACCCATACAGTTTTTATTTGTGGGGCTAAACAGTGATGAGGAATGTTCTCAAAGTAATTCTCGGCACAACACCGGCAGCGCTAGCGACTCACTCCATGTGCAGGGGCGTGGTTTCCTCCTCTCTGATTTTGATTGATGGCTGGCAGGGTAGTCTGATTGGCAACTAAGTGAAGAACAAATATGATTGGTGGATCGCTGCACAGCACATGCAGAGTCAAATGCAGTGTATCTTAGTCAGCTACCCTTGAAATTAGATGAGTTCATTCGCCTCCGACATCGCAGGATCTGTAATGTGACTATCGCGCACACGTACATCGCCATGATGATGCTCAAACGATATATTGTGCAGCCCTAAATTTAGTGAGTCTGTTGCGCTGAATTAAAGATTTTTGAGAGGAATTTTCCTGAGAAGGGTCTTTCACTGCTCTTAAAGTGAAGTTGTATGAGTGACATGTCACCAGTAAGTGTTTTAACCACAATGGATGCCGACGAGCTCGTCCCCTTTAAGGAGAAACGGCAGAAAGAAACGGGACAGTAGGAGTGAGACAGTCTTCTGCAGAGGGAGTCGACTCTGCTACGTCATTGTACCATTTAACTGATTGTGCTTTATATAAAAGAATAGATATGTGTGTTAATAATTAATAATTTTTCACATGTGCTGAAAGTTGATTCATTTCAGGAGACACGGGTCTCAGTATGAAAGCCTCTCAGTTACCTTAAAAGTTCCATCTCAGTTCATCATGAAGTCCGACCATCCCACAGGTCTCATATGTTCACCCCTGTGTTCCCGCGGGCTGGAGGCAGGAAAAGAGGGTCTGATGCAGCAAAAAAAAAAAACCCACCAGGACAAAACACAGATTGTGTCCTTACATACAATGCACAATGGTCCACTTGCCACATAAAGATCCAGCTTTAGTGCACACAGCAGGTCTGTGAAGGATGGTAGACCACTGTGGGGCTGTTCGAAGGAAGGAACAAGTGTCGCATGTATCCTGGTTGTAAAGCCAGCACGTGGGGTGTTGTCTATTTAGAGGAGTTACGGCTTCCCTCTTCCATTCTTCCTTATCTTTATGTGTCCATTCAGACCTCTACTCGGCACTTCTTTTTACGTACATTTCTTAAAGTTTCTTCTCATTGAGTCAGTACCAGGGCGTGTCCGGACTGTTGGACTCAGGTGGTCTAACTGGGAAAAATTAAAGTAAAAGTTAATTTTTTACTCTCTTCTTTTGGTACGAACATAAAAATCTGTGTTGTGCAAGTTTACACTAAAAATAAGCTCAAAGTTTATTTCAGGCGGATCAAATCAAAGTTATTCACGTTTAAAGTTCAGGTTTTTTACATTTTGGACACCAAATTTCATGGTCCAAAAACTGAGCTAGTTCACATGCAGTTTTTTTTTACAGCTGCGCCTAAATCATCAACTTCAGCTCCTTATCTGTAATCACTGACGTCTCCTGAACTAAATGAATCAGAAGAAGAAGAAGAAGATAACACGGACTAATCATGGCATTATCTTTTTGCGTTTTTGCACCACCAAGTATCATTCATACTCGAGTCGCTTTAAACTCACAAATTCAGCCTCCAAATCGTCCTCAATTAGGAGCACGTCTTTATTTTTGCTCTGCCTTGTTCCCAAATGACTCCAAGTGAAGTCAGGACTCGGCTTTTAGTGTGACTCAGGTACAGCACTAAAGTCCTCCCAGATATCCTCGCTTTTAGCACTCCGAAGTGTCAAAATGTCCCATTTTAGGTGACAAAGCATTATCACACATCTAATCTGCAGCTACATGGGTGGGGGTGACTAAGAGCTTCGTTCACTCGGACTGACAACAGGATACTGCTGAACACTCAAAACTCCAACATGCCCCACAGCAGCAATTATACCGAGACCACCGCCAACCTGCACATGTGAAGTGTGCATCATGAATTCAGAATCATGTAGTTTTACTTTGCCATCTTAGAGTCCTCTTTCATTCATGCACGTCATTTCTGGAAAATCAGCGATCGACCTCCACGACAGTTCTCATCCAGTTCCATAGTTTTGGATGTAAAGTCACCATGGTCGCACTGTCGAGCTCTGTTATTATTGTTGTTATTGATATTATATTGTAACACTTTGGCAATATTTGTCAATCAGTCATGCCAATAAAGCCTATTGAAATTGAAATTGAAATTGAAATTGTAAGCCCAACAAAGTGGTTTCAAGTTGAAGTGTGTGAGCAGGGTCTGTCGGAGAGAAACTGTTCTTGTGACCCTCTCAGCCTCTAACCTGAAGGGACAAGTCTCCTATTTTGAGTTTTCTAAAAGTTTCCTGCTGCAACAAACAAATAAAAAGGCATTCGAAATCTTCTTTACCCAAAACGACATCATTTCATTTTGGAGACCTTGTTTTTAACTCCCTCCTGCCTTCGGGGTATGAAAGCCCCTGACTGACTGACGGTGTTGATGGAGACGTCATGTGAGCTGGCAGCAGGACAGGCAGGCTCTGAGTGTCAAAGCTGTTCCCTGTGTTCAGAGCTAAAAACCCGCTTTGTGCTGAATCAAAAAGCCCTCGCTAGTTTTCCTTTTCTCCTCTGCTGCATATCTGGATGACAGCGGTTCCAGGAGCCAGACCCCCACCACGGACACCCCACTACCCAACTCCAAAACCCCCATTTCCCCCTCTCATTTTTGTCCATTAACAGTCCAGAGGGGGAGGTATTTTTTACTGAAAACAAACAACAACAAACAAAAGACCAAAGTGGGGCGAGTAGTGCGGAGGGAGAACTTCTGTGTGAAATAATTGCGAGGAACAATTTCAAACAGATGTCTGTTTGGACTTGGCCCTGGGCTCGTGTCCCCGTTAAATATAGTGATTTGATTGGAAAACAAGCAGTGTGAGATGGGCTGGCAGCCAACCAGACCATTCAGAGGCTCCCTAATGACCCCCGAGGGTCGCGGGGTCGCCGGAGTAAAAGCAGATCAGAGAGGATGTGGGGCCGGCAGCCAGGACAGGGCCCATAAATCTCCCCCATTCTCAGAGGAAGCTATCTTTTTTCACCGGCCATCAGAATTAAAATACAATCACAATCGTCACATTGTGCTCCCACCAGTGTGCAGAGGTTATAATTCAAAGGCAGCAGACAGATTTGGTAGGTTGGGATGGATAGTGCTGGACTTTTGGGAGGAAGGTCAACAGGGTCGAGTATTTTAGGCCCGATGAGAACTGCTGACCAGGGGGTTGTGGGAAACTCTCCTGTATGGATTCATATATTCTAAATGTCTCTTTACTCTGAAAATGCGTGACCGTAAGTTGTGCAGAAATCCATTAAAGGACATTTTTCCATCTCCAAAATCCCGAGCTAAATCTCTGCTGTAATATATTATGAATGGGACCCATTATTAAAGTGGAAACATTTGTGAGGCCGAAAGTCTCTGATGCTTCTGCTGTCCCAGAGTTTTTCTTCCAATTTTCAGCCGGCTCAGCGTTTCACAGATGTGTTAATGTAGGCCGACAGCTGCACTTTATGGCAGAATCGTTCAAGACGACCTGGATCATTTCCTTCCCCGCTGACCAGCGAAGAAACACGAGTGCTTTTTGGTTTTCTCACAAAAAAGAGAAACTTCATCACACGGCCAAAGAAAAAGATGAATTGATGAGTTTTCTTCGACAAAGGCCTAAGAGCCGGGGTCAGTGTTACACATACGCCCTCTACAGGAGAGAGGAGGGACATGACATTTATAGGATACTGAATGGATTCACCTCCAAGCCTAACCTCTTATTCTCATTTTACTCCAGAGACTGCAAAAAAGTGGTTAAAGTACATAAACATTGAAAAATAAAACTCAAAAGTCAGTTTTTTTTTTCACAAATACCTTAAACAAGCATCTGTTTAAATTATTCTTGGCTGTAATCTTTCCTCCGTGTGCTAAACAGACTAATCCTGTTCAACCTTGGGTCATTGTCAAGATAAACTCAAAAACAGGCCAAATCAAAAATCATTAAAAACTTTCGGATCAATACTCCAACGACACAAAAAAAGTACTACTTACCGTTAAGGCACTCTGTTAACATTGAATTCACTGGAAGTGTGAAAGTACACTTTGTTTACATTTAATCCACTTTTTTAAAAAAAAACTTCATGAGGGCAAAACTTCTAAGAAAATATTTTTTCATAAATTAGTAACAACTATTCATCCTGGGGTCAACAAAGAGACATAACAATACACAAAACAATCAAACAGATGTACAAAAAGTGACACAATTCAGTAAAAATAAAATTAAACAGTCAAAGCAGAGCAAGAGTTAAAATACATCTGGAAACAGTCAAAACATTTGTCTACAGTATTGTCTAACAGTCTATTAAATATGTGTCAGATTAATGTAATCATTTACCAGCTGTTACAAGTAAAAGCTTATTTCTCCGTTAAAGAAGCTGTCCTTGATTTCTGTCGTATTTAATTTGGGCTATAGTGATGTGAAACACTTCAGAAAGTCTTGTCTTGTGTCATAACTGTGTCTATCTTTAGTGTAGGTAAGCTGGGAGTAAAAGTATGAAAGCATTTAGGAGGTTATGATGTTTCTTAAAAACTGGACAAGGCTACATTAAAGTTTGTGTTCCACATTATGAGTTTACTGCATGTTGATGATGTGCTCTGTATTATGATATTCAATGTGATCTACCCTCTGTGAACTCATATTTAAGGTTCCTGGTCTTAAGAATTTCACCAATTCTGAGCTCGTGAGGCCCTCTTGTGTGCAACTGTAGGAATTACACCGTTAACTGGGTAGGCTTTAATAAAACACGACACCTACTGCAATTCATCCCATATTTTCTGCAGATTTCCACACCACGGGATAAATAAAAGTTTATCTTATCTGTTCTTATTTAATCTGTGACCTTGTCTGCTGACTTCAGTGGTAACTCTGGCATGGAAAAATTGAAACAGCTCTGTTGAAAGATCTATGATAGCATAGCTGCATTGATACTGTTTAAGAGCAACAGGTCAATAAAAAAAGACAAAGTCTTGAAAAATCTGATTTACTTGGTTTCATGAAAGGGAAGCAGAGACAACCATGGTTCAAGTTATTTAAAGTGAATGGAGTTTATTAAGGAGTGATCAGGATTTAACATACACTACAAATCCTTTCATGCTTGTTCAAGTTGACATTTTAATCAGGATGGTTCATTAATATTTTGAAACTCCATTTTAATCACTGATGGAACAAAGTTACCAGTTTTTCACAAATGATGATACAAGTGGAAAAAGCCATATTATATTTTGAACATAATTTGTTACAAACTCAGTACAACAAGGCCAAAAATAAACATGTTCAGTATTCAGCAACCTGAAGGACTTGGTTAAATACAAGGAAAGTAAGAAAACATAAATGTAAAAAAAAAAATATCAAGTACAAGAAGAAGTGCTGATAATCAGACACACACGTTAAAGCTGCAAATTGTCACATATTTCTATCTAAATACATTTTACAGTGCGTTATTATATGACAGCTGTTTGTAAGTCAGTGCTCATCATTTTGTTCATTTAATGCTAAAAAGCAGTTTGACTTGGTCATCAGAGCCACAAATAATAAAAAACATACATAAATGTAAGTATTGCAAGCATTTCAGTACAACAGAAATGTCAACAAGATTCAATGATAATCTGATAAAAAATAAACTGAGTGTCTAATGGTACATTTCCTGCAAATTCTTACATATGTAACACACATTTTCATCCAGGAGTAAATATAATGCAAAATGTAACAAACATTATTTCTTTCATGGAATAGTATTGCTGCGTTGAGTCATTCCAAACTTATTTAGTCAATAAGAGTGCTTTAAAATGAAGAGAAAAAACTTTGTTTTTAAAAATGACAAACATTTACATCTGCTTTCACTTATCTTGGAGTAAGACATTCTTAAAATGGAATTTTAAAGTCAAATCTTTCAATACACATGTAAGAAGAAATTAAAACATACAAAAATATAACAGCATCACACTAAAATCCACGTCTCTCACTCCCTTTTTATGGTAGATACACCATGACTAGGCGGGTTATAGCAGGTTTGGGTCGGCCTACTGTTGGGTTGAGTTAACGTCAAGAGCAACAGGGCCTTTCATTGAGAAACCAATGAAGAATGAAACTTTTGACCCCTGAGGAAGTCCTTTCAGCTCGGTTTTAAACACCGGATAGATTTCCACTTTCAGGGTTGGAATACAAGTGTCGACCAGTATCAGTTCACCCTTCACCTCCCCGGTGGCCCTGCAGAGGAGCTCCTCCACCTTCTTCTCTTTCCATATTTTGCCATTTTCCCAAACAGAGGCAAACTGATCCTGCTCAACTGTCACACACTTTCTGATTTCATCAAGGTGCACGAGTCGTTCATAACCCTGTTTCTTCCCCAGGAAGAAATGGAGGATGGGCCGTTTTCCATTCATTACTTCTTTCATCACTAAGTGATAAGCAGTTCTCATCTGTGAGATGTACCTTCCCAGACCCATGCATTCTGGAAAGCTCAGGTTCTGATGCGGCCACAATAGCACAACTGCAATGAAGTACAAAGGTAGATTCTCGTTCAGAGGGATCTGTTCACGCAGGATTTGCCGAAGGCAATGGACAAGTGTCTCATACGGAAGAAGGAGACGTGACCCAAGTTTGACATGGCTCAACACAACGTTGACGAAGAGATGGTTGATTCTCTCCTTCACAGTCCACATGGGATTATGTTGGCAAACAAAATCATAATGTTTGGCAATATTCTCAACTCTTGCAGAGGAGCTGACATTTGAGAGAAAGTTCAAAATCCCATAATAGGTATCAGCTTTTGTCATCTCCAGAAACTGTCTTGCCAAGTGCAGTTTGAGCAGGATCGGTAAGTTCTCCTTCTTCTTCCAAAGAGAATCTGTCTGGCAGAAAAGCTTTGCGTACTGATCGAAACATCTGCAAAGCTCATTTTGGATTCGCTGTTCACGACTGTCCTTCATTCCAAATCTGGAGCCCAGGTTCACATAAAAATTTTCAAGGAGCTCGAAGTTCACCTTCATCCGGTACTTGAGGTTGTAAAGTATATCCTCAAAGTCTCTCAGGATTAAGTAGTATTGTTTGTGTTTGCTAAGCCATTTGTCGTGGCTTTCTACCTTCTTAAGTTCAACACTTCCTGAGAGAACTTCACTCAAAATGTCATGGCGGACATTGTCAGATGAAAAAATGGGGGTCTTCATCAGCACCTCAATGAGAAGGACTCCAGCTTGAATTTCTCCAAGACATCCCGACACATTAAAGGGGCAGTTGTCTTTCTTGATGTTCAATCTCTGGACGGACTCCTTTTTTGCAAGGTTCTGTGCTTCCTTGAAGGCATCTATTGCAGACTGAGCCATTTTGAGGAGCATTCCCAGTTTTTCAGGTCCTATTGGTTCCCCTTTGTACTTTGCGATGGCATCCTTCAGCTCATGTTTGAGGACTTGTGCTGATGTGTCAGCGATGTATGAACTGTCTTTGGAAAGCTCTCTTGCTCCTTTTGCCCAGTCTTTTGCCTCTGAGAAGTCCCTCTTTTTCAGGTAGTAGTACCTGGCCAGTAACTGAAAGATGATGGCATCTTCCTTAAATAGCTTTGATGCATTTTGCAGCACCATCTCTTCCTGTCCTGGGGTTTCATCTGCAATTTCTTGAATTAGTGGGGAAAATTGAGATTCTTCCTCCACAGAATGATATCTCTTCACCAAAATCTGGCGAACATCTTGCAAGAGCTTGTCAGTGCCTTGTGTGCTCTCATAGAGTGTGTTTGTGGTCAGCAGGAAGTCAGTGATCTCAGCCTTGCTCACTTTGTGTGTCTTTGTAAGTTCCTGCAGGCAGTGCCGTGCAATACTTGAATGGATCATTCTGACACCTTCGAAAACCACCTTATCCTCAACTAAGCATCTGGTAATCAAAGGAGCAAACTTCCCAAATCCTCCTTCGACTTTGACAGAACCACAGACTGGTTTAGGTTTGAGCCCCAGAAATTCCTCACAGAGGGAGATGGAGAGAGAGGAACCCTTGCAGTAAACGTCAAGCAAAACCAGGACAGCCAGGAGTTGTGCATGCTTTTGATTCATATTGAAGCTCTTTAAGGTGTTGCGGGCCACACCTTTTACATACTCATCCTTGAAGTTTGTTTTCATGATCATGAATCCATAAAATGTTTCAGCATTCTTGTGTCTTTTTTCGATTTCCACAAGTTTGTCCTCAAACAGTCGCTGCTCCTTATCAGAGAGATTGTTGCCAATGAAAACTGTGTTTGTTTCAGTTTGTTCAGCCGGTACAGAGGAGTCTGACCGCATACAGTTCAGAAGAATCACTTGTGGAGTCTTGGACCGGATGTCTTTCTTTGCACATTCTTTTTCAATGAACTGCCGCAACTCAAACACTCTTTCTTTGTCATCAAAGTCATCCACCATCATCAAAACAGGAACCCGTGGGACCTGCTCCTTAAGGTCATTTGTCAAAAGTTTGACCACTTGATCAGCTACTTGAGTAGATTCAGCCTTGTTGTTTTTGAGGACCGCACAACGGAATCTGTGGCGGAGAGCCCATAGGGTATGCATGGCCAAAGTTGTCCCACCACACCCAGGTACATGCATGAGGTGAAACACCACGCAGGCTTTGGTCAGGGAGCACAGATCTGGAATGACTGTGTTAATAATGTAATCAAACATGTCTCGTTTGATGAAGGGTGTGGATCCAGGTTCTCCTGAGAAGTAGAAATTCCACCAGGATACTTTTCCCCCTTTGTAGAAGTTCTTCTCAATTTGAAGTTTGTCCTCATTTCCACCCTCACACTGGTTCACACACAGAATCTCCAGGGTATCCATGCTGCGCTCCACTTTCCTCTCAAGAAGCACTTTGCTTTCCCCACCGCAGGGTAGGAAACGGCTTGATTTACGGTTTTGGGACAAAAGGCTAAGGACAGTGCCATTGACCTCAGCAAAACTCAGCTCATATATGCATCGACCAGAGATGTCAATACCACATCGAGCCTCGATCAGGTCTCTCCAGGAGGTAAATGCTTTTTCATGTTCACACAAGCACAAGATTTGCTCCATGCCTCTGAGCTCTTGGTAGAATGTAATGAAAGTCTCAAGGAGGGGGTCCATCTTCTCATTCACTGTAGACAAGAGTAAGAAAATGACAAGAAATCTCTGGTTTGGTAGCACCTCTTTTCGGCACAAGAATGAAACCACGTCTCTGACAGATGCTCCCTTTTCCTTCAACCACTGGTCTATGACTGATGGGATCTCCTCTTCAGTACCTCCATTGCAGGATACCCAGCTGGTTCCTCTGGTTAACTTTAAGTCTTCAGCGATGTCCTGAACTCCTTTTGTAAATTTGTACTTTTTAGGTAGATGGACATTTATAGTGCTCTGCTTCTCATAATGCCCCTGTAAACCATGCTTGGCTGAATCTGGATCGAAGTCTAGAACAGCTGTCGGGTTGAGTTCAACAAGGAATCCAAGTGATTCAAACTGGACAGGATGTGACTTGTTTGTCACTATCACATACCGCTCAAAATGTGACTTGTCCAAAGAGAGTGTTCCACCAGTTATCATATGACTCAGTCTAGAGCCTTGAGTGCTGCTCTTTATCACATTCAGGTGCTTCTCTTCTGCTTCTTTTCTGAGTTGAGATAGTTGGGCCAACCTTGCTAGAAAATTGTTGTACTCTTCCATAGGTTTGGCGAATGTGGTTCTGGTCAGGAGATCTCTGCTGCTGCCCCCATCTCGGACAAAGAATTGCTTTGATTTTGTTTCAGCATCGGCCATTTCCTTACCTTTTTTCTTGGCCTTTTTTGTGTCTATGTGGTAAAAGTTTTCTTCACAGATTGTAGAGTCAGGGACAATGTCCACTTCTATCACGTATTTGTCCGATGATGTCCAGTTCTTATTGAGAACGCCGACAAATCGAGGAGGTTTGATGCAAGTGTTGGCAGTGTGTTTGTGTTTATGCTCAAAACAAACATCAATGGCATGTTTAAGCTCGTTAGCAAAAGCTTCTTTGTCCTCGACTGGGACCCCCAGCACTTGGCCATGGCTGAATTCTGGCTTGTCACCGATTCCAAAATGGATGGTGCCATTGGTGCGGCTATTCATGCAGGCAGAAGCAAAGCGAATAACCTCATAAGTGAATCTGCTCATTTTAGTTTCTTCTGTTACATGGATAAAAGCCTTGTACTCATGGCAGGGTTCGATTAAGTCTGAGGCACCAGATTCTGTAATGTCAAGAATGCTGTTCTCCATGTATCTATGTGTGTCATGGAAACGACAAAAGGGGTAAGGTTTGCATGGTCCTCCAGCCTGATTGGTAGAGATCGTTGGGTTCTCCTTTGTTAATCTTACAACCTCATCTCTTGCATGGATGATGAGCTTTGCAGGTCCAAATGTCACACCCATTGACCTTAAGTCTGATGCATCTATAAGCAAAAGACTATGTCCGTTAATGTCCTGCCCAAAGAGTATTTGTGCAACACTGTCGTCCACACCATCTAACTTGAGAGTCCATTCCCTCACTTGCTGTTTACTCCAGTCCTTGATGTCAGGCGACAGATCATCCTCTGGACGCTAAAACAAAAAGGCTGTTATTCCTCATTTGCCTTCCAAATAACTGCATAGATAAGTCTTTAAAAAGACATTAGACATTTATGATTGTACCGTACTGAACATGATGTTATTTTACTGTTCATTACCTTAGTGTCGTCCTGTTCCGCCATGGCTGCGTTGGGTTTTTCTTCAGTAATAGGCCACTAATGCTACAAAATTTGAAATTCAATTAGAGCAATTAAAAACAGATAACTAATTGCAGTACACCGTGTACACAGAATACAGAATAGATTTCAACCTTACCATTATTCTTCTTAAACATCCACGATTACTGCCACACTGCCGACAAATCTTGACCCCTGCTGATGGAAAAAAAATTTTTGTTTACTAGGATATTCATGTACAACTGTCCTGATATCCCAAAGACTGGATATCCAACCTCGTACCCTTGGAGTCACATGTTTCTTTGTTACTAGAATGTGACTAAAGAATTTTGGAGTCCTTGTTCAAACACTTTAGCCCAAAGTGGAACCAGAACAGACCATGTTAGACAATACAAGTAAATTAACCCCTGACAGCCGTTTTGCATGAGCCAGTTTGGTTGTTCTCAGTTGTAGCTGTTGTTCTCTGAGTATTAACACTTTCCCTCCACCCCATCATGATTTTCAATATACTGTAACTGACTCCCAATCACTTATTGTTAGTTTTTGTGTATATACGACACAGATGCTTTTATGGTTGCTCTGCTGTTGACTTTTCTCAAACTGTTTGAGATTACAGGGAGAATTGAACTTGGCCTGTAATTACAGGCTTTGTCAGGTTTGTAATATTTATAGATTAGGTTTATAACTCCTTGTTAAAATTCTCCATCATTGATGGATAAGGTATGTGGATTTCAGTTTTCCCTTTTGCAACTGCAGGTATACATTCATGATTCTCAGATAATGATTCAGTCTAGTGTCAGTGTAGCCTATTTACATATTTCATCATGTTTTGCAAAGTGAGGGATGTCTGAACTTTCCAAACCACAACTCCCAGTGTCATCCACACATTCATTAGTTCAGGTTTTTAATAAAATGGGCTCAGATCAATGTTGCTAACATTCCTGGGGCTTATAAAAGTTGGATTGGTGCATCCCTTATCTTGCACAACTTCTGGTCAGGCCCAGATAAAGCAGACAGAGAGAAGTCAGAGAGCTTGGTTTGATGACTAACACATTTTTATTTCCTATTCCTACAGAAGGTTTTAACCCCATATACATCTTCACCAGAGTATTTGAAGTATCAGCACTCAGGTCAATATCAGGAAGACCACAGCCGTTAAAACTTATCACTTATCATAACTTACTACATCACAGTTTTCACCTTAAACTTTATATCTGCTCAGAGCTGTCACAGACACCATTTACATCAAGTGGGTCCAATATTTGCTCAAGAAAATGAGGATTTCTGCTCTCTGTGGCTCAGTTAAAACCAGGAAGAGACTCTTTAACTGCAGCTCTCAGAATCAGGAAGTAAGTTCTTGGATTATAAAATAATGTTATTAAGGCTTTGAGTAAATTCAGTTTCAGCCAGGAAAAAATTAAGGTAAAACCACGTTTGAACAAGATTTGAAACTTTGTACAACTATTACTCACAACTAAAAAAAAACAGTGAATCCAGGAGTCATCTAGGCTGGCTGACATGGCTTGCAGGATAATTTAATTAATTTCCTCTGTTTTTTGGCAGTGATCACACAGAGAGAACATAACGGCTCTTACCTCTCTAAAATCCGTGAGGACTCCTCCATATGACCGTGAAATTAGGCTGATGAGACGGACTTGGAGAGAAAATCAGTCGAGAGACATCTCACAGTGATGGCTTCCCGGGAAAAGGCAGCTGTGCACTGGTGGATTATAAGGAAGCCCGTTAGTTTCCTCATGGGCGGTGGTCTCCTCTGCAGAAACGAAACTTAAGCTGTTCCGCCTGCGTGTGCGCACGCGCGAGTTTGTGCGGAGCCTATTCCTGTCAGTGTAATGTTAAAATACTGTTAGTTGATGACCAACTTTGAGACACTTCGAGAAGAACTAACCGAGTATCCTCAGATTCTTATAGTTTAGCCAAAGTTTTATAAGACTTCTCAGAAATAAGATGGTGTTTCTGAAAAATTAAGTTATTAATTTAAGACAGGATAGTCATTTCTCTGAAAGTTGTTGTGAAAAAAAAAATATATATATATATAAACTCATAGTGGTGTATATTTATTCAACTTTCTTCTCATGATACTGATAGCATGATAGCGACATGAGCTGTGTCTCACTGCAGGGGCTGCAGCCTCTGAAGGACCAAACCTTCAGTCCTGACCTGGTCTTACCTGCAGAAAATTCCCTGTTTGTGTCACCTGCTGTTCCCACCCTGACACATAATGCACCTCGGTCTTGCACTTAGAGGAGCCTCTGAAGTGGGACAGTCTTAAATGCACAGCTGTGTCAGTCTTCAAACGTTGCCTTTAAAGGCTGCGGCTCCTTATCAGAGCAAGGCTTTTATCACCCCTGCCAGCTTTTGGTGGATTTGACTGATGCGCTCTCACATTGACCCCCCCTGACCTCATGAGGGTATGTTGTAGAGCTGTGTGTTGTCGATAAAGGAGATGCATAGATACCTCGTCTGACACTAAGACGTGGATCCCAGAGGGTTTCTGTCTGTAGATGTGTGTAATTTGCTGTGGAGTGATGCTGTACAGCAGGGCGATCTTTTCAGACAGGTCCAGCAGTGTGAGCTCCTCCAGGTACAGAGCATGGTAGACTGCAGGGAGGGGAGACGCAACCACCAGGTGCATTTCAATGGATTCATCAGATTGCGTTATTATTTGTAGGAGTTTTAGATGTTTTTGAAATTATTTTTTTCCTACAAAACTCACAATAAATGATTTATTTAACCATCAAAAATAAGCAAGATTAATCCCACTGGCATATCCAAATAAGAATAACTTTATTTATTATTATGGAGCTTTTGCCTTTGATTGTGATCAACCTCAATGGAATGAGCAAGCCAAAACATCACGCCGAGGCTACGAGTGCATAACTAAGTAAAGGTGCACCATTACTTGTGTCTGCTTCGTCATCCTGATCATTTTTTCTATCAGTAGGTTAATGTAAATGTAGGTTTATGGGAAATATATATTAGGTTTGGGTAGATATATGGGAATTATCATGTAAATTAACAGCAGGTTTATGGTAAATTTATAGAGTGTTTAAGATTTTTTTTCTGTTACGTGATTGTAATAACAAATTCAGCTTCTCTTGCAATTACAAAAATAAGCGATAACACAAAACACAATGATACATACATTGACTGACACAAATGTACAATAACACAAACCCATTGAAAGTCAGAAAGTAATAGCACACAGTTTTTGTAGCGAAACAATATTTTTTTATTGTAAAATGATTAAAATACAAACATCGGCAGAGAGTTCGCCAGTTAACAAAGTCACCAAAAATCAGTTTTAATTTGTCATATTATACAAACAGCTGAAGTTTCTTTACCAAAGTCCTGATAAATAAGGTTTCCTTATGTTACAGTTTGTGTTTCTGCATCTGTGGGAGTTCATTCTGTGTTGCTAAAAACTAGAACTGCTGAATGAGTTGTTTAAATCGAGATCACAGTTGTCCAAAGGTTACCCACAATTACTCACTGATTGATTAGTTTTTTCATTGTATATGTAACTTGTTTTCCAAGTTTTTAAGACTCTTAGCAATATAAGAATAGACAAGTATGGAAAGTGTAGGATTACTATTCTTGCAACAATATAAAAAAAAGACAAAAAGGGTCCCAAAAGTTCTCTAGAACAACCTCAAAGCTACTACATGCACAAAGATAAACTGAAAGGATAATGGGCCCTAACAATAACTAACCAACCAACCAACGGCAAATACACAGTAAACATTATTTTAAAAAGACCTTAAAACAAAACTGTATGAATGAACTTAAAAAAAGCATAGATTTAGAAAAAACAACATAGAAACAACCTGATTATATGTTGACCTGGTTACATGACATGGTAATACAAACCCTGTTTTACTTAAATCACAACAACAAACACTGTACAACAAAAAGACTGGTCAGTTACTTTTTCCATCATCTAAAGATCTTCCCTGGAGTCCAGGGCTGGAGTGGGACTCATTTTCTGGGAAGTTTACAGCTCAGACCAGCCCAATTGAGTTCACTACCTCTACCAGAGAAATGTAATTTTAGCCTTACCAAAAGCATTTCAGTAACATAAATATTCAATTAACCAATACCCCACGTTAAGTCATTATAAGGAAATGAAAAGTGAGAATTATGAGATATTGTGTCACAAATGTGAGATAAAATCTCAACTTGTAGTTCAGCTCCCATTGGAGAGCGCTTTGTCTCTAAATGTAGGCCTACTGTTCGGCAGAGAGAGACATTTACACAGACACCTGAATAGCATGTGATATTGGTTCGAGGGCTTACGTGAGCCTGAAACCCCCGGGCTTGTCAAACATAGACTTGGTGTGTATATTTGCGTGGTGGAGCAGGATGATGATTTTGGGACGAAGCTGAGATAATTAAGATCGTAAATCCTGCATGCAGTACTGCCAAAAAAATGTCATTGAAAACGTTTGAGCTTTCTGATCTGTTCTCACACTTGTTTCTCCATCTAAACTGGTCTACTCTGGAGTCTGGTTCCTCAGTAGGGTTGCAAAGGGGTAGGGGGAGTTAAGCCTGGGAATTTCGGAAATATTCCAAATCGGAAACTTTACATGGGAAATTACAGGAATTAACTGGAAACTGGTGGTAATTTAAACAAACTGTATCATATTCAAACATAAATGTAAATTTTTTTCCTTCAACATTAACTTGTGTGAAATGCTTCCACACATCAGACGGCGAACCTGGCATTTTTTTGTAGAATAAAATAACAGAAAAACTTGTAAAAACACTAATGCAACGGCATGAACAGAAATATAGTTGGCTAAACAACTGGAATAGTCTTCCAAATATTTGATAATTGGTGTATAAATTATTGCTTGGTTACAGAAAACCGTCTGTCAGGAGTCTGAAGAAACAGCATCACATTTGAGGTAGCTACCACCACCACAATAAGTTAGCACCTTAAATGGTCAATGAAATAAAAAATAGCTTACATTTAGCACCTATTTTTACTCAATGTTTGTTTAAGTTAAATATTAATACTATTATAGATCAAATATATTTATGCACAGTGCATGTAGGGGGTGTGGCCTCAATAGCCCTGCAGTATGCAGTGTGCTGTGTGATCATGTGATTGAGGAGTGGACTTGCATTAAATCTGGTTGTTTTAGTCAGGATTACGCTACAATATTTTTTCCCCAACTATATTTAAGATCCCTGTTGAGGGCAAACCTTAAATTTTGTACAGTTCAGACATATTCTTGTTAATTCCCATGGAAGGTTTCCAACTTTGAAAATTCATGGAATTTTGCAACCCTATTCCTCAGTGATGCTCGCCCCTCCTCTAACAGACTCCAAAACCTCTTGAAGAACTGTGTTTTTTTCTGCTACCTCGTGAATCCTCCGTAGCTGTTCCTGGTTATTTTCTTGGATTAAAGCGTTCACATAATCTTTGATGATTGTCTCTAGAGGGTAGGCGAATTCTATCACACTTTCAGTGGAGTTTTCGACCTTATAGTCATATCCTGCTGAGTGTAAACCCCACACTCGGCCTTCAGTATCAAACACTGGGGAGCCAGACGAGCCATGATACATGAAGGTTTTATAGGTCCCTAGGTTTACAGCTTTTCCTTCACCCATCATTAACTTCTCAATGCTTCGCCTTTTCAACATGTCGACAATGCTGAAAATAATTTTGAGGTCTCTGTATTTAGGTAGCTCTTCACAGACAGCCTGCTCTCTCTTCTCTGGCTCTATGATACATGTCAGATCCATTTTTTTCACTTCCCCATTTGGGTGACCAATGATACAGAGTCCACCTTTTTCTGGCATTTTTCCCAGTTCCTCCAGGAGCCCTGGTGGTATACTACTCTCCTCTGTTTGTGTTGGTGACGGTTCCTCAGTCTGCCCTGATGGTGTTTGGCTAGAATGTTGTCCCTCAGGTTGGATCTCGAGTATGGCATAATCAAGGCCATATTTAATTTTACTTTTGTGACTCAGCTGGACATAATGCTTGCTGGTGTTTGACTCAGGTTTCTCATAGTTAAAGAGAACATGCACTTTTGTTCCATCCAGCAGTCTCTTTCCTTTTGTACACCCTCTGAAGAGGTGAGCATTAGTCATGATAAAGTTGTCAAACAACACAAAGCCTGTGCCACGACTACGTTTTTCCCCCTCAATAACCACCTGACAGACGGATTGCCCCCTTTCTAGCAGCGTCCTATGTGTGCTAACGTCCCTGAAGGACTGTTGGATTTCTGCAAACTTTTCCTTACTCTTGTTCAGCACTTCCTGAAAGGAATTTCCAGGGAATCTGCTCTCCACCACTTTACTTAGTTCTGGAAACTGCTCAGGCAGATCTTTCCCGATCTCCTCAGGGTCAACACCACTTTCTCCCTCTGCTTTTTTAAGACAGAATCCACTCCTCTTCACTAACTCCTCGAGTCGTCTGGTTTTCTCTGAAGCGTCTGGCTCTCTCTTATTTTTAGCCCCCTCTCCTTGTGGAAACGTTTTCTCAAGTTGTCTTGTTCTCTCTGACTCTCTCTTTTTTTTAGCCCCCTCTCCCCATGGAAACGTAATCTTTAAATATTTACCTTGAAGGGGTTCAACCGGGTCATTGCACTGAATCACAGTGTCTGGCTGGTCATTGTCGGTCAGTGTGAAGCTGGAGACTTGAGAGAAAGTGTTACGGTCAAAGCGACCATCTTGTTCAAGAGTTTTCCTCACCGAGTTTTCTTCAGATGGTATCTCCTTGTTTCCATAAACACACAGATAGTTCAACTTTTTGAACTCATTACTTTTCAAAAAAGGTTTAGTTTCAGTGTTTTGTCCTCCCTCACTATCAATGTAGAAAACTGAGTATTTATCCTTTGAAAGGATGTCTTCCTTAGTTTGTGGTTCATTAACTTCTTCAACTTCTTTTGCTGTTTTTCTTACGAATAGAATCTCCTCATCTTTGAGTAAGGTACAGGGGAAATGTGTGGGAATGCTTATAACTTTACCCTCCCATCTCATTTCAATCATAATCTTTTGATCCGAATACTTCAGACTTTCGTACTTCTTACGTGTTTTGATTGCAGCCAGCACCGTTTGAGGCTCTGTACAGGGCACTGGGTATACATTTGGATCTTTATCTCCAAATCTGATTTTAATAGTATGACGATGTTCGTCCTGCAAGAGCACAGAGAGAGAAAAGCATTGGAGGTGTTAATAAATGCAAGAAAACATATTTTAATGCATGCAGTGTGTTTCTGTTCTCACCTTGGAAAGACCATCGTCCTCTCTCTTCACCTCCCGTCTGCTGGAAAAATCACTCTGCAAAAGTGGAAAAGGATCCACATGAATCTCTGCAGAGAACAGGGCTCAAGGAATAACTTTTCACAGTTATGATTACACGTTTTTTCAACATTACACTTGACTGTAGAGTCATTTGTAGGCCAAAGAGGAAGACAGTGGTGCAGAGTGAGGCGGATGACCGCACCAAGATGGCGGCCGCATTTCTCGACAGCGCCCATTCGTGGTAGCGGCCGATGCGGGGTCTATCTTTTATTATGTCTATGGTACACATCATCCGTGCTCTGTTGCTCCTTCTTCTTATTATTATTATTATTTTAGGCTTATTTTAGGCGTGTTTTACTTCCGGTTCACTGAATGGAGAAAAAACTTTTGCGAGATCTCGCAAAAAGTATTGCGAGATCCCGCAATACGTTTTGCGAGATCTCGCAATACTTTTGCGAGATCTCGCAAAAAAAAAAAAGTCCATCCATGTCCCTTTAGGGGCTCCGTACCCTCCCATCTCATTTCAATCATAATCTTTTGATCCGAATACTTCAGACTTTCGTACTTCTTACGTGTTTTGATTGCAGCCAGCACCGTTTGAGGCTCTGTACAGGGCACTATGTATACATTTGGATCTTTATCTCCAAATCTGATTTTAATAGTATGACGATGTTCGTCCTGCAAGAGCACAGAGAGAGAAAAGCATTGGAGGTGTTAATAAATGCAAGAAAACATATTTTAATGCATGCAGTGTGTTTCTGTTCTCACCTTGGAAAGACCATCGTCCTCTCTCTTCACCTCCCGTCTGCTGGAAAAATCACTCTGCAAAAGTGGAAAAGGATCCACATGAATCTCTGCAGAAACTACTAGAACTATGGAGTCCTGATGTCTGAGAGTGATGGAGTGTTTGGATCTTGTGCTGAAGGAAGGCTGTAAGGAACCCCAGCTGAGAACTCCATAGTTCATAGGCCCGGGGGACTTGGGGACTTCAGCACTCACATGGTCAATGATGGAGACACCTAGAGTGGTGTGATTAGGAGGAACAGCCTACCCGTTCTAAACCACGTCTGACTGAGGTTTTCAACTCCTAACTGAGAGAGGTGGGGGACATGGAATCTGAATGAATTTGTGAGGAAAATTTTGTGGGGAATTACGGACAGCAGGAGTCGCAAGAACTTACAAGAACCTGTGGATTCACATGCAATCGCGCAATAACAAGTTGTCTTTGGCCACAGAGGCTAACCATATAAGCAGTAGATTGTGTCTTTCAAGAGGAGGAAATCTACTTCTAGACTTCTAGAATCAGCATCTCCTCATCCATGGTGTCATCGGGGTGAAATGACGTCTAAAAACCTTTCACTTGTTCGTCTCCGCCCGTTTGCATAGTGTGAAATACGATCCTCCTGAAACACGGAGTGTTTTATTTTGAAAAGAAGCTGGATGTTTTATTTTGTCTCTGCGCCCGGCTTCCTTTCCAGCACGGGTTAATCTGTGCTGAATTTATACGGCATGCTCTGGCGTCTGGCTATCCGCAGCGGAACGGAAGGAAGCTGTTGGAAATTGACCCATTAACTTGAATGGTTAGGATCAGCAAATACGGACTTTTCGTAGCCGTTTAGGACGCAGTGAAAATTGGGGGTGAGTCTTATAATCATGTTCTCCTGGGGGTCTTGAAGGTACTGAAGAGTATGAGCTTCCAGCAACATTTTTTCAAACTATCCAGCTGGGTCCACATACTCAGCACAAAGTCAGACCCGTTCTTGGTGTGAGCTGGACTCTGCCATGGATGCCCCTTGAAGAGTTGTAACTTCTCAGCCAATTCCCAAAGAGTCACAACTGATGCTCATCAAAAAATATATAAAAATTATTCTTCTAACTGTCTGCAGGTTTTTTGTAACAAAAAACTGCAACTCACTCCATCCTAAAACCACAGCATGAGAACTCACCTGAGGGGCCGCAGCTCCACCCGTCTGCTCCTCTGCCATCTTAGCCCAGCTGCTCCTGTCTCGATGATCCTGATAAAAACAAGATGATTGATCAGAATAACACTGAACCCACACACCTCTCTGAGCTCCTTCACTGCTTTGTCTAATTTGTCCATTAAAGATGGTCTGTGAAGAGTGGCAAAACTGTGCTTTGGTCTGACCGATCAAAATCTGACCTTCTTTTGGAAATCATAGATGCTGCATCCTCCACTATGAATAGTAGAGGGACCTGACAGCAAGTCATTCACTCACAGGTCAAAGCAGGAATACCTGATGGTATGGGGATCATTAGGTGTGATCATTAGTGGGTTCTGGGTTTACCAGCTGATCTACTGTCTGAAATAAAAACCCACAGTCGTGATGACGGGACAGACTTTTTCTGGGAAGACCTTCATAAGATCCCAAACCACATTCTACCAACAGGGATTACAACAGCATGGCTCTGTAGGAGAAGAGTCCTGCTGAGAAACTGGACTGATGCAGTCCTGACTTGTGCCCCATTTGAAACATTTGGAGCATCATGACCCCAAAAACAGGACAAAGGAGACCCAGAAAGAAGTCGGTGAAAATTGACACAATTACTTGAATGGTTACGATCAGCACAGATCTCCAGATATGGCCTTTTGTGTAGCCGTTCTGAATGCGAAGGGAATTGGGGGTAAGCCCAAATTTTCACCACATCCTGAACGGCTCCGATCCAGGATGGCAGGGATTTTCGCTGTCTGCCAATTCCTACCGGATCTGTTTGTGAGGTGCATTTCTTGGCGGATTACAGACAGCAGGAATTGCGAGAACTCACAAGAACCTGCGGATTCACATGCAATCGTGCGATAATGAGTTGTCTCTAACCAAATAGGCCAGTGGTTCTCAAGTCCAGTCCTTGAGCCCCCCCCCCCGTCCTGCATGTTTTGGATGTTTCCCTGCTCCAACACACCTGATTCAAATGATCAGCTAGTTATCAAGCTCTGAAATGGAGCAGGGAAACATCCAAAACATGCAGGACGGGGGGGCTCGAGGACTGGACTTGAGAACCACTGACATAGGCTAACCATTTAAGCAGTAGAGTGTTTCCTTCTAGAGGAGGAAAAAAATAGAACTCTTGCAACCAGCTGCGGGGTCCGATCCACAGCTGAATGGAAAGAAGTCAGTGGGAAGTAACACATTAACCTGAATGGTTACGATTGGCGGATACAGCTTTTTGCGTAGCCGTTCTAGATGAAATGGAAATTGGGGGTAAAGATAAATTTTCATCACAATTATATTTTATTTGTTCATGTTTTTTTTGCTGTTTTTTTCTTTGTTTGTTTTGTTTTTTGTATTTTTGAATTTTTTTATTTTTTTTTGCTTTTTTTTTTGTCAAAAAGTCCAATCTTTTTGGACTTCATATAAAGACACAACATTTTCTTTATACTCTTTATAGAGTCTGTAAGTAAACAGGTCAAACAGGAATACAAAGTTTAGATCTGTGATCAAACACCGAACTGAAAAGGATGAAAAAGGGAGCTTTTTTAACTCAGAGGGATGTTTCCATGTCTTATGTACATGTCTTCTCTTTGTAATTTGGTCAAAGTAAAGAACGTCTAATGCCCTGACAAAGTTCCTCTCTTCATTATGAAACGTAATTTATCAACTGCACAACAACAAGAGAGACCCAGCCAGCAAAGTTCAACACAAAACCTTTGAAAGTCCACCTTGAAGACCTGTTGTCTGAGTGTCAGATCAGATCAGTGCAGAGGTAAAAGTTTAAGTAAAGAAAAAGTGCTGATCTTACCGTGAGGTGAGCGTCTCTGTGAGTACACAGCTTCCGGTATGAGTCCTCTTTTTCTCTCTCTTTTGTCGCGTCTGTGCTCTCTCTGTTTTCTTAACCCATTCAGCTTCTTCCTACAAAGCCCCTCTGAGGACATTAAATTAAAAAAAATTAACTTACTTAACTTACACTCAGGGGCGGATCTACTGGGGTGGCATGGGGTGGCAGGTGCCACCCTAAAATTAACCCTTGCCACCCCTGCTGCCACCCCAACCGGCAGCAATGAACCGATAGAAAAATGTAACAGGTACGAGCGCGAAGTTCCGATGTCCGACGACAGTAAATGCAGCACGAGAGAGCGCGAGAGCGACACGAGACTTCTTTGATGGGAGAGGCGCGAACATACAGTGGCCCAAATCCAAACTCCACCCTAAGCCCTCAAGCCCTGCACCCTCATTAGCTTAGGTTAAGTCAGCTGGTAAGTGCTTGAGTGTGGGAGGGTTTAAGGGCTCCAAAAGGGTATAAAAGCAATGGAACAGCCCTTTGTGACGTGCCACGTTACCTTGACGATAGACGACAACGTTGACAACCAAAGATGCGACTGACACTTGCCTCTCTGGGCTCTTAATTCTGCATTTATTTCGCGGCCAGCGACGTTGCAGAAGAAAGGCCAACATTGTTCCGCTCCTTTTGCACACACTTGCTCTTGAACATAGACAACAGGTAATTGGTAAATAATGATTAGATTGATAAATTATAAAACCAGCATTAATGATAGGTTAAGTGATATTGAATGGTTAAAAGGTTGAAGCACTAGATTCTGAAAGTAATCACTGCTTTAGAGTGTTAGTTCAGGATAAAATGTATTGATTCAGATAAAAGTTTGAAGTAAAAATCAATTTTCTTTGTTATAAGAATAACGCATGCGTGTGTGTGTGTATATATGTATGTATACACACACACACACACACACACATATATGTGTATATATATATATATATACATATATATATATATATATACAGTACAGGCCAAAAGTTTGGACACACCTTCTCATTCAATGTCTTTTCTTTTTTTTTATATGACTATTTACATTGTAGATCATTACTGAAGGCATTAAAACTATGAATGAACACATGTAAAATTTTGTACTAATAAAAAAAGTGTGAAATAACCGAAAACATGTTTTATATTCTAGTTTCTTTAAAATAGCCACCCTTTGCTCTTGATGACAGTAGTTCCTTGTCAGGGTTACTTCAGGCACTCCTGTGAAGTAAAAACCATTTCAGGTGACTACCTCATGAAGCTCATTGAGAGAACAGCTAAAGTTTGCAGCGCTATCAAAAAAGCAAAGGGTGGCTACTTTGAGAAATTTAAAATATAAAACATGTTTTCAGTTATTTCACACTTTTTTCTTTGAGCACATGATTCCACATGTGTTCATTCATAGTTTTGAGAATCTACAATTTAAATAGTAATGAAAACAAAGAAAATGCATTGAATGAAAAGGTGTGTCCAAACTTTTGGCCTGTACTATATATATATATATATATATATATATATATATATATGACCTAAGTCAATGAGTCAGTGAGGGGGTGGTTTGGAATTGGGCCAGTCTATGGGCTCGAAGCGAGAGAGAGACAGTCGGGAGCCGAGGAAGAAGGCACGAGGAAAGAGGTAAAAGCCATTTCAGGCATGAAAATCTCTCACAGTTCGGCGAAATTCGCCGTTTTGAAGTCAAAAAAGGTGACTTACATGAATCCTGTAGATCCGAGGAGAATTTTTTTTAGGGGGGGGGGGGGGTTGGGGTCGGGAGATTTATTTATTTATTTTTTAATTATCATGTGATTGACTTAATACGTAAACTGAACACTTCAGAAATCGGCCCTTAAAATGACACTTGGACGGTCAGCAAATCCTCCTGGCTGCTTTGCTGACGAGAACCAATCATGCGCACACTCTTCACGTGTACTTGGAGTACTTGGAGAGCCTGTGGTAGCATTGCAAAGCTGCGAGAACGCCGGTGTTGTGCTGTAGAATGCACCCCTGCCGTAGAATGCCCCCCTGACGAGAGCGCGGTTGAAAGTACGTAACAAGGCGAAATAATCGAAGTTTTCCTTACCGTTGGACGGATTCAAAAGCGTGTGCCTTTAATGATTTCATTCAGGTTATACAGATTAGCCGAAATCAATAGCCCTCTGATTCAGAATATTTGCTGTCCCGAAAGTTTATTGTTCTTTACCTTGACTCACCTATTTTTTCCGAGTTTTTTTTTCGCCAAATACGCCCAACTGAATAAAACATAAACTTATAAAAACTTGAAACCTCTCTGTGAAACGTGCTTGTAAATTATGGTAAACATCCATGGGCTTTGTGTTCTGTTTGTGCCTGTGTGCGCGTTGCGGTGAACAGCTGTTTGATCAGCTGATGCACGTACCCGCGACTGCGCCCTGTGAAACCCATTCAAAAACTAAAGTATTTTTATTATTAGCACTTCATAGACCAAATCCCCGCCCATCTACACCTAGGTGACCACAATATATATATTTTAGATAATTCGGCAATAGTTCGGCCTGTCAAATCATCTGATCAAAGCCAGTTTATTTACTTTTATCCACAGCGGAGAGCGCGCCCGGCGCTTATTTTCTTTTTTGATGAGCGCCCGGCTCATCAGCTGGCCGAGTACGCGTCACGATGATGCGACTACTCGAGGACCTCGAGTTACGTGACGTTTGCTTTGTTTAGTGCAGTTCAGGCGACGTCTTAGTTATTTGTACACGTTTGCATCATAGCACTCTTCTAAAGCCGCTACAAAATAAACCCAACAGTTTAAAAACAGTAAAAAATAGTAGACCTTCTGAGTACCTTATATGTCAACGTCAAGAAATCATTTGGTAAGTGAAAGTACATATGGGTTAAAAAGTTAGAGGGGGCACTTTTAGATATTAATGTTCAGTTTATCTAGCAAGTTTGCAGCTCATATTAATTTTAATATACCCATTCCACAGAAAACAAGTCACAGAGAGCAGGGCAAACATGTTCAAGAGATTAAAACAGAATACCCTGGATGCATTTCTGGCAAAGAAAAAGAAAGAAATTGACAAAGAGGAAGATAGTAAACATGCAACCAAGGAGGATGGAAGAGAGAATAGGGAAAGTTAGGCAGAGAGAGGAGAGTCATTCAGAGATGGAAGGGGAGCAGAGGCACACGGAGGAGGATGGAATAAAAAAAAAAATTAAAATAAATAAAATATATTTAAACAATAAACATCTTGTGTGACTTGTAGCCTAAAAAATTGTAATAAAAAAAAAAACATTAAAAAAAATTTCAGCGCGCGCTCTGCGCGCGCATCATGGACCTCACCTATTCCAAAATCCTGGCTACGGCCCTGGTTTTGAGCCATCTAAAATAGCAAAAGCAGGCATCTGCAAAAAAGCAAGCAGGTGTGACTTGGAGTGTTTTTGCCGCCTCCTGCAGATCACTGAAACACAATGTGGGTGAACAGAGCTCAATATTTTGTTGGGTTGTACAGTGTACCGGAACGTATTTCCTCCGCACCCTTCTCACCTTTTCAACCCCTGACCCATTTTCATGCTTGCATATGAGAAAGAAAGGTTTAAAATGTGACACTGGTCTAAATCCATGGAGCTGCAATGGGTTGTTGTTTTTATTTTTACATGCCTCATCGTATTAATCTTACTGGTGTGAGAATCCTAATAAAAGAAAGATTGTATTGGACGAAGAATGTCTGTCATGTTTGTAAATGGCAGCCATGCCTTTTTGTATTGATCAAACTCAGTATATATCTGCCATATGTTGCCACCCCTCAAAAATTCCTGCCCCCCTCTTGCCACCCCATAAGTATTTTTCTAGATCCGCCCCTGCTTACACTCATTACCAACACTGACATGTCCAGCCTCACGCAGCCTTTGAGCAAATTCAGTTTAAAGGTAAAGAGTTAAAACTTTGAACACCTTTTACTTAAAACTCAGAGGCAAAAGCAGTAAATCCAGGAATCATCTAAGCCGGCTCTCATATCACGCTGAATTATTATTTTATATTTATATTTTTTATTTAAATTAAGTTATTGTAACTTCTGTACCTTAACAGAGAGAACATAACGGCTCTTACCTCTCTAAAATCCGTGAGGACTCCTCCGTATGACCGTGAAACGAGGCTGATGAGACGGACTTGGAGAGAAAATCAACTGAGAGACATCTCAGTGATGGCTTCCCGGGAAAAGGCAGCTGTGCAATGGTGGATAAGGAAGCCCGTTAGTTTCTTCATGGGCGGTGTCCTCTGCAGAAACGAAACTTAAGCTGTTCCGCGTGCGTGTGAGCGTGCGTGGCGCGAGTTTGTGCGGAGCCTTTCCCTGTCAATGTAATGTTAACATACTGTTAATTAATGACCAACTTTGAGTCACTATGAGAATGACTAACCGAGTATCCTCAGATTCTTTTAGTTTAGCCAAAGTTTTGTAAGACTTCTCAGAAATTAGATGTTTCTGACAAATGAAGATATTATTTTATGAAGTTATTATTCCTCTTAAAGTTGTTTTTATTTTCTTTCTTTAACTCATGTCTTTAAAAAATCATGTAATAATCAGAGAAACTGTATGTTCTTGGATTATTAAGTCTCTTAAATTTGTTTCTATGGTTTGGCCAGCAGCCACTGGTGCATTACTCCCCCCTGGGGAAAGGAGGGGGGTGTACAAATCCTATACATGCACACACACACACACATATATATAGATATATATCCTACATATGTTGTTACAACAAATGTTACAGCAGTGTACAAATGAAACCAACTGAAGGACATATATTTTTACTTGAACATGGTATTTGCCATCTTTTTCCCACCAGTTGCGTTACATCAGTCATACCTTTCTGAATCTGTGCTGGGCCTTACTGTGGGGTTTGAAGAAGAGGGCAGGTGATGCAAAACACTTATTCTCACCCATGTATGGCATCAATTAATCCTGCGAAAGAGCGTCTTTAAAACTGCCTTTTTATTTTTTGTTGGGTTACTGTAAAATGTTCATGTCCAAGCTCTTTATCTCACAGCTTCTCCTCCAAAAGTCTCCTCTTGAACAGCGTCATGGCCTTGCCTTAGTAGCTTTTGTAACCTTCCCAGCCCGGGTAAAGAAACTTGCATCTGCTCAGCCCACAGTGCTTAGCTGCACACAGAGCAGAGAGGTGACGATTGGCTCAGTGGCTTGTCTGTCTAAAAAAGAATAAATAAATAATGCATTGAAACAATCCCAAACAAGCGAGCAGACACTATTAGGACTTCCAGTTTTTTAAAATGAGATACTAGAAACAGTAAATGAAGAATTTGTGATATCCAAATGTTATGACAATATCCTTGACATACCCATTATTTCTGGCAATGCGTGATGTACATGAGTAGAAGACATCTCTGACTACTCACACACTGTTTATACATTATTAATTTTTACTGCTGCAGTTTCTCTTCAGGTTGGTTCTAGTTAACCTGTCCTTTCTTCTCCCCCTTGTTGCAGAGATACCTGAGTGCTGCTCATGACTATGACTTGGATCACCTGGGCCTGGCCCTGGCAGGGTTAAAAGCCCAACCCTGCTGCTGCCTACTCTCTCATTCTGCCACCTCCATCCCAGCCTTCACCTGAATATTCTGTATTTGTTTGTTTCGTTTGACAACACCCTACACTTCATCTTCACACACATCCACATTTAACACCACTGACTGACACACGCCATATTTTGCTGTTGATTATTCAGTTGGTTTACTTGTTTTTCAATCAACAAGCCACCTTTTTGCAAGTATTCCCAGTGTCCTTCCCACATTTGTTATGGCCTTTGAGCCAGGTTATGACAAATTTCACATTATAGGTCCTTCATTTGTACTTGTAAAAATGGTTACATTTTTTTACATTTGTGATACTGTAAATGCAAACTGCTCCATAATTTCTGGCAATGCTTGCTGTACATGAGTACAAGACATCACTGACTACTGACACACTGAGAATTATTCACATTTACTGTATAATTATTGAGAAATTTCACATTGTAGGTCCTACATTTGTACTTTGAAATGGTTACATTTCTCATTTTTCCTACACTAAAAGCAAATTGCAAAATTTCTGGAAATGCTAGATGTATCTGTGTAGAAGAGATCTCTGACTAATACTGAGAATTATTTATTTTTACTGCATCATTATTAAGGAAATTCCCATTAAATATCTTACATTTGTACTTTGATGTCGTTACATTTCTAACATTTCTGCTACTGTAAATAAAAATTAGTCCATAATTTCTAACAATGCTTGATGTACATAAGTAGAGGACATCTCTGACTACCAACAGACTGAGAATTATTCATTTTTTCAGTATCAGTATTAATGAATTTCATGTTAAAAGTCGTACATTTGTACTTTGAAATGGTTACATTTAATTGCTGGTATCGCAAAGTTCAGAAATGCAACCATTTCAAAGTACAAATCTAGGACTTATAATGGGAAATTCCTTTATAAGGATACAGTAAAAATTAATAATTCTCAGTGTGTCACTAGTCAGAGATGTCTTCGACTGAAGTACATCAAGCATTGCAAGAAATTATGAACTAATATTTACAGTACCACAAAATAAGGAAATGCTGTACTGACATTTTTGATCATGGTATTCCGACTTTTTATGTTACTATACTATAACATTTTTTCAACATACTATACTATGTCATTTTTTACTGACAGTTTTATCATACTATACTAAAAAAATTTTAACATACTATACTATGACATTTTTTTGACATACTATACTATGACATTTTTTGATCAAACCATACAATAACATTTTTAGCATATTATACTATGACATGTTTTAACATATTATACTGACATTTTCTATCATAATGTACTATGACATTTTTATTAAACTATGCTCTGACATTTTTAAACCTAGTATACCACAACAATGTTAACATACTATACTATGACATTCTCTATCATAAAATACTGTGAAATTTGTATCATACTATGCTATGACATTTTTTTTTAACATACTATAGTATGACATTTTTTGACATACCATACTATGACATTTTGATCATAGTATAGTATGACATTTTATTACCACATTACACTATGACATTTTTTAAACATACTTTACTATGACATTTTTAAACATACTGTACTATGACATATTTCAAACACTCTATACTATGACATTTTTTGACATACCATGCAGACATTTTGATCATACTTTACCATGACATTTTTTAAACACAGTATACTATGAATTTTTTTAACATATCATACTATGACATTTTAATCATACTATACTATGACCTTTTTATCATACTATGCCATGACATTTTTTTAACACACTATACTATGACATTTCATTGACATACTTTACTATGACATTTTTATCATATACTACGACTTTTTTTAACATTCTGAACTATGACTTTTTAAAACATGCTTTTCTATAAGATATTTAATCATACTACACTATGACAGTTAATCAACTATACTGTGACATTTTGATCATACCATACTAAGACATTTTTTGACATACCATACTATGACACTTTAAACATACTATACTATAATGTTTTTATCATACTATACTATGACATTTTTAACATTATATACAATAACATTTTTTTAAAATGCTTTACTATGACAATTTTATCATACTATGCTATGACAATTTTTTAACATACTATACTACAAGACATTAAACATACTGTACTATGACAGTTTTTGGCACACTATACTATGACATTTTTTTAAAATACCGTACTATGACATTTTTTTAAAGATAATATGCTTAGACCTTTTTATAATATTATGCCATGACATTTTTTTTAACACACTATACTATGACATTTTATTGACATACTTTACTGTGACATTTTTATCATATCATACTACGACTTTTTTTGACAAACCATACTATGACATTTTTTAACATACTATACTATAATGATTTAATAATACTATACTATGACATTTTATACAATACAATTTTTAACATATTACACTATTACATTTTTTTGACATACCAGACTATGAAATTTTGATTATACTTTACCATGACATTTATCGACACATTATACCATGACATTTTTTGAAAACATGCTATACTATGACATTGTTTAATCATAATATACCATGACATTTTTCTAAACATACTGTACCATGACCTTTTTTATCATACTATGCTATATTTTTTCAACATACTATACTATGACATTTTTAAAGATACTATATTATGACATATTTTCAACACTCTATACAATACCTTTTTATCATACTATGCCATGACATTTTTTAACAAACTATACTATGACATTTTTTCAACATACTATACTATGACATTTTTAACACACTGAACTTTGACTTTTTTAAACATACTATACTATGATGTTTTATCATACTATATCATGAAATTTTATTGACATACTATACTATGACATTGCTTAAACATACTGTACTATGACAGTTTAATCAACTATACTGTGACATTTTTTAACATACTATACTATGATATTTTCATCATGCTATACTATGAAATTTTATTTACATATTATACTGTGACATTTTTTTAAACATACTATACTATGACATTTTTAATCATACTGTACTATGACAGTTTTATCAACTATACTGTGACATTTTTTAACATACTGTACTATGAGTATTTTTAACATGCATTGCTATGACTTTATTTGACATACTATACTGTGACATTTTCTATCATACTACACTGTAACAATTTTAACATACTATACTGTGACATTTTTTTGACATACCATACTATGACATTTTTATTATACTATATTATGACATTTGATTGACATATTATATTATGAATTTTTTTTTAAAGATAGAATACTATTATCTTTTTATCACATTATGCCATGACATACTATACTATGACATTTTTTTAACATACTATACTATGACATTTTTTAACACACTATACTGTGACATTATTTAACATACAATACTATAATGTTTTTATTATACTATACTATGACATTTTTTGACATATAAATCCATGGCATTTTTTTAAACATACTTTACTATGACTTTGTTTAATCATACTATACTATCACAGTTTTATCAACCATACTATGACAATTTTTAACACACTATACTTTGACATTTTTTAATATACAATACTATAGTTTTTTTATTGGACTATACTATGATATTTTATTGACATATTCCATGGCATTTTTTAAACATACTTAACTATGACATTGTTTAATCATACTATACTATCACAGTTTTATCAACTATACCGTGACATTTTTTAATGGCGGCGGCCGTAACACACACTTTACTATGAGATTTTTTATCATGCCATACTATGATGTTTTTATCATACTATACTATGACAATTTTTTGACATACCATACTATGACATTTTTATCATACTATACTATGACATTTTATTGACATATTATACTATGACATTTTATTAACATAATATGCTATGATATTTTTCAGCATACTATGCTATGACATTTTTTTAACATACAAAACTATGACATATTTTCAACACTCTAAACAGACCTTTTTATCATACTATGCCATGACATTTTTTTAACATACCGAACTATGACATTTTTTAACATACTAAACTATGATGTTTTTATCATACTATACTATGACATTTTATTGACATATAATACCATAACATTTTTTTAAACATACTTTACGATGATGTTGTTTGATCATACTATACTATCACAGTTTTATCAACTATACTGTGACAGTTTTATCAACTATAATGTGATATTTTTAACATACTATACTATGAGATTTTTTAACATACTATACTATGACAGTTTTTGACATACCATACTATGACATTTTTATCATACTATACTATGACATTTTATTGAGATATTATACGATGAAATTTTTATAAATATACTATACTACGACATTTTCAAACATACTATACTATGACCTTTTCATCATACTTGCTATATTTTTTCAACATACTATACTATGACACTTTTTAACATATTTTACTATGACTATTTCTAACACACTGTACTTTGACTTTTCTTAACATACTATACTATGTTTTATCATAATATACTATGAAATTTTATTGACATATTATACTATGAGATTTTTTTAAACAAACTATAGTATGACATTGTTAAGTCATACTGTACTATGACTGTTTTATCAACAATATTTAGATATTTTTTAACATACTTTACTATGAGATTTTCTATCATGCAATACTATTTTTTCTTCATACTATGCCATATTTTTTAACATACTTTACTATGACATTTTTCAACACACTATATTATTACAGTTTTTTACATACTATACTACCATGTTTTTATCATACTATACTATGACATTTTATTTATATATTATACCATGACCTTTTTTTTCAACATTCTCTACTATGACGTTGTTTAATCATACTATACTATCACGGTTTTATCAACTATACTGTGACATTTTTTAACACACTATATTATGAGAATTTTTATCATACTATACTATGACATTTTATTTATAAATTATACCATGACCTTTTTTTTCAACATTCTTTACTATGATGTTGTTTAATCATTCTATACTATCACAGTTTTATCAACTATACTGTGACACTTTTTAACACACTATACTATGAGATTTTTTATCATACCATACTATGACATTTTTATCATACTATACTATTACATTTTATTGACATATTATACTATGACATTTTTATAAACATACTATGCAATGATATTTTTCAACATACTATACTATGACATTTGTAAACATACTATACTATGACATATTAACACTCTATACAAGACCTTTTTATCATACTATGCCATGACATTTTTTTAACATACTATACTTTGACATTTTTTAACACACTATACTATGATCTTTTATCATACAATACTATGATATTTTATTGACATTTATTGACATACTATGAGATTTTTTTATCATGCAGTACGATTTTTTTGAACATACTAGACTGTGACATTTTCTATCATACTATACTGACATTTTTTAACATACTATACTATGATGTTTTTATCATACTATACTATGACATTTTTTTAAACATACTTTACTATGAGATTGTTTAATAATACTGTACTATGACAGTTTTATCAACTATACTGTTACATTTTTAACATACTATACTATGACATTTTTTTTACATACTATACTATGACATCTTTAAACATACTATACTTTGACATATTTTCAACACTATTTACAAGACTTTTATATCATACTATGCCATTACATTTTTTTTACATACTATACTGTGACATTTTTTAACATACTATACTATGATGTTTTTTATCATACTATACTATGACATTTAATTGACATATTATGCCATGACATCTTTTTAACATACTATGTTATGACTTTTTTATGGTACTTTGCTATGATATTTTTTAACATACTATACTATGACACTTTTTACATTCTTTAATGTGAAATCTTTTTAACATACTAAACTATGACTTTTAGAAACTTCTTTACTATGACATTTTTTATCGTACAACAATGCTATGACATTTTTTTAACATATGTTATGACAGAGAAATCGTTTGGGGAAGATGGGAAGTAACAATAAATTAAACCAGGCAGGGGAGACGAAATGAAGTTTAGGAAACAGGAAATCAGAATAAGCAAGTAATTTATTTACAATCAAAATTCAATAACAAAAAAGTTCAAACAACTAAAGGTGAGCAAGAGGCCGATTGTCAGTAAGTTATTCAAAAACCAAAATCCACTGCCAACTATTCCAGCAAACAAACAAAAAAACACAACAGGCTCCTGCCACCGGAAAACCTGGACTTTAAGAACACCAAAACGCACAGGAGTGAAACACAGTCAACAATCGGGAGGTCTGCAGCACGAGTGACGATTACGAGGGCTGAAAGAGAGAGAGAATCAGCACAGCTGTTCCTTCTAATATCCACCCCCACTCATCACACCAAGCAGGTTCACCTGACACACCTGGAAGAGACGTGCAGCAGAAGACACAGGACACACCCACACCCACAGCCTTAACAACATACTATACTATGACATTTTTTAAAACATAGTATACTATGACCTTTTTATCATACTATGCCATGATATTTTTTTAACATATTATACTATGACGTTTTTATGATACTGTACTATGGCATTTTATTGACATATTATACTATGACATTTTTGAAAATACTATACTATGACATTTTTACAAAAATACTATACTATGACAATTTTATCATTCTATGCCATGAAATTTTTTTTAACATACTATACTATAAATTTTTTAATTATACTTTACTATGACATTTTATATTTTACTGTACTATGACAGTTTGATCAACTCTGTTGTGAAATTTTTTATCATACTATACTATGCCTTTTTTAACATACTGTAATATGACATTTTGTCTCTAATTAAACGTGATCTCATAATTATACCATACTGTCATTTTTATCATACGACTTTTTTTAAACATACTATACTGTGACATTTTCTATCATACTAAACCATGATGTTTTTCATAGTTAACAAACTATACAGTGACATTTTTACATACTATATTATAAATTTTTTTATCATACTTAACATTTTTAACATACTATAATATGACACTTTGTCTTTAATACAATGTGATCTTTTCATCATACCATACTGTCATTTTTTCATACCATAATATGACATTTTTTAACATACTATACTATTACTTTTTTTTAATACACTTTACTATGACATTTTTTATCATACTATCCTATGACAGTTTTGTCCAACTATACTGTGATATTTTATTATACTAAACCATGACATTTTTATCATACTATACTATGACATTTTTATCATACTAAATCTTGATATGTTTTTCATACTAAACTATGCCATTTTTTTATCATACTATTCTATGACATATTTTTAACATACTGTGACATTTTTTTACATACTATACTATGACATTTTTATCATACTATACTATGACATTATTTTGACATACCAAACTCTGACTTTTTTATCACACTATACTATGATTGTTTTGTCAAACTATACCGTGACATTTTTTGTCAGTCTATACTATGACATTTTTTATCATACCATACTATGACTTATTTAACATACTATACTGTGACATTTTCTATCATTCTTTACCATGATATGTTTTTCATACTTAACGTTGACATTTTTTAACATACTATGCTATGACATTTATAACTATTTACACTATAAAATGTTTATCATACTTAACAATATTTTAAAGGAAAGGACACAAATGTTTGGACCAAAAATACATGACCAATTATCACCTTTAGACACATTTGGTAGTTTAATCAACATGTTAATTGCTTCTTATACATTTTATGCATTAGATATAAAATATTTACCTTCAAAAATGTTTCTTTTAAACTTTATTCAGATTCAAATCTGTTTAAAAAAAATTCTCCTCCTTGTTGAGAGTTTTGGGTCACCATTCGTTCTGGCTGTAAGTCATAAAAACTTCCTGCACATTACAACTCAACCAACTCCTCGCCTGTAATTTTCCAGGTGTGTTTTCTACCAAACAAAGTTAAGGTTTATGGTAAAAATGTTATGATGGAAGCATGCATGGCTTGCTGTTCACGTCATTATAAAAGGGGTGTTGACCTTTTGCTCTTGCTTTCTGGCTGATTGTGTATAATGGACTGTGGGTGCTAATACTCGTGTCTGATTTTTAGTATCATGTATAAATAAGAGGAGCAAATGTGCAACTTATTTTAATGGACGTCTGAAAGTGCAAACAGCTGTGCTCTAGACCAGCAAAATCTGTGATCACTAACTTCAGACATGTTAATCCTTACTTATTAATCTAGATTCCAACTGTATTTTTCACATTTTTGAGTATCATTTTCTTTCTTCAAACTTATTTTATCTTATTCAGCAGTGGTCCCTGTGTGGACACCCTGCCCTCTGTTAATCAGTCGCCATTGGTTTTGGCTGTAAATGATAAAAAAAAACTCAGACAAATTGTAACTCACCTGTAATTTTCCAGGTGTGTCTATCCTCCAAAGTTTAGAGTTGTGGTAAAAAAGATTATGACACAAACATTCCCGAATAAACTCCTTCAACTACAGTTTGTTCATTTTGTTTCTAGTTGTTTGTATTTGACTCTTACTGAGCCTTTTCAAAAGTTTGAATGTAAGAATGTTTGAAAAGCCAAAAAAGAAATTATAAACTGATAACTACCGACTGAAAATAAATCAGTAACTGGGCAAAAACAGAAAATTCAATTAACAAGAGCATAAACAAAAACAGAATTCAAAGTAAAGTGAGAAACTGAGGGGTGTTTATCTTTTTTAAACACAGGAGTCAAAAAAAAAAATGAAGTTGTAGTAATTCGCTGAGATTACCACCAAACTGAGTCAACGTCCGGCTGTTTTCCACTCTGACTTTAACCAAACTTTTTAAAATACTGACTGTTTCTGCTACAAAAAAGCCTCTTACTCTTAAACAAACATGGTCTGTCTCTGGAGGGATGTGCTCTGCAAAGTTTTCAGACTTTAGCATAAAAAATCTAACTTTATTTATGGCAACAAAAGGTACTTTTATTCTGCACAGATTACCTCTACAACAACTGAAAATAGAGCTCAGGTTCACTAATACTGTAGAGTCCCCTTCAGCGTCATTAGACTGCACAGTAAATCCTTGTTTATCACATATTATCGTCCGGAATGACTTAAATATAAACTCAACAATTTTTCTAATGAAACACTGGGCCTCCTGGGCACCTGTCTGTCATTTCAGTACGACAAAATAACCATCTGTGGTCCCATCTGCAAGACAGAAACGATGAGTGAGAGATCAGCAAGATAACAGACAGACAAGATCAACACTGACTGTTTGTGACGTGAGCGCAGAGGCTGACTTTTAGTGTTTACCTCTTATCGTGCTGAGGATGAAGCTGGTTTCCTCTTTGAGGTTCTGCACCATCTGGAATAAAAGACATCCAAATAATCACCGTTAAACACTCAAAGCTCACCCCACAGCCAGACTTCGACAGGACTGAGCTTCAGTTTTTATTACCTGGTCACTCTGATATCACCTCTGCCTGTTTACACTGTGGTAAAGTGTTATTTCAGACAGTCTTTGCCATGAATAAGATATAAAGTCTGACAGTAGTTTGACCCATAAGCAGGCTGATTAGACCGGTGGTTGTGTACTGACAGCATGATAGCAACATGAGCTGTGTCTCACTGAAGGGGCTGCAGCCTCTATAGGACCAAACCTTCAGCGCTGACCCTGGTCTTACTGAGTTAGACCCCCCCTCCAGAGATGAATGTTGTCGACCGCTTGCTTCTCTAGTTATACCAACTTTAGTAACGACCTCAGGATAGCAATACAGAGAGCCACGCCCTCAACCAAAACACCACTCTATAGCCACAAAAAATCCTCAGAACAACACCTAACACCTACGAAAACATAAACTTAAGTGGGGGCATTTCTCCACCTCTGTAGTCTATAAGCTGGTCAAGAAACTTCTACTGTAGTTAAAATGAAAAGGTTAAGGTGTTTTAATGAGCCGCATTATCAATAAAATCATGATTTTGTTAACAGGTATAGATATATGTGCTGTCGAGTTAATATATGTGAACAAGGGCACAGTAAAGATAAATCAGCTAATTTTCCAATGAGGTTCTGTTACTAAACGGAACTACACCATGTTCTACTGAGGTTAGTACATATAGGGTCCCAGCCATAGTACTAGACACCAAACATCTTTTTAACTTTGACTCATTTCTTTAACAAAGAGACTAAACACAACTCACCTACTCTCTTCCAGCAGACGCTTGTTTGTAGCAAGACCTCAGGCCAGTCCATTATGGACTACAGCGGGGTTTCGCAGCTCAAGAAAGAACATTTATGATAATTTCTTCATGGAAATACAATCAGACCGAGACGCTAAGACAGAAGAACTACCGCGTCTATAAAATGATTAATATGGTGATTGTTACTTTAAGGAAATGATAAAGAAATGATCATAAATGTTCTTCCTTGAGCTGCGGCACCCCGCTGTAGAAATGAGTCAAAGTTGAGGGTGTGTTGTCGATAAAGGAGACGCATAGATACCTCGTCTGACACTAAGACGTGGATCCCAGATGGTTTCTGTCTGTAGATGTGTGTAATTTGCTGTGGAGTGATGCTGTACAGCAGGGCGATCTTTTCAGACAGGTCCAGCAGTGTGAGCTCCTCCAGGTACAGAGCATGGTAGACTGCAGGGAGGGGAGACACAACCACCAGATGCATTTCAATGGATTCATCAGATCGCATTATTATTTGAAGGAGTTTTAGATGTTTTTGAAACTATTTTTTTCCCACAAAAAAATTCACGATAAATTATTTATTTAACCACCAAAAATCAGCAAGATTTTTGCACAGCAGGTACACTTACCATCTGCGCCGCCTGGTTTAACAGGAGGCTGTATTCTGGTCTGCTGCTGACACACATAGATGGTCAGGCGGGGCTGTATACACCTGGGGGAAGAGCACAAGGTACAACATGAGGAAAGATGATGAGTATTGTCACATATATTTATGTGACTGTCTGAATATACTCTATATACATTCAGAAGGTCACTCAAATCAATGCAACCTTTTCATCAAATAGATAAGTTATTATAATAAAAAAAGTTTATATACAAATGCTTTTGTTTTTTTCCTCCAGATAAATTCATTCAGCTCCTGCAGCATCTCTGTCCAGACTCTTTAATGCCTCACCTTCCTTTCATGGTGTTAAAAAGACGAATACCATCAGCAGGGCCGCAGATCTGGATCAGATCCTCCCTGCTCATCCTCAACAGGTCAGCACCTGCAACAACAGCCGATAATCCAAATCCCATCCTTATTTTCCCTCCATGGCCAAATCACTGCCGCTCTTTCTCTCTCACTGTCTGCAGACTGGTGATTTTGTTTTGCGTACCCTCCCCCCCAGTTACCTGAGAAGCTGGAGAAGAGCCGTGAGAAAGGTGCGAACCTGTGATGGTGCAGCCACTGCTGAGTGTCCTGCAGCGAGGACGATGGCAGAAGGTGCTACATGTCAAAAAGAAGAAGAGCCCTTGAAATGAGTATAGCAGCACAGCATCCACTGTCTCCAAATAATGTCCTAAAGGGGATGAGAGAGCAACGTTAAGACTTTCACTCTGCACTGCTCTCTGTTACTTACATCAGAGCAGCCGGGCATGAGCAGCTCCCCCTGCTGGTTTGGAGAACAGTTGCTATAGAAGTATGCACATGAGGAGGAAAGAGCAGATCAGGTGATTGGTTCTGTGGTCTGTGACGAAGTTTTACAACAAAGTGTCGGTCTTCACTTGTGTTTACAGAGCATCATACTGGTGAGTACCCATAGGGGGAGCTACTGCCACAGTTATGTCACACCGCTGGTCAAAGAGGAGTCCTGGTGCTCTAAACCTGGTACCTCTGCTTTGTTTGTGTTACTCTGATCCTATCACTGAAGTATTGTGTCCTCCTTTTAGGTAAATCATGTTGGTCGTGGAGTTTAAACTGAGCGCAGTCTGTCATGGCTGCTGATCTGGAGCGATTCCTACTTTCTATTAACCGAACAAGAATCCAGATTTGGAACTCAGGGGCTAGAAAGACCAAAACCCTGTTCACACAGGCACAGAAACTTATTCAAGGTGAGCTTCATGTGTGAAGACAAACAGCTGATTATATCACCCGACTTTGTCTGGAGTTTTCCCTTCAGGGTTTCATCACTCTAAGATGAAGATGAATCACAGATGGTGTTGATATCATGAAACTTCTGCACGACTTCTGAACTCTGAACATGCATGAGTGAAGCTGATTGAGCAGGATCAGACTCCGCTCTGTCCGCCATCTTTTGACCATTAAACAGTGACCAGAGCTGTTACAGCGACGACCTCCCTCCTGCTAAACCTCAGGAAACTTTGAAGTCTAAAAAAGAAGGTGTCACTGGGCGTTTATGCGGACTCACCTGTCGGTGAAGCTACAGGGAGTCGGGGAGCTGTGATAAACTGGTGATGGAGTGCTGCTGCTGCTGTGGCTGGTGAGGTTGAGGGCATCAGGCCAAGGAGAGCACTACAGAGAGAGGAAGGAGAGGAGGGTCATCTGTCTGTCGAAGACCGGACGCTGGTTTCCCTCAACGCTGTAACCCCTTTACAGACAAATCTTATGTTGTGGTGTTTGTACAAAAAATCTTTTAATATCAGTCAATAGTTTTTAGTTATTGATGACATTTGGTAATATATCGATATCTCTGTGTTCTCTTATGTCTGTATCGTCAACATTTGAACATTTTTGAGCGGTCCGCTCTTTCTGACTGTAAACAAAGCCGTTCTCCACCTCCTCTAACCTGATTGGTTGTGAGGCAGACGCTGCTCCCCCGTGTCGTTCAGGAGCCCAAACAAAGTTAGCGTGCTACAATATCGGACAGTAGAAACCAACCAGAAAGTTCGGAAAATTGTCTGAATCCTCCTTTGGCCACGACTGCCGACACAAGCAAGAAAACAAAGTAAATACCGGAGACTCTGGAGGAATAACGGGCGCTTAAAACGGAGGTAGACCGGACAAGAGCTAAAAAGCCGGGTCAACATAAACGATGGGGGACGCTTGGGGATCTTGGTGACCCTGTAACCTTTCTGCTGGACAGGTAAACCGCTTTAACAAAGTAAGACAAGTGTCTGTAACAGAAGTGTTTCTTGTCAAACGGACCTGCTGTAGCGTGCTGTAGCGCCATCGCTAAACTGTCCTCCCTCGGGTCCTGGACTATGTCACTTTATCCTCGTTGTAGAAGTCCTGCAAACATTGTGTTTGCTGGTAGTCTGTTGGCATCTACAGTAGCACCAATGCTTTTGACTTTCAGCTTGACTGGGCCCCATTTGTAATGATCTGAAGTATTTATCTGCATTATATCTGAATTTAATTGGAACGATACGAGCGAGCAGGAGCGTCTGTTTGTGGGCGGGGCTTGAGGGGAGAGGAGGAGCTGAGGGGAAAACTGGAATATCCTCAGATCCTGACTACCCCAACTTTAAAACAGTTGGTCCTGGTTTGAATCTGAATCATTCACCAAATCCTGTTTTTTCAGGACTTTTTAAAACAGAAACGGACTGAAGGACGTCTCCCATCACTGACTTTAAAAGTGTATGTTTGATTTTTATCTGGAGGTCTGCCAAAGTCACTTCACTGTCAACGTCAGAACACCGGCCCTTCAGGGGTCTCAATCATTGACAGAGCTCCGCAGTGACGCCGGCACACAATTAAAAAAGAAAACAAGCAGAGCGACATATTAACATGCGGTTCTGAGAGGAGGATATCCAGACTGCTCACCTCTTTCAACACCGTGGTCTCATGGGACAGCTGGTACTTGTCTCGGTCCTGAGGGGACTTCTTATCAATCTTCTCCCTGTCCGTCTTCAGTTTACGATCAGCTCCTTTGGGCTTTCAGGACAGAGAAACAAAAAGGCGTTAGACGTCAAAGTGAGCAGGCAGGATGACAGACTGGGAGGAAAGTTTCTCACCTTGAAGACTTTGACCTGACAGCTGGAGGAGTGAACATGCTCCATGTACTCTCCATGCTCGTTGGTGGTGAAAGTGTCCACCTGGATACGAAAGGGGACTCCTTTCTCGCCCCCGTGCTTCCTGGGGGTGAACTCAGTGCTGATGCAGTTGACCTGGGAGACAATGTTGACTCTCAGTTTCAAACCTTCACCAGAGAAAAGTTGGACCAGAGTCTGTTTCCGTACCTGGATGAAAGCAGAAGCGTTCTTCTCGGGATCCCAGAGGAACTCAATCGTGTTGAGGTGCAGAGGGTGGGACCGCGGCTCCATTACACCCACTGACAACGGGATATCTGCAAACGGATGGAAAGACATGGTTGACGATTGGAGAGACTGGTTATTATTATGAACCTCGTTTCTATGGCGATCATGCTCCTATAGTGCGATCTCCACAAAGTGTAGAGAAAAAAGACCCTTCAGAGTCCAGCAAGACAATATAAAACCACATTCTGCAGGGATCACAACACTAAAGCCAACTCACCTATATCCAGGATCCGGTCCCCGGGTCTGTTCCACCTCCATCCCTCCAGCTGCTGATGCTCCATATACTGCAGTCGACGGTCATGAAACACCACACGCACAATGCTCTGTGAACAGGCGGGTTCAGGAGTTCAGGCCAGGAAACAGGCGGGGGTTTAAAGAGGGCAGCTCACACAGAACCAGACAGCCGGACTGTCGGGTAAAGTGCTCAGACGCTGCCCCCCGTTAGCACAGTTCAAAACACAGAGACACAATGATCAGGAGGAGAACATTCAGAGTGAAGCTCATCTCCACAAACTCCTGAGGAAACAGAGAAACTTCTCATTTTAGAGTCAGGGCTCCCACTATCACTCACTACACGGACTCTTGAGGTGACAATTATGGAACGACATGTCATGATGCTAAAGTATGACGGGAGGGATATTCTCTTCCAGCAGCCGCTTGTTTGTAGCAAGACCTCAGACCAGTCCATTACAGACTACAGCGGGGTGACGCAGCTCAAGGAAGAACATTTATGATCATTTCTTCATGGAAATAGAAATAGAAGAACTACCGCGCCTGTAAAATGATTAATATGATGATTATTACTTCAAGGAAATGATAAAGAAATGATCATAAATGTTCTTCCTTGAGCTGCGGCACCCCGCTGTAGTCGGGGCAAACAAGCGTCTGCTGGAAGAGAGTAGGTGAGTTGTGTTTTTAGTCTCTTTGCCAAAGAAATTAGTCAAAGTTAAAAAGATGTTTGGTGTCTAATACTATGGCTGTGACCCTATATGTACTAACCTTAGTAGAACATGGTGTAGTTCCGTTCAGTAACAGAACCTCATTGGAAAATTAGCTGATTTAACTTTACTGTGCTCTTGTTCAAATATATTAACTCAACAGCACATATATCCATACCTGTTAACAAAATCATCATTTTATTGATAATTCGGCTCAATAAAAACACCTTTACCTTTTCATTTTAACTACAGTAGAAGTTTCTTGGCCCAGCTTAACAACACCTGTCTGATCCGATTCACCGACCCTGAAGATCGCTCAGTGTCACCAAGACGACAACTGAGCTTTAAGGACTCACAGGATCTCAGACCCGGGTCGTTTTTGTCACAATTACAGGGTGTAAATATTAACTGACATGTACCAGATGTTTGGGAAACATCTCAGCAGATTTAGAGCAGAACTGACATGAAACCTAAAAACATCTACCAGACATATTTCAAGTAAAAGCTCTAGACGCAGTGAAAATGTTGAATTGAACTGATTTGGGGGATTTACGAATGATTTAAAGCCGATGTTGAGGTGTCACACGACGAAACTTGAAGAAAAGGATGGTTGACGTTTCCTTTTTTGACTCTTTCTCACAAGGACTTTGAGAGGCATACATCTACATCTCTGCAGCACCGAAGCCAGCCTGTAAAACCGCGACAGGCATCAAATAAATCAACCAATTAGATTAACAGCCTGTAAAAACATGCAGCATTGGCATATTTATGGAGGGAGACTCACGCATGACTGCGCACCAGAACTCAAAGAGTCCTGAACCCAGGAGGTCAGGTGTTTGCAGAGACGCCACCTGTCCCATTCCTGTGTTTCTAGGATGCTACAGCCAGCATTAGCGTCTCGATGATGGCGGGCTGACCAGGGAGACGCGGCGAGTGGATGCACTCACAGGGAAATGAATCAATAACCCTGGATTTTAGCAAAGACGTCAAATCTTTAGGGGAGGAAATCTACGTCTGCAGCTGAGTCGGTTTAATGTTCATCGAAGAAAACGAGCTGCAGGGTCAACTTTGCATTTGTGAAGTTTCATTTTCTGGTTTCTTAGATTTTAAAAGTGAGTTTGGGTGATAGTACCGAGGTCGACATCCCACCCCTGAAATGGAAGGAAGGGTTTGAGGACCAGTGACAAACCATCAGAGTGGAAACATCAAAACTGACAAGAGAAGAAGAGGAAGAGGAGACATGAAACAGACAAACACAATACCGTATACCTACCTTCACATATTTGCTGCTTATATCTGTATACTCCACTAGTTTTCTGTTTAGCATACGGATTTCGTAGGACTGACCTACATTTTAAAACATTAAAAACAAACCTGATTAAAATTGAAAAATGGGAAATCAGTCAATCAGAAAAGAAGGGGCAGTGAAATTAAATCAAATTCCAAAAAAAAAGGAAAAAAAAAAACTTTAGAGCCAGAAATGAAGGCCAGACACTTCAAACATCAACATATCTCCATCCTGAATATGAAGGTCAAACATTTAGAGTCAAATCACAAGAAAAAGTCATGAAAATAGTCAGGAGGGAGGGAGGGACGGTGCACCTGCTCCAACCGAGGATGTGAGTGCCGTGTGTGAAAAACTCTGCTGAAAGATGTAAACACCACAAAGAAAGAGAAGATTTAATGATTTTTATAATAACTGATATAAAGTTTACGCTGAGCCATAATCACTGAAGTCTAAAAAAATCTGAGAAAAAGCCAAAATGAATTCAAAGAGAGTCAGAAAACTCAGAATTTATCGATTTAAGAAATAACTAGAAAATTAAATCGTTAAAATTACGATAAAGTGATTTTTTTTTAAAAACACCAAGAAAAAAAACAACAACTAAATAATTCTGAGATTAAAAAGTCAAAGTTTATAGATTGTCAGGAATAATCAAAAAAAAAAATTTATTATTATTGATTATCTCATGGTTTTCACTTTTTCATCTCATACTTTTGATTTTATGATTTTTATAAGGAATCTTTAATTTTAATCTTCTGACTTCGACCTCTAACATAATTAAATAAAACTCGTCTGAATATTTTAATTATTTTATCAAATCATTTTAAATTTCCATCTCATCATCTTCACTTTATCTCGTCTCATAAAAACTTCTATTTTACAGAAACACTAAATCTCTAATATAACACTAACACTAATATTTTTAGGTTTTTGACACTTTTATGACCTTTTTTTAAATCATATTAATGCCTTTTATTTAGACTTTTAACATATTGATGTTTTAGTCCAATCCTATAAAAACAAACTAATTGATTACTCATGTAATCAAACCTCCTCCTCTATAAATATGTGTTTTATTATATGACTGCCATTATGTTAGTGACTTTTATTCATAATTTTGACTTTTATCCCATAATTTCAGAACATAATCTCATAAATTTGATATTTCCTTTGAATTTGAACCAAAATCTTTAATAAATTTGTGCTTTATTGAAATTTTTTTGTCACATTTATGATTTTAACTCAAAATTTTCTGACTCTTAACTCCTCATTTCAGAACTCGATCTCATAAATTTGACAATCTTTTTCTTATAATTAATTACTTAAATATGACTCTTTAATATTATATTGATGATGTTTCACTCATAAATTCCACTAAATAACTGATAATTATGATTTATTCTCCCATAATCACCACTCTTTCTCACTACATTGTTATTTTGTAAACTTACTTTATTTCTGTGTTGTGTTTTTACCAGTTAAAATGAACTTTATTTGGAGTTATGTTTGACAACAACATTGAAAAAGTCTCATTAAAATTAATGTTTTAAAGTCGTTAAAATCCAGAGTTTGAAGGTAGAATAGAACGGAAACTTAAATCTTGATTTTTCTTTTCTTTTGAGTGATTTTCCTGAAAACAGAGTTTTTCACCCACAGCTCAGACCCTCAGTGTTTTCTTGAATGTGAGTCACAGACATAGACTGTATATACTATAGTACAGTATATACACGGGTCTGTGAATGTCGCTGTTGTTCGTTACAGTGAACTCTTTTATTTTTGTCTTCACTGTGACGCCGATAAGCAGAACAAACTTTGGGTCTAACAGGTAAACAAAGCACAAATACAAAATGTCACTGTGTCCAACGAGAGAGAGAGACAGAAACAATCAGAAGATGGAGAGACGAGTGATGTCCAAGAGGAGAGGGAAGCACCATTTGAGAGCATTAAGGAGAAAAACAGAGAGAGAGAGACGAAACTGATCCAGACTGACACACACTCAGGAGCTCATGTTGCACTTTTCAGTCTCTAAAGGGACTCTGCTGCCTCCTTTAAGTCCTGATACAGGTCCTCAGATCCTCTCCTCATTCACCTTTCAATAAAGTCTTAAAGGACCCTGAATTTACCAACACAGGAGTTCAGTTCGGAGTTTGACCCTGATCCATAAAATGAGATCCTGAAGTCTGAACACCTCCGGACATAACAGCACAGGTTTCTGTTTGACTATCATCTCATCTCTTTCCTGTTTTTTTTTCTTTGTTTCCTTTCTCTCTTCTTTTACTTCTCTCTTTTTCTGATTTTATTTCTTCCTCTCCTTTCTTTGTTTTTATTTATTTCATCGTTCTGTCTTTGTGGATGTCGATTAAAGGCCCGAGAGGAAGATGAAGCAGACTGTAAAATGCTCTGCTCTGCGACTTCGACTTGGCTGGTTGTTTTGTCCGTATATGTCTGTATTTGTTTTTGTCTGTAGCTTTGTAAATGTGCTGCTGCCTGTCTTGGCCAGGACACTCTTCAATAAGATTTTTAACCTCAATGAGTTTTTTCTGGTTAAATAAGGTTTCATTTCATTTTCTTTTCTGTCTGCCTTTCTTCCTTTCTTCCTTTCTTTCTATCCTTCCTTTCGGTAGATTAAAAGTGTTTGTGTTTGTGTTGATTTTGGCGCCCCCTGTGGACAGTGTTGAACATATCTGGTCTAAGCTGAGTTTGTAAATACTTTTTTTTCTTTTTTAAACTTTCTATTCCTTTCTGTTCAGTTTAATTAAATCAGTTTTTAGAATATTTCAAACACTAATTAAGCTTAATTTTAGGGCAGATATTGGAGCTCATTAAATAATTTTGGTTTTTATTTTAAGTCTTTTTTTCAGTTTTAGGATCATCAAGAATCTAAGAACAGTTTTTATTTTTTTTTATAAATTATTATTTTTTTCTTTTTTAACTTTTTATTCTTTTCTGTTCAGTTTAATTGAGTCTGTTTTTTAAATATTTTAGAAGCTAAATTTTTGGGGCTGATTTTTGAGCTTATTTAATAACTTAGGATTTTATTTTAAGTTTCAGGATCATCAAGAACAATAGAACTGTTTTTTTAAATAAGTTATTATTATTATTATTATTATTATTATTATTATTATTATTATTTTATTATTATTATTTACACTTTCTATTCTTTTCTGTTCAGTTTAATTTAATCATCTTTTAAAATATTTTAGAAGCTGAATTTTCTGGCAGATATTGGGGATCAGTCAGAATCATCAAGAACCTTATAACTGTTTTTTTTTTTTGTTTGTTTGTTTTTTTTAATCATTATTAATTTCCTGCAAAGAAAAAATTGTCTCTCTTTTAAATCCTTTTTTTTTTGGTCTTAATTGTCTTCAGTCGTCAGATTTCTGGGATGTTTGGTTGTTATTGTTGTGGTTTATGTTTAAAACCTTTAGTCCAAACTGGTCCGATGTTTGGTTCTGATCCAAATGAACTTCCTGACTGTGGCTGTCAGAGAAAAGACTCTCTACTTCACTAAAGTTTGGATCTGTCGTCCTCACTCTGCAGACCTCCTAACTCCATCCCTGCTCAGCTCCAGAACTGGATCATCACTGACAGACTTTCAGGACTTCAGAACCAGTACCAGTCCCTGAGGTGACCCTGCAGCTGTTTGCAAACATGTGACAAAATGAGCTCCAGTGCATGCAGTCAACACGGACAGTCCCGCTCACATAGCTACCTTGGTTGAGATAGGTGAGGCTCTCCTCCTGCTGCTTCACAGCCGGCGAGGTGGCCGCGCACAGAATGTACTGAAACGGGCTCGTCTTGGCGCCATTTTCAGCCATAAGCCTCGCCTCCTCGTTTTTCAGGAAAGGTGCCAAGGCCTCTCTGCAGAAGGAAAGAAGTGGAGCTGAGTGTGGAGGAGGTGATTGTTCTTTTTATCTAATCACTCCATCATACGAACAAAGGTGCAAACGCCGGCTGACGTTTGAGCTCAGAGCGGCTGTAACTCTGCACATGTAACACCCAAAGTTCAGACACTTCTCCTCATGCTTGGCTCTAACACCCTGACCCCCCAGCCCCCGCTCCCCCAGCCCCTGACCTGTGCTTTACCTAATGTAACTAGCCGAGTGCTGGTGGTAGGACTCAGGCTGGGAATGGCAGAACAGCATATTTTCCAGAGCGGTGTCTTCTTGTATCCTGGGACCACAGGGGAGACCGGAGTCAGACCTGCTTGCTTCAGCTCAGAGAGGTTTGCGACCAAACACCGCCGCCTCCTTCTTATATGGGCGCTGTGATGTCACTAGGGATCTCATTAGCATACCTTGGTTGACCTTTGAGAGGCGGAGAGTGGCGGCACACCTCCCACCACCATCATCGTCCAGCCGGGTTGATGCATTAATAGCGGCGCGTCTTGACCTTTTGTTGACGCTGAGACTTGAAGCTCATTAGGGTTAACGACGTTTGTTGGTAAACTCTGCAGAGATCAGCCCTGACCGGGTCGACGACAATCATCAGCTGTTTTATTTCTTCATTTTAAAAAAACGCAGAGCTTCGTTAAAAATCTTACAACCTGTGACAAACTCTCTCCTCAAACAGAGCGGAGATATCAGCAGCAGCAGGTCTCAGGTTAATGTTTACACTCAGACGCTTAGCACACCTCAGCGCTCTGATGCATGTCCCTGTAAATGGATGGACAACTGGGAATCAGTGTCACCAGTGACCCCGCAGAGGCCACAGAACAAAGGTCAACCTGTGAGGCAGCAAAACCTGCAAAGACATGCAAGCTTTGAAGCTGTGGAAATTACCGTGTTTTTAAGACTTTCTGCACGAGGAGCAGGTGATGCAAACGTTTTCACGGCTGCAGAAAAAATAATCCGGACATGTGACGTTACAGCCTGCTGCAGACTGAAGGGTGGGAGGAAACAGCAAGTCCAAAACCTCCATAACTTATCAAAGTAAGTCTGCGAGGCAGAAACCGTACAGCCCACTGTGGAAGGGTTAAAAACTGCAGTTCCTTCAGTGTCCACTAGAGGCTGACTGAAAAGGTCCCAGAGACCGGGTTCACACTCATTCAGAAAGACTCGTCTCACAGCAGCAGGTCAACTAAAAGTCTTAAAGGGATATCCCGGTGTAAAATTAATATAGGGTCAAACCCACCGTAACACCGAGTTAGACCCCCCCTCCAGAGATGAATGTTGTCGACCGCTTGCTTCTCTAGTTATACCAACTTTAGTAACGACCGCAGAATAGCAATACAGAGAGCCACGCCCTCAACCAAAACGCCACTCTATAGCCACAAATAATGCTCAGAACAACACAAACTTAAGCGGGGGCATTTCTCCACTTCTGTAGTCTATAAGCTGGGCCAAGAAACTTCTGCTGTAGTAAAATGAAAAGGTAAAGGTGTTTTTATTGAGCCGAATTATCAATAAAATCATGATTTTGTTAACAGGTATGGATATATGTGCTGTCGAGTTTGTATACATGAATAAGAGCACAGTAAAGTTAAATCAGCAAATTTTCCAATGAGGTTCTGTTACTAAACGGAACTACACCATGTTTTACTCAGGTTAGTACATATAGGGTCAAAGCCATAGTACTAGACACCAAACATCTTTTTAACTTTGACTGATTTGTTTGTAGTGAGACCTCAGGCCAGTCCATTACAGACTACAGCGGAGTTTCGCAGCTCAAGGAAGAACATTTATGATCATTTCTTCATAGAAATACAATCAGACCGAGACGCTAAGACAGAAGAACTACCACGTCTGTAAAATGATTAATATGGTGATTATTACTTCAAGGAAATAATAAAGAAATGATCATAAATGTTCTTCCTTGAGCCGTGGCACCCCACTGTAGTCGGGGCAAACAAGTGGCTGCTGGAAGAGAGTAGGTGAGTTGTGTTTAGTCTCTTTGCTAAAGAAATGAGTCAAAGTTAAAAAGATGTTTGGTGTCTAGTACTATGTCTGTGACCCTATATGTGGGTCACTCCATGAAATCGGTGCCTTTTGTGTCCCCAAGAAGTATTCATTCATAAAATTATGATAACAACAAATTAATATGTAATTTAAAAATAAAACATTACCATGTACATCAAATTAAAGTCAATTAAATATCATTTTAAATAGTCCTGATAGAGGTGTTCCCGCTGCAGGTTTCAGAGCGATGGTGGTCTTTGCTCCTTTATAAACCAGCAGTTATTTTCACCAAGACTACATTCGGGTTTTTTTACTCTATGATTTGGATTAAAGTGATCCGTTTGTGAGCGTGTGAAATAAAAGACGGACAAACCCCCTCAGCTCTTTGTAGGTTTATTTCTAGAGCAAACCGTTTCTTTACATCGTTGTAAATCTATCACAGGTGGAAGTTAACAAAAAAAAAACCTTCTGTACAGTTTATCATGAGAGAACAAATAAAATAAAATATATAAATACAGGTTCCAATATTACAAGACCAGCTGAGACAAAAAGAAAGACTGTCGAACATGCATAGTGAAGAGTTTGTAGGGATACCGTCTTTTCTGTTTCCAGGACCCATAAAGTGATGAGACGTCAGCGAGCAGCGGTGAGCGGACTGAAATGTGTCGTTTAAAGCCCAAGTGTGAAGGTGAGGTGAGACAGACAGGTGAGGCTGGGTGCAGGTACGACAGGACCACATGTCAATCAAATGATATCCAGTACCGTCACATTAATAACACATGAGAAGTCTGTACATTCAGAATTAAATAAACTCAGACCCAGAGTCCTGAAGACGCTCTGTCAGGCCAAAATCAGGAAAACTCGTCTCTTACTCATTTTTTTAACTTAATTTAATAAAAGTTCAAAAAAAAAATTAACACAAAAAGTCTCCCTGTTAACAGAGTAATAATGTACCGTGAAATAAACTAAAACAAATCTCCTCCCAAAGCTACGGTGGCCCAGAAGGGCAATGGAACAATTATTTCAATCCTGCAGAAACTTTTACCAGGAAACAAAAAACATTTGAGAAAACCAAAAAAGTACAAAAAATAAAAAAGATTTTGGAAAATGGAGAAAATTATTTAGAAGAAAGGAAAAGGGATGAATTTTTTAAAAATGATTATTTTGACAATTTAAATTAATTTAGAAACAGAAAGATTTTTTTAATACGATTACATTTTTGAAAATATTAATTTTTAAGAAAATGAAAAAAAAAATTCCAGAAACATCATACATTTTTTAAACAAAATCATTTCTTTAATTTATTCCTCAATTATTTCTCAGTCCCAGAAAATATTTTTGGATTTTCAAAAATTTTCTATTCACTTCTTTTTTATTCAAGGATTATCATTTTCCAAAATCTTTGACTTTATTTTAAACATATTTAAATGCAGTGATTGTTTTTATGCTTTTATGTGAAACGTTTTTGGTGTTCTGGAAAATGTTTTTGTCATCCGTTGACCTTCAGGGCCACCGTAGAATCCCATCAGAGTGGAGGGGTTCTTCCTGGTTGGGGTCTTCTGTGTTTTAAAGGTTTTTGGATGAATCAGGGAGGGGTCTGAGAGGCTGATGCAGGATTTTAGACATTTAAAGCTTTTTTGTACCTCGAAGGTTAAAGGAAATTCAGATGTTTGAAACCTGGACTGAAGTTTTTCTCCTTTTCTCTAAACGACTCAAAGGTCAGAAAAGTTAAAGATCTTCAGGTGGCAGCAGCGAAACTGGAAATCTGCTTCGGTTTCATCTTTGAGGTCTTCGCTCAGAGTCGAGGAAAAATGCAGATGTCAGGATGCTTTTTCGGATCCTTGATTTAATGATTAAAACCTAAATACTAACCTAATACAGAGTTGGATCAGAACCGTTTCAAACAAGAACAAAGTGGCTGCAGTAGACCAGAAACCCCCACGTCCTGAAAAGACCAGGTGGAGGTCTGTCTCCTGCAGCGGTTTGTTTCATTGCTGCCAGCCGAGGCGGTCCACTGAAGAAACTCTTAAACTTTTCGAACCATTTCCTCATAAAAAACAGCGTCCAGGTTAAACATGAAAACACCAGAATGTCCCTTTAATACTGAAATAAGAAAAGAAACCTGCGCCCGGAGGTTTCCCTCTGAGTTCCCACCGGTTTCAAAAGACTGATCCGGTGGTTTTGGTCACAGTTCTCGCTCTGTTCGTCCTCTGACGACGGGTGAATGTGGCGACTGAACTCCTCCATCCAATCAGAGAAGAGGAATCTGACGATGGAACAAGTGCACTTTAACAGCCGGGAACCCGGGGCCCTTCAGCGCAGCAGGAAGCTGACGTCTGCTGCAGGTTACATGCAAGCTATTTAAGATAACGTGCAAGAAGAGTCACTTGACCTTTCCTCCAAACTTTTGCGAAGCGGTGGTCCGAGAGTGTATTTACAACAAAACAGCTCCGTCTGTGAACTCAGGTGGAGAGGAAACAGATAATACTGGGTGTTTGTATCGTCTCAGGTCCAGAACTCCTGCAGGTTCACATTTTTTTTACAGCGCTGCACGTCCCGTCTGCTCTCTCTCTCTGCAAACATGAGTGTGAATAAGTGAATAAGGCCTGATAACGTCTCTGAAAGTCCCGGAAGGTCGTCGCGCTCTCCTCGCAGTATTTACAAAAGACTCCCTCCTCTCCACACACACACCGAGGCCACATGAACGGAGCGTTTCCAACAATCAGACTTGTTCAGGGGTGACCTCTCCTCAGCTCCACGTCTGCAGATTAACAGCAACTCCTAAAATCCGAACTAAATTTAACAGATTGTCAATTTAAACGCTGAAATTTTCACTTTTGGCACCTTGTCGAGAGGAACAAACGTGTGTTTACCGGATTCATCCACCCTTCGTAACAAATCAGCATTAAAAAAAAACATGCTACACTGGATTTACAGGCTGTAGAGTCCTCCTCGGTGAACTTCAAATCAACTCAAAACGCTCACACACCGTCCACAAATCTTACACCGTTTTTTGTTTTCTTACAGTTTTTGGTTTTTATGCTCCAGAACCAGAACCAGAACGACTCTCATGACCCACGAATATTTCACAGCAAACCATCAAACACCGAGCGGAGGATCTCTGTCAGATCCAACAGAACCGTGTCGAGTCAAAAACAGACGCACAGTTACATTCAGAAGTTTCCAGAGTGAAGAAAGAACCAAGAGGGTGAAAGGATGTCCTCCAGTTAACGAGGAGGAGTTAGGATGATGGAGAAGAAGAGGAGGAGGAGGAGGGCTGCGGCTGCTGGTCCTCAGCGTTTATTAACTGTGGGAGGAGACGTCGGAGGAGCTGCTGCTGTTGCTGTTGGTGGTCTGAGCTCGTTTGATGTAGAGGTTCAATAACTTCATCTGGAAACAAGCAGAGACCAAAAAAGAACATTGAAGGGGTTACAAAGTCCTGACCCACCGAGAACCAAGTCCTCATGACTGTGGACTGAGGAGCTGATTGATTTAATTGGATCCCCATGAGGTACTATTTAGGTATCAGCTCCTCTTCCTGGGGTCCATAAGAAGACAATAAACATTCGTACAGATTAAAATGATAAAAGTCCAAACAGGAGAATTAAACAAGATGTTAAAATCAGAACTGAAACAAGAATTATGATGACTTTACATTTACAATTACAATAAACACCAATAAAGTTTCTTATTTCAGTGAGTCTGGTCTCTTTAGATATCCGTTTACCTTCTTTTTAAACACGTTAACCTTGTAATAACAGAATGAGTTAGTGTTGATGAGAGGAAGTGTGAAATAACCATTTAATGTTGAAATTATGACCATCAACAGTTCAGAGCAGTTTGACAGATCGGTCACGCCTTCAGCCGCCCGCTCGCCCCCTGCAATATGGCGCTCCAGGTGTGAGATAGCATATACGCCCCCTCATCCCGGTTGACGGTCCTCGGGCCTCGCTTCTGGATTTCCATTGCCCCCCTGATCCAGCGTGACCGATCTGTCAAACCGACGGAAAGGTCACGCCTTCGGGAACATCAGCTGTTTTAAGACGCGTCACACAACCATCACGTGGCGCTCTGAGGAAGACTGGTGTCAGCACGACGAAACGTGTCAGCACGACGAAACGTGTCAGCGACGAACCGAATCCAAGAATGACTTTTTACACGTCGTTAAAAACAAACAGACACAGACTTAGATGAAGATATTTCCCTGTTTTTACTCGACATACTGACTTTTTTTAAAGATAAAATCTGATTTATCTTCTCTAGTTTCTTTGTTCAGATTGTTCCACAAACCTCTTCCTCTCACTGTCACACAGCGCTCCTTCACTTTAGTTCTGAATCTTTACTTTTTAAAGATTTAAAAGCCTTTTAAATTATAATAAACTTTCTTTTTTTTTTCTAACCTGCTCTGGATGTTGATGGTTAAATTTTCATTTGAGTTTTAAACATAATCTGAAATAAACTAAAATCAACAAACTCACTGAATTTGAACAGATAATGGGTTTGAAGTCTCTCTGTATTGACTTCCACTAATAACTCGTGTTGCTCTTTTTTGTAAAATGAAAATTGTCTGGATGGGAGTTTATCATGCACTTCCCCTCACTTCAACACAGAATGTCGAATTATACAAGAGGCAGAGGAGGGGGCTTGACGACTCGACTTGAGACTCGACTTGGACTTGAGTCCCATTTTTGACTTGCTCGATGATCAAGAAATGACTTGTAGACTTGATTGCTAAAGACTTGAGACTTGACTTGACTTGAGCCCTGTGACTTGAAAAGTCAAGTCAAGTTGGGACTTGAAGCAAAATTCCTAGGACTTGGTTGGGTCTCGAAACAAAAAGTTCAGGACTTCGATTTGCCTCGAACTTGAGAGTAAAGACTTGAGACTCGACTTGGACTTGAAAGCAAAGACTTGAGACTCGACTTGGACTTGCAACATAGGGACTTTCCCCCACCTCTGACAAGAGGTACAAAACTTTATTATTATCATCTAAGTAGTCCTTTAGTTTCCTTTAGTCACAGAGTGACTCGCTGAGTTAGCAAACGTTCATCGTTAACATGGATTTAATCAGCGCTGATGATGGAGAGAGACTCGTTTTAAACATGTCCGAGTTTTAAAGTGTGAACTGACTCCTGATTGGACGACCTCTGCACATAAAACTGTGATGGTGAAGATCTCTGTAAATCTGGACTTTTTCTGAGCAGGTGGAGGAGGTCATCCTCCGCCGTGGACGCTTACATAATCCAAGGACGGGGAAATGGGGCAAAAATGACCCTGTACTTTTAATAACTGGAGAACCGGTCTGAACCAGTTCAAATACAACAACATGGGAAGATGATAAGGCTCTGCGTCTGTTGGAGAAGTGTGTGTGTGTGTGTGTGTGTGTGTGTGTGTGTGCGTGGAAAGTCTCGGTGCAGTCGGTACCTTGCTGCCCGTGAGCTGTGCCAGGTGGGGTTTGAGCTCCTCGCCAATCACGGAGTAGATGGCCACCAGACAGAACACGCTGGCCTTGCGAACGCTGCTCTCTGTGTTGTCATAGCCCTGCGGAGAGACGGAGCAGCGTGAGGCGCGGCGCACGCACGCACATACACACACATGAGGGGTCAGCGGGAACGTGGGAGGAGCCGCGGAGAGGGCAGAGTCCACGCAAACATTTCCAGGGACAAATAAGGCAAATAGTTCACTGTCCAAATATGCACATTGTCCAAATAAGCAGAGCGGCGTCGGAAAGTCACAAGTTGGAACAAGTTCTGAGTGTTTTTATTCACAAGAAGAAGAAATCTGAAAGAAATCTGTCTGAGAGAGAAGGAAGAATTAAGGAGAGACTCAAACAAGATCATTTCATCCAGTTAAAGATGATTTACAAAAACATATCAAAATATATCTAACCCGACTCAACCAGCTGGATTTTATCTGCAAAACTTAAAACTCAGGATAGTAATACAGAGAGTCAAACGCTCAACCAAAACGCCACTCTATAGCCACAAATAATGTTCAGAACAGCACCTAACTTCATCAACAGGACATATAGGGTCACAGACATAGTACTATATTCAGAGTTGTTCTAACGCTTAAGAAAACCTAAACTTAAGTGGGGGCATTTCTCCACTTCTGTAGTCTATAAGCTGGGCCAAGAAACTTCTACTGTCGTTAAAATCATTTCTTTATCATTTCCTTGAAGTAATAATCACCATATTAATCATTTTACAGACGCGGTAGTTCTTCTGTCTTAGCGTCTCGGTCTGATTGTATTTCTATGAAGAAATGATCATAAATGTTCTTCCTTGAGCTGCGTCACCCCGCTGTAGTCCGTAATGGACTGGCCTGAGGTCTCACTACAAACAAGCGGCTGCTGGAAGAGAGTAGGTGAGTTGTGTTTAGTCTCTTTGCTAAAGAAATGAGTCAAAGTTAAAAAGATGTTTGGTGTCTAGTACTATGTCTGTGACCCTATATGTCCTGTTGATGAAGTTAGGTGCTGTTCTGAGCATTATTTGTGGCTATAGAGTGGCGTTTTGGTTGAGGGCGTGGCTCTCTGTATTGCTATCCTGCGGTCGTTACTAAAGTTGGTATAACTAGAGAAGTAAGCGGTCGACAACATTCATCTCTGGAGGGGGGGTCTAACTCGGTGTCACTGTGTGTGTTTGACCCTAAATTAATTTTATGCCTGAATATCCCTTTAAAGTCTGGACTATGACCTGCAGAGTTCAGAGGTTTGGATGCAGGAAACAGTTTTTAACTTTAAAAATTCAGAGTAAGAATCAGAAGATCAAAGTGTTTTATAAAAGTGAGCGACAGATTTCTGACGGTAGTTTTACTTTTCGATTAAACTCTCTGCAGAGACGAGCACAGACGCAGGATTCTGATCAATACTCTGAAACATTAACTCCACGCTCATGCTCAGGACTCTCTCTTTTCTCCTCACCCCCCCCCAAAAAAAATCTCCAGGGACAAATAAGGCAAATAATTACCAGTGTCCAAATATGAACATTGTCCAAATAAGCAAAGTGGAGCAAAGAGGAAGTTTCTGCTCTGAACGTCCCCGACAACCCCGGCGGCTCCTCTGTTATTTAATCCGACCTTCAAACCATGAAGATTAACCCTAACCCAGACCAACACCAGAACCTCAGCAGAACTTCAGCAGAACTTCAGCGGACTCAGACCTGCAGGAGTCCCGGGATGATGTCGGGCAGCAGCTGCAGCAAGGAGTCCTTGGCGATGCGTTCGATGACTTTGGTCTGCATCTTGATAGCGGCCAGGTTGATGGGGTAGTCGGCCGTCTGCACGATCGGACACAGAACCTTGATGCACTGCTCGGGGTGGATGGAGCCGGCCAGCGTGGACGCCGCCTCCTCTGCTGCACGCACCACCTGAACGCACAAAAAAGTTTCATCGTCCAACCCTGTTTGTCCTCATTTGTTGTTTGCACCTTCTACGCCGTCTCTGCCCTGACGGAAGCGGATCTCTGTCTCAGCCAATCAGCTTCGTTCCCTCCTTGCTCTGTTTTTAATCCGTGATGAATAAAGAAATAGAAAAAGAACCCGTACCTCCTTGTGAGAGTCCTTGTGGGCCTCCAGGGTCTTCATGATGGTCAGCTCGGCGTAGTTTTTGAAGCGGGCCGGCTGGTTCCTCAGGATCTCCTTCAGGACTCGCAGGGCCAGAGCTCGGATGGTGTGCTGAGGGACACAGGAAGTTAGCGCGCTCGAATAAAGCAGCTCAGCGAGGAGCGACATGCACACCTGTCCATCAGGTAACCTACGTCTTTGTCCCCCAGAGTCTCCAGCAGGAGGAGCAGGATGGTCTTGAAGTGTTCGTCCCACACGGCCATGCTGTCTTCTCGCGTGATCTTCAGCAGCTCCACCAGGGCGCCTTTACGCTCCTCAGAACGCTCGTTGTGATTGGACAGCTCCTTGAGCAGGTCCGCCACCATGTCTGAGTGGTCCTGACCGACTGATCGACGAGAGGAGAAAGTTACACGACAATCTGAGACCCAACAGAACCGACTCAGAATTCACACTCAGCAGGATCCAGGAGTTAAACTGGTTTACAGTGTGAACAGGATCCTCAAACCGGTCTCAGTTATAATCAGTTTGCAGCAGGGTTCAAGGTCAGGGATTAAGACCGTGAAACAGGTTCAGGAGTGCAGGATGTTCCCGTCATGCTGGGAATCAGATAAATAAATAATTTGATCTGCTGCTCCTCTAAGTTTGATGAATATTGGATTTTATTTCTATGGAAATAAAAGACGCTTTGAGATCAGCAGTTAGAGTTTCGGTAAAAGATTCTAAAGTATCAGGAAAACCTGCAGCGGAGGCAGGAACAGGTTGGACTTGGAGAAAACAGGAAGTGGGAGGAGTTAGCAGAGTTCAGAGATGGTGATTGGGTATCAGGAGATGTGAGTGAAAAATGCAAACACAGAAAAGGTGAGAGGGTGAATGTGCAGGAGAGGAGACAAGGAGCGGAGGAGAGGCACCTTTAGCGGGACCAAAGACCTTGGGGAGCATCATCTTGTTTTCACCGCTCTCCTGACGTCGGCCTGGAGGAGGAGGAGGAGGAAGAGGAGGAGGAGGCGGGGGAAGAGGAAGAGGAGGAAGAGGAGGAGGAGGAGGAGGAGGGATGGAGGTGGAGGTGGGGAGGTGAAGGACAGAGGGGAGACAGGAGGGTGTAGAGCAGAGAGGATGTGATGACGACAACGAGTGACACAATCATGATCTACACACACACACACACACACACACCTGGTGGAGGCGGAGCTCCACACAGGTAACCACTGACACACCCGTTCTCCCTCTCACTGTTACTTTGACATGTCAGCTGATCGTCAGCACATGAACTCACAGTCTCTGAACTGCTCCACGTCGTCGTCGAACACCGCCTCCTTCAGGGCGCTCTTGTCATACGTGCAGATGGTTTCGCCGTAGCCGTACGGCGCAAACTCTCGGCTCCGCGGGCCGCAGAAGGAGCGGGGCGATGGCGTGTTGAGGAGGGAGGTCTTGTTGTCTAAGGCGGTTCGACCTCCTTCCACCACATCCAGGCCCAGACGGGCGTCAGAGCCGGGTGAGGACGCCACGCCTTCTCTCCCCGCCTGTGAGACAGAAATGGAGGAGAGGATGGCGAACAGTTTGACATCGACAGAGATCTCGGTTTCGTCTCGGACAGAGTTAAAGTCCACATGAGAGTTAAAAATGATAATAAACTGAATTTAATAAACACAAGTCTGACTGATCGTTTAGGAAACCTGATCGTGAGTTTACATTTTCGTTATAATCCGTTCACTTTGAAATATTCTGTTAGAGCCGATTTTTTAGTTTATAAAAGTTTATGAAAATTCAAATTTTCAGAAGTCGGCTGGGTGGATTTACAGACAAATTTAAAATCAGATCCATTTTAGTTTGTTTTTCGTAAACTCAATAAAGTTATTTATCCTCCTTCTTTCTGCAAAACTTTGAAATTCAAAAACTTTTTGTGAGTTTCTGTTCATGAAAATATTTTTGAAAATCTGTTTTTTTTGTTTTTGTAATGAAAATTTTTTTCAACTCATGTTTTTGACTTTATAACTTTTATTTATTTTGTTTTTGTTAATAAAGACGTTTAAGTTTTTGGTGTTTCTGTTCATAAAAAATATTTTTGAGGATTTATTTTTTAATGTTTCTCCTCTGTCAACCGTTTTAGAGAAAGTTGTTTCTATAAAAGTTTTTATTTTCTTGTTTTTCTTGGTTGATTAAAAAAATTTTTGAAAATCAGTTTTTAAATTTTTTTGTGGGTTTAAAGTTTTTATTCTTTGTTTATTTTTGTACATGGTAGTTTAATTTTTTTAAAGGGACGTACATTTCTTGATTGTCATTTGTTTTTGTTGATTCAAACATTTTTTACTTTGAAGTTTTTGTTGATGAAATTTTTGATAATCATTATTTTTTCTCATTTTTTTGGATTTAAAGTTTTTCAGTTTTTGTTTTTTTTTCCTTTATTTTTGTACACGGTAGTTTTAATTTTTAAAGGGATATAGATTTCTTGATTGTCATTTGTTTTTGTCAAACTTCATATTTATAAAAACATTGTTGAAAATCTAGTTTTTGTTTTTTTCTTTGGTTCTTAAAAATGTTTTTAAAATCAGGTTTTTCAGATTTTATTAATAAAAACTTTCCTCTGCACTAAAGTTTTATCTCCCACAGACTCCACATTAAATAACATCCATTAAAACATCTGTACGTTAAAGTCGTGTACTTCTTTGAACTTGCAGACGTTGAACTTTCAAACGTTTAGCTCGGACGTGAAAAGGTCCTCAGAAAAACGTCGCTAACATCCGGTTTGAAGAGCAGAAGAAGAGAAACGTTGAAAAAATCTTCTTGAAGAGGTTTTGCGACTCACCGCGTCGTCCCTCTTGCCCTCCTGTCTGACGGGCTCGTTCAGGTCCTCCTGACTCCTGTAGCTGAAGCTCTGGATGGCCTCTGTGACGCCCCGCAGCGAGCTGTAGATCTCCTCAGAGTTCATGTTCTCCGTGTCGTACTCCATCATGCTGGCAGACACACAAACACAGACACACAGGGTTTCAGTGAGCGGCCGGTCCAGAGCGGTTCGGATGAGTTTGTCAGGTCACCATGCAAAGACACGAGCAGGTTAGTAAGTTCTCCTCAGTTTCAATCAGGGTGACGTTTTGTTTTAAAGGCACCAGGAGAGAAAGTGAGGGACAAGACTACTTCAAACATGGATCTGGATCAAGAAAAGGATCCGGTTTGTGTCTCAGCCCGCCTCTTTACCTGGGTGAGTATGCTCTGCGGAGGACCCTTAAGGAGGGGGCAGCAGGGGCGGAGTGGGGCTGAGGAGGAGGAGGAGGGGCAGGGGGGTGCTTTGAAAGTCCGTCGACACCCCAACCCCACAGCCGACTGTTTCCACAGCGCAGCCGGGAGGAGTGAAGGATGGACAGACAAGAGAGAGAGAGGGGAAAGAAACCGAGGAGGAGTGGCGAGCAGAGGAGGAGGAGGAGGAAGAGGAGGAGGAGAGGATGAAAAGAAAAAAAAGGTGCAGAAAGAGAAAAAGAGAAAAAGAGTCTGAGCTTCAAGGTTCAGGGAAAGTGTTAATATCCAGGATCACAGAGACCCACAAAGCAGACTTCAGGTCTCTCTGACAGTCTAAAGACTCAGAGCTCCATGGTAGGGCTGCACCATATATCGTTTGAGCGATCGCAAAAATGAGCAACGAACAAGAGAAAACCGCCGAAGATGAAGACTTGTTGGTAAAAAGAAAAGGAAAGTCAGTTATCTGGAATTATTTCGGTTATAAGAAGGATGATGTCGACTAAAACACGTGTTCTGTGTTCATCTGTTTCATGGTAACGTCCCAGACCAATAAAAACTAAAAATATCTCTGAGACAGACAGAAGACAGAAGATCAGAGCAGGTTAACTGTCCTCAAGATTTCAGCAGGAAGTCAGATTCAGATCATCTGCTGAAAATTCCTCGATTTTTAGATATCGCAATAAATATCGCAGGTTTGGAAAAATGGCGATGTTAGTTTTTTCTAATATCGTGCAGCCTTACTCCACGCTCTGTTTGTGGGTCTGTGCCTGTCTGCAGACTGGACTCATGCACAGTGACTCAGCTGAGAGAGCGGCTCAGTGAGAGACCACCTGTCTGGATTTTTATCTCTGACTTTAGACATGAACATCAGTGAGAACGTCAGCCGCTGCGGCTCCATCTATGTTGAGGTACGAGTGTTAGGGTGACCATACGTCCTCTTTTACCTGGACATGTCCTCTTTCATTATAAACAGTGCAGAGGATCAGTCCTCTCTGCAGCTCCGCCCCTCCACTCACTTCTAAGCAGAGCCACTGACGCGACACACACACACATGCACTGTCTTTGGGAATTCAGAATAATATGCGTTTGACTGAGTTAGAAGCGCATAAAAACACACGACCTGACCAAAAAAAAATCACAATTTCACGCACAAGTCCGCCCTCTTTTTGGGGATTCTGAAAATGGTCACCCTAACGCAATTCCTGTGTTAACATGAGCACAATGTATGCCAGACATTTTTATATTTTTAGACGTTTTTTTATCAGAGACTCAATAAAATTAAGATTTAATGGTGAAAAATAGTCTACTTTTTTTAAATCAAAGAAAAGCATTGATAAGGGAATCGTTAAAGAATTGAATCGATCAGCAGAATCGATTACGGCATCGATATTGATAAAATCTTATCAATTCCCATCCCTAGAAACAGGTCCAAGAAAAAGTTCTGGTCACAGACGGACTGAGCCCTACCTCGGGGATAGACCTCCGTGGGAGCAGTTTGTCGGGGAGGTGAGGGGGCTGGTTCTGCTGGGGGTGTGGCGTGAAGGCGTCCGGCCGATGGTGTTGCTAGGCGACCCCTGGAAGGCGAGGGAACAGTGATGAAACCTCGACAGATTTGACAGATTGGCAGGTTTGTTCCTGTTTCCTGGGACTCACCACGCTGCTGCTGCTGGTGTTGCTGGAGTTCTTCAGGTGGTTGTGTAGAAGTTTGGTCGCCCCGTCCTGGAAGGTTTTGGGCAGAGCTCCCAGCAGCATGGTGAACTCCGGGGTGTTGAGCTCGAACAGAGCGATCAGAACCACCTGCGCCGCCTGGAGGTGGGACAACAGGAGGGGTTAGGATGGAGGAGAACAAACTCAGAGGGTTCTCCTGGTTTCAGAGAGGAGGACTACTTTACTGCAAACTCAAAAAACTCTGAAACCAAGAGAAGCAGCTTTTCATCTCCACGGTGCAGAAGAGCAGATGATGCATGAGCCTGCAGGAAGAACCGGTTCAGAGGTGAGTCTTCAAAGCTGCATTCAGACGAGAACCGGTCAAAGTAAAAACTGTTTCAAAGTACAAATTTGTTTCTTCATGCAGGTGAGTAAAGATCAAACCTGAAGAGAGAGCGAGAGAGAGAGAGAGAGAGAGAGAGAGAGAGAAAGAGAGAAAGTTCGCTGTCGTGGTTCGGTACCAGCTGATGGGGTCTTTATTTATAGAGCTCATCATGACGGTAAAAACTGTTTCTGCTTTCATGTGATTAAAATGACTCTGAATTCAAAGTCCTTTCTGCTGGACAGGTAAACCGCTTTAACAAAGTAAGACAAGTGTCTGTAACAGAAGTGTTTCTTGTCAAACGGACCTGCTGTAGCGTGTTGTAGCGCCATTGCTAAACTGTCCTCCCTCGGGTCCTGGACTATGTCACTTTATCCTAGTTGTAGAAGTCCTGCAAACATTGTGTTTGCTGGTAGTCTGTTGGCATCTACAGTAGCACCAATGCTTTTGACTTTCACCTTGACTGGGCCCCATTTGTAATTATCTGAAGTATTTATCTGCATTATATCTGAATTTAATTGGAACGATACGAGCGAGCAGGAGCGTCTGTTTGTGGGCCGGGCTTGCTGGAGCAGAGAGGAGGAGCTGAGATTTCTCCTAAAAACTGGCACTTCCTCAGATCCTGACTAACACACCTTTAAACTGACTTTCTGTGCGGTCTGATCAAAGATGAGGTCAAATGATTGATCGATGGGAAAGGTTCAGAATCACAGACTGTCAGTGTCTGTTTCTATCCGAGGGTTCGATGGAAAAGAGAGAGTTAACATGCAGGTGGATGAGAGGGTGTTAATGAGAGTCAGACCAACAAACATGTTAGACACAAAAAGGCATCATCAGCTCAGACCAAACAACAAGCAAACCCGCTCATCCTGACAAATCCTGAACTTTCCCCTCAGAGTGCAGAACAAGCTGAGTGAGAGCGATGCAGAGGCCGACTACAGGTTATTGGAGAGGGGAGCTTTCTCTCTCTCCAGGGTGGCGGTTAGACTCCAGGCAGGCGGGGCATGGCGTGCTTTAGGGGCGGGCTCTATACCTGCTTACACCTGTCTTCGTGGTTACCCTCAGCGGCTGACAGTAAGGCTGCAGAGCTGGACCTGCCCGCCAGCTCCTCGCTCACCCAGTTATGAAGGGTCTGGGGTACATGGCAGGGCAGAGGGGGCGGGGTTACAGCACTTAGAGAGAGCAGCCTGAGCTTCAGAACCCCCCCACAGATTTTACATGGACAAGATTTCAGACGCTTTATTACCCCCCGACCATTTGTCAGTGTTGTTCCAGTCTGACTTGAACCCACATCCACAGCTTATGATAAGGAATTTATTATTATAATTATTATATTATAATTAATATATTTATTATAATTAATAATAATAATAATAATATTTATATAATAATATATGTAATATATATAATAATATTAATAACAATAATAATACTACTACTAATAATAATAAATGTAATATTTATAATAATATTAATATTAATAATAATAATAATAATAATAATAATGATAATAATAATAATAATTATTATTATTATTATTATTATTATTATTATTATATTTATATAATAATATATGTAATATCATAATAACAATACTAATAATAGTTATTATTATTATATATAATAATATATATAATATATATATAATAATATTAATAACAATAAAAATAATAATATTTATTATTATTATTATTATTATTATTATCATAACTATTATTATTATTAATATTTTTTATTATTATATTTTTATTATTATTGTTTATTGTTATAATAATAATAATGTGTTAATTATGATTTTATTAACATTTACAAACTCCTTTAAAGGTCTGATCAGTGACTTCTTAATTCTGAATTAATGACCTGAGTATAGAGCCGTTTATTTTCAGCCGACAGTGATGGAAAAACAAACAGAGAGGAGAACATCTGACGTGGATCAGACAGGGAGAAGATAATGGGACGTTGACCCGCCGCTGGCCGCCACTGCAGCCAGATGATCCAAGTTTACAACAGCTGTTAACCAAACACCAAAGGACCGAGACCAGAATCATCATCTGATGAAGTTTCAAGCTCAGTCTGACAGTCTGACAGTCAGGATTAACATCTCTCTATGTTTGAGAGGGGTCCAGCTGCAGACCGCCACTGAGCAGACCAGAAGTTTGAAGCCTTTCAAAATAAAAGCAAATATACAGAAAGTACGTTTGGTTTTTTATGTCTTAAGTTGATTCAAAGTCTTTCAAATTAAAACACAAGGAAGTATGTTTTTTCTTTGTCTTGTGTTAATATATTAAACTTCTTGGGGCTTTATTTTATGCTCATAATGTTAATATAATTTTTTGTGTGTTCATGTGTTCAACAAAGACAAAATAGAAAACGGGATGACCTTCAAACAAACTGGAGCGCCTGAGAAACTCTTACAGAGTTCAGACGGGGTCAAAGGTCAGCTGTTTCTCTGGTAATGATCCGGATTAAAACGGCGGTAATGAATCTCACGTCTCAGGTAGAAAGAGTTCTTCACGGTTAAAAAGTCGCCTACCTTCCTGACATCGGAACTTTTGGGCTCGGTCGTCCAGGTGATGATCCGAGACACGGCCAGGCGGGTCTCGCTCGAGTTCACGAAATCCGTCGGGTCCATCTGCCGAGCGAGACACTCGATGTACTTCAGGATCGCCACTTTGACCTGAGAGGAGAACAAACCTTCAAAAACGTGTCCCACAGAGTCGCCATGACATCATCTTCTAACCCTACAGACGTGAGCGGACTTCACCTTCAGGTTCGGGGTCTGAGTCTGATCCACGATGAACCTCATCAGGATGTTGAACTGCTGGTCGAACGGGAAAGACTCCCTGACAGAGACGAGGAAGAAGAAGAGATGATGGTCAACATGAAAATCTATCTATCTATCTACCAATCAATCAATCTATCTATCTATCTATCTATCTATCTATCTATCTATCTATCTATCTATCTATCTATCTATCTATCTATCTATCTATCTATCTATCTATCTATCTATCTATCTATCTATCTATCTATCTATCTATCTATCTGTGACCTCTGTCGGTCTTTAATTCACACCTGGTGATGTCCAGAGCCTTCTGGACTTTGGCCTGGACCGAGCCCAGCAGGTCTGCCCCCATCTTCTTCAGCAGCTGAGTGAGCAGGACGAAGAGCCAGTCCTGCAGGTCCTCCCTGTGCACCGTCACAAAGTCCACCAGGGTCTCCAGAAACATGCTGAACACCTGAGGACAGGTGAGGACAGGTGAGGACAGGTGAGGACAGGTTTACACCTTTTAAATCTCTGTGTTATTATTTTAATGATCTCCATATCAGGTCAGAACGATGGAATCAGACTTACTCTCTGATGTTAGATCCACAGCAGGCAGCAGAACATGCAAAAGAGACACTCTGTTAGTGAGCGCAGACTGAGCTCTAACACGGTGGAGGTCGTGTGTGTGTGTGTGTGTTTGTTAGGTTCTGTTAGTCCTCCTCACCTTACTGTGTGGGTCTGCAAACATCCTGGTGAAGATCTCACAGAGTCTCTTCAGCTCCACTCGGCTGCAGAAAACAGAAACAGAAATGAAACCTCCGTCTTCAGACTCTGCAGAGCTCCATGATCTGGATCTGGGTCTAGAGAAGTTTCACCATCTCCACTTCTCCACTTAACCTTAAAAAGTTCTCCCTGTGACTAGAGATGGAAGATCCGTTCTTCTGACTGAACTGAATCTTTAGAATCCGTTCATTAAAACGATTTGTTGCTGCTGAAGTCACAGCGTCGTTCACTGGGTGACTCATGTCGTTCATTCGCCAAGTCCTGAAGGAAGAATCACTCCCCTGTCCTGAAAAACTCACCTCTCCGTGTGTCGCCGTCAGCGGAAACAACACAGCAGCGAGCAGCACGCCGCTAAACGAGCGTGAGTCGTCGTTATTTTATATGTCGGGAAAGTGGCGAGATTAAAAATAAATAAAGATGTCAGCTGTAGCGAGGATTCAGATCCTTTTAAAGATATCAAATATCGTATTTCTTTAAATCGTCTGAAACTAAATCTTTGTACACGAAAGTTTAAACACGTGTTTTAATGTGAAGGCGCCATAATGACCTGTTTGATCTCAGCCTCAGTCAACCAATCGCTGCTCGGCAGGAAGTGAACGACGCTACACCCCTCCCTCCTCTGCCTACCTTAAGTCATTCAGAAATCGTTCGTTTCGTTCACAGTCTGACTGATACTTGTCGTTCATGTATCATCCCGCTCGCTTGCTGGCTGTTTGTCGTTCGCCAAAAAGTCAAAGGCGGCAGTTCTTCTCCCGACCGACACTCCAGAGTATTCTTGGAGAGATTTTTCTTGAAATCTCCAAAAAGAGCTGAAGTGAAGAAGCGTCTTGGATAAGATTAAAATGTCCACTTGCCGGATTTCAGAGATTTTAAGAAAAACCACGACCTGGATGAACGAGAATCTCCACGGACACTTGGAGTGATTTCATTCGTTCATGAACGACACAACTCTATCTGTGACCGAACCACGGGTCGAAGTCTGACCAATCCTACCTCAGTATTCTTTGGCTCTTGAGGAGGTTCTGCAGACCCAGCAGACCCTCCTTCCTCTCAGACCAGTTTGAGCTGGCGCAGTGGTTCAGGATCTCCGCCACATCCTCTGTCTGTCGGAGGTAATGAGGGATGCCTCCGTTCCTGGAGCCGTACGAGCGCTCAGAGCAGGCGCTGGACGCGTCACTGTTGGCGTCGTCATCAGAGTACATCCCCGGGGACTCATACCGCCGCCTCAGCGGCTTCCTCTGTAGGAGAAAGAAGACGTTTGAGACAGGATACTGGTCCAGATGCGCTCGGGCGAATAAAGGCAGCCAGAAGGTCGGAGTCTGACAGGAAGAGGGTCGCAGGTTGCGCCGAGTAGCCATGCAGTTCTCTGCAGGAGTACGTGAAATCAAAGCTTCCCTCTCTACAAAGAAGTTCATGTTTGTAACCTGGCTGCTGCGCTGCAACAGTTACAAAATATTAAATTTAAACTAAAACAGAAAAACAGATAAATGATCATCTCTTTTTGGTCTTCAATAAACATCTGAAGCAGGAAAAGCAGAGCCGGGGGAAGCAAAAGTCTGGATTACAAATGCAGTGCAGTGGGGACACATGAGAGTATACGCTCATGATAATGAAATTAAAGATGTGGATAATAAACCATGAGATTCAAGACATCAGGTCACGATGGGGACGCTGAACGAAGCCAAAACCAGGATGCAATAAACGGACATTCAAAGCAAAATGAAAATCAAAGTATAGAGACGTGAATCTGGAAACAGGTGGGAGTGGAGGAGACATCATGGGCCGACATCATGGGTGCACAAACAAAGGTAAAATGACCAACTACCTTATTCCTGGAGTCTCCTAACAGCTGAGAGGGCAACGAACAACCAAGAGGAGAGGAAAGAGGAGAGAGGGCAGGTTTAAAGGAGGGACAAAGAACAGGCTCAGTCCTTCTAGGTGAGTCAGAGAGGACAAAACCACAGACACAGTCACACAGACACATCTACAGCTCAGTAACACTCAAACTTAACGGTTTCCTTCAGCAGGAACAACATCTTTGGAGGGACAAGTGGAGCTTTGGAGAAAGAGGTGGTTCAGTTACCAGAGAGCCGTGAACCTGCAGTCCTTCTAAACACCAGCAGGGGGCCAGAGGGCTGAATAACTCCAGCACTGGACGATTATACAATTCAGCTACAGGAGGACAAAAGCTGCAGTTCCTTCGGTGTCCACTAGAGGTTGGCTGTCCCATAATGAAAATTTACATTTGCACAAAACTCCTCATGATTACAGCCCGCTTCAAAACACTAAGTTTTATTAGTTACCATATTTTTCGCATAATAAGACGCATTTAAAATCCTTCAATTTTCTCAAAAATCCTCAGTGCGCCTTTTGTACTTTGTTTGGCTTAATGCACTTTATAATCTGGAGTGCTTTATAGTGCAAAAAATACGGTAATTTTGTTAGTTTTTTTTTAGTTAGTAATAAACTGTAAAGAGAAACTTCTCATCCTGAATCTGAGAGTTTTACTCATTTATGCAGTTTTTGGAGGAGGAGGTGATAAGCAAAAGTTACGTTACTTAACTCAATGAGCCTTGAACCTGCAGTGCACAAAAGTGGCCAGTAGGGGGCCATTAAAAACACACCTGATTATACCAGGTGGTTTACTCACTGAAAACTGATTCAAGTCACTCCAGGAAACAATGACTTGCAGTTCCCTGAGTGTCCACTAGAGGCTGGTTATAAAGCCGAGATTCCCTATTGGGTCTCATGTTAGAAAGTCAGGCTTTATCAGGGGGAGGAGCCAATTTGACAGACAGGTGGGACGCACCGTGGTGTTTTTCCAGAGTGCTAAAAGTCCCCCTCAGCTCTGTGTCATTTCCAACACGGCGCCCACCATCACTGGCCTTTAACCAATGGGTGACATCGCTGAGACGACGCCCACTTTACTCAGCCTATGGGATCGATGAGAGCAGATAGGAGGTGACCTTCCTCCTCACCTGTTTTATTAGCTCTGTTAATTATTCCCTGACGAGTTTACGGTCCGAAGTGTCTTTGGGGTCACTAAAGGTCACGCCGACAGGTAACGCAGTTAAAGCTCTGAGGCTGCCATGATGTAACCTTGAAGGTGCTGCAGCTGTCCCATCATTATTATTATTTTCACTCCAGAACATCTGAGCAAGTCCTGACTCTGCCGACCCAGACTGGACCTTCAGGTTCTGCTTCTTTAAAAAGGAAGGAGTTCTGGTTCTGACTCCAGCTCCACTCGTTCATCCAAATATGATCCCAGACTTGAAAAAAGAGGTAACACTTTACAATAACCATAACTTATAAACGGTAAACAGACCATTAATAAATGGTGAGCAGATAGTTTATTAATGTTTAATCATCATTTATAATACACTATTAATAAACTGTAAATTTTACAATTTTAAAAACCTAACCCAAACTTTACAATAACCATCTAAGTTTATAGGTGGTTTAAAAACCAAATATTAACATTTACAAAGTGCTGCTGACACATAATTTAATCCAGATGTTTTACAACCAATATTTAAACTCTATAATTAAGCAGTCCATTGATAATTAATGAAAATTATAAATAATTTCATTACTTGTTAATGATTAAGTAACTATTAACTTAAATTCATAAACTTTAACTATCTATTTACCTTTCATAATTATGGTTTTTGTAAAGTGTTATTGAAAAAGGCAGTTTTTAAGATTTTTTCACCACCTCCATTCTTTCATACGTCTCCTCTCATTCGTCACGTCTACCTACCAGAGCGTCCGCCACGGCGGCCTCCACCTCGGTGCCGGTGTTGAGGACCCTCATGGCGTTGACTGAAGCGGAGATTCTTGCTTGGTGAATCAAACCGTATCGATCTGCGAGAAAAAAGGCGAGAAAGACAGTGAGTGAGGATTTCTAATAAAGGAAACAGGGCCGCCGTCACTTACCTCTCCGACAAAAGCAAAGAAAGCTTTATAGTTGAAACCACAGCGGACTTATTTATACATGAAACTGAGAGAGGGTTATCCTCAATTATCCGACCACCGAGAGCGACATGAAACAAAATGAAACACCGAAAAGAGGATGACCAAGACCAGGAGCAGGAGCAGGCAGAGATGAAACTACAGAGCACCAAGGATGGACCACAGAGACAAACCCACGTTCATAAAACAAAAAGGCACAGAGTTCAAAAGCTGCAGAAATCAAAATTAAAGCTGCACTGAGTGACGCCAACCCAGGCGACACTGAAGAGTCTGACTAAGGCACTGAACGGTGATGGATGGACAGGCAGATGAGGAAAACTGAACCAAGACCTCTTACCTGTCCTCCTGAAACACTGAATCAAACATGAAACAAAAACCTGAACTATGACTGAAGCATGCCGGATCTGAGGAGGACAAATGGGGGACTAAGAGGGACTCAGAGGATCGGTGTTTTCGGGGCATGCAGGTCACCTGACTGGCCGTGGGGGTCGGCTGTGGAGAGAGCGCTGGTTGAACGGGAGTGACGTCGGGAGGCTGCAGGGACAGGAGAGGTGGGTGACATCCAGACGGGAGGGGGGGGTTAGTGACCGCCGCTGTGACCTCTGAGGTCAGACTCAGGTTAGACACATTCAGACGCTGAAACACTCGTGTTTGTTTTCACTTCACAGCTGTTTCCTGTCTCGGTGTGCAGCTTCGATTATAAGGAGCAGAGTTTTCTGATAATTAAGGGTTAAAAAGGATCTTAAAGGTTCTGGTTTTGGTTCAGGAGAACAATCAGACCTTCAGACGGACTCAGAGACAACAAACTGATACTGTTCTGGTTTCATCATCACCATTTCCTCGTAGAGTCTCACCGTGTTTGCCCTGAATTTAAAGTTTATAAATCTTAATATCTTAACAAGTTATTCCGGTGTAAAATTAATTCAGGGTCAAACACACCGTAACACAGAGTTAGACCCCCCCTCCAGAGATGAATGTTGTCGACCGCTTGCTTCTCTAGTTATACCAACTTTAGTAACGACCGCAGGATAGTAATACAGAGAGCCACGCCCTCAACCAAAACGCCACTCTATAGCCACAAATAATGCTCAGAACAACACCTAACTTCATCAACAGGACATATAGGGTCACAGACATAGTACTATATTCAGAGTTGTTCTAACTCCTAAGAAACATAAACTTAAGCGGGGGCGTTTCTCCACCTCTGTAGTCTATAAGCTGGGCCAATAAACTTCTACTGTAGTTAAAATGAAAAGGTAAAGGTGTTTTTATTGAGCCGAATTATCAATAAAATCATGATTTTGTTAACAGGTATGGATTTATGTGCTGTCGAGTTTGTATATGTGAACAAGAGCACAGTAAAGTTAAATCAGCTAATTTTCCAATGAGGTTCTGTTACTAAACGGATCTACACCATGATCTACTGAGGTTAGTACATATAGGGTCACAGACATAGTACTAGACACCAAACATCTTTTTAACTTTGACTCATTTCTTTAGCAAAGAGACTAAACACAACTCACCTACTCTCTTCCAGCAGCCGCTTGTTTGTAGCGAGACCTCAGGCCAGTCCATTATGGACTACAGCGGGGTGCCGCAGCTCAAGGAAGAACATTTCCTTGTGCGTCTAGTACTATGTCTGTGACCCTATATGTCCTGTTGATGAAGTTAGGTGCTGTTCTGAGCATTATTTGTGGCTATAGAGTGGCGTTTTGGTTGAGCGCGTGGCTCTCTGTCGTTACTAAAGTTGGTATAACTAGAGAAGCAAGCAGTCGGCAACATTCATCACTGGAGGGGGGGTCTAACTCGGTGTTACTGTCTGTTTGACCCTGAATTAAATTTACGCTGGAATATCCCTTTAATTCTTCTGTTCGCTAACTTCTGTTTAAATCTTGATTTTTTTTTTAATCGAAGAACTTTGAGCTGAAAACGGAAGAAAAAGTCACTTCCTGGTTGACACCATCATTTCAAAATAAAAGAGAAGAATAAAGTTGTTTCACAGTAAGAGCATGCACAGGCAGAAGATCGACCAGAAGACCCACCACGGACCACCATAAAAAAAAAGAAAAAAAGAAAAAAAGACGGTCCGATTTGGACTCAGAGAGGCGGTCCCTGGTCCTGGCGTACTCACCCAGAGGAGCGAAGCCCCGAGCGGGGCTGGTGTCGCGGCTGCTCTCGCGACTGGTGTCACGACTGCAGCCCTGACTCATGCTGGGGCGGGGGATGCGGCTCCGGGCTAGCGTGCGGTAGGGAAGAGCAGCAGGAAGAAGAGCTTTCAGGCTGGCTGTCAGGACAACAAGTTAGGTGGGGGGTGTCAGTGTGCATTCATGGGGGGGGCAGGGGTGAGAGACGAGGGGGTGGGGGGGTGATAGGAGGAAACAGAGGAGTAGAAGAAGAAGAAGTCCTGCAGACGAGCTGATGAGATTTTGTTTGTAATAAAAAAGTTTTACGACCTCGAACACGAAACCGCGCTCCTCAAACTTTTTTGTTTTTTTTAACATAATATTTAGTTTTATTTTCATCAATAAACATAAATCATATTCAGTCAAACACTTAAATTTAGGGGGAAAAAAAAAAGAGAAAGGAAAATGTTTAAAAAAAGTAAATAAGTGCGTACATAAATAACTAACACTCAAAGTGAACCGTAGTGTGGCGGATTTGTTGGTTTGTTTAATATCAAAATCATCTTCATATAGGAAAAGGTCGCTGCTTTTTGTGCTGAAGTGTTTAGTGTTTTTATGCTCCCTTGTTGCACAACCAATTGCCCCATCGGGGGAAAATAAAGTTATTGATTTGATTGAAATTTGTACAATTTTTTCTTATCTGTTTCTCGGGAAAGAGTAACATCAAACAACGTAATTATGGTAATTAAAAAAAGAGTAACACAGGTACGAAAGCAGACCGAACCGCTTCGATTAAACAAAGTTGTTATCTTGCATCACTTTTTCTTAAACTGCAAAGTGTGGCCTCGGTGTCTTTAGTCGTAACCCCGCATCGCACCAAAATAACAGAATAAAGAGTCTGCAGTCGAAAGAGAGGAAGAAGAGATAAAGAGGAAACACGAGGGAAAGAGAAAGTGCAGAAAAGAGAGAGAAGGGAGGAGGAGAGCTGGGCGAGAGAGTGAGTGGGTCACACAGCAAACAGCTAGTACAGGTTAGAGAGAGAGCGACTCGAGCTGAGAGCGTGAAGGTCTTATCAGGGTGAGGAGATAACAACAGACGAGGTTATCGCTCTTATCTCGCCATCAGTGTCAAAATAAGACACACCTCTCTGTGAGGGACAATAAAAACGACGTTTCTGTGAGCAGAAAATGTGGAAAACAGTCACAGAAGTTTATCGTCCTATCAGGAAGTCCAGATACTGAAGGTCCGGCTGTGATGGTTTCGCCTTTGTCCACATGTAATAGGTCACCTATCAGGGACACACGTGGGCTCAGAGCGTGGAGAGACGTGAGACGGGTCAGCGCCTCACACAGAAACTGATGAATTAAAGGTGAAACCTCATAATGACAAAAACCGGCGCCGTGTTTGGATCTTTAGAAAACAAAATCGACACGTCAGGAGAAACCGAGGAGGGCAGAGATCCAAAACCACAACAGAGGTCCATAATGGAAACCAGTTTAAAAGGACAGCAGACATGGGAATACTGGAAACACTGGTTTGAGTTCAGCAGAGAAACACTGCAGAACTCTTAGAGTAGGGGAGACCGGGGCTTGTTGTCACACTTTTCGCACTCTCATATATTTCTTTGAACCAATCCATCAGATATAAACAAAATGTGAACCAGACTAAAGACCAAATACACCAAATTAAAGTTAGATTAAAACAGAAGAATGACTGATCCATGACAGGATGTCTTAATCGCTCCTCTAACAAGTCCACATGTTTCACTGCTAAGATTTTTATCTGGAAGAAGATTATTTTAAAATATATAAAGTTAATTTTTTTACTTTGGGTTGTGTGAAATGGTTAATTGGCGTTCATCTCGGCTCACGATGTTCTCCTCTCAGACAGGACACGACCCCTGACCATGTAAAGGAAGAAAACTAGTATTCCACTTTTTAGTTGCGCCCTCTGGTGGAGAAGATAATTGCAATGTGACAACAAGTCCTGGTCTCCCCTAAAGACCAAATCTGCAGCTTTATATAAGACCCAGCTCTGTATTTCATAAATCTGCGATGCTCCATGTTATCGGATTCAAAGGTTGACCTGCAGAGAACAGAAAGTACCACATATTTGTCACAGACACGTAAGGGTGCAGTCTGGAGCTCACGGTGTCAGACCCTCAGAGAGATCCCCTCGTGTGTGTAAAAGTGTGTGCAGGACTCCCGGTCTTACCCAGGCCCAGTCGGCTGGGGCTGGTCTCCCGGCTGCAGCCCTGACTCCGGGGGATCCTGCTGCGCTTGTCTGCCGGGGTGCTGGAGGCCGACACGGTGGCGCGGGGGATCCGTCCATAACTGCTGTGGCCGAGCAACTTTCCCGGAGAGCTGGAGCGACTGCCGGCTGTGGAGAGAGGAAGCAGAGAGACAGAAACACAAACATGCACAAGGGTCAGACTAAGTTCAGAGAGTCGGAGAAGAGAAGAGGATTCTGGGAGGAGGAGGTGCAGCTTTAGAAAACATGCTGAACTGAGTCAAATCCAGAAGACCTGATGATGTGGGGACGGTGCAAACGTAAGAGAGTCTTTAATTTGAAGCTGAAATCGAGTCAATATTCTGTCTGAATAAACTCAAAGGAGGGATGGATCAGCTGACCGACTGACTGACCAATCACAGATCAGACAAACACCACAGTGAAGTCAAACCAGAGGACAAATCAACACCGACCGACGGTTCACGTCTCCGTCACCAAACTGTGGAGGGAACTGAAACAAACGCAGAGGAGGAGGAGGTGGGAGGAGCATGCTGCCACAAAAAAAAAAAAAAAAAACTACAAGGATGTGACGGCGTGCAGAGATCTGTGCGCTACAAAAGGGGCGGTGCTTAAAGGTCGGGCACCTGTTGTCTTGTGATTGGATGAAGCTGAGGCCTTACCACTGATGGGATTGGCTGATCTGGATCCTGGGTGATGGAAGCAAGAGGCAGGATAGGATGGAGAACAGTCAAAATGAGACAGAAGGGCTTCCTGAATTTACCCAGCATGCACTCTGGATCAGCGACAGGTATCCAGAGTATAAAGATTCAAACACACACACACACGTCTACTTTAAACACACACACACACACACACACACTCACACACACTCTCTGCATGCACGTCGTCAAATCGTCACCAACAGGTCAGATTTGAGTTTTTTTGTCAGGATGAAAACAGCTGAGGTCAAAATGAGAGGAACAGACGTGAGCGCCAGATCATGTGACCTGGGAGAACAGGTGAGCGATGTTTGTACATACGCTGGGACTGGGAGACCACTTTGGCTCGACTGCGCCCTCTGCTGTCCACCACCGAGGAGCTGGCCCCGCCCACGCTGCCCGAGCTTTGTCTCCTGGTGCGAACTCGACCTGCGAGGGAGGGGTGAAGAGAGAGAGAGAGAGAGAGAGAGAGAGAGAGAGAGAGAGAGAGAGAGAGAGAGAGAGAGAGAGAGAGAGGAGGGACGACAGAGTTTAATCCACCTGAGATATTCATAAAAGTGATCGTAAACCTGGAGGAGGAAGACTGGACATGAGGAGGACCTGGATGAGGAGACAGAAACCCTGGGAGTGTTTGCAAATCCTCCTAACATGAAAACTGACATTCAGTGAGGTTACCCCAGAATTATGAGCCCGGGACCGGGTTCAGGTGTTTAAAGCTCAACAAGTCCACCTGCTTTTTAGCTTTGACTCAGACGTCCGCATGCAAGTGTGAGTAATGATCGAAGAAAGGAAGGGTTAAGAGCTGAATGTCAGGTTTGATTTGTCAGGAAACATAAAGGTGGAAGAGAGTTTAAATGAACTAACACTGTGATAGTTTTCATACAGCACTAATGAGCTGTGTCCTTATGTACCTCCTCTTCTAACAAAGATAGTCTTGTTTTAGTGTAAGAGCATGTGCAGACAGACTCAGTGAAGGCACAGAGGTCAGCTCTGCACTACAGAGACACCAGACGGACTAATGTGCAGATTATCCAGTGAAAGTGTGGTGTCTTTGGACTCAACTTAATTATGCACTGAAAAACAAGAATTATAAAAGAGTTTAATTCACTTTTCTGCACATGAAAACACACCAGAGCGGTTCTAGTCTTCACTGAGGAAACTCCACATGAAAAATTCATGTTATAGTTTGGGTAGAACTTCAGAGTTTAAAGGTGGAGTAGGCAGGAATCTGTTTAGGAAGCATCTTTATTTTGTGGTGTATTTACAAAAAATCTTTTAATATCAGTCAATAGTTATTAGTTATAGATTATTTGGTAATATAAGGATATCACCTCCTCTAACCTGATTGGTTGTGAGGCAGACGCTGCTCCCCCGTGTCGTTCAGGAGCCCAAACAAAGTTAGCGTGCTACAATATCGGACAGTAGAAACCGACCAGAAAGTTCGGAAAATTGTCTGAATCCTCCTTTGGCCACGACTGCCGACACAAGCAAGAAAACAAAGTAAATACCGGAGACTCTGGAGGAATAACGGGCGCTTAAAACGGAGGTAGAGCGGACAAGAGCTAAAAAGCCGGGTCAACATAAACCATGGGGGACGCTTGGGGATCTTGGTGACCCTGTAACCTTTCTGCTGGACAGGTAAACCGCTTTAACAAAGTAAGACAAGTGTCTGTAACAGAAGTGTTTCTTGTCAAACGGACCTGCTGTAGCGTGTTGTAGCGCCATCGCTAAACTGTCCTCCCTCGGGTCCTGGACTATGTCACTTTATCCTCGTTGTAGAAGTCCTGCAAACATTGTGTTTGCTGGTAGTCTGTTGGCATCTACAGTAGCACCAATGCTTTTGACTTTCACCTTGACTGGGCCCCATTTGTAATGATCTGAAGTATTTATCTGCATTATATCTGAATTTAACTGGAACGATACGAGCGAGCAGGAGCGGCTGTTTGAGATTTCTCCTAAAACTGAAACTTCCTCAGATCCTGACTACTCCACCTTTAAGCAGCAGAAATCCAACAGCATCTTTAAAAGACAAAGACAGTCTCTACAGACGAACACGACACCAGGACGGTGGGACAGAGATGCCAGAGTAGATTTCTGTGTTAGAAACAGAGAGATGGAAACAAGTGTTAGGGTTACAGTCAGGAGGTCCATGCAGACAGTCCATGCAGAGGTCCACAGATCTGAGCACCACCCAGGGGTGGAGAGAGGGAGAGAGAGAGAGCGCACGGATGGAGAGACAGAGGGGGTTAATGTGGAGCTGATGACAGCTGACAGGACACACACTCATACCACTGCCCTCTAAAACACACACACAAACACACACACACAAACTCACACACACACGCAGTCCTTACCATCGCTTTTACCAGGAGCGCCATCTTTAGGGCGGAAAAGAAAGGTGGAGCAGCAGCAGGTGGGAGGAGAGGTGTAGAGCGAGAGGTTAGTTACAGTTAAAGCAGGAGTGAGAGGGTGAGCAGAGGGGTTTAATCATCGTTAGTAACCACGGTAACCAGCTCAGCAGGAGGAGATATCAGTCGGTGACATTTGGAGGACGCTCGGATTTTCAAAATGTCAGAGTGGGATTGAGACGGGACCGCCCATTAATAACAGGAGCGTTAACGAGAAACGGAGGAGGAGAGGGTCGATTCTTCATGGTGATGGAGAGGAGGAGGAGCTCCAGCTGATCTTCTCCTTTTAAACTAACACCATAACGGCGATGATGAGGGCGTTTAAGGAGGAGCTCAGGAGGAAGAGGGCGGGGCCAAACACAGAGTAAGATCAAATAAACTGGAACATGAAGGTTTGGAGCGCGTGCGGATCAAGAGGGATGACTGATGGGTTACCTAATGAGGCGTAGGACCCCGGGGGCAGGGCGGCCGCTGAGCTGAACGGCGAGGAGGCGGGGACGGTGGACAGACGAGACTTGGCGCTGGAGGCGGCGTTCACATCGATGTCGCTGCGGGAACGCTGCAGAGAACCGGGCGTGGTGGGCGTCCTGGTGCTCACCAGTTTACCTGAACACAACAGAAACATGTGTGAGGACATGTTTGAACGCCGTCTGATCTGTTAGGACACTTTTTTAAAGTTTGGACTCATCAAACTTCATGAAGAGAGGACGGCGTCTCACTTCTCGTTATGCTCCCTCCGATGACGCTCTTCACGGACAACGGCCGACTGTGGAAGAAAAAACAGAATCAGAGTTAAAAAGATTTTTAAAAGATGCAGAAACCCCGAGAGGAAGGTCTGACACAAACGTCTGAGGATCTGATTTAAAAGTTCTTCACGCCAACCTGAACTTTTCCTGTTTTTTACAACAAAACAACTTTATGACCCAAACTGAGCGCCGTCATTTCAGCCGATTCTCCCAAAACAACCGAACACAGACAGGATCAGTTTAGGAGCAGCCTGAAGAACTCCACGACTCTCCTGATGGATGGAGTCTGAGGTCATTACCCAGCATGCTCCACTGGGAATCTATAAACTGGGTAAATGACGCTCATCGATCTGCAGTGTGTATTTGAGAGCGTGCGTCTGTGCACGTCTGATCGTAATTACCAAGGATTTGACTATCATGGTTAAGAGAGGCGATGCATTAGAGGCTTCAACCAATCAATTAGAGAGGGGGAGAGAGAGAGAGAGGTAGAGGGGGAGAAAGAGAGAGAGGAGGAGGAGGAGACATCAGACGTCTCTCTCTGGTTCTCACTTCAGACTCTCCTGAGACGAGGAGGACGAGCGGTCGGACTGAGGAAGAGACACGATGCTGTCAGAGCTCTTCAGGTGAGACTGGAGCGCCTTCTGATAGGTGGACTCCAGCGCCTGGAAAAGATGCTCCGCCTCCCGGCTGTAGTGACCATGGAAACCCCAGTAACACCTGCAGCAGAGGGCGAGGGAAGAAGAGGAGGTTAGGACGGGGTTAGGGGTCAACAATCAGACCGTAGATCAATCTAAGTGAGAGGAGGGAGCAGAGAAATGAACATTTTCACCATTTTTAGAGTTTTTACAGTTATTTGCACCAGAATGGATATGACGTTATTTTCTAGAACTGAAGTAATAAAGAGAAGAAATAAAAACAAAACATCAAAAACAAAGAAATAAGAAATCCACAGAGTTATAAACATGATAAAGTTGGAAACAGAAGTGTTATAGAGTTTAATTAATTATTATTAAGGTTAAAGGAAGGTGAACATTCCTCTCGCACCCGAGCAGTATCGTTTTGAAGCAAACATTAAAAACATATGATGTTTACATCTCACTGTAAAAGTGTATTTGAGGTTTTTAGCTCTGGATGCACAACCTGTGTGTAGTTTTTTTTTCTTTGGGGGACTTCTGTTTTTTCTGTTTTCTGTTTTTGTTGTTGCTGCAGTTTCTCTCACTTGGAGTGTCTGCAGGTGCGAGCGGACACACCTGGCTCCTGTGAGGCTGTGATTAAAGCTGCAGGTAACAGAGTATCTGAGCTGAGTGAATTCTGCAGTCTGGGTGACGTGCGGCTGTGAGGAGAGACAGTTTGTTGGACCAATTCTCATGTTTTCTTCCTCTGCAGGGGACGTTTTTGCAAAGTATTTATTAATTTGACATTTTTTGTCAAAGCACCAAACTTGGGGGGGGCAGAGCCTTTTCTGTTCCCGCCCCCCACCCTCTGGAATTCACTCCCCAAACCCATCCAAGACTGTACTGACCCCCACACTCTTAAAAACACACCTTTTTAAAATGGCTTTTAACCTGTGAACTGCTCTGTTATTGTGTCTTTTTTAACCTTTTACATCATTAGTTTTATTTCTCAAAATTTTCTGTAAGGCATCTTTGAGCGCCTGTAAAAGTGCATAATAAATAAAATTTATATTATAATTAAATTTATTATTTTGATTACGCCGAATAAATGTTCTCCTCATTTTTTATTTATTTCTATTTTTTTATTTTTTATTTATTTATTTTTTATTTTATTTTTTTATTATTTATTATTATTTTTTTTAATTATTTATTTATTTTTTATTTTTTTTTGTTTGTTTGTTTGTTTTACTTCATTAGTTTTATTGTCTGTGCTGTGGCTATACACTGCTGAGGTCTGCTTACAATTTTACAATTGTATTGTTATCTATATGATTTTGTATATTTTTCTTTTTTTGTCTTTCTGCCAGGGTTGGGGAAGTTTTTTTTGTTGTTTATTCATGTTAAAAAGATAAAATAAAAAAATATTGAAAAAATAAATAAATAAATGTTCTCCTCATTTTTGAGAATTCACACTTTGTTTAAGATTTTTTCCTTCCACTCACACGACCCACTATCTGAGAGTTTAACAAGCAGAAATATCAAAAAACAGAAATATTCAATAAATACTTAAGTTTACAGAAATCTAAAAATCTAAAAAATACAAACTCAACAGCATTTAAAACGACCATCAGTCCAACATGCTGAGTTAAAATATAATATCTGCTTTTTAAAGGTGGTGTTAACCTGATTTAATGCTTTAAACTCAAAGATTTGTCTCTAAACTTCAAATTTCAGAGTTACAGATTCATGACTTTCATATTTGTTTACAGAAATCTGACGAATAAGAGGGACACTTACTTTCTGGCGATGGACCTGGCCTCTGAGTCTGCGTCGTGTATGCCTTTCTTGATGGTCTCGGTCAGAACAGCCACGTGTCTGGGATAGTACGGGAACATGGTGAGAGGAGAGGGACCAACGATTGACGAATCAACAACCACAAAAACCAAACGCAGAGTCACAGCGAGTCTGGACTTTAAAAACTCGAACACACAAAGAGAGAAAATCTTCCTCCGGTTTCGTTCTCCTCGTGGTCCACAGGTGAAGTGTCCGCCAACAGAGTTTAACACGCGCTCTTTAAACTCCCTGCTGCTGATGCTGTTGTCATGGTTACGGGGATGGAGATAAACTTCCCAGGACTCATCAATTTAATGGGGCTCATCAGCTGTGCGCCCAGCCGACCCAAATGCCATCCACATACATTAAACCACTTTATCCGTGTAGACCATGTCAACTTCTTCAACACTTCTCTGGAGTTTAAAGGACGCCGCCGCAGCTTTAACGCTTTAATCAAACTCACCTTTCCAGCGTGTTCGTGTGCCACTCCTGTAACATCAGATCCAGGAACTCGTAACAGCGTCTGGAAAAGAGGGAAAAGTGGAGCACGTGTTTCAGGGGCCACAAAGTTCTGAACTGATCCAGTATTTTGCTGCAAGTCAAGAACATAAAACATCCGGACAGCATCCTCGCTCACTTACCGTCTGACAGCGACTGACTTGGAGGTGCAGTTACTGGTGATGATGGGGATGAGGCGAGGATAGTGTGTGTGCTGAAAAAAAAACACACATAAATGTTTAAACATTAGAGCAGAATGATGTTTTTAGAAGTCAATCATTCTTCTCTTTGGATGTTTTACCCGGAGGATGAGGCGGATGACGGCCGTCCCAGACGTGGCCATGACTTTGGCGCTGTTGGGCACCAGGTTCAGCAGAGTGGGCATGACGCTCTCCGCCCCGTGGTCGAACTTGTTTCCCAGCAAAAACGACAAATGTCTGCGAGAGAGAGAAGGAGAGAGGAAGAGAGGAGGAGGTTTGAGGACTTCCTGTGATCTTCAGCAGTAAAAACAGACAGGACTCTGGAGTGGAAATCACCACTGCATCATCTAATGAGGTTTAGACTGAACCAGGAAAGAGGAGACCAGACAGAGAAGGGATCCACTAGAGACTTGTCTGGACCTGAGTCCGTTTAACCCTCGGTTCCTCCTCTCTCCATTTTGAGGACATTTGTCTTTTTTTTCATCTTTATTTTGAGCTGACAGTCACATGTTTAAAGATTGGGGCATCAAATATGACGAGAGTTCTTATTTTTATTATTTTCTCAATGATCAGGGTCAAAGTATTTTAAGAGATATGAGTCGAAAAAAGTAAGTAAAAATGTTTAAAAATGATGATTTTATGAACATTTATCTGCATGTCTGTTTTGGGTACAAAGTCGTCTGGATGGAGCTGAAGATGAACAGGAACTAAAGGGTTAAGGAGAACTGTCCTGAGGTCTGATCCATCAAAATTTGACCTTCTCTAAAGAGTAGAGGGTCCACCCGGCTTGTTCTCAGCCCCTAGTCCAGATCCAGGATCCCTGATGGTCTGGGGATCATCAGAGTCCCCGTCATGTCCATGTCTCCACTCTTGTGAAATCGTGTTTGTGAAAGTCGCCGTGATCCCGGTCCATTCATCAACCCGCGGCTCTCTGAGAGCGTCTCCGCTCTGTTCCACCTCATCAGGGCGGCATTAAGATCAGGATGACGGATGTTTTTGGGTGGAGACCGTGCTGCAGCTTTCATACACCAGCGCGGCTCGTATTCATTAGCTTAAGTAGGTGTAAAGTAAAGTTAATGTCAGTGCTGTCAGTCAGAGCTGCTGCTGATCCGTGGATGAAAACTGAATCTGGCACAAAAACACACTTTCAAACGCCGTTTTACAGCGCCATCTCTGTGTCTTCGCTGTAAACTGAACCTCCTGACTGAGGATCTTACCCCAGAGTGATGCAGGCCTCTCGGACCACCTGTGAGCGCAGGTCTTTGGCCGACAGCTTCAGAGACGCCTCCAGCAGACGCAGCTGCTGAGGGAAACCCTCGTACTCTGCTGCTCCAGCCAGCATGAGGGAGCGGACCTTCTTCAGCTGAGGAGAACCCCACAGACACAGACACAGACACAGACAGACAGACAGACAGACAGACAGACAGACAGACAGACAAACGGACAGAGGAGGACACCAAAGGTTTCAGATCAAAGTTCAGCTCCATGTCTGAGCGTGTTCCTGTGTTTGAGGCTCTTACCGCTACGACTCGGTGCTCCCAGTCGTGTTTGTCATCAGACAGAACTTCTCTGACCTTGGTCAGCTGGTCCTCTAACTCTCTGTTGGAGTAGATCTGGAGCGCAGAGACAGGAGAAAGATGATGATGATGATGATGTTAGGAGAACAGTCAGAGCTGTTTACAGACAGGCCTTTGGAGCGGCACATTTAACATGAGAAAATTACCCATAGTTCATAGCACTGTGATATAAAATATGGGGTTCAGACCTCTGAGCTCCTCATGACAGAAAACTCCGGATTAGAAAGCAGGATTATTTAATCTGCTCCGTGGTTTTAGATCAAGAGACGTTTTTATCGTCTCCCTCTGGTCCTCGTTTTTCTGACGCCGACTTTAACTCCGCCCAGCTAACCCTCATGAATCTCTGCTGAGCTCACCTGCACTGAGGGGACGTCCTCAAAGGCTTTGATGAAATCCTCTTCATCGACGGCCCCGGCAGCTGCTTCTTTACCTGAGACACAGACACTTCCTGTTAGACACGACAGGTATCTAACTTCCTGTTAGAGTGCTCTTAGCCCCGCCCCCTCCTCACCTGAAGCTTTGGCTGAGGTGGCCGAGCTGGGTCTCCTCACAGAGCTCATCACAGTCCTCCTGCCACTGGGGGGCGCTTTGGATGAAGAAGAGGAGGAGGACCTGCCTCCGTCCACAGAGTCTTCATCCTCAAAGTTCTTATCTGGAGGGACAGAAGGAGACGATCAGCTGATGAAGAGCGTCACATTTAACCGATGACTGTGTGAGAGAGGAACTTCCTGTAAGGATCAATAAATCATTATCGGACACGTCACTCCTCTGAGTGCATCATCATCATCATCACCATCATCATCATCATCATCCTCTTCTTCTTCTCTTTATCTGAGTCATCTCTGCATCGTACGACCTCAGCTGCAGAGTCTCAGCTCCTGTGGAGGTTTCCACTCAGCCTCTATCTATCCGTCCGTTTGACTTTAATCTGCTTCAGCAGCCGTGCATGGATGTACAAACACACACACACACACACACACACACACACACACACACACACACACGCACGCTGTCACCTGCACAACGTGACCACTCACACCGAGGATTAGCCCGGGGCGGGTATGACGGACGAGCTCAGAGTCTACGGTCAGCTGAGGAAAGGCAATAACGGGAGTTTCTGCAGCTGAGGGGTCGTTTTCTGTTATCGAGAAACAGGAACATGTTAATCTAACCCTCTATGTTAGTGTTAGTATGGACGCTGTTTCTGTGAGAGAAGAGAGGAGGAGGAGGAGGAGGAGGAGGAGGAGCAAACCAACTCTTCATCCAACTGGAAACGCTGAAGTTTAAGGACCTGGTTCACGTCTAACAGACTCAACAGAAACTGAAGAGAAAATAAATGTAACTTTGGAGGATTTCACCGACCACAGAGGAGACACGACCGTTAATCTTTAAACTCACGTCTGTAGGGCTGGGAGATATGGACAAAAGTTTATCACAATATATTTTTTCATATCAGTCGATATCGATCAATATCAGGATATAAAAATGAAATCTAACAGTGTTTATTGGTCTCGTGTCTTTTCCAACACAATAATCGCCTGCCAAAACATGACAGAATGATGACAATCGAAAAGCATATTGATCATGTTTTATATCGATATTGAGGGAAATAAATTTTTCGATATAAATCATTATCGTTTTATCGCCCAGCCCTACATGTTGTATGTGGAAAAATCATCCACAGTCGGCTGGATTTAAATATCATGTTAAATAAAAGTACAACACATGCTTTTGGACTGAAGAACGCAGCATGAACACATGAACACATCAGATATAAATGTACACCTGCAGATCTATAAAAGCCAAATTAGGAGGTTCATATCAGTCAGCAGGGCGAGAACTGATCGATACGATAAGACTCACAAATCAATACTTTTTTTTTTACCTTTCCTTTCTTCAGAGCACTTTGAGTCTCTTTGAGAAAAGGATTTATAATAAAAACATGTGACACTGCTCGACTTCCAGAAACGCCCAGTTTTAGAGTGAAAACCTTCACCTGGAGTATTTACAGAGATATCAAACATCCGGACATTCATCAGACACACGAACACGACACTGCAGACATCAGAGAGGTGAAGTGATGAAGGGAAGAGGAGCGACGAACGAGGACAAAAGGCAACAGGTTAGAGAGAGAGAGAGAGAGAGAGAGAGAGAGACAGAGACAGAGAGAGAGACCGAGAGAGAGAGAGAGAGAGAGAGAGAGGGGAGAAAACGAGGCGAGGATGAAAAACGAGGAAACACCAGAACAAACCGAGCTGAGGAGGAAACAGACAGAAAAGGCGTCGAGCTTACGAGCGCAGATTTTCTTGCACACCAGCTTCCTCAGCATGTCTCAGCTGCACCCTCCGACACACTCGCTCGCTTCACATCTCTGCCGACAGGAGGTGTGTGTGTGAGAGAGAGAGAGTGTGTGTGAGAGAGAGAGAGAGAGAGAGAGAGAGTGTGTGTGTGTGTGAGTGTGTGTGAGAGAGAGTGTGTGTGTGTGTGCCTCTGGAGCACGATGAGCTCTGACAAAGTGCCAGACGAACCATCCTTTAAGCGTTCCTCCCAGAGTTCACTGGTGTGTGTGTGTGTGTGTGTGTGTGTGCATGTGTGTGTGTGTGTGATGCTCACAGACCGTAGAGACTCCGGTGGTGAAAAGAGGGAGGGGTCTATTGTTGTGAGCTCAGACTGTGTTTCGACACTCAGAGGAGGTCTTTCTGAACCACCATCATCACATCTGTGTTTAAGAGCAGAGCTGGTGTCGGCTAAAAACAACTTTAATTTATTTATTCTGAGTTTATTGTTGTTTATTTTGAGTGTAGCTGTTTGTCATACAGGTGCAGCTCAGTAAACTTTAACAAAAACATCAATATTTTCAATATTTTAGTCAAAAAAAACTGAAAAAGTGATTTTTCTGGATTAATTAAATGCAAACCAAAGTGTCGGTGAGGTTTTTGTTTTTGCTTGTTTGAGCTGCAGACAATAATTGTTAAAATTAAAGTGAGTTCACCTGTTTCCCTGCAGGATTTAACACCTGCCCACAGCGCCAAAATTACCCCAACAGTACGTGACAGTTTTAACCCTGTAACTTCCTGAGTATAATAATTAAACACACATTTACACATTACAAACAATCTGGGCCTGAAAGAGATTCGTTTTCACATTTTAATCAACTGAAACGACTGGTCTAAAATCAGACTACCACAGGTCTAAAAATGACCGTTTTTTAGACGTCTAAATTTAGACCAAGTTTTGACTCGCTGGCCAACAGAGATCTAACTGTATATTGCTCAACAGTTATCATAGTTATTCTGGTTAAATACTTGGAGATCAGTTGTGAAACTCACAGTTACTTTTTGAAATAAATAGTTTTCGAATAATCGGTTAAAGTGCAACGTCTAAATTCCGTCTGAAAATATAAAGAATCTAGACGGTGGAAATTAGGTAAAAAAAAACTAGACGTCTAATAGCCGTTCAGTGGGAGAGCTACGCAATCCCTGTCCTCCCATAGGCTGTTTCAGGTGTCAATCATAGAAAACATGAACCCCCTAATAACTTTTAAAAATGGAGCTGTACAGAAAAAAGAGGACTTGAGCACAAACCAGTCTGACAGTAACTACATGTCAACATCACAACCAGGGGGGAGAAACATTTATATTCTGTGTCATTCATTTATAAAGTTTGTCCACAGCTCCATAAGGAGGCGGGGTTTACCTATATTACCTATGACCTATACTGCAGCCCGTCACCAGAGGGCGCTGTTCTCGGAGCGGCTTCAGTGACCAATAAGTCGACTAGGACTTTACAGCCCTACTATGACGTCTTATTTCGTGGTTTAAACCTTTAAATTCAGGTTCGTGAACTTCTGTGCCTGTTTACCAATTAAAAGTCGAGTCATCACCTCCTCCCTCTGAATCAAACAGCATCACAAAGAACGTGATTCAGCTGAAACGAACCTCTGCAAACAGGAAATATGAGCTCAACCTGCTCCAGGATCGGCTCCTCTACATGACGACTAACACCTGAACAAACGACAACACTCACAGAGGATCGATCACACGCCTGTTCGCACCGACACAGATATCAGAGTGATGTATCACCGTGTCAGGAGAACAATTAGAGCAACAGGTGAGGAATGATTCAGACACTGAAACAAACACAGCAGTTATCTGTGAGAGGAGCTGAGGTCACCAGATTTATACTCCAGGTTATAGCCTGCACCAGAGTCTCAGCTGTCCCTTAAAGCTGAGGCTGCTCCACTGATTAAAGGGATATTCCGGGGTAAAACTAGTTTAGAGTCAAACACACCATAACACCGAGTTAGACCCGCCCTCAAGAGATGAAAGTTGTTGACCGCTTGTTTCTCTAGTTATACCAACTTTATAGCCACAAATAATGCTCAGAACAGCACCTAACTTCATCAACAGGACATATAGGGTCACAGACATAGTACTTTATTCAGAGTTGTTCTAACTCCTAAGAAAACATAAACATAAGTGGGGGCGTTTCTCCACCTCTGTAGTCTATAAGCTGGGCCAAGAAACTTCTACTGTAGTTAAAATGAAAAGGTAAAGGTGTTTTTATTGAGCCGAATTATCAATAAAATCATGATTTTGTTAACAGGTATGGATATATGTGCTGTCGAGTTAATATATTTGAACAAGAGCACAGTAAAGTTAAATCAGCTAGTTTTCCAATGAGGTTCTGTTACTAAACGGAACTACACCATGTTCTACTGAGGTTAGTACATATAGGGTCACAGCCATAGTACTAGACACCAAACATCTTTTTAACTTTGACTCATTTCTTTAGCAAAGAGACTAAACACAACTCACCTACTCTCTTCCAGCAGACGCTTGTTTGTAGCGAGACCTCAGGCCGGTCCATTACAGACTACAGCGGGGTGCCACAGCTCAAGGATGAACATTTATGATCATTTCTCCATGGCAACATTCACCTCTGGAGGTGGTGTCTAACTCAGTGTTACTGTGTGTTTGACCCTAAATTAATTTTACACCGGAATATCCCTTTAAGACCTATATATGCTAATGTTGATGGTATGAGAAAAGAAAGGAGAATATTGAGTCACAAACTGAGCAAAAATAGTAAACAGATGTCTTTTGATTATAATCACTCTTCTTTTATCAGATACACAACCAACCAGCTCAAACAGGCCAACACAGGTCGCATAAAATCCAACAAGTCAAACTTTTCTTCAACATCTTTAAACCTAAAAGTGTTTAAATTAGACCAGAACAGCCCCCTGTATGTTAGTGAACATAAACGAAATAATACTCAGGGGTATTTTGATGTAATTAAGTGTTTTTTTTTTTAATTAACACACACAGAGCATGTAGTAGGTCTGGTCCATAAAGGGTGCAGTACTGTCCATGTCCACCGGGTGTCATGATGCACCGTAAACACAGTGAAGGTCTGAAACCTGCTGAAGCTGCACTGACATCAGCACTCAGCAGTAATCTGCTCCTCGACCACAGGTTTACATAATGGGAGGGATTTTCACCCTTCAGAAAAATGAGCATAAAAGCTCAGAGGCACGCGGGATTAAGAGGAACGTTCAGGAGAGTCGAGTTCAGAGGATGATGATGGAGATGTTTCAAAGTGTCCTGCTGAGGTCAGACAGGAAAGGTCTCAGTGTGACGATGTCACCGTTTTCACCTCTGTCAGCGTTTACTCCTCAGATCCACTCAGACTGATACGACTGTAACATTCGTCTGTCTCATTATTTACTCTCTCTCTTTTTTCAGGGGAACCGATGAGGTTTCCACCGAGCTCCAGGCTCTTGTCCTTCACACAGGCCGCGGTTTACCCAGCAGCCTCTGGGCTTACATAAGAGACAGCTGACCGGTGATCAGAGTTATGTCACAACAAAGACGTCTTGTTCGGAGAGGCTGCCGGTGGAGCAGAAAACTCACCTTCAGGCTGTGAGTTATGGATTCAAAGTCAAACATTCAGGAGCCTGAGGAGAGAACTTTCTGCTGCTGCTGCGAGAACCTCCACCAGAGTCAGATGTCCTCGGTGAAGCAACACGAGCGTGTACAAGCATGTGTCAGGTCTGCTGATAACACTGAAACACAGAGGATCTCTCTTCAGACTCTGTTAGAACCACGTTTACTTAAAACTGATCTCTTCAGGCCTCCAGAACCCAAACCAAAATACTGAACCTGAGACTCCAAATCAGCGGTCCACACACGAGCCAGAACAATCTCTGAGTCTGCTCGAGATACGAGCGTCTGCAGCTTTTTCTGCAGCAAACAGCCGTGTGAAAATACCAACAGGAGTTTCCCACCAGATGATCCAGCGACATGAAAAATGGAGGAAGGATCTCTGCAAAGATTTACACATTCAGAAGAAAGAGCATTCAGAGCAGAAACGCACCATTGTTGTCAGTTTGTCCTGCAGACAATGAGCCGACTCAGACTGGACCATCAGCCTCAGACACGAGGAACAGAAACGAGTAAAAATACTGGATTTAAAAACTATAAACTCAAAGAAAAACTTCCTGTTGCTGCAGATAAACAACATCTAACCGCTTGATTTCTGTGTTCCTCCTGATTTCTAAACTACGGTGGCCGAGAACTGCCACAGCTGCAAATAAAAAAATATGTAAAAAAAAAGAAGTCACAACAGACGTTACCGATGCAAAGAAAGAAAGAAACGGTGCAGATTAAAAAAAAAACAAAACAATGGAAGTTAGTGATGCAAAAAAAAGTGGCGATGAAAAAAAAAAGCTACTAACTGCCAAAATTAAGCTCACTCCCGTCATGGCTTTTTTTATTTGCATCCTTTTATTTTTGCAGTAAGTAACTTTTTTTTGCATCGTTAATTTCCGTTGTGGCTTTTTCTTTATCTGCACCGTTTCTTTCTTTCTTTGCAGCGAGCTTCGGTTTCTCTTTTTTTCGTTGTAGCTTCTTTTTTTGGGGGATTCTTTTTTTATTTGCAGCAGTGGCGTTACTCGGCCACCGTACTAACCCCCTGAAAAGAAACTCTGTTGGTTTCAATGAAACAGTTTGCAGAGACGGCTCTCGGCTGGGTCCTGGTAGAGGGTCCTGGACTACAGCGCCCTGTTTTAGTCCTCCTCAAAGACCCTCTGTAACCCTCAGACTCACTCAGACACTTTTACAAACGCCTCATTCACTCCTCTGAACATGCTTTCTTCTCAGTTTGTGTCTCTCTCCTCAGATATGAGCACTGATACTCCCCTTGTTCACTTGTTGGAGCTCTTATTGTACCGTCAGCATCAGCAGACCATCAGTGTTATTAGTGAGAAAACTCCTTCAGTGTGTCGGACAAACAAAGATTATCTACATCTGCAGCTTCAGGCTCCTCCCCAGTTTTCCATCAACTATGAGCAGATTAATTTGGGACACGGTTCACCTGCAGCTGGGATTATGCAACACCTGCAAGCACAAGGAAGTGCATGATGGGTAATGATGTTTTGGATCTCTGAGAGGAAGTATGGTACTTGCAGCAGATCTTTAGGAGTCCTGGAGTATACAGGAGCGTGCAAACTAGGGCCCGACCGATTTGAATTTTTTGGGGTCGATGCCGATACCGATTATTAAAGGAAAAAAATCCGATTACAGATTAATCGGCCGATTTTTAAAATTTTTTTTTATTAAGTTGTAAAAAATATATAGGATACTGTAGGCTACTGCTCTTCACGTCGACAGGAAGATTGACTGATCAAACTCGGACCAGAAAAGCGTTTTCAAGATTGTCATGAGGTCGCTGCGCCATCTACAGGATAAGTCGGGGAAGTTTTCAAATAGAGGAACATTTTCGAAGTGAAACAGAATCTTATTCTCTGCATTTTATTTCTGAAAATATCGGCGAGTTTTGGCCGATTACCGATTAGTCTCAAATAGGCTAAAATTGGCCGATTTAATCGACTCGGCAATAAATTGGTCGGGCCCTAATATATAGTCCTCGTCTCCCCTGTTTCTTCGTCGGTTCGTTGTATGCCAGAACCTCTGTGTTCTCCAGTGTCTCCAGTGTCGTCTGTTGGTTTTTGCCCTTTTGGATTTTTGAGTCGGACACTCTCTAAGTAACTTTTGCTGCTTTTCTTTTGGTTCCTTTTAATTAAATCAATCTTTGTTCTGCATCTCCGGTCCTTCCCCTTTTTGTTTGACTCCAAGTCGTGACATTATCGGCCAGTGAGTCCCTAAAGATCGGTGAAAACTGAGCAGAGGATTGTCAGTAACCGCCCTTAAATCATAAACATACATGTAGAAAACACCACCAGAACAAACGACGATCCTTCACACCCTGAAATAAACTCTGAACACGTCTCAGTCCAACCAATTATAGCAAAGATCTGTCTTTACAGCCGGAGCCTCCTCCACGCCGTGCAGCATCCAGCAACAGAAACACACCCACACACACACAATACACACACACACACACATAATTCAACCTGCTAAGCTCTTCCCAAGGCAGTGTGTATTCACTCTGTGTGTGTTTGTGTGGTGATCGAAGTGCTCCCACTCATATTAACCATTTCACACACACACACACACACACATTTGCATGCACACACTGAGCTCAGGCACCCACACCGACACAGAGAGACTTGTGTGTGTGATCCCAAATCCATGAGACTAGCATGAAGAGGGTCTCCATGGTCTAATAATCCTGGGAACTCACGTTCACCTTCACAGCTCTGTAAGCGCGTTACTTCTCTTTTCACCCAGGGATCGGATGTGAAAGGAGTATTTTTGGGGTGTGAGGAACGAAACCAGAGTGAGGCAGAAAACACAGATTCAGAGGACACTCATGCACACACATGAAACACACACTCACGCATCAGGGTTCAAGAAACTCCAGGGACGTGTGTTAAAGACACGGGGCGGACAGGAAGTGCTTTTAACCTGGATGTTGAGTGTGTGTTTGCAAATTCTGCAAAGATCATTTAACAAACACTCCACAGACACACACACACACACACACACACACACACACACACACACACACACACACACACACACACACACACACAGCCTGCAGGATTATTCCAGACTACAAAGAGGTTCTGAGGAAATTCAGATGTGCTGCAGATCGGACAATCCGCTCTTCTTCTCCGTTTCTCCTCTTTTAGAGACGTGCCTGCTGGCCGGCAGTGTCCTCTTTAGTTATGAATGCTTTCTGTATTTGAAGCTGCGGTGTGAATTATGCATTAATCTGCTGTATCTATATATATAAAGAGAGAGAAAGAGGGAGAGAGAGAGGTTCAGAAAACACCAGTGGGAGTCCTCTACACAAACACACATACCCCCTAAATAAAGGGGCATTTCTCTCATTTATAAACCTAATCCTCCTTCCTTTGAGATGCAGTTTATCAGAGACTGAGTGTCTTAACTGTGAAACAAGTTTTGTCATTTTTCCAGAAGATTCTTTACAACCTGCAGCTGCAAAAGTCATCTCTGATGTTTTACTGTCAGATCAGAGTTAGGTTATCTTAGATTCACAAATCACCGCTCTGCCTTCATAATTCCAGATTAATAGAGGACAATATAATAACCCGCCAAACATCCCAAAATCACACCCCTCAGTGACACATCTATAGAAATCAGATCCTAAACAAATATATTTTGGTTCTTACAGATATGATATACCTTTATTTCATATATCTTAATCTTAATTAAAGGTATATCTATCTTTATAATTCTGGATTATTAGAGGACAATATGTTCTGTACTCAATCTGCTCTCTTTTTAATGATATACTCATCTTTTCCTTCAAATGTGGATATTCTCACCTCGTCTCTCGTGAAATTTTCCTGTAATTTATTCTCAAATATGAAATTTCCATTTATTCCAGATCCATCACACACAAAGGGTTTTTGTTTGAATCTTGAAGCTCACAGCTCATAAAAAATAAAAAATACACTGTCCTAATCCTAAACCATCAGAATATTGTGGAAAAGTCCAGTTTCTTGTCAGTATTGCGGTTTTCCTGGTACCTTTAAAAAGTTGCTTAAGGCAGAGAGTCAGAGACGAGGTCCTGCATATTTGTGTGACAGGCTGCTGCTGTTTCAATGAAGCACACAGTTCATCGAAGTTTTCCGAGCTTTAATTTCAGAAAAAAAACACTTCCACAATCACCAATGATTACACGCGCTCATCCGATTTACTATGTGTACATTCTGGGACGTGTATCATTGCAAACAAAGATCATAAAGCGCGGTCAACAAAAATCACATTCTCATTTTTAGAGCCGCACCTATAAATGTAAATGAAACTCTTGAATGTAATCTAATGCAGAAAAATGCACGAAGGCTGTGCTGCAAGTTCAAACACTAAACCTCCATATTCACACGCTGCAAAAATGAAACTCTTTGTACACATCCATACATCCATACATCCATACATAAAGGCTGATCACTCGTGCACAGAAGGATCCGGCCCTTGTGCGCTGATAGAGAGAGGTCCAAGTCTGGTATCTTGTTCAAGGGCACCTCAAGAGCACCAGGAACTGAACCAGCACCTCTCCAAAAAAAAAGAGAATCTTCCAGTGAGGAAACGAAGACTTAATTCAAGACTTATCAGGATGATGAGACCGATATTAAAGCTCCTATGTTTGTTTTCTTTTTGTTCACTTTTGTAGGTTTTATTATTGATTAAAAAATCCTTTACAGGAGCTTTAAGTCCACTGAGACATAACAATAATATTAAGATGTTTTTGTAGTGATACATACTTCAGAAAATGACTCAGGCTGCAGAGTAAATTCAAAGTCAGAGTAAAAATCAGAAACTCTCAGCTAAAAACTGGAACCCTGATCCTGTCCACCTGTACCCAAAGGTCAGGTATCAGAACTTTGGATCTGTGCATCCTTCTCCAGCGTGGAGATAAACCAAACAAACACCTCAGCTGCATAACCCAAAAGATTGAGGAGGAGAGATCCAGAGTGGAGATATCAGCCAGAAAAACTGCAGAAAAACCAGATTACATAAGAGAGTACAGACCCTCATTTTTACCTCCTGATGGACCACTTCTTCACCACGTGCACAAACAAACACACGCGCACACACACACATCGCTCTGAGGACGACAGATAATCTGTGTGTGCTTCAAATCTGCAGGATTGGTGGAGGAAGGACAGCTCTTACCTTCTCCAGCTGTCATGGTGCAAAGACGATGTCAGCAGTGAAGCCAGAGAGGAGCGAACGCTGCTCAGCTCTCTCTCTCTCTCTCTCTCTCTCTCTCCTTCTCTCTCGTCTATATCTCTCGCCCACTGTTTACATCCTAGAGCTGCTTCAGAAATGGCTGCTTTGTTTTACTCTCCCTCCCTCCTTCCTTTCCCCGACTCAATCTATCCTTCTCTTCTCCTCTCTCTCTCTCTCTCTCTCTCTCACTCCCTCCCCTTTTCATCCTCACATGTGAGAAGGGAACACGGTGTTAAATCTGTTAAATCTGTTTGTTTTAATCATTTAAAGCCGACGTTCGATTAAAAATACTGCAAAGATAAAATTTTACTGTTTGATGAAAATTTCTGCTCATGATACTGACATGACAGACACGTATTTACGACATATTACACAAAGAGAGATCATATTACAGTGATTTTAAAGTCTCTGCGTCGGCTCCTCGTCTCTTTTAGAACAGATTTTCAAGGTTGTTTTACTGGTTTTTAAAGCTCTTCATGTCTTTCTTATTTATCTTCTGAGTCAGGTCGAGTCCTCAGGTCTTCAGGAAGTTCTCTGTTCACATTATTAAAGTTAAAACTAAGACATACGCTGAGACATCGTTTTATTACTACGACCCCGTCTGTGGAACAGCTGACCTGAAGACCTGAGGACTGAAACTGATCTGAATGACTTTAAAACCGAACTGAAAACAAACCTGATATTTTTATGATTTTATTATATGATGGATTCACTCTTTTCAGACCAGAGATGTTGATCTGCACAATCATCACAACCATCTTCACAAGCGCTTTCACGATAAAATTGCAAAAATAAAACGTGTTTGATTCTGATTTTCTGTACGCAGAGCTTAAAGAGAGATCTCTGAATTAGACCAAATATTCCACCGTCTACGTTTCTTTGTCATCCTGGATATTTTACTCAGAAGAACTGTTGAATCGTGAGTTTTATATACTGTTATCTTTTCTTCTCTCTGAAGTCGTCTGCAGACCTCTCTCAGGTTGTTTCGGCTCGATCAGCTGTGCAGATTGATTTCCCTCCACGTTCACATCAGACATTTTAACGGATGGTGTTATATTAACACGTCATCTCGAGTCACACAGTGAAAATCGGTGCGTCAGTGTAAGAAAGGAGCGGAGCCTCCGAGGAGCTGATCCACATGAATATGATGCTCAGATATCCCATAACTGCAGCAGTGAGTGACTCACCGGTTTTTAACAAACTCCTCGTACTTTTCCAGCTGAACTCTCAGAAACTCGCAGGAGGAGGAGGAGGATGAAGTTCTCTTTGACTGAGGAGACCAAACCTGGACTGTTTCATGTACTCTGGGACTGCTATAGAGTTATAGAGTATAGATGTACATGTATCACAGTCCAGATGAAGCCCACAGGGTTTAAATGGATATTCCGGCGTAAAATTAATTTAGGGTCAAACACACAATAACACTGAGTTAGACCCTCCTCCAGGGATGAATGTTGCCGACCGCTTGCTTCTCTAGTTATACCAACTTTAATAATGACCGCAGGATAGAAATACACAAAAACAAAACATAAGCCGAATTATCAATAAAATCATGATTTTGTTAACAGGTATAGATTTATGTGCTGCTGAGTTAGTATATGTGAACAAGAGCACAGTAAAGTTAAATCAGCTAATTTTCAAATGAGGTTCTGTTACTAAACGAAACTACACCATGTTCTACTGAGGTTAGGACATATAGGGTCACAGCCATAGTACTAGACACCAAACATCTTTTTAACTTTGACTCATTTCTTTAGCAAAGAGACTAAACACAACTCACCTACTCTCTTCCAGCAGACGCTTGTTTGTAGCGAGACCTCAGGCCAGTCCATCGACTGCCGATCATTTCTTTATTTCCTTGAAGTAATAATCACCATATTAATCATTTTACAGACGCGGTAGTTCTTCTGTCTTAGCGTCTCGGTCTGATTGTATTTCCATGGAAAAATGATCATAAATGCTCTTCCTTTGTCACATCAGATAAACTCAGTCTGCAACTGTCGCTGCATGTGGATCTGTTGTTACCACCTTCCACCAGAGGTTCAGCAGACCCTCCTGAAGACCAGGATGGATTAAACTGTTGAACTCGGCCTGTGAAATATCAGCGAGCCGTTTTTTCTGCAGCCTGTTCTGAACCGCTGAGCTCAGTCCGAGTGTTCTCTTTGACTCAGCTGTATCCACACACACACACACACAAACACACACAAACACACACACACACTGTGAACGCTGTGAGGACGCAGTCAGCTGGAATGGGACAGAGTCAGCAGTGAGGGTGTCAGGGCGATTTCAGCACAGAGGTCACAGCTGGACCAGCAACCAAAACCTCCACAGAGAGGAAACTTTAGGAGGATGTTTGTGCAGATTCACACTTCGACCCCGAAAGACTCTGTGCAGACCAAACTTCACCGGTTTGGTTGTGTGGTTCTCCTGGACTTTTGTCTATATTGTGAGGACAGGAGCAGAGAGTGGGGGAAGACATCTGCTGCAGGATCCGGACCAAGATTCAGACCTGTGACCAGGTTCAGAAACCAGCACATGAAATAACCGATCCTGTCTCTGATCGTCTTGTTTTGTCTTTTCTATCTGAGCGAGATTTTCCTCCTCTAAGTCTTTGAGGAAGGAGGAGCTCCTCTGAACGTCCACCTCCTGTGGAGAAATCTCATCCCTGCTAACCCCAGGCTGTCCGTCTGGACCGCACCCCACTCCCTCCACAAACACACACACAAACACACAAACGAACACATGCTTAATGGAGAGATTGCACACTCAGAAGAAATGCACAGGAATGAGGGGAGAAGAGAAAAACAACAAATTCCTTCACAAAGAAAGAAAAGCTGAATGTCCTGAATATTTCACAGCAGCACCAATCTGCTCCTGATCCACAGAGTGCCCCACATTTACACGACTCTACACTAAGACTTCACAGAGCGTCTGCCTGTCCTCATTTCCAACTGTGCCGAATGTAAGCAGGGAGCAAAACAACCAAAACAAAGACGCAAACAAGGAGGAGAGGGACTCCATTTAAGAGGGTTCTCCACCCTGCCCTCAGTGCATGTGTTTAAAGGGGGGATGAGTGTTGTTGTTGTTGTTGTTGTGATGATAATAAAAAAGGTCAAAGAGCCTCAAAGTCAATAAAACGAGCAGAAACAGCAAAAAGGAGATAAGAGGACAAAAACTCACCAGAGCCAGAGGACGGGATCATGTTCCCAGATCTTTGGACTTCATCGAATTTACTGAAGATTACATTCAACCTGTGAGAGCGGAGAAGCAAAGAAGACGAGTTAAAGATCTGCAAACAGATGGGAGAAAAAAAGGAGAATAAACAAACAGGAGACGAAAACAGAGCAGCAGGTAATTAAAGAGAGCGAGCGCCATCCATCACTTCCTGAGCATGAGGAGCTCCCTCTGCTCCACGCAGCAGGAGAGAGAGAGAGAGAGAGAGACGACCAAAATAGACGGCATCCAAATCTGCCACACTGGTGACAAACTGGCACTGAGGCCAGAAGGATGGAGAGAGAGAGAGAGAGAGAGAAAGAGAGAGAAAGAGAGGGAGAGAGAGAGAGGGAGAGAGAGAGAGAGAGAAACTGTCTCAACTTTTTCCATCTGACAGATTCACCAAGCGCGAGTAAAATCATTCGCGCGACTGAATTACATGTTAAGTAAATGTAGAGTAAAAAGGAGCTCGCCTGGAGGAAAGTGAGTGAGGAGGTGGGATTACCTGGAAAATAGTAAAAAACATTTGTCTATCACTTGATCCTGCCGGTTGAATTTGCAGGAATTACCGTTGAAATTACCGTTGATGCGTGAATGAAGCGAGTAAATACTATTCATTCACACGTCTAGATTCGCGCGAATAAAGCGAGTACATGATTTTCCTCGTGGTTGTTTGCTGTTTGTTGGTGTTGTGAGAGGACCAGAATCAGGAACTCTGGACTCCGAGGAACTCTTTTTTTAATCTACATCATATGTGGTCATAGTCATGTGATCAGGGACGATAATGCTGAACGAGTAATTATGAAAACAGTTAATTTTAATGTAAACAGGATTGATTTTATTTGACTGTAAAACTTCAAACAGGTGGACAAACAGCGGAAATGTCCTTCAGTAATCAGGAGATGATTGGAAACTGCAGTATCTTTTTCTGCCACAAGGGGGAGAACCATGACTGAAGCCTGTTGCCTTTTTGTTCCTGGTTATGATGGGAGGAAAACTCATCCTCTCACCATTTAAACCACCTTCACCTGATGCTGACAGTGTGCAGGTGAGTTTTTACGACTACAGAAGTCGATAATAAATAAGAGTAAATAAAAAGGCAGAGACAGACTGGAACAGGTTTGTGAGTCTCTGTGTCTGTCGTACCGTGACTGTGGAAGGCCCTTCTTGCTGAGATCCATCCTCACCCTCTCACCCACGTGTCTGTAGATCTCCACCAGGCAGCTCATGGCTCCATCTCGTACCTGACGACCAAACACCAAATGAATGAATGAAACTCTTTAACACTCTTCCTGAAATCTCCTCTGTGCTCATTTGATGCTTTAAACTGATACTCGGTTTGTGATTTTGGTCTTTAGTCCCGATAAAACAGATTTGTGCTGCACAGGAGAGGAGCTGTGCTGACCCCCCGGACCAAAATACAGGCGGTTAACATGATTCAGTTATAGAGCATGAGAATAGAGTGACTGACCGGACATACCTGACTCGTGGGGTCCCCTAAGAGGTTACATATGTGGGGAACGATTTTACTGAGGGTCAGGCCTTGGGCTCCATATCTGAAAGACAAGACAAGAGATTCAGAGGGAAGGATGGAGTCGGGGTTGTAAATATGGTTCCCCTGATATGTATCCCCCTCCACTCTGACTGGTGTTACTGGGACAGGACGGAGGGTCTGGACTCACGTGTTCAGCGTGGCGATGAGACAAAGGCACACTCCTTCTCTGGTTCGGTTGTTCTTGTGTTTGAAGCCTCCCAGCATCCGGTCCCACACGTACTGAAACAAACACAAACCAACACGTGGACACGGGTCTCTGGACTTTTCATGGACCAGCTCATCAGTGTTACTCTAATCAAAGGTGTCCTGTCTGACTCCGCCCCCCTCAGGTGACCCTCTGTGAAAAAGCAGGTGTTGCGTGTTGAAGTGCGTGTTCGTACCTGCGGGCTGGCGGCTTGCTCCATGATCTTTAGCAGCACTGTTTGGTCCTGTTCTCGCACTTGGTCTTTTGAGTCTCCCAATCGATCGATAAGGCTCGGCAAAACTGAGGAGCAATGAGGAGGGAGAACTTTTGAGTGATACTATTATTATAATAACGGTTATTGATTATGTGATCGTGTCCTAAAGCTTCAGAAAATCATTCAAAGTTAAAAACAGCTTCATCAGAGGAGGAGGAGGAGTGAGTCTGAACTACAGAGTGATTCATTCAAGGAGAGAGAGGAAACAGTCAAGGTGAGAACGAGGAGACAACAGCGTCTCCTTTATGGTATGGTATGGCTGCTGCCCATGGTGTGTATTGATGATACACTAATTGAAAAATACTCCAAAGTTAAACACTGACAAATATCAGATATTAAAGTGATGACCTTTAAATTCAAAGTTTGATCTGATCTTTTTGTTCGGTGGAGAAGGTCAGTCTGATGATAACTGAGGGTGAAACTTTAAAAGACTTTGTTTCAGAGATGTTTCTGATTCACTCAGTAATAAAATATAATGACATGTTTGTGAAATGATGAACTCAATAAACAGATTTAACTCCAAAAATCTAAATCAGAGTCTCACCTGTTCCCACCTGGGCCCTGAATCGTTCCTGTAACCGTGTCACTAAGGCAGATAAAAGGTCCAAACCCAGCAGCGCCACCTGGTGGAGACAGAAAAAAACAAACACATTTAATCACAATGAAAAATAAAAGAGTATTTCCATTAAAAGCATGTCTGCTGATTCAAAAGTTATTTTCTATAACAGAGAATCAATAAAGAGAACAACAGCTGCTACAGCCTCTCACAATACTGAGAGTTGCATTTAAAGCCATCTACTGCAAGGGATTGTGGGTAAACAGCACATATTCACGGTTATCACCTCCTGCTGTGGCCGTGGGTTAGATTAGCTGTAAATAACCTTCCCAGCAGGAAATGACATCACATTTAGGAACTTCACAGAGATTAAAACACACCTTCAGTCCTGCACCGTGACTGAGCCCCCTCTGGGCAGACCTTCATATAAAACCTCAAACCTCCTCTCCTCCATCTTTCCTTGTCATGGGGTGAGAGAGCTGCTCAATGAACGTGTAGTGAGAGCGGCCCTGCTGACACCATCACAACACTTGAGCACCACCTGAGCTTCTGCTCGGACCATGGTGCAATTTTTGGAAACCCTAAAAAGTACAAAGTAAACTATAGCAATACGCGAACATGGTAAGTAAGAGCGACAACACCGCCATCTAGTGGCAGTTTCTATGAACTGATCCCACTGGTCAGAATGAAAGATAAAACTGCAAAAGAGAGACATTATTGTTTATCTTGAAAAAATAACATGGACCTAAATCATAAGCAACCAAATATCCACCAGTTTAAAAATGAAATAGGTATCTTTATTATATATAATGAAGATATATCACAATGCCAAAGCAAATTGTATATTGTCTTTATTTTGTTTTTCTTTTAACCTGTTCGAATAAACTAAACTAAACATATTTTAAAACACAGTTGTGTATGAAAAGTGGGATATAAATAATTACTGATTGATTTAAATAATTTTGTATTTAATATAAAGTTAGTCTTTTTTCTGTATTTATCCACTAAAACTCACAGTTTCATCACCCGTTTCCTGCTCAAAGGATCATTTTATGACTCCAGAGCAGAGGAGCAGGATACTGATCCTGGTGCAGCAGGAGGTCTGTGTGTGTGTGTGTGTGTGTGTGTGTGTGTGTGTGTGTGCGTGTGTGTGTGTGTGTGTGTGTGTGTGTGTGTGTGCGCGTGTTAAATCCTCCGCTCTGCCTCTTTGTTCTCAGACTGAGGGGGAATTACAGTAATTAGACTGATGACAGGGCCCAAACAAAGACCGGCTCTGAGCTCCGAGGGGGATCGAACGGGGCTCTAAACCTGAACTCTCACATTTAGATTCAGCTGGTCTAGGTAAAGTCCACACAGGAGGTCTTTCTAACCTTTTTCAGAGTCTGTCAGCTGCAGGTAAACAAACTTTGGACTTTTCCTAAAACCTGAGTCACAAAAGGAGGAAGAACTGCACCCTGTCTGAGTTCAGGAGACCCAGAAAACAGAGCCGGTCTGACAGGCTCCTCCTCTCCGCAGACAGATGGCCAACTCCCTGTGGCCGTCATCCACATCCGGAGTCCCTGGAATAAAAATAAAACCACCCTGAAAGACCCCCCTCAAGGATCTGGACTGAAATCGCTCTCTCGTCATCATCCATCCCCAAATCCTCTGATCCAAAAGTCTCAGTCCTCATTTCATCCTCTCCTCTGTCCCTGAGAGTCGGTTTGTTGCAGTACAGACCCTGAAACAGCCGCTCCACTTTCAGGGACTAATGTGGACCCAGAGCTGCTGACTTCTGGAACCAGAATCAGGATCAGTGATATTGATTTGACATCTGCAGTGAACTCATGTCAGAGTACAGAGTTAAAGGGATATATAAAATTAATTTAGGGTCAAACACACAGTAACACCGAGTTAGACCCCCCCTCCAGAGGTGAATGTTGCCGACCGCTTGCTTCTCTAGTTATACCAACTTTAGTAACGACCGCAGGATAGCAATACAGAGAGCCACGCCCCCAACCAAAACGCCACTCTATAGCCACAAATAATGTTCAGAACAGCACCTAACTTCATCAACAGGACATATAGGGTCACAGTCATAGTACTAGACACCAAACATCTTATTAACTTTGACTCATTTCTTTAGCAAAGAGACTAAACACAACTCACCTACTCTCTTCCAGCAGACGCTTGTTTGTACTACTACTATATTTAGAGTTGTTGTAAACTCTGGGCCAAGAAACTTCTACTGTAGTAAAATGAAAAGGTAAAGGTGTTTTTTATTGAGCCAAATTATCAATAACATCATGATTTTGTTAACAGGTATGGATATACACTCACCGGCCACTTTATTAGGTACACCTGTCCAACTGCTCGTTAACACTTAATTTCTAATTAGCCAATCACATGGCGGCAACTTAGTGCATTTAGGCATGTAGACATGGTCAAGACAATCTCCTGCAGTTCAAACCGAGCATCAGTATGGGGAAGAAAGGTGATCTGAGTGACTTTGAACGTGGCATGGTTGTTGGTGCCAGAAGGGCTGGTCTGAGTATTTCAGAAACTGCTGATCTACTGGGATTTTCACGCACAACCATCTCTAGGGTTTACAGAGAATGGTCCGAAAAAGAAAAAATATCCAGTGAGCGGCAGTTCTGTGGGCGGAAATGCCTTGTTGATGCCAGAAGGTCAGAGGAGAATGGCCAGACTGGTTCGAGCTGATAGAAAGGCAACAGTGACTCAAATAACCACCCGTTACAACCAAGGTAGGCAGAAGAGCATCTCTGAACGCACAGTACGTCGAACTTTGATGCAGATGGGCTACAGCAGCAGAAGACCACACCGGGTGCCACTCCTTTCAGCTAAGAACAGGAAACTGAGGCTACAATTTGCACAAGCTCATCGAAATTGGACAATAGAAGATTGGAAAAACGTTGCCTGGTCTCATGAGTCTCGATTTCTGCTGCGACATTCGGATGGTAGGGTCAGAATTTGGCGTCAACAACATGAAAGTAGGATCCATCCTGCCTTGTATCAACGGTTCAGGCTGGTGGTGGTGGTGTCATGGTGTGGGGAATATTTTCTTGGCACTCTTTGGGCCCCTTGGTACCAATTGAGCATCGTTGCAACGCCACAGCCTACCTGAGTATTGTTGCTGACCATGTCCATCCCTTTATGACCACAATGTACCCAACTTCTGATGGCTACTTTCAGCAGGATAATGCGCCATGTCATAAAGCTGGAATCATCTCAGACTGGTTTCTTGAACATGGCAATGAGTTCACTGTACTCAAATGGCCTCCACAGTCACCAGATCTCAATCCAATAGAGCATCTCTGGGATGTGGTGGAACGGGAGATTCGCATCATGGATGTGCAGCCGACAAATCTGCGGCAACTGTGTGATGCCATCATGTCAATATGGACCAAGCTCTCTGAGGAATGCTTCCAGCACCTTGTTGAATCTATGCCACGAAGAATTGAGGCAGTTCTGAAGGCAAAAGGGGGTCCAACCCGTTACTAGCATGGTGTACCTAATAAAGTGGCCGGTGAGTGTATGTGCTGTCGAGATAGTATATGTGAACAAGAGCGCAGTAAAGTTAAATCAGCTAATTTTCCAATGAGGTTCTGTTACTAAACAGAACTACACCATGTTCTACTGAGGTTAGTACATATAGGGTCACTGAAATACAGTTTTAAAACATCCTTTTTTTGTCAAATATCAAATCTACAGCATTTCTCTGAAAACCTGTGCATCTTCAACCTGCTGTGACGACAGAAAAACAGGACCTGGACCTGTTCCTCTGTCTGTCTCTGATGTGGAGGAGCCGTTTAATTAAATCACAAATCACTCCGTCTCTCTCGTTTTATCACCAGTGGAAACACACACACACACGGAGACACATGTCGCCATCTTGGCGTCTATTTCCTCTGAAGCAGGAGAACACCCATCTCTCTTTTATTTTCCTCTTTCTAATCTGACTGACAGACAATCACTCTTGAATCATTTCAGCAGCTAAAGCAACATTTCACTGTTCCAGCTCAGTCGGCCTCACCCTGCTGCCACACACACAGACGGCTCTGTTTTATTACCGGGAGGAGCTTTATGATCAGACACATACCTGTCCCTCCCTCTCTGCTTCCTCACACATATTACTGACTGATTTCTGTCTCAGCCGCCGCCGCCGTCATAAACCAGGAGCTTCGTCTGGTGGAGGTCTGCAGAAATTCACCTCGCTTCTATCGAGTTCCTCTCATCAGTATGAACTTCACAGCTTTACGGCCCACAGAGCGGCTGATGAAGTGCTCTGTTTCCTGAAGGATGTTTGTTCACTTTGCCTCCTCACAACACAGGAGGACACGCGTGCTGCAGAGCAAACATGTGCAGCAGATTACAGACCGCTGCTGCTCCCTGTCAGTGTCATAAAACTGTGACCGCCGGCTCTGCTGAACGCTCACACGGGTCACAGAGAGATGCTGTGATTGGACGGATGAAGAGGAAGAGACTGAAAACTTCAGAACACAGGAGCAGAGAGATGCTGCCGACTCTAATGTGGAAGTTTGGTGTAAATTTGACCTCTAAGTCATAGAAGTGCTGCAGTTAGAGATGATATTAGATCAGCTCCTGCAAACCTGTGACCTCCAGGGTCTCCAAGATTAAACTCGAGAGCATTTCACTGAAGACTTCTGAATCTGAGGATGTTTAGGAGATGTTAATGAGGTTTTAAAGCAGCATTTATAACCTGTTTGGTATCTGCTGACTGAAGAATCCACGTTTTCTAACTCTTACAAACATGACCACGCTTTAAAACCAGACCTGGTCCTTCAGCGGCTCACACAGAGACTGGAGCTGGAGGGGAAAGTCTTGACATGTTGGAGCACATGCCAACATACCCTGGCTGTCCCATGACTCAATCATTAGCTATTAAAGTGGGCTGGGTGGTTCAGATGATGTTCAGGAACAGGAACAGCAGCAGCAGCAGCAGCAGGGCGATCATGTTCCTGCAGTGACCACACAGTGACTCAGCAGACGCAGCAGCAGCAGCTCCAGGCTCAGAGACCAGGAGACGTACAGTAAACATTCATTATGTAAAACAGCCACCAGTGTTAACACACACACACACACACACACACACACACACACACACACACACACACACACACACACGTCTTTTCTGCTTCACTTCCTGCACAGATTTAACTTCACGCTCGACTTCATGCGGTGAAAACACTGAAACGCGAGTATCCTCCCGCAGACATACGGTCACTGACTCCAATACTCGCCGGTTTTCTCTGTGAAGCGTCACCATGGCAACAAATTAAAGAGAAAACACACACATATGGAGGTGCTGAACTGTCTGTCTTCCTCACAGTTATAATCTGTCTGTTTTATTGTCAGTATAAGTTGATAACGAATCATCTTTGGTGATTAAAAAGTATTTTATTAAAGATCATCTTATATTGGGGATAACACAGTAATAACAATAATAATAATAATAATAATAATAATGATCAGGGTTTTTCCTGCGTTCAAAATTGCGTGGCGGCCGCCTCCACCTAATTTTGTGCCGCCCCCAGCCAGAGCGATTGATTTCGCTCAACACAGCGTAAAGCTCCAGCTGTGTTGATTGAGCGATTGATGTCCCGATGCAGCAGCAACGTATTTTAACTGCAGTTGCAGCGTTGCGCCACTATGGAGGCGCTATATCAACAGCAGTGCACCGGAAAGACCTGAAGCATCTACCGAAGAAGAAACGGATCGAATCATGTTTTTTCAAGTGTTTTTCCCGCTAGTTGGTGCTATCGGCGTCCTGATTTTCCCTGGCGGATGGTACAAACAGGTAAATACTGCTTCTCTTTTTTGCATTCGAGCATGTCGTGTTTATTTAAAAAAAAAAATTTTACTCCGTTTTTAGCGTTGCAGTTATGACAGGCAAAATCAGCCAGTACTTTAAAAGCGACCTCGCGAGGAGGAAAGTCAAGAGTCCAGGTGAAACACAGCAGAGAAAAAACGTAACAGGCAGTTAAAATGCTATAATTCATGTTGGAGACAACGTGGAAATTTGTGTCAGGTCTGAAAGTACTTCACAAGGGACTGGTGATCGCGAGGGTCAGAATGCAGGACAGGACGAGTCGGCGAGGCGAGGGTAATTAATTAATTAGTTTCCAATTAGGAGCATAACAACGCAAAGCCGACGTGTACGTGGTTTTTATTCCTCTTTCCAGATCTTCTCAAAAACACAGAGCCAGTGGCTTTGACAAGCAGTGGCTCAATCAATTTACCTGGCTCAGGCATACTGAGGAAGGCATGCACTGCTATTTATGCCAAAAGCACTGTGCCCCAACCCAGCAGGCAGTTGCTGCCTCCTTAGTGAGACAGCCATCAACCAACTACAGGCTGGACACATTAAAAAGACATGAGGTGACAGCCGTTCACAAAGCAGCAGAAGAGAAAGAAATATATTAAAGATGGTAGTACCTAAAAAAACTCAACTAATAAAGTTACAAAAACTAAAATAACATAGTTTACATAGTTTAAGAAATAATTGGTTGTCGTTTTTTTTTTTTTAGGGAGGACACTGCAGCGTATACATATATATAATATATGATTGAAAACACTATCACTCTTCATGTCTGTATTAGAATAAAAACAAAAATACTTAATGCATGATGAATTGTTTTGTTTAAGGTGAAGACACCTCTGTGGAACAGACTGAAGGAGAGGCACTTGGATGTCTGTTGTAAGGTGGCCGTTGATGGACCAGACCAGGAGGCCTTGGACTACAAGGAGTGCATGAGGAGGTTCTACAGAATGAGGAGGCTGAAATGTTCTGTCTGGTTGCGAGATGTGTGGATGAAGTGTACTTTCAATTTAAAGTTGCCAGCTGATTTGTGTATGTATATAGTTTTAATAAATGAATGCTTTAACATAATAATGGTCACACTCTTTTTTGAACTCTTAACTTAAAGTATGTTGCCTGTAAAAGAAAGTGAATCGGTTGAATTTACAAATACATGCACGTCGTGGCGCACGGTCAGGATGGTGCCACCTCTGCCTCAATTTGAGCCAGGAAAAACCCTGATGATAATAACAATAGTAATAATATAATAAAAATAATAAAAATAATAATATAATGATAATAATAATAATAATAATAATAATAATAATAATAATAATAATAAAATAATAATAATAATAATAATAATAATAATAATAATAATAATAAAAATAATAAAAATAATAATAATAATAAAAATAATAATAATAATAATAATAATAATAATAATAATGATAATAATAATAATAAAGTCCCCTCAGTGATTTTTTCCCCCCTGCCTATCAAACCTAAAATAATCATTAATTAATGTTAATCAAGTTCAGCTGAAGGACCAACACCTGCGATCAGAGCTCTACATGGACAGGAACTGAAGGGCGTGGACTTTGGCAGAACTCATATGTGGTTCTGGAGATCTGGAGGCTGAGGACCACAGCACATGACCCACAGTGACCCCCTTCTGCTCTGCATGAGGATCCACAGACCATGAGGCTCCTCCTGTCATCTGTGATCCGTAAATATCAACCTCCCGCAAACACATGTTCACCGACACGCCATCTGCTCCTGCGGCGACCGAGGAAACCTCTGGATCTGAGAAAAACATTTAATCTGTGGACTTATTGATCAGTCACCTCCAAGTCCGAGGTCATGGTCCTCAGTCGGAGAAAGGTAGATTACCTTCTCCGGGTCGGAGGGGTGGTCCAGCCTCAAGTAGAGGAGTTCAAGTATCTCAAACCTCATAACAGGTGGTTCTGAGGTTTGTGAACAGAATCACTACAAATGTGAGTTAAATCAAGAATTTCTCAATAGACAGACTTATGATCATGTCTGTTCATCATCCTGAAAACCTCAGCTGTCAGACCAGAGTCCCTGCTCGGACCCTCACACGAGACAAACACACTGATGCTCGCCATCCTCCATCGAACACGCGCTCCTCATATCCAACCAGAACCAGCCTGCGAACATCACGGCTGCAGAACCTTCTCCTGCACAGAAGCCACCAAACACGAGTCCGATTAGAGGAGGTTCGGCCCGCGGCACTCTTCTTTACTTGTGAGGAAACCAAACATTGGAGCTCCTGTTGATTTCTATGAATCGGACCTTTCAGGCTCTTAAAATAGAAGAGAGTTTGAAATTGATCAGAGCGTCTAAAATAAGGGAAAATGTTGGATAATCCAGGAACAAAAAGTACATTTAAGGTTTTATTTTGAAGTTAAATCACTTTCTGCAACTTTTTAAATATATAGTGTCTGATAAACTCCAGATATTTGCAGAGTTGATTATTAACTCTGAATAAAACTGGAAAATAAACGATGTTATTTTGTCATGAATTAAACAAACCTGCAGGATTTGAGTCCTGCAGAGTTAAAGCCGAGTATTTATATGTCTTCAAACCTAACTCAATCACTGCCTTAAAGTCTTTAACCTACATAAAGATCATTTTTTAAATACATGCGGCTGAAATATTTCCCTCTAAAAACCACCGTTACATAACAAACCGTTTCACTTCTGTTTGAGTGTTTTCTCAAAGGCAGTTGGAGTTTTTATTCCATGAAGTATTTTCTGCACTTTGGTGTAACAGCTTCAGTTTCTGGTTAATCTTTAATCATCCAAACTTTGTCCTAAAGGTAGAGATGTGCCCCGTCAGGCAGTAACCACGGGACGCGCGGTGACGCGAGCTGATGTGCTCACGAGTCGCGTTTGCCACGGGCGTTGAACTAAAAACAGAAGCAGAGAATGACCACATGGCGACCAAAACAAGCGTCTCCATCAGCTGTTTAAAGGTGGAACGGCCACATGCTCGACAGAAAGAACACGCCGCGGTTATTAAAGTTAGTGAGGGATGAAAACACCCAAAAATAACCACAGAGAGAGAGAGGACTCTGAAGAAACGTCCTCCTGGACCTGAACTCCACTGATCCAGAAAACAACGATACAAATTCAAGTTTCTGACACAAAGTCGGCGCAAGGGCGGCACACATTCACGGCTACGACACCTGCCAGACAGAATCGAGGAGGACGTCAGTCTGCAGGCAGACAACAGAGCGAAGACAAGAGGCAGCGAGGAAATACTGAACAGGACTGGACATGAGAGACGGCTGAGTCAGGGTGTTACTGCCAGAAACACACACACACACACACACACACACACACACACACACACACACACACACACACACACACACACACACACACACACACACACACACACACAGAGGTGGAGGGGTGAGGTTTGTTCGTTTGGAGCGAATGACGGTCAAAGAAGAAAAAACAGGTGACCCGTTCAGAAGCAGAGTCGATGAAGCTCCTGTGATCTCACATGAAACATTCATTAGGGTTTAAGCTTTAATTCTGGACTCTTTAATATTCATATCCTGGGTTTTTTAGCTTCTAAAAGGTCTAAAAAATAAGTTTAATGTTACTCCAGGTGACTGTTTGACGCAGCAGTCACGTCCTAACAGACTTTAATGTTTGATTTTAGAGGAAAATACAGAAAAAAAGGAGTTTTTGTCTCAGCTTATAGTTTCAGGAAGTATCTCTGCTGTGTTAAACCTTTTTGTTAAAGGTGGAATCTGTTAAAGAAGCGTCTTTATTTGTGGTGTTTGTACAAATACTCTTTTAATATCAGTCAATAGTTATTAGTTATTGATTATTTGGTAATATATCGATATCTCTGTGTTCTCTTATGTCTGTGTCGTCAACATTTGAACATTTTTGAGCGGTCCGCTCTTTCTGACTGTAAACAAAGTCGTTCTCCACCTCCTCTAACCTGATTGGTTGTGAGGCAGACGCTGCTCCCCCGTGTCGTTCAGGAGCCCAAACAAAGTTAGCGTGCTACAATATCGGACAGTAGAAACCAACCAGAAAGTTCGGAAAATTGTCCGAATCCTCCTTTGGCCACGACTGCTGACACAAGCAAGAAAACAAAGTAAATACCGGAGACTCTGGAGGAATAACGGGCGCTTAAAACGGAGGTAGACCGGACAAGAGCTAAAAAGCCGGGTCAACATAAACGATGGGGGACGCTTGGGGATCTTGGTGACCCTGTAACCTTTCTGCTGGACAGGTAAACCGCTTTAACAAAGTAAGACAAGTGTCTGTAACAGAAGTGTTTCTTGTCAAACGGACCTGCTGTAGCGTGTTGTAGCGCCATCGCTAAACTGTCCTCCCTCGGGTCCTGGACTATGTCACTTTATCCTAGTTGTAGAAGTCCTGCAAACATTGTGTTTGCTGGTATTCTGTTGGCATCTACAGTAGCACCAATGCTTTTGACTTTCACCTTGACTGGGCCCCATTTGTAATGATCTGAAGTATTTATCTGCATTATATCTGAATTTAACTGGAACGATACGAGCGAGCAGGAGCGTCTGTTTGTGGGCGGGGCTTGAGGGGAGAGGAGGAGCTGAGGGGAACCAAATGTATATAATAGAAGAAAAAGACAGACCTTGGTTTGGACTTTCAGGTGTGAAAACACTAGAGTCTCTGTGTGTGTGTGTGTGTGTGATATAACGTCGATCAGCTGTCCTCCTCTGTTAAAAATAAAAGCTTATCTGAGCCTCGCAGCACATTTCCCTTTAATATGAAGACAACAAGGACATTTCTGTGTCCTACAACACTCCCTTTTGTTCATGACACAGCACTCCTCCTCCTCTCCGCCAACGCCGGGCCATGACAGAGCACATCAGCTGAACACGCCGCTCGGTGGCTTCCTTCCCCTGCTGACTCGGCAGAACAAATGGCCAAATTGATAACATGACACGGGTGTTTGAGCTGCAGGAGGCCGACATGGAAAACAAGCGTGAGTGAGAGCGGATGAAGACGCTCCTCAGACTTTCAGGACATGATGCTACAGAGGGGCTGCTGTCCTAACTCTCAGCCTGATACATACACAGAGCATATGGACATCCTGAGGCGAGCGGACTTTACCGACTGATGCAGCGAGGACAAAATGTTACCGCCTCACTGGATCCTGAAGCAACATGCCCCCCGACAACACCTACAGACCAACACACCCACTTCTCTCCTTCCTGTTCATTTGAATAGAGTCTGCACACCCTGCTCCTTTCATCAGTCCCACCCTGTCAGAGCTCCGTCTACGTCTCTAATCCAGAGTTTTGTTGATCCTTCAGGGGGATCAGAGCCGAGTAGAAAGCAGAGGAAGTTTTTGTCAACACTTTCACACTTTTCAGATCAGTCTGCGAGAGCGTCCTGTTCCGCAGGTGTGTATCAGACAAAGAGGGTCACCTGTGGATGAGATCAGCCCAAAAATGATCAAGCTGGAAATAGATGCGAAACAAAACGCCGCTGTATGTTTTTAATGCTCTGCAAGGACTGAGGAAATCAGTTTCAGACGGTCAAAGTTTAAAAAGTTAACTATCCAAAATGAGGATGGATTAAAGCCACTGTAGGGAGTTTTTGAAGAGGTATGAAACAGTGACACCTCTGGACGCATCTGTAACGGCTGCGATTTTCACCATCTGCCAGTTGGTGAGGCGAATTTCGTGACAGATTATGGACAGCGGTAATCCAAGAACTCACAAGAACCCGCAGATTCACGTTCCATCGTGCGATAACCAGTTGTCTCTATAAAGACAGACACATAGACATATAAGCAGTAGATTGTGTCCTTCCAGAGGAGGAAATCTACTTCTAGACTTCTAGAATCAGCATCTCCTCATTATTATGATGTAAATATTACCAGCTGTACATATTTAACTCAACTTTAGAGAACACTACTTACACAGGTGCATGACAAACTAGTGAATATATGAGAGATTCTCCTTTGTCCACAGGGGGCCCCAAAACTGAATGTCTGCATTTGAGAAAGAAAACTGTGATCATTGAAGGTGAAATCAGATGTTGTCTAAAATACCATCATATCAGATATCTGCAAAAATCCAACACTGAGCACTCCTGAAACTGCTGTGGAGTGAGACATCTCACTCCTGACTATCTTTGTTTAGGATGGTGAGACCAGGAGGAAGCAGCCGGTAAGATCTGCAAACCTGATGGAGCGGAGTGTTTTTGACTGACATACTATCAAACCATCAACAGTGACTCCTGGGTTTTAAAATAGTGTCACTGGGACCAAGTTCTGATCCGGTTCCTTGTGGTTAAGACACGCTAAGTTCCTCCAAAAGGTCCCGGGTCCCCGGGGGAAGCTCCTGCGGTGGAAATACGGCTCATGTGGCTGACCGAGGACTCTCTCTCTCTGCTCACAGAGTTTCCAGAAAAAACGAGCAAAACACGAGCAGAGAAGGAGGCATTTAAACTCCAGACAGCAGCAGGAGAAAGGCGGAGGGGTGACGGAGTTCAATGACGGAGAGAGAGAGAGAGAGGGAGAGAGGGAGGGAGAGAGAGAGAGAGAGAGAGAGAGAGGGAGAGAGAGAGAGAGAGAGAGAGAGAGAGAGAGAGAGAGAGAGAGAGAGAGAGAGAGAGAGAGAGAGAGAGAGAGAGAGAGAGAGAGAGAGAGAGAGAGAGAGGGAGAGAGAGAGAGAGGGAGAGAGAGAGGGAGAGAGAGAGAGAGAGAGAGTGTTTATGATGCTCAGAGGAAAGGATGTCCTGTACATCTGTCTTGATATACGCTCTGATCACTGAGGACTGCTGAGTAAAGAGAGAAGAAGAAATTACACACACACACACACACACACACACACACACACACACACATACACACACACACACACACACACACACACGGTCGCTCAGCTGATCTTCCTGCAGGTCCTCGTCTCATAAACACAAAAATAAAAACAACAACAGAGCTGAAACTGGATTTTAAAACCTGGTTGATGATTGTAGAGGTCGGTAATTATTATGAACCTCGTTTCCATGGCGATCATGGTCCTGTAGCCCGATCTCCACAAAGTGAAGAGAAAAGAGAATGGAAAGAATCGGTTCACCCTATCAGGTGCAGGGCTGCAAAAACATTGACCAATGGGAGCCATCTGTCCTGGACAGCTCCTATTGGTCAATCTCCTTCTCCGCCTCACTATCCAATCACCTCGCTGTATTCAACTGCTGCGAGTCACTAGCAATCCGACATGGTGGATCCTATTTGAAGCTAGCTAGGGGAGAGGTTTGTGTGGGGGGTGGGACGCTCTTTTCAACTGCTTCTCAGATCGTCAAACACGCCCGATAACTCCATCTGCAGGGACGTTTCTACCTGTCAAACCTCTCCATGCTGCCGCGCCACACTGCAGCAGAGATTACCTCAGATTATAATCCAGCTGTGATTGGCTCAGAGCAGAGATGATCAGAGTGATTGGCTCTTCGTTGTGCTGTAATAAGAGTATCATTAGCAGACCGACGCTCTCAGGTCAGTTTCTCCTCCTCATTATTGTGGATTTATCAGATTTCAGATTCAGTTTACCTCCACAGAGTTTAGAGGGACCAGCAGAGGAAGCATGTCCCAGATACTGAACCACGTATCTGCAGAAAACTGCTGACAAACACACTCAGGCCTCGTCTCTCCTGAGTCACATGGTGGACGGGGACCTGGGGAAATCAGGGATTGCCTCGTACACCGGTTTATCTCAGGGAAAAAAGGAAAAATCCTCGAGCTGAGCAGATTAAATAAGAGCAGATTATGACTATGGGGTCAGCGCTGCAAAGGGTCCCACCGCTGGGCAGATCCCTACAGGCCGTGATCATGACACGGGGATTTACAGCCGCCGCCTCAGTCAGGACGGTCTCTAAATGGGACACAGATTGTTTTCAGTGAGTGGAAACAGAGGAGGGAGTTAAAGGGTTAAAAAGAGGAGGATGAAGAAGGTAAAACGAGTAAAAAAAACCAAGAAAACACGCTTTTGTTTCCGATCCAGGAACTACCAGCTTTAACACTCCCTCTCCGAGCATCAGCAGGGGGTCCATCACTCTGTCTGCACTCCTCCTCCTCCTCCTCCTCCTCCTCTTCATCCCTGCCCCTCCCTCGCCTTCATTTGCTGCGTCACTTACATCATGGCGCAGCCCTGTTGCCAAGCTGGCTGCGCTGTTGTTGCACACACTCTCATAAAACACACAGACACGCAAAGAAACACTCAGCAACTTTTGCTGCTGCTGCAGAGCTGCACAGAAACACACCGACACCTCCTCCTCCTCCTCCTCCTCCTCCTCCTCCTCCTCCTCCTCCTCCTCCTCCCACTGCTACAGAGCAGACACATCCACCCTGGTTTAAAGGAGAATTACACTCAAAACTATCACAGCTTCAAAATAAGATCAATAATCAATATTTGGATTTTTACTTGGATGTTCAAAGAGGTGAGTGAACTGTTAACGTCCCAGGACGGTCCTAAAGATGGTGCTGAAGACACTGTGATCATGTCCCATAATAGTCACACCTTTTCTAGATCATATACATCTATTATTTCACTTCTAAATCTAGGAATATACATCTATTGTTGTACTTAAATCTAGTAATAAACATCTATTAATTCACTTTTGAATCTAGTAATATACATCTATTATTTCACTGTTAAATCTAGTAATAAACATCTATTAATTCACTTTTGAATCTAGTGATATACATCTATTATTTCACTCCTAAACCTAGTAATATACATCTATTATTTCACTTTTAAATCTAGTCATATACATCTATTTTTTCACTCCTAAATCTAGTAATATACATCTATTATTTCACTTTTGAATTTAGTCATTAACATCTCCTATTTTGCTTTAAAATCTAGTCATATACATCTATTATTCTACTTAAATCTAGTCATATATATCTAATCAGTGCACTTAAAAGTTCTACAATCAAAACAATCTCATTAAAACGTGTTTGTGTGCGTGTGTGTGTGTGTGTGTGTTTGTGTGTGTCTGCAGCTCCTCACACACACAGAGAAACCCTGACTTAACTAAAATCAGAAACACACACACACAGGTGTCTACAGTCACACCGTGAATCGATCGATGTCACAGCAGCTCTGCGTTACTGTAAGCGCAGCGGCTCCTCGTGAACGTTTGCCAAAGTGAACCTGGTTCAGGATTAACGTTTAGCGCTCAGACTCCAAAGTCCCCGTGAGTCCAGACTAAGTCAGGACATGGATTTGAAAGTTGACCTGCTGCACAGACGTGAACGTGAGCTCAGACTGTAAACACAGAGATAATGAGTGACACATAAAGAGAGATTTTTAGAGAGATTTCTCTCTCTAAATAAAATCTAACCTGCAGCATCAGAGGTGGTTTTTCTGTCTTAGAGAATCATCTGCATGTTGTTACTCGTGTCTCTTGTCTTTATTTATCGAATTCACCAGAGAGAGAAACACAAAGACAGACAGAGTCTCTCCACAAGCTGATTTTTCACGGACTGAAGCAGAGCCAAGAGTGAGGAGTGAGAGACGGAGAAGAAAAACAGCTGATCTCAGAATCACTGTCTTTGGTTACTGCTCATTAATTAGTGTTACAACATGCTGCAGCAGGCGCGCGCACGCACACACACACACACACACACACACACACTCTCACCCCAAACTGACTAAAGTCAACTCTGATGAGATCTCCTCTGAACATCCTGACTCTGAGTTTTTAGACGGACCTGTAAGTCAAAAATTAACTTTGTTGGAGTCGCAGCCGCACAGATTTACAGTCCAAACTTCTCTCTCTGAGCGCTGGAGTGTCGGTGCAGCTGAAGTTTCTACCAAACAATTAAAAGTATTGAAATAAAAAGACACAGAGACAGAGGTGTGTATCGTCTCCTATCATTGGTGAAGAGAGGAAGAGAGTTAGGCTCCTCTCCACACACGCTTCGTAAACACAGATCTACACTCGCATTTCTAACCAGAAGCAAAGACAGAGACTGTGATTGACATGAAGTGAAGAAAGAGTTAAAGTCCTTCCTGTCCCGCCCCCCTGTGTGTCTCTCTGCTCGCCCTCCGTCACAAACACTAACTCTCCTCAGTCTCTGCTCCTCCTGATGTTTGAGTCAAAGACAGAGAAGGTGTGTCACCTGGTTTAGTCCCGCTCTATCCTACCCGCCCCTCCGACTCGGAGAAGGCGATCTACCTTTCTCTGACTGAGGACCATGACCTTGGACTTGGAGGTGCTGATTCGCATCCCTGACGCTTCAAACTCGGCCGTGAACCGCCGCAGCAAGAGCTGAAGGTCACTGCTCGACGAGGCTAGAAGAACCACATCATCCGCAAAAAGCAGCGACGCGATCCTCTGCCTGCGGAACTGGACACCCTCCACCCCTAAAGTTCTGAACAGAACCGGAGACAAAGGGCAGCCCTGGAGGAGTCCGACTCTCACCGGAAACGAGTCTGACCTCCAGCCGGCTGCACAGACCTAGCTCGTGCTCCTTTGGTAAAGGGATTGGACGTTCCTTAATAAGGAACCATCCACCCCATACTCCCGGAGCACCCCCCACAGGATTCCCCTGGGGACACGGTCGTAGGCCTTCTCCAAGTCCACAAACACATGAGGACTGGTTGGTCAAACTCCCATCTCCCCTCAAGAACCCGAGCGAGGGTGAAGATCTGCTGAAGTGTTTGCAGTAAAAAGGTCAGCAGAGGGAGACGGCGGGCGCCTTAACGGGACGCATTATTTGCTGAACTACATCCTGTTGAGACGTGACACGCCCCTGCAGGGCGTCAGAAACCGTGTCTTTATGAGGAGGACTTCAAAGTGATACCCTGGAGCATCAGGCATGGAGCTTTTGAGGAACCAGACGGTCTCTGATGGTTCCAGCTGGTCCGTCCTCCCTGCAGACACAGACCTTTGTTTTCAGATCACTCTTCACTCCTGAACGTGACTCTGACACGAAAACTCAAAGTAGGAACATCTCATAAAACCCGTACCTTCAGTTTCACTCCGGGGATCTGTTTACTGCTGGGCGGAGCCACACCTGACGCTCCTGTTGTGATTATAAACAGCGTTGGTCTTAAAGCGTACGACCCCACAGAGAGTTTTACTGTCGGAGAATATCGGCTCCAAACAGCAGATGAGAAAAAGTCATTTCATAGCAGGAAACACACCCAGACAGCCGCCGCTCCATGACTCCCCAAAGACCGCCCCCGGTCCTCACAGACGGGGACACATTTCACAGAGACTCTGAGCTGATGGGACCGAGCCCAGGAGACAGAGAAGAAGAAGAAGATGGCGGCGGTCCCTCCTGACGCAGCGATGACTCATCCAAACAGCTTCAGGTCAGGCGTAGACCAGAGGACTTTATTAAGCAGGAAGATCCAGATTTAAGGGATGAAACGGTGCAGAAGAGCTAAAAACTGCAGTTCCACGAGTCTCCACTAGAGGCAGGATCCAAAAGTATCAAAAACTACATTCAGCCGAGGCCGAAAGTTTTGAGAATGACACAAATATTAGTTTTCAGAAAGTTTGCTGCTTCAGTTTTTATGATGGTAATATTCATAAACTCCAGGATGTTCTGAGGAGCGATCAGATTAAAGTCTCTGTCATAAAAATGAACTTAATCCCCAAAAAACAACAACAGAGTGATGACTAAGTGACTCGAGGAAAAAAACTAAAAATTTGGGGTTTATGTTTGTAATCAAACTTCAGTTTAACATAAAAACATCTAAAAAACTAAAGAGGTCATCTCTCCGTGGGTGGCGTCACTGAGGCTACTTCAATAATCAATGATCAGGGGGGCGTTGCCTGATCTACAGCTGACTGAATAACCCTCAGGTATGTGGAGTTAATATGATTTTAATTAGGATGGTAAACAACATTTAGTTTTGATATTCAGAACCGTCTTCTGGGTTTCCACGGGACCCTGAAGGATCCTGTAAAAGCCTCCCCTCGCGGTCCTGCTCGGGCCTCTCAGCCCAGACACGACTAACAATAAAATTACAGGTGGCACCAGCGCGTCTGAGCGATCTCTTCAGGGCTCGTCAACCCGGAAACCAGTCCTGCCAGCCTGCATCGATCTGGTCAGTAAACCAGCTCAGCTTCCAGAGGCTCGGCTCTGTCCGGGGAGAGGTGGAGGGGAAATTGATGGAGGGAAGAGGAGGGGGTGATAGATGGTTACTGACAAGAGCCTAACTGGTCTGCTGGACTCTTGGAGGAAAGGGGAGATGTGAGGAAAGAGATCTGTGCCCGGGTTCAGCAGGTACAGCCAAAGACAGGTCCAGACATCTACATTTACTGTCCTCTAAATACTGCAGATCATTTATAAAACCATTACACTGAATCTACTTTCTCTCTACCCCCACCAGCACCACACCTCTGCAGGCAGCCAATCATCAGGTGTGCACACAAACTTGTCTGGAGTTGATTCGAACCACAAAAAGCAGAGATGAAGCTGCTGCTGCTGCTTCGACACACCCAAGAAGAACGAGATCTCTGTGGAGAGTGACATCTGATAAACATGACACAAACAGCCTGAAAACACCGTCAGGTGATACTTACTGCACATTTAAGACGGCATGAATAACCACAGAGAAGAGATGGAGGCACATGTAATACAGTCCAACGGGCATTAAAGGGATAATCCGGCGTAAAATTAATTTAGGGTCAAACACACCGTAACACCGAGTCAGAACCCCCCCTCCAGAGATGAATGTTGACGACCACTAAGGCAGAAGAACGACCGCGTCTGCAGTGAAAATGATTGATATGGTGATTACAGGGCTTGACACTAACTTTTTTTCATTTATTGACGGTCCCTTATTCAACACAGACGTTGACAGTGAGGGTGTCGAGTAGATTTAACCGCGCTGCTGTTGTTATTCCCGGTTATGGAGAGTGAGAAGACACCGGTAGATCCTCAGAGAATGTCCGTCAGATATCCAACCTAAAACTAACTTCACCGCCGTATTTACAGGAAAATATATCCAACCTGAAACTAACTTCACCGTCTTATTTACAGGAAAATATATCCAACCTGAAACTAACTTCACCGCCGTATTTACAGGAGAATATATCCAACCTAAAACTAACTTCACCGCCGTATTTACAGGAAAATATATCCAACCTAAAACTAACTTCACCGTATTTACAGGAAAATATATCCAACCTGAAACTAACTTCACCGCCGTATTTACAGGAAAATATATCCAACCTAAAACTAACTTCACCGCCGTATTTACAGGAAAATATATCCAACCTGAAACTAACTTCACCGCCGTATTTACAGGAAAATATATCCAACCTAAAACTAACTTCACCGCCGTATTTACAGGAAAATATATCCAACCTGAAACTAACTTCACCGCCGTATTTACAGGAGAATATATCCAACCTGAAACTAACTTCACCGCCATATTTACAGGAAAATATATCCAACCTAAAACTAACTTCACTGCCGTATTTACAGGAGAATATATCCAACCTGAAACTAACTTCACCGCTGTATTTACAGGAAAATATATCCAACCTGAAACTAACTTCACCGCCGTATTTACAGGAAAATATATCCAACCTAAAACTAACTTCACCGCTGTATTTACATGAAAAACACATTTGTTGATTTTTCTTTTTATGCACACAATGAATGATAAAGAAATGATCATAAATGTTCTTCCTTGAGCTGCGGCACCCCGCTGTAGTCTGTAATGGACTGGCCTGTGGTCTCACTACAAACAAGCGTCTGCTGGAAGAGAGTAGGTGAGTTGTGTTTAGTCTCTTTGCTAAAGAAATGAGTCAAAGTTAAAAAGATGTTTGGTGTCTAGTACTATGGCTGTGACCCTATATGTCCTGTTGATGAAGTTAGGTGCTGTTCTGAGCATTATTTGTGGCTATAGAGTGGCGTTTTGGTTGGGGGCGTGGCTCTCTGTATTGCCATATGTGGTCGTCTCTGGAGGGGGGGTCTAACTCGGTGTTACTGTGGGTTTGACCCTAAATTAATTTTACACCTGAATATCCCTTTAACCACATATCATCTACCATTAGATTTTAACGGTGCTCAGTGCATGAATCTGATCTACGACAGTCTGAGCCTGTTGTTGTGTCTGATACTGGGATCGCTGCAGACGACCTCGGTATTGTTCCTTTGCTGCTTATGCACACAAACTCAGGATACTGATAGTTATTCAGGATGTTAAACAGACTACCTGCAAAGTACCTGCAGCTCAACAGCCGAGTGTTTGTTATCAAAACACAAAGTGTGTGCAGCAGAACAAAAAAAACATGAGAAGCTCCTCCTCAAACAGTCGCTCTGTGAATCTGTCGCCCTGTGCTAAATGGTCACCGAGACTACTTCCTCTACACGCCGTCATCCGTAGAAGAACTGACTCTCAGATCTTTCAGGACCTGCCGACTCGAGCTCCGTCTCCAACTCTGTAACTCTGTGTCCTACAAACATAATTTAAAGGCCTCTCCGCCCTCTCATCACCGTTTCTCTCAGGCATGTGACAAAAAAAAAGGAAAAACACACATTGTAATTTTCAACACATAAAAACTACCATCTTAGCACAGCGTACGATATATCACAGCAGCAGCAGCAGAAGAGTGAAAAACAAAACCCAGAGTCTTCCTCTCCGTCCTGACTGAGCGGCTCTATGTAGGGCATCGGGGGGGCAGGCTCGGCTTTGTTCAGGCAGATATCTTTGACATTTCCAGGCCCGCATTGAGCAAAAGCAGCAGATCCCGACATGAAATCAGAGCTTTGGTAAACAAAGTGTTCTTACTCCACGGCAGAGAGAGAGAGAGAGACCTGCGGCGGGAGCCCAGAGAGCTGCTGATGGGATCACAATTCAGGGTCGGATAAAACTGTGCCCAAGATTGAACTCTAAATATCACACAATCAATCAGAGAGGAAGAATGGGGGCCGGCTCCGCGCTGAAGGGGGACAATGATGCCGGTCTGGGAACAGTCAGAAAGTGGAAGTTCTCCTTTAAACAAGCTCAGAAAAAGGCCATTATGAGTCCGTACAATGACATGGAAGTGCAGTCCGAACACTAGGACACCGTCTCTCCATCTAAACCATCTGACTCAAGTCCTGACAAGATCTATCTGTGCAGGGAGAGCTCACAAGATCCATCTGAGACCTTCAAGATCAGAAAATCAGAGAGTGATGGAGGCTTCATGTGACCCTGAGGACACATGCTGGAGTATACCTGACTCCTGGTCCAGAGAGGAGGTCCTCACCTGGTGTGTTTTCATGCTCCAAACATAACCAGAACTCAAAGTCAACCCAACACGACTGCGAGCACGCTGCTCAGCCAAACGCCACAGAGACAGAGAATCAGAGAGAGCGTTGACGTACTTCTGCATGAAAACTGGAGTTTAAAGGAGAGTCCTGAAGACCTGTGAGAGTGTGCGAAACCCCGCCTTCCTCCCATCATCCCCCTGTGAGTGAGTTTACCTTGAAGTTGCTGGAGTTGACCCAGGAGCTGGCGATGCCGTCGACCATCTTGTCCAGCAGCGTCTGGTCCTGCTCCAGGTCGGGAGACTTGTCTTTGTCCAAAATAAAATCGATGATCTCCTGTCCCACCTGCAGCCGTCGACCCATGTCCTTCTGCAGGACCTGAGCCAGGCAGTTCTCCATGCTGGGCTCCATCATCCCGGCCTCGCTGGCTTCCTCAGCCTGTCTGTACGAATGAATGACCGCCTGAGCGACTGCGAGCAATCCTCCGCCGCTCAAAGCAGCAGGAATGACAGCTCAACAAAAGGAGCCCCAGTTAACCAGAGTGTGGCGGCGGGGTGACCCGGAAAAGGGAGAAGAAAGGGAGAGGTGATCGCACACAGCCTGCTCGTATTTTTATCCCGGAGGACAGGCCTTGTGTTTGTGCAAATGGCTAGCCTGCTAGCGAGCGAGCGAGTGTACCCGAGAGATGGATGGAGCCGGGCTCAGGGAATGGCAGCAATGCAGCATGTGTGTCTGGACAGCAGCTGGGGAAAGTTTACCGCCCCCTCCTTCTTGGGTTTTTTTCCCCCTCGTCTTCTCTCTCTCGGAGGAGTCTGAGCCAAACCGCTACAGCGAGGGTAGTGGAGGTGGTTTTGGCGAGCGGCGAGGAAGGCAACAAATAGAGATGGAGGGAGAGAGCTGACTTAGAGCTCCATGTTTAGTCCCGGGATCTGGCCTGGAGAGCCCTGAAGGAGCGGAGAGAGGGAGCAGACAAAAGGGCAGTGTTAGTTTGTTGTTTTAAAGTCCCCCAAACAGGCTCAGAGTTTATTCACAACATGAAAACAGCACTTTATGGATATTTATGTTTCCATGGAAACCTGCGTGACACAGACAGACAGTTATCCAAGAGTTGGGGGGCTGAGAGGCATGAAGGGAGTCACACTCAGACTGATGGACAACAGAGTTTAGGATAACTTTGGTTCTGAATCATAATTACATAAAAATAAAAGTCCAAGTTCTAAAGGAGGTTCTAAAGAAGGTTCTAAAGGAGGTCCTAAAGAAGGTTCTAAAGAAGGTTCTAAAGAAGGTTCTAAAGGAGGTTCTAAAGGAGGTTTTAAAGGAGGTTCTAAACAAGGTCTTAAAGGAAGTCCTAAAGGAGGTTCTAAAGGAGGTTCTAAAGAAGGTTCTAAAGGAGGTTCTAAAGGAGGTTCTAAAGAAGGTTCTTAAGAAGGTTCTTAAGAAGGTTCTAAAGAAGGTTCTAAAGGAGGTTCTGTAAAAGTTTAAAAAGACTGAATGGTTTGTTCGATCCTCAGCCTGTGGTAAAACGTAATAACGGCGAAATCTGAGACTTTATTTGGCTTATTTTATCACCAAAGTTCAGTCAAAGCTCTTAAAGTGAAGAAGAAGCGCTTTCAAGGCTTTTGCACCCTCCTCCTGGTGTAAATTACAGGGTTATTTTAATCATTTCTTTATTATTTCCTTGAAGTAATAATCACCATATTAATCATTTTACAGACGCTGTAGTTCTTCTGTCTTAGCGTCTCGGTCTGATTGTATTTCCATGAAGAAATGATCATAAATGTTCTTCCTTGAGCTGCGGCACCCCGCTGTAGTCTGTAATGGACTGGCCTGAGGTCTCTCTACAAACAAGCGTCTGCTGGAAGAGAGTAGGTGAGTTGTGTTTCGTCTCTTTGTTAAAGAAATGAGTCAAAGTTAAAAAGATGTTTGGTGTCTAGTTCTATGTCTGTGACCCTATATGTCCTGTTGATGAAGTTAGGTGCTGTTCTGAGCATTATTTGTGGCTATAGAGTGGCGTTTTGGTTGGGGGCGTGGCTCTTTGTATTTCTATCCTGCGGTCGTTACTAAAGTTGGTATAACTACAGAAGCAAGTGGTCGACAACATTCATCTCTGGAGGGGGGGTCTAACTCGGTGTTACGGTGGGTTTGACCCTAATTTAATTTTACGCCTGAATATCCCTTTAAATGAACATCAACTCAGAGGTGAGAGCAGATTGTTCTTCAGTTTGAGGATTCCTCGGTTGTTAAAGCTTCATTGTTCTTGAGCGTCAGTTAAAACAGCTCCTGACTCTGCTGCTTCAGTCTGTTTGTCCTGCTCGTATTTTAATGAGCCTGTGAACAAAGACAGAAGTTGTTTTCCCAGTTTGACCTGCACAGAGGCTCTCACTCAACAACAAAAGATCACCTCCAGGGTAACTGGTGACCAGCTCTGAACTGGAAATCCTAAAAAAAAGCTGCAGTCAAACCTTTTTGCACCTAAATGTAGAAATAAGGAAGTTAAAGGGTTTAGTCTGTTTGAAGACGGCTCATCCAGGTGTTACCTGCAGCTGCACCCATGCAGTCTGAGGTGTGTTGAAGTGAAGGGGATATAATACTCTGACACCTGATGGCACCGGGATCAGTCTGCTAACCCCAACAGGAGAAGGAGTTTTATTAAAGTTTAAGCTTTAAATGGAGAGAAACGATGAAGAGGATCAAACAAAGAAAAACCGAAGCTGTGGACAGACCCTCTTACCCAAACCCCACCTCTCTAACAGCTTCAAAGCTCAGACTGACACACCAGCAGCCGCACCATGGAAACACCCGGACTGAGGGGTCGAGCTTCAGTGACAGCTCCAAACAAACATGGACGCCGCCGTCGTCGTCACTGCGGTGACTGAGAGTTGAACTCTGTTCAGTCAGACGCTGCTGCTGCTTCTTCCCTCTCTCATACCCCAAGGCCTCGGTGTGATAACAGGGTTATCATGCAGGCAGGAATGCTTCAACAACAGCTCTATATCTGATGTGGGTCTTTGTGAAACCTGAGACATACGGACTTTGACCTTTTAGTGCAGTAACATGATTTTTTTTTCATATCAGACCAACCTCGTAAAGACATTTAGTCATTCTAAAGTTAACGTTTTGGACTTGTTGACGACTGCAGAACAAGGACTGTACAGTCCTGCTGGGTGTTTTCAATATTCAATACAATATAAACAAATTAAAGCAGGAAATTATAAAATATAAATCTGGAAATAAACCCTCCCTCGTCTAACTCTTCCTCCACTTTAATCTTTAAAAACCCTTAAAATCAGCTTCTGTCCGTACATCTTCATTTTAAGATTCCTGCTTCTGTCTCTGTGTTAACCCCCCAGCAGCTCTCTGGAAGCCTCGTCCATTGTTGCCATTCTACAAAATCATATTCTGTGATTTAAAATTGAGACATTATGTAACATGGTCACGTGTTTTGGACCTAAATCTGACCAGGAAATAAAACCCCCCAGTCCTACCCTCATCAGAAAGAACCAGATACACACACACACACACACACACACACGTATGCAACTCCTGTACCTGTGCAGGTAACATTCATGATAAAAATCTCACCCTGGCTCTTTACAGCAGTCTTATTTATAACATTTATAACATGCTCTGAGGGCTGGGCGATAAAACTTTAATGATATCAAAAATTAATTTCCCTCAATATCGAGTTAATTTTGGTCAATATGCTTTTCAATAGTCGTCATTCTGACATGTTTTGGTCGACTATACGAAGAAACAAAGAAAATGAGTGCTACCCCCGACAGAAATGACCATGAAGGCTCAACAGATGACCACATCAATGTCAACCACAACACTGGCGTTAGGAAAACGTCGTTGGTGTGGAGGTATTTTGGTTTTTGGAGGTCGGACATGAAGCAGAGTAATGTGGACTGTAAATTATGTCGAGTACATGTTCTCACAAAGTCGGGGAATACCTCAAATCTTTTTCACCACCTGAAGCAGCGCCACGCCGCAGAGCACGCGCAACGCAAAAGGTTACAAACCCCGAGAGGAGCGAGGAGCCGAAACAGACGACCATTCAGTCGGCTTTCTCTAGAGCAACGCCTTACGACAAAACGCCAAAGAGACACAAAGACCTCACAGATGCAGGAGATTATAGTATTGGAAAAGACATGAGACCAAGAAACATTGTTACATTTTTATATCCTGATATTGATCGATATAAGCTGATATGAACAAAAGTATATCGTGATAAACTTTTTCCCGTATCGCTCAGCCCTACATGCGCTGTGGAAAAAGGCTGTTTCTGCAGGATGCTGGTCAGACACCCTGTGGAAATGGATACGCAGATTTACTCTGATCTCAGACGGTCTTGTTTGCTTTTGTTGGACATAAAAAAGATCATTGTTGTTTCATGATGAATTAAAAACCCTCACCGGAGCTTTTAGTGAATAAAACACTAAAACTGACTGAATTCAGAGCGGGTAAATCCAAATGTCTGAATTTTAACGTTGCAGAAGCTGCAGCTATGAGAACTATTTATTCTATAAAGATATTCATCTGTAAATATCAACTATTTTGTAATACATGTCCATATACATGTAAATATATGTATAAACATTTATATATTATTCTATATATTTGTATATGTCTTCCGATTGCACTGTTTGCGCTGCCCTAAAGAATTATTACCTTGTATATATTTTTATTGCACCTTTATTTCTGTTTTCTGAAGCTCTCTAATCTCATTGTCCTCCAGTATGATGACAATAAAGCTCATTCTGGTTCTGGTTCTGGTTCTGACTCTGGTTCTGATCAGCCATGAAAACACCGATCAGACCAATAATATTAAAGTTTATTTTTGCTTTGTTACAAGTTTTTATCAATGATAGTTTCAGCTCTGTAGTCTGTGTGTACTTTCAGCTGTCACTTTAGGTAATCCAATAATTAGCTTGATGTCTGACACACACACACAGCAACACAAACACAGACACACACACACACCCAACACACACCCCTCTTTTTTCAGTGTTAGCTCCTGTTAGCCCTCATCCTGACCATCACTGCTAACATGATCACACACACACACACACAGCAGCGTTTCTCCATTAAAGCTCTCTCAGCTGGAACATCTATGAAGTCTGAAGGATCTATGTAGATCTTCTCCAGACAGCTGAGGGTGTGTGTGTGTGTGTGTGTGTGTGTGTGTGTGTGTGTGTGTGTGTGTGTGTGTGTGTGTGTGTGTGTGTGTGTGTGAGGAACAGCAGCAGCAGCTAAAGCTAACCCTTCCTTTCAATGAAACGTCAGTCCACAGACACACACAGACAGACAAAGAAGGAGAAAATATCACACTCAGACCACAAACCTCCACCTCTCCACTCACCATATCCTGCTGCTCAGAGTCCACTCTCCTCTCCTCCCGTGGGGACAAAAAAACACAGCAGCGAGTTTTTCCAGTTTGGACTTATTCTTCTGTGTTATTCGGCCTCAAACCTCCTCCTCTCTCTCTGCCTCTCTCTCACTCTCTCTCTCGCTCTCTCTCTCTCCACCCGGAATGCTGCCTGCAGAACAAGAATGGGATCGTCGCACGCATGCGCAGTGGGTCCAGGGATGATGTTGGCACTTGGAAAACTGTCGCATGGCAATGAGAGAAAAAAAAACCTGCCGGTGTGTGTGTGGTAGGGCAAGGTCCCGCCTCCTTCGTCTCTGATTGGATAGAAAAGCTGGGAACGTCAGCACACGCTCAAGCCCATACATATATATTTAATGCTAGATGTCTTATGGGCGGCCATCTTGCTACGGTCTGCGCGCCCACTCCCAACATTCCAGTCTACGGTTCATGTATCATTTAAATAATTATAGATTTATTAATTTTAAACCGATTTTAAACAGTTTTTAACAAACCTCAGAGTTTTAGTTATGTTCCTGCATACTCAAGAATAATTTAAACCATAGATTTTCATAAATAAACATTAGGAAAGATAGTAAATAGATAGTTAATCTGTCAAGATTTCTGCGAGTTCAGAGGATTTTTGATCATGCAGATTACTCACCTCCTGTCATCTACCATAGAGTGAACCAGAATGGTAGACTGGAGTAAGATGGCCGCCGTGTAGGGACACCGGTGACTCCGCCTCATAGAGTCATCTAGCCTTTCTAATATATGTCTATGCTGTGGGCTCTGTACATCGAACAGAACATTACAGAACATTATTGCACTTCAGAATCTCCTAACCCTGACTTTATCCTGATCCTGATCCTAACCAGAACCCTAACCCTACATACGAGCACGTTTCACAGTTATTAGTTAGAGCCAATCAGAGGGGAAGGAGGGCGGGACCTTCTCCTACCATCCTACAGCCGGCGTGTGTCAGAGGGGGTTTTTAGCTCAGAGTCCAGCGACATCTAGCGGACAGACAGGGGCAATGATCGGCTGTGGTTCCTACTGAGGAGGAATGAACATGATTTTTACTTGATTTTTACTCCAGGCAGTTCTCTGTTAACATTAATCTGACAAAGAAACTAAAGAAGCTAAATCAGATTTTATCTTTAAAAAAGGGTCAAAGTCAGTATGTCGAGTAAATACAGGGAGATATGTTCATCTTAGTCTGTTTGTTCTGTGAAAAAGAAATGTGAATGAACGTGGTCTTTTCTGTTTGTTTTTGAAAATAATATAATAAAATAAAATAATAAAAAGTCATGTTGGTCTGCAGCTCTTATTAATTTTTATTATGTGTTTAGTTGAATATCTTATGAAAGACTTTTCTTCTTTCTGCTCCTTTTCATTCACGTTTGAAAATTTTCTGTTTTTATTGAATGTTTTAAAAACTGAATGAAATAAAGAATGAAAAATAAAATAAATAAAAAACTACCTAAAGTTAAAACTAAGACATACGGTGAGGAACCTTTTTATTACTACGACTCCGTCTGTGGAACAGCTGACCTGAAGACCTGAGGACTAAAACTGATCTGAATGACTTTAAAACCAAACTGAAAACATGGTCTTTTATTGAGCTATTTTGGTGCTCTTATTTTAGTATCTTTTACTGTTGTTTTTATTTCATTTATTATTGTTTACATTTTCATTTTATGTTACTTTGTTTTCAGATTATAAACCTCCAGTGTTTCCTTATCTAGAATTTTAAAATGACGTTTCCTCAGTGTAAACATTCCTCTTTCTATGAAATCAAACCCTTTTTAAGTTCATGTTTTTTAATTCTGTTTCTGTTGTGTTTAGATGGTGGGGTGGGAATGAGGGGTTGGGCTGGGGTAGATTTGGGTTTTCTTTGTTTCTTTTATTCCTTTTTCTGTGTAACACTTTGTGCTACATGGTTGTGTATGAACATTTCTATATAAATAAGGGAGGAGGGGTATTAATTGTAGATTGACCCCTCAGATAACCCTGTAGTGAATAAAACATTATCAAATATCATCTCTGGTTCCTTTTATGGAAAAACAAATAGAAAATGTTCCTGTAGTTTCCAACTCAACAGATAAAGAGTAAAAATGTCTGATAGTCCCTCAGAGGGTAAAAAGCATTAAGAGTGACCTCTGTATGTCCCTAATGTGATGAGGGTTGTGAATTTAGTTTAATAACTCTTTTTTTAATAACTGTTGAATTACTTAGATCTATCATCTGATTTACAGTAACCTTCTTTAGGTGTAAATAACACCTTTTATTGATGGTAAAAATAAAGAATAAAATACCGAACAGTGAGAGCCGCAGTCTGGAGTTTGGTTGTGGAAACATCACCTGACTTTTCATTGAACATCTCCATACTTCAGCCACTTCAGCAAACCTCTCACATCAAAACTTACCTGTCTCGGACAAGTGAGCCAGACTTTTCATGATGTTTTTAGAGACGAAAGTATTAGGAAATACTATTACAGGAAAGAGTAACCTCTGTGCTTCAGTACAATATCAGAGGTCATGAAGCCTCCTCAAGTGAGCGCATAAAGACGAAGTGGGAAAGGGAACTTATGATGATGGATTATGCAGCTGAGAAACTAAAATCTTCAGGATAAATAACGTATCTATCTATCTATCTACTCTAAAGTGAAGTTTTCTAAATTCCAACTGCTTCCATCTCTAATAACAGACTTCTACAACTACTGCTGATCTAATTCATAGATTTCTGTTTTTGTTTCTGTCGTTGCTTTTTAAATGTTAGCAGCTGCAGAAGTAGAAACGTTGTTTTTCTTTGAATATATAGACGTAAAACTTAATAACTGTGAGGTTTCTCTTTCAAAGAGAGATTAAAAACTGTGAACCTGTTTTCTTCTTATTTGTGTTTTTTTTTTTTGTCTGTTCTCCTCCTTTCAAAAGTGAATTCTGACGTTATTTATTTTACAGATTTTACTCGACATTAAACAAACGTAACCGACAGCTGTAGTTACAAAACAAACATTATCTCCTAAAGTTTGACGTCAAACAGTCGAGAAGATTTTACAAACACCACCTTCCGGTACCGACTGATGATGTCAAACCCCAATCAAGGCGGAGTCTTTACAAATAGCTTCGCTATCAGACGGGATCTCCACACGGACGCCTGAACACGCCACAGCGTGATCATGTGACCAGAAGAAATCCTCCTGGTGTTTGAGTCTGCTCTCAGTCTATCAGAGAAAACAATCGAGTCCAGAATAAACACCTCAAGTCTTTCACTCCTTTCCTGCATCCTCCTCCTCCTCCTCAACATCATCATCTTCCTCCTCCTCCTCATCATCGTCGTCTTCCTCCTCCTCCTCCTCTGAGGAGCTCTCTTCATCGTCCTCTGCAGGCGGCAGCTTGAGGATGATTTCATCGTCAGCGTCATCATCGACCACCATGGACTTCCTCCTCTCCAGGACGGATGGCGTGCAGACCGGCGTGGTGTCCTGAAGTCAAAGAGGACATGTTTATTTCTGCATTTACTCTTTTTCCCATGAGTCTTTGCAGCATGGAGTATAAAGCGTGTAGGTACATGGGTTTTATCGCGCAGCCACAGAGAGACTCCCGCGATAAGCTAAACGCACCCCAGTGCTGTCGGCACAGTTATCTGACCCCAGATCACAGAGACACCTGAGGACATTTTCAGTCTGTGCCAAAACTCAACGCCGTTTATTTTTACACGTTTACGGTTTTACTCACATCGCTACACGTGGAGGCGTCTAACGGGTCTGAGGACGCCTTCTTCGGAGGTACCTGGGCTGCCTGTCGAAGAAAAACAGGTGAGAATGAAGCAAATGCTGTCGAGATACGAGCAAAGATCAATCTGATTCACGGGTCAAAGACAGGCCGCCAACATTCACTCTCAGACCAATCAGAGACAAACTGGAAATCCAACCAGCAACTTTCACAAGAACCAGAACCTCTGCTCTCTAACGGTGCCCTGCTGGGTTTTCAAACATCAGAGTAAACGGCTGAAAAATCCAACAGGAGGTGAATCAAAGATCTTCAGAGGAAGTGATCGAACTTACAAATCCAGGGAAGTCGTAGTCGATGCCCCGAGCCGCCAGCCTCTTGCGGAGCTTCGCTTCTTTCCGCAGCAGACTGCTCCTCATCTTTTCCAACTCCTCCTCTGAGCGTCTCTTATTGTAGCGCTTCACGGCGGGAAAAGACGGCTTCTTGAACTGTCTCAGGGAGCCCACAAACAGCTTCTCATGGACCTTCTCTGGAGGAATAATATGACCTGGAAAACAGAGACAGAGAACTTTGAGTTTCTCAACATGAAAATAATGGATTTAAATCATTATGTCGCAGAAAAAAAAGCTCTTTCACTGCGATCATTTCAGTAAAAACTTTGAGTAAATCATCTGAAACTTGACGCTGTGAAGGAAGCCGAATACTCACACTGGATGAGCCGTTCTCCCATGAGATAATTGTTCATGGTCTCTGCAACGATCTTTGCAACTTCGTCACATTCGAACTCTATGAATGCATAACCTTTACTTCCCCCCGTCTAAAACACAAAGAGAACAGGAATTAAACATCTTCCATTAATACGTCTGCTTTGACTTAGACTAATATCCATCAGCAGACCGTCATTGTTGAAGTCAAGTGTTGGCACATGGGTTTTATCGCTCTGCCAACAGGTGAGCAGGTGATAAGCATAACGTGCTGCATCACTGTGGGCTCAGTTATCTGACCTCAGATCACGGTAACACCTGAGACCATTTTCAGTCTGAGCCAAATCTCACATCATCACCTTTTAATCTTTAACGTGAGGTTTTTTTAAAGGGATATTCCAGCGTAAAATTAGTTTAGGGAGTGTCTCTGAATTATCTGAGGGTTCACCTTTTTACTCCTGGACAGCCGCAGCCTCTGGACCTTCCCAAACTGCTCAAAGTAAGTTCTGAGCTGAGGTTCGAACAGTCCAAGAGGAAGGTGACCCACATACAGAACTCCTGGAGTCAAACGGATCCCCTGAAACACAAAAAACAAAGAGATGAGGCGTTACAAACATCATTAAACATCCTGTTACATCAACTTAACCTTTGGGTCAACTTACCCCGGTCTCCCCTACTAAAAATAAAAGTCCGGAGTTGATAACTGCTCAAAAACTACAAGTGAACATGTCTGAGTGTACTTTTACCCGTTTATTTACCTCTTAATAACAGTAACAGGAGCAAATATAACAAGTTTGTATCCCTGAATAATTAATTTTGTCCACTTTAAACCGTAAAGTGTTTCGGGTGAATAATGTTCATCTTTCCACGTTTAAACGGGTCGAACAGCGGCTCTCTTCATCCTTCTGTGTAAAGATATTAAAATAAAGATGTTATTTAAGAGTAAACGTGTCTGTGACCAGGATCAGACTCACCTTAGATTTACTCTTCTTTTTCTTCTTCTTCACCTCTTCAACCTTCTTCTTAAACTCCGTCTCTTCTCCGGGGTTTAAAGCCAGCAGCTCTTTGGCGGGTTCCGCTTTAGTTTCTGTCATTTTAATGATAAATAAACGGATAAAAGCATAAATTTAAGCCTGAAAACACTCTCAGCTGACCCTCTGCGGACCACGTTGGTGTCTTCCTGCTACTGCACATGTGCGAGCGACCAAACGAGAGCGGAAGAAGGGTTCGAAGAGTGTTACTGAGAGCAGCGCGCCGTTCACAGCGACACCCACAGGCGAGGAGGGGAAACTGCTCTAGCGCCACTAAAATAAGGCTGAATGTTGACAAATTAATTCTAGATTTTTACCGGAACATTTCCTCCTGATAATGCAAGAGATAAATTGATTTTGGTGTGATAATATTAAGCTGTTTCATTTATTTATTAGTTTGTTTATTTACTCCAGTTTTCCTGTCATCTTTTTAACTTTCATCCATTTTTTTGTACCACAATATGGTACATTAACATAGAATATAATGTCAAGGTGCGATACAATATACTATCATATCATGTAAATCTATATAAGAAGACATGATAGAGTCAGGTACTGCAAGGTGCAGCACAATGAGAGGATTAAATGCAATAAATAACATAAGAAACAAAATGATACCGTGCATAATAATACGATACGATAAAATACGAACCGCTACAATACGATACAATACGATTATATCCAATACGAAACGTTACGTTACAATACGAGTATATCCAATAGGATACGTCACAATAAGATAAGATTATATTCAATACTACACAATACGATTATATCCAATATGATTCCTTTATGATACGATACAATTATATCCAATACGATATGATACGATTATATCCAACAGTATACGAAACAATACAGTTATATCCAATATGATACGTTACGACTTTTTATTTGTTCCGATGCATTATCACAACTGCAAAGCCGTGGTTAACCTCCGGGAGGAGTAACTGCTGCAGTGGGATAGCTAAGAGTAAACTGACCTAAACTAAACCTCTCTGTCTGATCCTCTAAACTAGAATTAGTCTTCAGATTCCTCTCCAGACATGAATTTAAAGGTCAGGGTTACTTTATTGGTACCTGTAAGTAGATTTAGTTTACAGTGACAAGTCAGCTTCCTTTTACAGACAAACAAATAAAAAACTGTTCAGGATGAGACATAAAAAACAAAGTGACAAAAGTGCTCCAGACTGATCCAGTTTTAAAGGGGTTGTTATTTATAAAAAGGTAAAAAGATCAATAAATAGTCAATAAATTAAGAGTACGGTATTTGTTTTACATCCTCCGAGCTCCATCTCTGTGACTCTCTGTTTTTGGATCACTTGGTTTTACAGGCTGGTGCTTTATACCTGCAAACAGGTGAGAGGAGCTAAAGTTCAGGACCTACGAGAGGGAGTCACTAATGTCTGAAATAGGACCAGTCTTCTCTCAGAGAGACCAGGTCCATGTTCTCCTCGGTCTGCGTGTTTAATCCATGTATGCAGTGAAGCATTAACGGTCTTTTACATGGAAGCTCACTGTAAGGACCACTGTGTGATCAAACTTCCCTCTGCAGCCTGTAAACAGTCGGAGAGTCCTTCCTCTTCTTCTTCTGCAGTCTGCGATGACTGTATGATCCCCAAACTGTCTCCAGTCATCCTCTCTTGGATCAAACCAAACTCCAACAGCAGCACCAGTATCATCTCCAGTTTTTAGGAGCCTCTCTTTCACAAACTGGAGAAGCAAAACTTGAATCCGTAATCCTTCAGGTTTTTCAGGATTCATTTCACGATGTCTTCCGAGGTAAGAAGTGGGTGCAGGACTGGTGTCGGCCCACGCTGTTCCCCTTCTTGAGCTCTCCTTTAGGGGACAGAGCCACGTAGATCCCCGGGTGAGACAGGGAGGAGTAGGTGGTGTAGTGATTCTCCTCCAGGTTCTCCTTCAGCAGGCAGTCGTCTGAGAACCGCTCCTGAAAAAAGGACAGATTTAGCACCAGTCCACCTTTAATCATGTCTGATCTGAGTTTGTGAGCGACGTACAGCTCCATATGCGAGTCCGTCTCCTTTCATGCAGAGGTACAGACCGCTCTTCACTCCTCTGATTCCCACCACCCCGTGTTTCATTGCAAAGACCTTCAGCCAGCCTGGAAGACACGCAGAAAATAACAGGTCTTAATAACAGCCATGAACCACAGAAGGTCAGAGGATCTCAGACATGAGGACTGAACTCACAGAACTCTGTTGGTTTGTGGACCCCTCTCACGGCTCCGCTGGGCAGAATCTGAAGATGGTACCCGATCCCGACCCGACAGTAGAGCAGCTGCTGTTTGACTCCGTCTTTGACCGGAAGAGGACTCGGACCTGATTAATAAAGAGATGATCGACTTTTAATAAACAGGAAACATTTTCTTTAAAGGGATATTCCGGGGTAAAATTAATTTAGGGTCAAGCACACCGTAACACCGAGTTAGACCCCCCCTCCAGAGATGAATGTTGCCGACCGTTTGCTTCTCTAGTTATACCAACTTTAGTAACGACCGAGAATCACGCCCTCAACCAAAACGCCACCCTATAGCCACAAATAATGCTCAGAACAGCACCTAACTTCATCAACAGGACATATAGGGTCACAGACATAGTACTATATTCAGAGTTGTTGTACACCTCTAAGAAAACAAACTTAAGCGGGGGCGTTAAAATGAAAAGGTAAAGGTGTTTTTATTGAGCCGAATTATCAATAAAATCATGATTTTGTTAACAGGTATGGATATATGTGCTGTCGAGTTAATATATGTGAATAAGAGCACAGTAAAGTTAAATCAGCTAATTTTCTAATGAGGTTCTGTTACTACACTGAGCTACACCATGTTCTACTCAGGCTAGGACATATAGGGTCACAGACATAATACTAGACACCAAACTTCTTTTTAACTTTGACTGATTTCTTTAGCAAAGAGACTAACACAACTCAACTACTCTCTTCCAGCAGACGCTTGTTTGTAGAGAGACCTCAGGCCAGTCCATTACGGACTACAGCGGGGTGCCGCAGCTCAAGGAAGAACTAGAGATGCACCGATCTGATATTTGGATCGGATATTGGCTCAGATATTGACAAATTAGCTGGATTGGATGTCGGATGAAGGACACTGATTCAGTCTTTTTTCTTTTAATTAATTTTTCTTTTAAAACACGGATGTCTTACTTCTTTTTGCTGTTTGCTAACGTGTAATTTGTTATTTGTTAAAAAATAATATTAAGTACATTTATATCTAAATCCTTTCGTTTCTTATTTGTTTACTCGCAGAGTCAACGCAGAAAGAAAATGACCAGGAGCTGTTGTGCTGTAAACTGCATGAATCGGCAAAACAAACAATCTGCAAACATTACGACTCTGCTCCTGATATTAGAAACATCTAAAATAACATCACAACCTTCATGGACATTTCAGCAAGTGTTATTCTGATTTTGATGCAATGAAAGACAAAGCGATTGTTCAATGAAGTGTCTAACTCGGTGTTACGGTGTGTAACTTAATTTTACGCCGGAATATCCCTTTAATCAATATTTGCTCTGATGTTACTTCTCTTTAACCAGCTGTTTAGTTGGTTTCTTTTTAGACGTGTTGAATTCTAGTGACAGCAGAAGTGACGCCATGATCGCACACATCAGACCAAATAAAGGATATCAGCTCGTCTCCTCTCTGCCTGTTGACACTGTGGTAAAACCTGAACCTAAAGCTGGTCTCAGAGCAGGTAAATAACAACAGCTGATCAGATCTGATTCTCTCACTGTCTCACCTTTTCCCTTCAGCACAGAGTCCCTCATGTGGAGCCTCCAGAGTCCTCTCAGGCGGCTGCCCTGATCCTGGTCCTCAGGTGAAACACCAGCTTGGAGTTTTTTTGTCTCCACACAGAAAACCAGGAGCAGCAGGAGTCCGGGCAGCAGAGTCAGCGGGGACACACTCATAGTGAAACATACCAGACCCAGAGAGATGAAGTCCTAAAAACGCTCATATCCACTCTGATCCCAGATCTTGGTCTTCTTGGTCCTCCTGCCGAGCTCCTCTGTAAGTCCTCATCCTCTCTGCTCACACCTCCTGCTTTTATCTCCTAACGCCTCTTTTTACTCTCAGACTCAGACTGACAGGAACACATTATCATTATCAGACTCCTATCAGTCACAGCAGCATCATCACACACCATGTCCCTGCCCGCTTCATTCTCGGTCGAACATCTAAACATCTGAGACGGATCCAGTTTGAACACTTGAACATAAACCAGTGAAGGAAGGAGGAGGAGGAGAGTTCAGAGCGGACCGACACGAGCCTCCTTTTGTTTTCAGAGATGTTTGTGACCCAATCAGACCCGTGACGGTGAGGGACATGCAAACTGTCTGTTCAGTATCATAATCTCAGAGATTGGAGAGCGAGTGGAGCTGATAGTGAGGAGGACTCAAAACACGGGGAGACGCTCCAACACAGATCCACCGCTCTGACCTCCATTCTGTCCCGTTTTACAGGTTTCAGAGTCACACAAGAGCAGCTAAAGGCCTGTGTGTGCACAGGTTTAGAGGACTGTTTAAATAAAAAACAGCTTTAAACCTGTATTCTCCCTTTTGTCCAGCAGGGGGCAGATAAAGACGTTGATAAGAAAAAGGTCCTTCTCAGCAGATTAAATCTAATTTTTCTCATTAACTGATTGTCCAGAAAAAAGGAGAGGATTCATATTTGACTGACCTACAAAACCACAGTGCCCCCTGCTGTCCAGAGGTCTGAACTGAGACGTTAATTATTATTGATAACGATGTTTTTAGGTAAGTTATCTCAGACAGACTTCACCCTCTCTCTGCTCGTAGCCCTTTAGTGTCTGAAACCACAAATTATGGCCAGAAAATTCAATTTTTTTTTGGAGCTCAAATGTTTATTTTACTTACGACTAAAAACCAAAAAGTCCTTAAAATTTAACAAATATATTTATTTATCTCGTTTGATGTTTTTGGAAACTGATAAACTACAAGAGGACATTTTGATCATTTATCAGACTGTATTCAGGTGTTTTTTTAGTCATTTGTTGATCATATTGATTTGACAGAAGTATATAAATGTATCAAATATGATACAAAAAGCATTAAAGGGCTAACCTGCATACTTTCTTTAGTTTTAGAGACGTTTCTGTCGTTGTGGCTGAATTCTCATCGATTTTCAGGTCCTTCAGTTTTTGTGACGTTTTGGAAAATCTCATCAGGAGGAACAACATCGACTTCAAACTTCTTACAGCTTTCAGTTGATGGTACTGGAGCTCAGAGAGAAACTCTACCTGTCCAGGTATCTCTGGGAATGTCAGACGGTTCCTTGAGAACAGGTCATGTGATTGCCTCTGCACCTGGTGGACCAATAGGAGAGCAGCTTGATAGTGAAGCGGTTTTCAAACACCTGCAGACGGTCTCCTCCTTAATCTGCACAGCATCCAAATGAAGTAAGTTGTTCAGGACTTTCCAGGACTCTCCAGGACTGTTGGAACAGCTGTTCAAGTTCTCCCCTGGTTGACTGGATGTTTCTTCCACTGATGCGTCATGTGACTCCTGACAACGCTGTGATAGTACGAGCTCTTCATCAGCACGCAGTGTCTGTCACAACACGCGTTATCTCCCCTGAGTCACAGCCGAGGCTTTAAAGGGCTATTACAAAGATTTATTCAGTTAATACTGCTCATACATGGTCACTGAGTGAGTGGAGACAGAATTTAAGACATGAGGTGATTCACACTTCAGAGGCACAGAAGAAAACACGAGTCATTGGCAAAGAAACTTCAGGCGTTCAGAGAGAAACTGGCTGACGGCGGCTCGATAAAAACTACAAACACCGTCGCTAGAAAACTACAAACACCATCACTACAGAGCTTGTTCGGAGTTTTCAGCCTGATTTGGCAAATTTAAGAGTTCAGTGCAAATGAAAGTGCAGGATTACAAAAGAAGAACGATGAATGTGGAATGGATGTGATCGGCAGGTAACCAGGTGTGACCGAAGCTAAGAGGCTCCTTTAGCTCGGAGCTTGGACAGCAGCATCTCGTTCTTACGGCACTCCTGGAGAGAGAGAGAGAAGAAAACATGTTAGAGTACTTTCTCCATAGAGCTGTGATACCTAGATGTACACCAGGGAGGAGGATCTGATCTCTTTAAATGTTTCTATAGATGTTGGAGGATGAAGATGTTGGAGGATGAAGATGCTCTGACTGATGACTTTCTGTTCTGTGTTTCAGGATTTATCATCATGTTGTAAAATCTTGTGTTTTCGTCTGTTACTTTATTTAAAGGGATATTCCGGCGTAAAATTAATTCAGGGTTTAATTCTGAAAGAATTAATTTAATTAATTCTTCTCTAGTTATACCAACTTTACTAACATATATACATATATCATTATATCTCCACTCAGAACCAGAACCACCTGACAAGTCCAGAGGAGCACAGACAAACCCGTCCTCTCACCTCTTTAAAGTCTTTGACGGTTTTGAAGTACAGCCTCTGTTTGTCCAGGAGCTCCAGGTACTCGTCGTTCAGCTGGTCTCTCCTCATCTTGTTCTCCTGCTTCTTCTTCTCCATCTGAAGGAGCAGACGGACAGAAGAGTTTGGGTTCAGAGGGTCTAAAATGTCTGACTTAGAACCTGTAACAAAAAAAACAGGAGTTTGACCTTAATGCGACTCTGTTTGATTCCCTCCACGATCTGCTCCATCTGTCGGAGGAACTGCTCTTTAGCTGCTGAAGACGACATCGCCCTGAAGGAGAAGACAGCTGAGTGACAGGAGAACATCTACAGCAGGTCCTACAGGAGAACATCTACAGCAGGAGGACAGGAGAACATCTACAGCAGGAGGACAGAGCTCCTGTTCTCAGACTTACTGCTGGAAGTTGTCGTGGATGGAGTTGAGCAGATTCACCTGCAGAGATGCAGACAGGTTGGATTAAAGTCTCCTGATTCGATCAGCTCGTTTATTGTGAAAGATGAGGCGGTTTGTGTCTCACCTCCTTCTCCAGGTAGACCTTCTTGTCGTCTAAGGTGTTGTACAGAGTGAAGAACTGTTTGGTCTCTTTGTGCGTCGCAGAAACTGGAACAAAAAAAACATTTCAGGACTTTGTTTGTTTGTTTGTTTGAAACGTATTTGAACCTGACTGGACCAGGTTCTGAGGAGGAACCCACCCTGGCTGTAGAGTTCGATGAATCTCTTCTGGTACTGGGTCAGCTCGGCTCGGCTCGGCACTTCGTCGATCTTCCTCTGCAGGATGGCGATCTCACGGTTCCTACGAGCCTGAACATGGAGAAACGTCTGGATGATGAAGATGCTAACCGAGTCAGCTGGTTCCTCTGAGCACACACACACACACACACACACACACACACACACACACACACACACACACACACACACACACACACACACACACACACACACACACACACACACACACTCTGGAGTTTTGTTTTTCTCCTGACTTGCTGATGCTGGTGTTTCCTCTCTGGGTTATTTCTTATCTGCTGCCTCTTATCTGCAGCTCTGACCTACTTCTTCCCTGCAGCTCCATCTAATCTCCGTCGTCATGTCATGTGCGGTGTAGTTACCATGACCAGGCGGATCTTCTGCAGTTTCTCTCTGTCCGTGTTGTACTGTTTGTCTATCAGTTGGTTCCTCTCCTGAGAAAACAGACAAAGAGGAGGAGTTTAAACAAAGAGCAGGGCTTTTATTTTGAAGGACTTCCTCCTCAGATTCGTACCCTCTCCTCCTCCGTGTCCTGTCCTGATGCCGTCTTCAGCTCCTCGATGTTCTGCTGCAGGCGGACCATCTCCTCCTGAAAACACGTCAAAGACAAACTGTGAAGCCGAGACGACTCTCCGTACTCGTGTGTGTGTGTCTGTGTGTGTCTGTGTGTGTCTTTGTGCGTCTGTATGTGTCTGTGCTCACTCTGCAGTGCGTCCGAAACTCCTGCTCCTGCTGCTTCAGGTTCTCGTTCATGGACACCAGAGCTCTCAGCTTCTCCAGGAGGCTGTCCAACAGAACCAAACATGGATGAACTTCTCCACAGTGTTGAACACGAACACACACACACACACACACACACACACACACACACACACAGACTGACTGTAAACACTCATGAGGTGACGTCTCTCCTCCGCTCACCTGCCGTCAGCCTGCTCCTCCATCTCCTCCAAGGACTTCAGCTCCTTCTGCAGTTTCTCCGACTGCTCCGAGGCCTGAGAAGACAGAGAAACACGAACCTTCAGACGCCTTCCTCTGAATCCTGACAGATTCTCCCTGATGAATCTGGACGCTTTCAGGAGGTTTATGATGTAGACCGCCATCTCACCTCTGCTAGTTTCCTCTTCGCCTCGTCACAGCCGGCCTTCACCTCCGCGTGTTTGGCTTGAATCTGTCAGAAACAAAAAAACAGATGGATAGATTCGTTGCTGTCTATCAAACATCTTCACAGTTGTTGTGTTTGTAAAAAAAAGCGCTCAGACAGAGGGATGGATCTGCTGCTGCTGACCTCCTCCAGCTGTTTGCTCTTCTGCTCGATCTGTTTGTTGAGAGACGCCACGGCTCTGCGGTGCTGCTGCAGCGGGCCGTAACGCTCCGATCGCTCCTCTGAGGTCAGCTCCGACTGCTGCAGGGACACATGGGAGATGGAGTTTATCACCGCTAAGAAACGCTTCAATAAAGTCTGAAGATGCCAGTTCTTTGTGGTCGCCATGATCTTTTAGAGAGTTTTAGAGCACCTTGACTGGGCCACATTTGTAGTTATCTGAAGTATTTATCTGCAGCTGATGCGTCTCACCTTCTCGGCGTACTCGGAGGCGATCTGTTTGATTTCTTCAGACTGCAGTCCGACGATCTGACCCACCGCACTCGCCGTCAGCTTCCCCTGAGTGAAGACGAAAATCACGTTAAGAGTTAAGAGTTACTGTAAACTTCACATTCATGCTGTAGAGTGTGAGAGCGCCGCTGACCTCCTCACTCGCCATGGCCGCCATACTGGTCATCAGGGTTTTGATCCTCATCTGACAGACAGAAACGAAACAGTCAAGGATTTAATTTATGTTTCATACAGAGGGATGAAAAACGTAGAGAAGATCGAACACAAAGGAGCTAAAACAACGACGATGAGACGTCAAAACGGTGAAGAAAAGATGCTGTTTTTAACCACCGAGTTCTTTGTGTGTTTCATCTAAAACTGAACTGAACATTCACATATTTAATGAGTTTGAATAAAGTTTCTGTTTTGTGTTTGTAGTCGCCCAAAGCCTTAAAAAAGGTTTCTCCTTTTTTCCTCCGTCTGTGTCTGTTTGTTGGAGCGGCTTCTTTTTCAGAGTCATCACACGCTCAAGCTGTCAGAAAACAGATTCTTGGAGAGCTGGATGAAGTCGCCTTGTATTTTATTGCAAAGGTAAATACGTAAATGAATGAATAACACAGATTATTTAAACAATAAATCACAGCTTAAAAGCCTGCAGTCGAGGACAGCTGGAGCTGTGAGCCGTCGTCTGTGTCAGCTGGTCTACTTAGAGGTGAGTGCGCCCTCACCAGACAAAATTAAAGGTCAATAAAACCAAAATTCAACTATGTGAATAAAAACTCTAATGTGGCTCCAACAGAGTTTTATATTCAGACCTCAGACTGCTGATAGGAGAAAAAACACAAGATGAATCTTCCAGACGTCGTCACCGAGATCATTCTTCGTATTTTTTTAAACCTTAGAGACTAAACTGTTCAGACATTAAGAACCATACTGAAAATAATCCTCACACACACTCTGGCCTAACCAGACAAAAACCACAGGATGCTGTTTTCTGATTTGTGATAAAAAAACAAGGAAATAAAATCATAAAAATACTGATAAACCAGGAGTCAAAACCTCCTGAGTTTATGTTGAAATTCATGACAAAGAACTTTTTATTCTTCATCACTTTAAACAGACGAATTCTCATCGCATTCAAATATATATATTTATATATATTCTTAATCTAAATGAATTTCCTGACCACCTCTCGGCGTGTAAAGCTCTCACCTCCTCGGCTGCCTGCAGGTCGGCCTCCTCTGACACCTCCGCCATCCCTGGAGGAGCCGACTGAGAGCCGCTGGTCTGCAGAGTCTTCTTCTCATCCACCTTAAGAGGGTTTTTACACACGTTAGATTTACACCTGACAGTTTTTTCAGTACGCAAAAATTCACGCAAGGGGAATATGTCGACTCTGAGAAGGAAATAAAACCCACCTGGTCTTGTTTGGTCTGTTTGCTGAATCCATAACGCCTGAGGAAGGAAACAGGAAGCTGTAACATGACTCATCAAAATAAACCCCTCCCCCCACCGCCAAAACAAAACAATTATAAATGATAACGACACAATCATGCGGCGGGCGACACTGCAGAGTCAGCAGATCATACAGCCTCATGAGCAGAAACAGCTCCACACTCTCAGGGTGACAAAGTCTGATCAAACCGTCCAAGAACCAAAGACTGAAGGGCGTCAAAGCAGCTCCACAGTTTTCATCCATCATCATGCCGTAAACGTCTGAGTTCATTCACTAAAAGAGGCTCTAAACCACAAACACGCCGCTGAGAGCTTCACACGTTCATACTTACAGCAGGAAATCTGACACTCTAGTACAGGGGTGGTGGAGGAGATGGATGAATGGATGAGAAAACCACATGTCAGAGAGAAAAGACACTTAAGACAGGAGGAGACAGGAGTGAAGAACACAGGAGTGGAGGTCAGGTCAGATTTCCAGATACTCAAACTTTAACACAGTCTGTGAAAGTCTAAGGACTGAACCATGAGGAGGAAATAAATGAGCTGAAACTCTGATAAACCGACAAACTGAAGAAGAAGAACAACCACCTGGATTCATGAAGGTGGAGGTCTGAAGGACACGTGCACTGAACTGAGGGATCGTGCAAGTTTACAGAGAAATGGAAATAAATGATCAATATCTTTGAAACAGAAATTTCCAGGTGACACACACACACACACACACACACACACACACACACTGTGCAGGTTGTGTGAACTCATACCTGCCGTACTCCAGCAGGGTGGAGTGAACTCTGGACTCCTCATCCAGCAGCTCTCCTGCATCTCTCTGCCTCCTGTACCTCCTCTGAGGTTTGTAGACCTCCTGGAAGAAGAGCAGGGAATGAGCACGCACACACATACACATAAACACACATACAAATACATACATATATACACACATATACACACATATATACATACATACATAAACACATATACATACACATACATATATAAACACACACATACACATATAAACAGACATATACATAATACACACACTTAGACATGCATGTACATACACATATACATATACATACACACGTATACACATAAACATATACACAAAATTTACAGTACACACATATACATATATACACGCATACACACATAAACACACACGCACAGTTACATATACAAACACATATACAATACATACATACACATATATAAACACACACATATAAACATTTATACACAGTACATACATATACACACACACACATATCCAGTCTATACATTGATGGCGTCAGGTTTTAATGATAGGAAGTGACATCATCTCCTAACTCACCAGCACGTCCAGGACCGCCCTCACAGCCTTATCCTTCCTCTGATTAAACTCTTCATCCTGCAGAACACAGAATCAGAACCAGAGCCCGTTATCACAGTTCTGCTGCAGTGACCCAGATCTACAGTCCGCTCCTGTCTCTCTCTGCTGGTGTTACCTCAGGCAGGCTGTGGGTTTTGTTAAACTGGGAAATGGAGTACGCTCTCACGTAGTCGCCCATCTCCTCTCTGGTCTCGATGGCTCTCTTCACCAACCACTGAGGGGGGGACACATCACACCGACATCCACAAACACTGAACTCTGCTTCAACTCGGAATAAAACTCATTTATAATCGACTTCTGGGTTATTCAGAACCTGATTTTTGATGCTGACTGTTAAAGATGGATCCTCTTACTTGTATTACTGGAAAAATGTGGATGAAGTCCAACCCTTGGATCTGATGGGGCTCTAAGCGATGAGGACACTTCATCTTGGGTAACACAGACACGATTTTCTCTGTCAGAGCTCTGCAGAGAAAACGAAAAGCTCATCAATGACACTCCTGAATGCTCTCTAAGAACCAAGAAGAGGACTGAGGAGGAGGCCAAAGTTTCAAAGATCAGTCTGTTCGTTTGTCTGGATCAGAGAAACACCCTGACTGCTGCACGTGGATCTGGAGGAACTGTTTCAGGTTCGTCATTAAAGACTTCTACACGGTCGACAAACAGCACAGCTTCAAAAACTTACATTTTCTGACCGATGGTTGAGTTTTCTTGGAAAAGGAGATCCACATCGATGTCAAAGTTACAGGTGGTGATGCACCAGGTCATACCGCCGACCACCTGAGGAAAACCAGGAGCACATGAAGTCCTGATGTTTTAGGATCAGGATTTATTTTTATTTAGGTATAATATGATTAAAAGGGTGTAGGCAGAAGCAGTGCTTATAAAGACCTAACCCTGATACCATACATCAAGTACATTATACAGATACACTCTTCATACAAATATCAACACTTATCATTATTATTTTATTATGGTTTTATTATCATTATTAATATCCTCTTTTATATTTACTATCCTGTTTCCTGCTTTCTACTCCCCTTTTTTATTACATTTCTTCTTCTTACCTATTTTATGTTTTTATTGTGGTCCTCATGGTCTCAGTTTAGGTTGTAGGGTTCTTGTATTTTCTGGGTTTGTTATGAAAGATGAATTTGGTCTTCAAATCAGAGGCCTTGTTTGTAACTGAGCTTTTGTTTTTATTTTCATGTGCTGATGTTCTGTGCTTTACGACTGTTTGTCAAAGCACTTTGTAAACCTCTGTTTTTAAAAGTGATATAAAAATAAAGTTATTGTTATTATTATTATTATGTATAAGCTCTCAAATACTTGTTGAATTTTGTTTCTATCTGCTACAGAGGCTGAGATATCAGTTTTTTTATAAACCTCAGGATCTGGGGGCCCTTCTCAAAACGGCCCTCAGGATTTCAGAGTCTCAGACAGGGTTCAGGTCTTCATGGGTTAAAGGTCACTTGGTAGCTGTGAATCAGAGTCAGATCTTCAGAGACACAGATCTGGTTCTGGTTCTGGTTCTGAGTACCTTATCAAAGGGGGACAGTCCTTTAATCCGGGCTCTGAAGTACCCAGCAGCCAACAGGAGCTCCAGGATTTCAGCCAGTTTAATGCTCTGCTCTTCATCCTCTCTGGTTTCCACCTGAGGACACATCATTATTATCATCATCATCATCATCATCATCATCATCATCATCACCACCATCATCATCATCATCTCCTCCTGTAAGAGCAGTTCCCTACAGACAGTTGGGCTAACTCATTCTCAGAAAGCTCGTTTTTAAAGAGGTTTAATGAACAGAAATGATCTTTTTTTTCTTCATATTTTTCTCCTCACTGCTCTTGAACGGTTTACTGATGAGTAAAAACGGTTAATCGGTTAATTAACCGCTAAAATCGACTTTTTCTTCCTCGGTCGTTAGCCGACATTCATGTCTCTAACAGTGACGTTTGACTCCGTTTTGACCATATAAGCTTCATTTCCGTTTGCCGCGCTTTCTTCGTAACGTTCTTTAACGTTTTTACCTGGATGAGGTTTCCGTCTTGGTCGTACTGAGCTCCTATTTTAGAGCCAGTCCTCACTCTGTGGAAAACTGACGAAGCCGCCGCCATGTTGGACCTCTGTTGACAAGGATGACAGGTCACATGATCAACCGTACGTATCATGTGACGTTTCACCCCCTGAGAGGCAGGCTGAGTGGAAGAGCGGCGATTACATCCAGAGACATTATAAACGTTTATTATGTCTATGATTACATCCCAACCACCCTAACGAAAAAATAACTGATAAAACTGTGAAGAGACAGTCATAAAATAATAATAATAATAATAATAATAATAATAATAATAATAATAATAATAATAAAATCAACAACAACAATAATAATAATAGTAGTAATAATAATGAAAATAATAATAATAATAATAATAATAATAATAATAAAAACAACAAAAATAATAATAATAAATGTTATCATAATTATAATCTCAGTTTTTTGTTGTTGTTGTTTTTGAGTTTTTTTGCACTTTGTAGAATATTTCTGGATTTGTGTAATTATTTTGAATTTTGTGAAAAGTTTTTGTCTCTTATAAAACATTTTTGGAAGTCAGTATTTTTTATTCTTATTATTATTGTGGATTATTGTGCAGTTGACCGAAAGGTCTCTTATGGACTTTTGTATAATTAAATCTTTATGTATTAATTTTACACAGATTGCATGAATTTAACAAAATGCGTTTGATTTTTATAATACTTATTGAATTAAAGAGGATCTTGGAATTACGTGACTTTTATTTTAAAGAAATTCAGAAAAAATAACTGCCTATTTTTTCTGAATCGATGACATTACTTTCTTGGTCTCAAAATATATATATATATATATATATATATATATATATATATATATATATATATATATATATGTACAGTATATATATATACAGTCTAAACAGAATGAGTCGGTTTTCATCCGATCCAGTAGGTGGCGGTAACTCTCCTTTACAGCCCGGAGAGAAGAAGAATCTGTTTGTGTTTTACGACAGTGGAGCAGGTTTCCGGCACACGTGTGTAGAGTCCGGTCCGGTGGTGTTGACGGTGAGCAGCATGGCTAAAGTGACACTAAAGAAGAAGAAGAAAGTGAGTAAAAAGGAGGAGAAGAAGAGCGCGGAAGTGAAGGAGGAGAGCGCGGAGGTGGTTTATGATGATGATGAGGAGGATGAAGGTTCGAATGAGGAGGAAGAGAGTGAGGAGGAGGAGGAGGATGAAGATGAGCGCAGACGGATGAAGCTCCTGGAGGCCATCAGCTCTCTGGGGGGTCAGAGGAAGAGGAGGACTCTGGGGGAGAGGTCCGAGGCCGCCGTGCACGTGACCGAGTTCGGAGTGACCGCGGAGGGAGAGGGAGACAAGGTCCAACTGAAGGACCTGATCGGAACCGTGGAGAAGACCCCCACGGTACCGAGCAAGACCAAGAGACAGCTGAGGACCCTGCAGGGGGGCGACAAGACCATCGAGTGTCCCCTCAGCAAACAGGAGCACGAGAGGATCCAGAGGGGCGTGGCCTTCCAGAAGGCGGCCTCAGAGGTGGACCAATGGAAGTCCATCATCCAGCAGAACCAGAGAGCCGAGCAGCTGGTCTTCCCCCTGAACCGGGAGCCGTCCGGACCCAAACCCATGGAGCGGGTGGTGTCCGGCTGGAAGGCCAGGACGCCGCTGGAGGAGGAGATCTTCGCCGTCCTCAACGCCAACAAACAGCCCATCCTGGACCCGGTCCTGACCCCGGCGGAGGAGGCGTCCATCAGCGCCATGAGCCTGGAGGAGGCCAAGATCCGGCGAGCAGAACTTCAGAAGGTCCGGGCGCTGCAGTCGTACTACGAGGCCAAAGCTCGCCGCGAGAGAAAGATCAAGAGTAAGAAGTACCACCGGGTCCAGAACAAGGCCAAGAGGAAGGAGTTCGTGAAGCGCTTCGACGACATGGTCAAGACGGACCCGAGCGGCGCCCTGGAGGAGCTGGAGAAGATGGAGCGGGCCCGCATGCAGGAGCGGATGTCCCTGAAGCATCAGAACAGCGGCAAGTGGGCCAGATCCAAGGCCGTCATGGCGAAATACGACGAGGGCGCCCGCCGAGCCATGCAGCAGCAGCTGGAGGTCAACAAGGAGCTGACGCAGAAGCTGGTGACGGCGCCGAACGACGAAGACGAGGAGGAAGAGGAGGAGCAGGGAGGAGACGCAGAGCTGCTGCCGGACTTCGTGAACGACGCAGAGCGAGGAGCGGACTCCTCGAACCCGTGGATGAGGGGGAAGCTGTCCGAGGAGAAGGAGGCGGAGGAGGAGAGCGAGAGAGTGGACCTGACTGCAGAGGAGGAGGTGAAGGAGACGGAGGAGGAGGAGGTGAAGGAGACAGAGGAGGAGGGGCTCCTCAAAGAGTTTGAGAGGAGGAGGAAGCAGCGACAGGAGCAGGAGGTCAAGATGATACCTGTGGAGGAGGAGGAGGAGGAGGAGAAAGAGAGCGAGAGAGTGGACCTGACTGCAGAGGACGAGGAGAAGGAAGGAGAGGAGGAGGAGGAGGAGGGAGAGGAGGCTGGAGGAGAGGAGGAGGAGCTGTCAGAGTTCAAAAACCTCTACAGAGAAATAACTGAATCTGAGCGGGCGGAGGAAAAGGAGGAGGACCCCTCGCCTCTCCTGGAGGAGAGTCTGGCGAGGATCAGATCTCTGGAGGACACAGAGGAGCTCCTCGCTCAGGAGGAGGCAGCGGTTGCTCCTCCTCCTCCTCAGACTCCTGCTGCAGAAGAAAACTCGGCGCCTGCAGTTAAAAAAGTGGAAAAACCAAAGAAGAGGAAGCGAGGGATCGAGCTGAGAGACGTCCTCACCAAAGACACCAGAGCCGTCCACGTCCCGCTGACTCAGACCGTGGAGGACGGCGAGGAGGAGGAGGACGAGGAGGCGGACCAGAGAGGGCTCATCAAAGAGGCGTTCGCAGGAGACGACGTCGTGTCCGACTTCCTGAGGGACAAGAGAAATCAGGAGGACGCCGGGAAGCCGAAGGTGGTGGATCTGACGCTGCCCGGCTGGGGGGAGTGGGGAGGTTCGGGTCTCGCCCCGTCCAAAAAGAAACGGAGGAGATTCAGGATCAAAACGGCGCCGCCTCCGCCCAGAAAAGACCAGCGCCTCCCGAGCGTCATCATCTCAGAGCAGAGGAACAGCGCCATCGCCCCCCACCAGGTCAGCATGCTGCCCTTCCCCTTCCAGACCCAAGCCCAGTTCGAGGGAACCATCCGCACGCCGCTGGGCCGCACCTGGAACACGGAGCGCACCGTCAAGAAGGTCGTCATGCCCAAGGTGGTGACCACGCTGGGCGCCATCATCGAGCCGATGGCGAAGGAGGAGCTTATAAAGGAGAAGCAGCAGCAGCAGACGACGATGACGATGGCGGCGAGTCAGAGTGCGGTGGAGAAACAGAAGAAGAGCGAGAAGAAGAATTCAAAGACGGCGAAGAAGAAAAGACGATGAAAAAAGACGATTTCTGTTTGATGTTAAAATCTGATCAATAAAAAAAGATTAGCAGGAATATTTCTGATCGATCAGCTGTTAGAGTAAAACACTGAAGCTGTAAGAACAGAAACTCTGAGTTTAACAATCTCAGAGTTTTCAGAGTTCATGATGTTGTTTTATTCTGAGACACGAAACGCGGATTAAAAACACAGAACTTTAGAAACGAGTAAATGAGGGTTATAGAGATTAAAAAAAGAAATCCATTTAAACACACAAACCTGTTCAAATGAGTGAGCGCTGACCCCGGTCTCCCCTACGTCTGCGTTTCCTTCCTCATGGTTTTTGTCTCAGATTTGATTTCAACACGTCCTCAGAGTTTGAGTCGATGATTCTTCACCTGCTTTATTCAGAAATGTTTGTCAATGATTTTTGCTGTTCATAAAGTTATTGTTGAATTCTGTTTTCTGTTCCCTCTCCATTGTCCCGGTACCGGACGGGTCTGACTGGACTGAGCTGGAGCTCCTGAACTCCCCTGAAAGATTATCTTATCTTTATTTACACCTTCATTAATCTGGTCGCTGATATATGTCATGAAATTCCTTTTCTTGTCAGTGATCTGCTCTTTTGATTAAATAAATAAGTTCTCTAAATAAGTTCTGATGAAGTTTCACTGCTGCCCTGGATGTAACATGAGCGCCCTCTGCTGGACAGAGTCGAAAATGCCTCCTGTTGATTGTAAGAAATAATTGTTATAATAGTAATAATAACTACAATAATAATAAATGATTATAAGAAATGATAATTATAATAAATGTAATAATTACAACTGTAACAATAGTTGATTTTTATAATAATTATTTTTAAAAATATATAAAAATAAAGTAATTATATCAATTGAAATAATAGTTGATTGTAATAATAAATACATAATGAAAATAAAAATAATTAAGAAATAAATATAAAGTTATAACAATTGTGATAATAGTTGATTGTAATAATAATTAAAATATATATATATAAAAATAGTACGAAATTAATTACTTTAACAACTGAAATCATAGTTGATGGTAATAATAAATAAAAAAATAATTAAAAATAATAATTATAATTATGATGTTTGGATTTTCTTCTTTTTTAAGATTTGTATACTATCATCCGTAAAATAAAATAAAAATGAGTTGGTTGTCCTCCAATCCAGTTTTTTTTTAATTGAGATTTTTGGAGGTTGACTGAAACGATTTCTCATAAAATATTTTTTGTTTTAAGAGGATCTTTTAATGTGAATTTCATACTTTTTTTGATGTCTTGTTTAATATTTTGCCTCCGTACTTCTGCAGAAACCTAAAATCAGTGATGGTTATTGATGTTTTTATGAATGACTTGTAAGAGTTGAATGTCTCTCAGGTTAAATTGAATATTTGCAGCCTCACTCTGTATTTTCAGCTGCAGTATATTTACAATCTAAACGTTTTAATCATAGTACATAGATTTTTTTGGTTCTGTTTGTTTTTTCCTCTGTTTATATCTCCCATAATGCACTCCTCCTGAGTGGCGAACACGAGCTCCAACGTCCTGCTGCTTCAGGCGTTTCTACAACATTTCATTGAGTCTTGTCTGAATGATGAAACGCAGCACGGCTCACTGAGCAGCCGCTCTGAATGCATTCATGCTGCAGCTGCATCACACTCATTCAGCAGCCATCTGTGTGTGTGTGTGTGTGTTTCTCACAGAGTCAGAGGGTCACAGTTACGAGATGAACACCGTCCAACAACAGCAGGTCTGCGCTTGACTTCCTCTCCTCTTCTTCGTCCTCGGCTGATTCCTCTGTAAGGCCGAGCTGCGGCGGCGGCGTCTGAAAGAGGAGAGTCGTTGTTGGAGTTGGGTTAAACCTTCACACATGGGTGAGAGTGCATTCTTTGGCACCTGACGTCTCTGTATTTCACATGACAGACACTCTATTAAAGGTGGGGGATCCTGTAATGGACTATGCATCAGCTCAGGTAATGGCTGTCAGGCTGAGAGGCAGCAGAGGATTCCATTAGAAACCTCAGAGTTACTAAATCACTCACTCTCCTCCTTCCTCTCCTTCCTTCCTCCCTTCCTGCCTCCTCCTCCTCCTCCTCTTCAGAGCAATTACTACAGCTTCATACAGCGTTCAGCCATGAATTCGGACCCAGTCCTTGGACCGGTGTCTGCTGGACTGAGACCACATTAGATGGTGGATAGATGAAGCTGCAGGGCTGTGTATCAGGAGAGAGACTGGACTGATGGAGCTCATTGTTGTCCATGAAGCTCTTTTGGGTTTAAATGTTTCCTCTGGGATTAGGAGGCGTGTTTTTTCTTTTCAATGTGCATTATTTGACCAGAAAGAAACGTTTTAGTCATGTTTAAACCTGCTGCTGGAAGATTTAAGTGTCTGTGTCTGCAAACTCGGTCATTCATGAAACCTACAAGTCAAAGGTAAAGCTGCTGCGAAGGGGTTGAATCATAGACTGTATGTAGAATGGACAGAGTCTGCCTCCTCGCTGGGTGAGAACAGCGCCCTCTGGTGACGGGCTGCAGTATAGGTCATAAACCCCGCCTCTTTTTTCTGTACAGCTCTGTTTTTAAAAGTTATTAGGGGGTTCATGTTTTCTATGATTGACACCTGATACAGCCTATGGGCTCACCCTGGGGGATACGCTGTTTGAGCCGAGCGTCATCACAGTGACTCTCGGCGACTGTGCAATGTTGGTTTCAGGAAATGGAGAAAAATCCTGGAAATACTGAGAACTTTTCTGCTTCAAATCTGTATACTGGTGGGAGGTGGAACAAAGTTGTCCATAGTAGATACAGTCTTTGGTCTGTACCCTCGTAGCTCCAACATGCAGACAGCAGAGGTGCAGGAGAAAGAAGTTAAAACTTGGACATGCAGAGCTATTTTGGTGCAAACATCTACCAGCAAAGTGCAGCGGTGCGCAAGCCTCTGTGATTTACCGTTGAGCTCCTGGTGAGTGTTAATTTCAGAGCCTGAAATGGATGAAACTGACCTTCATATAGCATAAGAATAAAACAGCAGCTAACATGCTGAGTATGGCTCGCCTCAGATGATTCTGTAAACTTTCAGGTTGGTTGATGATTGTAAAGCTGTGTAAAAAGTAACACCTCTAAGCCGTGTTGAACCTTCCATCAGAGGAGAAGCAGCTGAAACAGTTTTTTTTTCACAGATAAGATAAAAAAGAGTTTATGAGCTGCAAAGACAGAGCTGCCAAACATCACGCTTTGAGTGTGACAGTCACACCACATGCCACACGTGACATTTCTCACGCCTAAATTCCCCTGTTCAATCCTCTGTATTTGTTTTTTTCATGATAATAAACTTGACATGCTGTAGTTCGAGTAACTGGAGTAACTCTGTTGGATTTGTCAAAATTCTTGTTACAATTTTCTAATTTCTGGTTTTAGGAAGAGCAGCAGGCATGGAGGTGAGGACATCAGTCTGAAGGTAGGCCATAGTTTTTTAACACACGATAACGCTGAAGTCTCACTCTTGTCCTTTTCTGAAACTTGGCAGCCCTGCAAAGATCATGTAGGTAAACGTGTCGAGACTGATGTAGTGACAGGTGGACATGAGTGTACGGTGTCTTTACTGCTGAGTCTCTTCAGGAGGATGAGGACGGCTCTGCAGACCTTCAGGTGACAGAGGAGGACCTGCAGGCAGCTGAGGAGGTGAGAGCTTTTTAGACTTCTACATAAAAAGAATAAAACACAGAAATCAGAGAAGAAGAAATCAGTGAAACAGTCAGAGAGTCACAAACAGCAAAACTGGATTTTTATTCGAGATTGCATCAAGAATGAGTCTTAAAATAGGAAACATGAACATCGAACAGCCTGAAACGCTCCCCTGCTCACCCCTCCTCTCAGTGAAGATCATTTTTTTAGGTTTTCACTGACAGAAATATCTATTAGTACAGATTATTTAGTGCAAACAAGCTCAGGATTAAAGCTCTCAGAATGAGAGGATGTCAGTGTCATGTTCTTTCTTACAGTAACGCTCGGCTGCAGAGCTGTGAAGATGCACCGCAGGTTTATTTGGTGCGTTTCTGCAGAGGACAAGGTTATCTTTCAGCCCCTGAACAGTGAGTTTCTCCTCTCTGTGTTTGAAGCTGCTCCTCTGCAGCCCCCCCATCCCCTCTGAGGAGGTGGAGGAGGAGGAGGAGGAGGTCTGAGCACGAAACAATCTGATAAAAGACTCTTTCTCATTTCCCCTCCAATCCAAAGGCCCAACTCCATTCCCTCCCTGACAGGTGTAAGATTAACTTAGTTAGGTGCAGAGCCGCTCATGCACACCAAATTAAATTAATGGAACAAATTTCCCTCCTAATTAAGATGAAAATACGTGTCAGTTGTAACCTTGCTGAGCACTAATTATGTACAAATGATTTATCATCTGTTTCGTCCTGAATAGCAATGGGCTCACCTCTCCGATAGCCCCGGCTGCCTGTTAAGAGATGTCTGCTGATTAACTGTGACAGGTTGTGCTGCGGAGAAGCTGCACGTCGGCCGGCAGCCAATCAGAGCGGGCCGCAGCTCAGACTCTCCTCCCTTCCATTAACCTACATCGAGTGTGCAGCTGAGCATCACTTTGCTTCGCCGGCGCTGCTCCTTCTTGTTTCTCTCCCAGGAATGAAAATAAAGTACAGAGGAGAGGAGGAGGGGAGGAGGAAAGGAGGAGATAGGAGAGGAGAGGAGGAGAGAGGAGGAGGCGAGAGGAGAGGAGAGGAGGAGAGGAGAGAGAGGACGGGAGGAGGAGAGAGGAGAGGAGGAGAGGAGGAGAGAAGAGGAGAGGAGGAGAGAGGAGGAGAGAAGAGGGGAGGAGGAGAGAGGAGGGGAGGAGGCGAGAGGAGGAGAGAGGAGAGGAGGAGAGAAGAGGGGAGGAGAGAGGAAGGAAGGGGAGGAAAAGAGAGGAAAGGAGAGGAGGAGAGGAGGGGATGAGAGGAGAGAAAACAAGAGGAGAGGAGGTGAAAGGGAAGGAGGAGAGAGGAAGGAAGGGGAGGAAAGGAGAGGAGACAAGGAGAGAGGAAAGAGGGGAGGAAACAAGAGGAGTTAAGAGGAGAAGAGAGGAGGAGAAAGGGGAGGAGGAGAGAGCAAGGAAGAGGAGGAATGGAGAGGACAGAAGAGAGGAGAGGAGGAGAGGAGAGAAAATGAGGAGAGAGGAAAGAAGGAGAGGAGAGGAGGAGAGACACCTGTCCCCCTGATCATTCCTGATGTGTTGAGTTTATATTTTTATTATTTCAGTTTTAAACAGACTCTCAGTTTAAATAACAAGTTTCACCTTTTCTTACCAACAGCCTTTAACAGACTCTTCTGTCTGTGTTTCAACTTTAATAAACAGGAATTTAACCAATCAGTGAGTCTGATCTCAGCGCTGGTACCAACTTTGCAGTATTAAAAACACACAAAAAACACACACAAAAAAAAAAACACAAAAACCGCTGCAACCTGCATGGATGTTAACTACTTAAGTGTTTCGTCTCTGTCCTTTTAAATGGACTTTCATTATAGGAACTTTAATTTAATTATGACCACATGAAGTACAAATTTAAACACACTGAAATAATCTGATGTAATAAGTTAAATGATTCTGAACTCCGGCGTTAAAACCTCTCCTGCTCACCCCTCTGATCTCATCAGCTACGGTGGCCTTCGAGGACAAGAGGCTCCGGAGTCTGAACCTTCATTTACTAACTTTTAATCATCACAAACGTCTTCAGTGTGAACTCTTCTCTGCACAACACCTACTGCTGCTCTCTTTGTTCATTTTAAACAGACTCAAGTCTACAGTTGCAGTAACCGTGGAAACAGATACTAAGATCTAGTGTTCTTCCTCTGCAGCATGTGCTCAGGGCTTATATTGATCCTGAATGCAGTCCATTAGTACAGTGGTTCTGGATGGGTCGCGAACAGCTGGTTAAAAAACTGAATATTTAATGCACATCTGATGTCTTTTATTTTGAAAAATAGCTTATTTTGAAAGGCCCGTGTTATGTCGTGGTCCTCCTAGGTTTCTTATTAATGTGGCCTGAATGCAGTAAAAATTAATGTTTATTTATGTTTTTGTTTCTTGTTTTTTGTACATGCAACTTCAGCAGTTGTCGTCCTCCGTTCATGTGCTCTAAAAGTCACTTTACTCGATAAAAACAGCAAATTTATGTTAAAGATTTGAGTCTTTAAAGGTTTGCTTGGTTTGAGTTTTATAAAAGTGGGTCTCGACTTAAGGACCATGGGAAAATGTGGGTCCCAGAGTGAGACCCGTTGAGAACCGCTGCATCAGTACATGCCTGAAAACTGTAAACCTGACTCACCTCGTGCAGGTTGCAGCCTGACGCCAGCAGGTGGTGCACTGGGTCCAGGCTGCTGTGCACGCCTGGAGGCTGAAATATCAAAAATAAACAGGGCTTCAGTCCACAATTACAGCCTAACTGGGATATTCCATCTTATTTCCTGCTGCCTTGTGAGTACAGATATATTTCAGTGGGCAGCCGCTCTGATTAGCATTAGAATCGGAGTCCCTGGTGATACCGAGGGCCACACCGGCCAATCTGTAATCATTGTTCCGCAGGCGTGCTCACGGGGGATACAGCCCGCTTTGTCATTATCATTCAATATGCCACACACATGCTGGCAGAGCTGCCTCACTGCCGGCCATTTGCATTTCCTCCTCACAGTCTCTGAGTGTTTGCAGAGACAATGATGCTCCACAAATGAGTCCTCCTCTCTGCCTCCTAAAGATGATTCCTCTCCTCTCCTCTCCTCTCCTCTCTCAAAGCTCTCTGTCTCTACGTCTCACTCCCTCCTCCTCCTCCTCTTCTTCTTCTGCAATTGTCTGCCCTCAAAATGTAATTATGTACAGGTGTCAGCTCCAGCCATTAGGGATCATTTGACTTTCTATTGTGCTTTGGGGTTATTTAGCAGACAAGCTAAATTTGCTCTGCTGGATGTTTCATTGTTGTGCTGAATGTCAGCACACGGCTGCACACAGGAGAGACACTCGTGTTCTGCTGCAGATCCTCTCTCTCTCTTTTCTGTCTTTAGACGGCGTGCACGGGCGAACATGGAGACTGTAGCATGTCAAACACACACACACACACACACACTAAACAGAGAGGGGGGGGGGTCACACACTCATTGTTAGAGGTGCATGTCCTGAAGGGGAGGGTTCATGAGTACGAATTTAATAAAACATCCAAAGAAACGACAGGATTGAAGATTCATTTTCTGCTTCTCTCTCATAAATTCAGGATTTTAAGAGTGAAGCAGAAATATTTAAAAGGATTTGACCTTTGACCTCTTTTTATTTTTAAGATAAATCATTTTATTTAACACCCTAAAATCTCCTTTAAGAATAAATATGCCGGTGTTTATGTCTGAAATCCACAATCATCAAACTCAGATCTTAAATCGAGTGTTTCTGGTATTTTGGATAAGTTTATATTTCTGAGTGTTAATAAAACAAATTCACTCATTATTTAAAAGAATAATCTAATAATCCTAGTCTTTAAAGATCGCTGCTCTGTCTCTGTTTCTGTTTTAAGAAGAATATTTTTAATCTTCAGGATGAATTTTGTTCATATTTATAATTTAGATCTTAATTTTTCTTCAAGAATTCTCCGTTAAAGAGAGGACAATGATTTTTTTTAACTGAAAGAAAACAGAAATCTCATCAGGTTTAAAGATTTTAATCTTTGTATTTCTCAGTTTTACATCTTTTAAATAAATAAATCTGATCCCTCTGGACCTTTTTACAGTCACGTTACAGAAGGACCACATTTTAAACAGCTGCACAAAAACCCAAATGTAGTTTATTCAATTAAAGGCAATTCTTTGTAAAAAAAAAAAAAAAAATTCTTTATAATTTCATGACTTTTATAAAATATTCAGACTGGTGAACATCTTTAAAATCCATCTGAAGTCTTTAAATGATTATTTTGTATTTTAGACACAAACTCTGATCTTTAGGAGATTTATCTACAATTTCAACGATTTCTGTGAGAATTAACGGCTCTGGTTTTTATCCTTCTCAGAGAGTAACTCAGGATTTTAAGACGAATTTCTCCAGTTATTATGACTCTGACTGTTGTGATCATCAGGATTTCTTTACCCAGAGGAGGCTTTTTCTTTTTCAACATTTTTTTAAAGAAAAACTTCAACATTTAAAAATTTAAAAAGCAACAAAAGGAGATTTATGGTTGAACAGCAGCGCTTGTTGAAAAACAATTTAATGACAGAAATCCAGAGAAATTGACTGAAAAGGTGAGCAGAGTGGGAAACAAATTAAACTGAGTTTATCTCTAACAGGTGGGAAGTTTTCATAGTTTCATAATCAGGTCGTGAGTTACAGGATTGATCACATCTCTGGGATCATTTTTATAATAAAGGGGGAAAAAACATCTTTTTTAACATGTTGATAATCTTTAAATTCATCTGTGAGAAAAACATTTTAAGGATAAAAACACATTTTTCAGTGTTTATGGCGCTGATTCTGACTGTTCTTGGTTTTTTAAAGGATTAAAATCATATTTTTTTAACTGTTTTAGCATAAACATGATAAAAAATTTAAAGGTGAAGATGATAAAGATGATATTTTGTTATTTAAATCAACAATTTTATGGATAAAAATAATTTATAATCTTGATATCCTGATTAATTTGGTATTTTTTACACCTGAATCTGTACAGATGAGGGTTTTTAAAGTTGATCTGCAGGAGATGATTCCTAATTAAAGGATAAATTCGCTCTTTAACGAGTATTAATGACTCTGATTCTTCGTGTTTCAGAGGGAAATTCTGGATTGTTGCAGGATTCAGATGAATTTGGACCCTGAGCCGTGAGTATTGAGGGTTTCGGTGATACAGAGAAGCGAGCCGAGGTTACTCTGAACACGGATAAAAAATAAAAAAACACCAGCGGCCATTTTCTTTTGTTTCTCCCACACCCTTTTCCCCAAATCACGCCTCTTCCTGCAGTCAGCCCCCCGTGGCGGCAGCGGCGGCGGCGATGGCTGCGTCCCGGTTCTGCAAACATCCTCCCTCACATGCTGTCTGTCTGGGGATTGGAGGATGCGTCGGGGAGGGAGGGGGTTAGAGGTTAATTATAGACAACAGAGAGGTCACAGGGCCTATTATTTTGAATCCAAGACCTGCAACGGTCCAATGGGGATGACATTTACGACGAGGGCTCGGCCCCACCCCTCCATCACCATCCCACTCCTGCAGCCCACCCCGCGCACGCCATCACTCACGTTTATCCTGAAGGGGCCGACAGTGGGACTCAGCGGTCTGATAATGAAAAGGCCCTTAGCGCTCGGCGGAGGCAGGATGATGAATTGAATCCCTGGATGTTCTCTGGCTGCGTCAGGGGGCCTCCGCCGAGCCCTTGACAACTAATTGAAAGCCCCCGTACCCTCCTCTTACCTCGCAGACTTCCTTTATCACTCTAATTATTAGGGTTAAGTGAGTCTCCCAGGGGATTGTGGGTAGTAAGGGTGCAGTGAGGAACCTGCAGAGTCATCTTATCTGATAAAAAGAAATAGAGGAGCATAAATAATCTGTGTACAGCTCTGAGTCGGAGGATGTGGGATCATGCAGCGGTGTTCAGGTTCTTCTCCAGGTTTCATAAAGTCCCTGTACTGATACACATGTGAGGACACATCAGTTTAGAGGGGTAGAAACTTCAACATGTGAGGGTGACTTTATTTTTTAGGAGAAATGTCGTGACTATGAATGTTTTAGTGCTTTAACATAAGTGTGCAGACGTATCTACTCACTTCACGGACGACTTTGTTGTTGTAATGTGAACGACCGCACAAAAAGATCGAATTTAACAAAAAATCTGAATTGTGCATCAGAACCTGCAGAGTGAACGTAGCCTAAGGTGTCTACATGCACTTCAGTTTTCAGTCTTAATTGGAATAAGGCGATAACTCGGTTTTCTCGAGTGTCATGGAAACGTACTGAGTGTTAACGATGCGGACATAAAGTTTCGAAACAGAATTTATTACTCAAGTCTGACTAAATGTTGCATACAACAGCAAATTTAAAGTCACAATAAAGATAACAGTCCTCTAAATATGAAGCCAAAACATCAAGAGCTCCCTCTACTGACTGACTGCAGTATAGGTTAATAACCCTGCCTTCTCTGCTGTTAACAGATGGGACATACAAACTGTAAAAAGAGAAAACAGGTCAAATAAATGTTTTTCAGACACAGTTTCTGCTGTTATAGTTCATTCTCAGAAGTGTTTATTCTTCTGACAAGCTAATGTAATGTAAGTTTTCATCAGGGTCATGAGCTTTAAATCAACATTAGCTGCAAATATCAGGCGATTAAACTGAGAACATGACTTAGCTGCAGAGACTGTGCCGTTTACAGTCCCATTTTTGTGTTAATTTAATGAAGATAATTTAAAAGAAAAAAATGTGAATAATAATAACCAGTAGCTGTACTTTTTAAACTTCACTTCCCTCTCAGTTTGCAGTAACCTCAGCTCTCTCTCTCTAAGCTTTCTCTGATGGGACTTTTTTAAAGCTGCGGCATAAAAACATCAGTTAACCACGATGAGCCTCGGTGGAAAGGAGAGAGCATGGATGGTGTGTTTATGTTCAGACTATTGTGTAGCAGAAATAATCCCTGAAACCTGATGAGCAGCAGGCCTCAGTATGCTGAATAAAAGGAAGAGTGTAAATGGGATGGAGGATTACGATGGATCCACTCCGCACTGTGACTTTCTCACCTCTGCTCCTCTGTAAGCCTATTAGAGCACGAGAGCAAATCATAAGTGCTGTTACAGAATATAGTTAACCCTGTATGTGTGCGGGTGTGAGCGAGAGCGGGGAGCATACAGCCGTTTAGTTTCTCTGCTCGACTTTTCCTGCAAAAATAAAACAAAAATTCACCAATTATTCTGACATATTCATCTAACTTTTGCTGCTTTAATGACTACGACCCTAACGCTCTTTATCCTGGATGCTGTTCCTAAAATCTTCAGGGTCACAGCTGCAGAAAACAGAGTTACTGTCGGAGAATAAGTCACGCCATTTCAGCTGAATAATAAATACATATTACATTAAAGTAGGTCTAATACAAAAACTCACAAAAACGCTTCTTTAAGAGTGCATTAATAGTGAAACGATCAGGAAAAACTAATCTACTTTTATATGTCTCACACAAAGTCAGAACTCCTTTTTTTGTTTTCTATAGATAGATACAGTTTTATATATTTTTTATTTTACGTTAAACAATTAAAAGGAATAGACTGAAGCAATGCTTATATGTCGCCTTTCCTGTATGTGGACTTATTCTGCTTTTTTAAACAGCTAAATATGTCAATTATCATGATAAAAGCTATGGAAAAGTAGAAACGGTTCACTGTCACTTTGCTGTAATTGACTCGATCTAACACCTGATCCCTCTGCAGAGGTTGAAGGCTTTAAATATCACATCATAAAAATGGATCATCTTGTTGCTTATGATCTAGTTTATGTTTTAAGTCAAAAACAAAACTTCAGTGTAGAGTCCGGTGGGATTCATAACTGTGGAAACACCACTTACAGAAGCTATTAAAAGCAATTAGATAACAGATGTTATAATAGACACTCACTCTGAGGTTATAGATGAGGGAAATGGTTGCTATTTCACCCAAAACTTATGGTTTACAGTTTAAAAAATTGTCTGTTTACTTTATTTTGAGAAAAAAAATGCCAAATCAATCTTAAAAAACTAAAAAAATGTAATGTATAGCGACAAACTACTCATAAACAGTTTATGAATAATATATTTATAGGTGTTTTTTATGTGAGGCATATGTTATTGTATCAAATATATACAATAGTTTGTGTTGTTAAGTATCTATCTATCTATCTATCTATCTATCTATCTATCTATCTATCTATCTATCTATTTATTTTCATGTTAATATGAATTCACTATAATGTAAAGTCAAAAATAAACAGATTACCTTTCATTAATAAATGTTTTAGGTGTGTTTTTATAGTTTGTGAAGCAGAGAGCCCATCACGCACAGATAGTCAGCTGATTGAGTCTCCAAACTCCGATCACGTGATTTTGTGTAACGCGCTGACGTCACTGCTCTTGACGTTGATTGGCTGTTCATTGAGCTTAGGCAGCCGGAAGTGAACTCAGTGGGGAGAGAGAAGGCTAATTGATATTTGAGTGTTTTTAAAGCCCATTATCTGACTTTATGAGTGTTTTATGACTGAATATTTGTCCGTATGTGAAGAGGATCTCTGTCAGACTACGGTAAGAGTTGTGTTTTATGTTTTTCGCGGTGTTCCGGTAGATTAAAGCTCTTTAACCTGACTGACTGTTATATTAGCTGCTCTTTTTAAGCTAACTTGGCTCGAACTCTGCCCTCAAAAACACATTTATTATTATTAAAACTGTCTTTTTACTTATTTTAGAGAAACCGTAGAGAGAAACTAAACTAATAATAATAATTCTGACATTATTAACTGATTATCGGCTCTGCTGTTAATGAAAACGGGGTTTTAATGACGGGAGAATCTCATTAAACGGAGACATGGGTTTGATATTAGAGATTAAAATGGATAATTCTGAGGTAAATAAGTGAATGACGGGGATTTAGGATCACTCAGTGGAGCTAACAGCTGTGTCATAACCCTCTCATGTAACGGTGTTATGAATGCACGAGGCTACAGGTGAATGAACTCTGAGCTCTGATCCACACAGGTAAAGAGGGAGAGATCTGGAGGTCCAGAGTCTCTGAAAACAGAGACAAGCTAGACCGAGAGAGAGAGAGAGAGAGAGAGAGAGAGAGAGGGAGGTCTTGGTGCAACTAAACTATTATAACCCACAAACAGGTGAGACAGAATAAAGTTCCTGGGTAGATTACATCATCTACAGTCCATAATATCCTTCAAAGATTCAGAGGAAGTCCCTGAACTAGGGCTGGGCGATAAAACGATAACTATATATATTGAAAATCAAAGGTGGTGTAGTCACTCCTCCTCTCCCGCCCACAAACAGATGCTCCTGCTCGCTCATATCGTTCCAATCAAATTCAGATATAATGCAGATAAATACTTCAGATCATTACAAATGGGGCCCAGTCAAGGTGAAAGTCAAAAGCATTGGTGCTACTGTAGATGCCAACAGACTACCAGCAAACACAATGTTTGCAGGACTTCTACAACGAGGATAAAGTGACATAGTCCAGGACCCGAGGGAGGACAGTTTAGCGATGGCGCTACAACACGCTACAGCAGGTCCGTTTGACAAGAAACACTTCTGTTACAGACACTTGTCTTACTTTGTTAAAGCGGTTTACCTGTCCAGCAGAAAGGTTACAGGGTCACCAAGATCCCAAAGCGTCCCCCATCGTTTATGTTGACCCGGCTTTTTAGCTCTTGTCCGGTCTACCTCCGTTTTAAGCGCCCGTTATTCCTCCAGAGTCTCCGGTATTTACTTTGTTTTCTTGTAACATTTCTTTGGACACGGAGCTGACGTCAGATGTAAAATAAGCGTAATATTTTCACAAAACACCTGATGTTTTTTTTGTGTTGTCATGGAGATGGATGTAAATAAATCGATGCTGAGTGTTTTAAGTCTAATTAGTCTGCATCACTCAGTGTCCTCCACCTGTCTTTGTCTTCCAGCTCGGTGTGGGATGTCAGAGGAGGACATTAAACTCACCAGCAGATGTAGACGTCACAAACCATCTCACACTCTTCTAACGTAGGCCCGCGAATGTCCCGAACACTGACAGCCATGAGCGACAGCACGGTGAGCGGCGGCCAGCAGCAGTGGTCGGGGTCTGGGCAGACACCACAGCCTTCTAGGGGACCCTTCAACTCTGTCATCACCAACAGGTGAGATCTCTAGTATACTGACTGAAGACAGGGTTACTTTTCTGCTGTTAGAGGATCCCTTTGCTGTATGGATGATATTATCAGAGTCATTATCTGTGTTCTCTCTGGTTGTAGGACCACTAACCTGTTGATCCGCGGGGCCATGCTCTTCTCCGTGGGTGTCTTCTTGGCTCTGGTGCTGAACTTACTGCAGGTGCAGAGAAACGTCACGCTCTTTCCACCAGATGTCATCAGCAGTATCTTCTCCTCGGCCTGGTGGGTGCCGCCCTGCTGCGGTACAGCCTCAGGTACGTGAACTCACTCTGTTCAGTGAGCAGAAGGAGGTGTTTGTAGGTTATATTTAGGGGGAAAACAGTTCAGATGTTTGAGCTTAAATAGATCTAATGTTGTCACGTTTGAACAAAAGCAAAGAGTGAGGAATTTAAAGTTTATTCAAAACTAAAAAACTGACTTCAAACAGAAAAAACAAATCCATGTTTACCCAAACAAAACACCTGACAAGGCGGCACCGAAGGGAGGACATGAGGATAGGCAAAGACTGCTCTGTCCACAGGGGGCGCCAAAACTGAGGAGCTTTAATCTGATGATATCAAACGGCTGGTGTAGCGTCATCTTACCCCCAATTTTCACCACATCAGGAACGGCTCCAATCCAGAAAAACAGCGATTTTCACCATCTGCCGATCCGTTTGTGAGGCGAATTTTGTGGCAGATTACAGACAGCGTTAATCGCAAGAACTCACAAGAACCTGCAGATTCACGTTCAATCGCACGATAACGAGTTGTCTCTATAAAGACAGACACATAGACATATAAGCAGTAGATTGTGTCCTTCCAGAGGAGGAAATCTACTTCTAGACTTCTAGAATCAGCATCTCCTCATCCATGGTGTCATCGGGGTGAAATGACGTCTAAAAACCTTTCACTTGTTCGTCTCCGCCCGTTTGCATGGTGTGAAATACGATCCTCCTGAAACACGGAGTGTTTTATTTTGAAAAGAAGCCGGATGTTTTATTTTGTGTCTGTGCCCGACTTCCTTTCCAGCACGGGTTAATCTGTGCTGAATTTATCCGCCATGCTCCGGCGTCCAGAAAAAATAGAACTCTTGTGATCAGCTGAGGAGTCTGGCGATCCTCAGAGGAACGGAAAGAAGTCGGTGTAAACTGACACGTTAACTTGAATGGTTACGATCAGCTACGATCGGAGGATACGGCCTTTTCGTGGCCGTTCTGGATGTGGTGGAAATTTGGGGTTATGGTCCTAACCGTGATCTATACTGTACTGTGTAGATCAAGTAATTTCTGTTCTGTCTTGAAATTCAGACTCAAAAACTGTGTCTATCAAATTACAGGAATGATGAGATTTCAATTAACCGCTCAGCCCGACCAAAAACCTGGTCTCGTTCCTTTTCTTATTGAGTTGTGTTTTTTAAAACTGGATGATTTCTGTGCTGAAGGTGGACGTCGAGGAAACCACAAACTGTTTTATGTAATTAGTCAGAGAGTTTTGCCCGCAGCACTTTGAAACCACAGCGGACCGCGCAGCAGTCTGAGCGCACACACATCTACATGCATCCTGCACAACATCCCCACCAGGACCAGAGCGGACGAGCCGGCGTTATTGAAAACCTGTCCCCTGGGAGTGAAGCTGTGGATGGAGACTCCTCACGGCGCTGCTCCAACTCCCAGGAGGCTCGGCGGGAAACACAACAGCCCGAGGCGCTCCTCCTCCTCCTCCTCCCCAGACACACAGCAAGCCCGTCACTTCCACTCGTTCTGAACACGTTTTACTTTTCTCCTGGAGGAGCTCTGCTGCATGTTGATAGAAATATATCTCATCCTGACTTTAAGAAGAGGGGAGGCAGCTCAAAATAAGATCGAGTTACAGGAGTGTGGAGAAATAGTTTGAAGTCGTTTTGAGTCTCTTTTTGATTCGTTGATTTCTGATTGAATAGTTGTTTTTTTACAGTTTGAACAGATTCCCGACTGTCTGCAAATGTTCAGATTCACACCTGTGTGAGTGTGGCTGATTCTGCACAACAACAGGAAACAACAGCAGACATGATGATCACGCCACTCTCTCTCCGTCTCTCTCTGTCCCGCAGCGATGATCGGGCTGTTGTACCCCTGCATCGACAGCTGTCTGGGCGAGCCCCACAAGTTCAAGCGGGAGTGGTCCAGTGTGATGCGCTGCGTGGCCGTGTTTGTGGGCATCAACCACGCCAGCGCTGTATCCTTAAACCTCCGGAGTCTGTTTTCTCAGTTTGACGTTTGTCGCTTTCTTTTTAATTATTTGTTTTGAGACAACGAAAACAGAACAGACAAGCTCATACACAATAGAAAACACACACACAGTAATAATAATAATAAAAAGAGAGGGGGTGAGTGTGGGGAGTTAAAGGATTAGGACGCTGCACATCACCTTCTTAGACCAAAACTTGGCTGTGAGTCCAGGAGGAGGAGGAGTTATCAGAGCGCTCTCATCCTCTCATTCTCAGCTTTTGTTACACAACCTTCAGTTTTTGTCACTGAAATATGAGAAATACAGATTTTGGATGTGCTGATCCTTGACCTCTGACCTGCATCAGAAAGTAGACTTTGCCAACAACGTCCAGCTGTCTCTGACTCTGGCGGCGCTCTCCATCGGCCTGTGGTGGACGTTCGATCGCTCTCGCAGCGGCTTCGGCCTCGGCGTCACCATCGCACTGCTGGCAACGCTGGCGACGCAGCTCCTGGTTTACAACGGAGTCTTCCAGTGAGTTCAGACACAGTTCTCTGTCAATGAAGAGAAGACGATAGTTCTTCTCGTTACTTTTGTATTTGATTAAAATATTGATATTAAAACATGACGTGTTTCTTCTTCTCTGCTCAGGTATACGTCTCCAGACTTCCTCTACATTCGCTCCTGGTTACCTTGCATCTTCTTCGCCGGGGTGATAACCATGGGGAATATCGGGCGGCAGCTAGCTTTGGTAAGTAGCTGTGAAAACGGCGTTCTCTTAACTCGATCCTTCAAATCACAGCAAATATAAACACGTCTTTATTTTCAGGACGACCTCAGCTTCAGTTTATGGAGCAAAAATGATGTAAAATAAATGAGACAGGAGATTCAGAACCATCAAAGTCAACCAAAAAACAAAAATAGAAACTGATCCCAACAGAACTTTGCTCTAAAACCACATAAATCTACAGTGACCGAGCCTTTCCTCACCTGAACATCATCCTCTCAAGTCTATCAGGAGAAGAAATATTGGGATTGGAACAAACACACAACAGAAACTATTGACATATTTACACTCATTCTTCCGGGTGTTTTTGACTGTTTCCAGTTGTTTCTGGGAGGAGACAGAGGACCACATCATACTGCTCACAATCTCTTCATGAGACCGTGTCATTGGTCCAAAGTTTGACAGAAAAAGACGTCATTAAAACAGTTTTTCAAACCCAGAAGATATTAGCGGCGTTTAGAGATAGTGATCTTTTCTTTTATCACAACAGTCTGATCAATAATCCTGTTTTCACCGGTTTATCACTGAGGATTTACCATCAAACGTCTCTGATCAAACACCTGTTTTTGTGGCTGGATTGTAAACTTTGTGGCAGGTGTAGAAATGACGGGAAATCCTCGATAGATCGCTGAAATGGTAAACTATTGAACACTTTTTATCCCGTAGAGATACACGGTATAAATCCTGAGAAACTATTAACTATATTCATGGTGCCTGCGGAGTTCTCAGTGTTAAATCACACACTTGCATGTTTCTGCGGACTGACTGTAAAACGTTAAAAACAAAAAGAGTCCTTTAGTGTTTTTTCTGTCCTCTGAAGCTGTCCCACCTCTTTGTTTTTGCAGTACGAGTATAAATTCATTCAGGAGAAGACCCATCAGGACTGAGGATCTCCATCAGGACTGAGGGATCTCCACCAGGACTGAGGGATCTCCATCAGGACTGAGGGATCTCCATCAGGACTGAAGGATCTCCATCAGGACTGAGGGATCTCCATCAGGACTCTGCTCTTAAAGACTTTGCTCCAACCTAAATCCAGCTGCAGGTAACTAACAGGGACCTGCTGGACTTGGATGTGAAGCAGGAGTTGAAATGACCTCCTGATCGACTGACTGACTGACTGACTGACTGACTGACTGACTGACTGACTGACTGACTGACTGACTGACTGACTTCCTGCTGGGCGACAGTATTTCCCATCGGCTCTTGCCTGCCTGGAGAGCGGAGGTGAACAGTGAGAGCAGAGTTTGTGGTGTTTTCCTCTCCGCCGCGGTTTATCTCTGCTCACCTGGAGAAAAGGGATTAACGGCGAAGCATCTATCGTTCTGCAGATCAGCTCTGACGTTTGAAACCTTTGGCTCCATTGTGCCAAACACAGACACACGAGGATCAGTTTTAGCGTCTGCTCTTATCTGCGGATCGGTTCACGTATCAGTGGAGAACACACACACAGACTGTGAACTTCTATCTAGACAGATATGCATTAATATACAAGACTTTCATGTATGTTATTAGCTCCTGTATCTACAGTTGGCTTTTGGTGATAAAGGAATGATGATGATGTGACTGTGCACCTGTCTGTGAGCGGCTGTGAGGACTCAGTGTTCACCTGCAGTCAGTATCTACCAGCAGTACAGTATCATCGGATCCCACGGCTGCTTTTCTAGGAAGTAGATGATGTTTAATTTGGAGTTTGGAGGCGAAGTTTCCGGTTCAAGTTGTACAGCGAGAAAAACGACAGAATGCAAACTCACGAAAATCTAAAACCAGACAGACGGCTGAGCCAACCAGCTTTTCTGCACGTCTTTAAATCTGAAGTTAACATCGCAGGAGAGAAACGACGTCTCTGCTGGATTACTGGGCTGAGAAATCTCACTAATGTTGTCTCTCTCTCTCTCAACTCCACAAACTCAGCAGCTGGGTTCATTTATTAACTCATACATGCAGGTCAAAAGATGAGCCGCCTCTTTAGATATTAAAAGAGGTGTCCAGCAGTTTAATTAAGTCAGCTCTTCCTTCGTCGTTTGGCTTCATAACATCTTGAGAAACTAAAGTGTGATTCGTCTGAGACTGCAGATATCCTACAGCGTACACACTCCACTTATAAACAGGGAGGATTTATGTTAGCGAGAACTTACCCAGGTCTTCATTTAGACATGCACCATGAAACTGAGCAGCTGCTGTGTTTGAGGAGGAGTGAGGGTCAACCAGAACCGGAACCAGAACCAAACCGCAGCTCTGTTTTATTTGAAAAAGGAAAAAAAAAAAAGAAGTTTTATATGATTCTCTTTTCTAAACGACTAGCTTCAAAATTCGCAGTAAAAACTGTTTTTTTTTTGCCTCTGGAGTTGATCCTGACATGTTTTAACAGTAATGAAAATATTCTTTTGAGGCTGTTTGAATAACTCGTCTTTTTTCCCTCTTGATCCAGTAACATTTCTGTGAAAGAAAAACGCACAGGTACAACGTTTTAAAGTGTTAAACTCTGCGTGAAGAAGATCGTCTCTGTTTGTTTGCAGCAGGAGTTTGTCGGAGCGGATGGATTTACGATATAAAATATGAAGACGAGAAAACGGGGAACGTGTTTGTTTACAAAGAGGTCAATTTAAGGGAGCAGTTATTTAATAATCTTAGGTAAGACACGGACATTTGGGTCAAACAGACGAAACATTAAAGGGGATTCATGTCAACTTAATTAGCATGTTTGGTTATCAGCATATCAGCCTTTATTTACTCGTTGTAGAGCACTTATTAACAATGATGTAGTTGTAGAATATGGTCATGAGTGTTAATTAGTGCTCTATAACTTATCATTAAAGCTTATATGCTGCTAATAAAAAGCTAATTAGTAGGTAATGTATTCCCTAATTGAAGGTGTTACCAAAATTAAACAGTGTTCGGGAGATTCACTGTAAAACATGAAGGAGGAACATTTTTTAATCCACGTTTTCTGAGCGCGGTAGAAACTTTTTCAAAAACAGAAATATTGTTAACGCTCAGTTTAGTTTGAGTTGTATGAACAGAGATTAAAAATAATAAAAATCTCACCTTTTAAATCTCTGCGGCCTCCTGAGATCTCTTAATCCATCACTGCCTCTTTCACACGTGCTCTCCTGACTTCTTCAGGAACATTTTCAGCGTTCTGACTCTGAGAGTCGATTGAGCAGTTTGTAACCCTTTAACAGTGTTGGTGACAAAAACGACACTAAGGGTCATTTTTTCCTCTTAATTTGACCATAACTTTCACTGTATTTAAACAAATGACATGATTTTAGCTGACAAACTTTATTTTTTCATATAATTTGAAAATATGATTTCAAAATTGTCTAAAGGTCAATAGTACACTGTCGGCAAATTTACTACCCTTTAGTTTTGATCAAAACTAGTAAATATATATTTAAAAAAAGATTAAGATTTTAACCCTTTGAATGCCAATTTAATAAAGAAAGTCACTGATATGGGAAAATAAACGCAAAATGAGCTTTTTTTCGATATTAAAAGTGATCGGACAAAGAATTTTTTTTCATGTTATCACAGTCTCGGACATGTCTTAGATCAGTAACTTTAATGACTTTTATACATATTTAGTTTTCATGCAGCAACAGATTTTCATAAAAACTTCCTTTGATGGTCTTAGTGTCTGTTTTTGCCCCATTGACTCCCATTATAATCACATGTTTTCAATGCAGAGACATGACTCTATATAAATATAATGTTTACAGTCAGGGTGATCAACCCTGTTCAGAAGGGATCAAATTAGGTCATTTTACTGTTGATCACCTGGTTCACACATTTACCCATTACACATTAGTATTTAGTAGTTTTGATCAGGACTGAAGTTGCTGAATAGATTTATGTAAAAAAAGTAGAAACAAATATTAATCTGATATATTTTACCTGGTGTGTCAGTACCTGTGCAGACATCGTCACTCTCCTTGTCGAATCCAGGTCCATCATCCTACAGAAACAGAAACCCTCCTCAGATCACCAACCATGGGACGGTGCTCCTCCTGTTTTTGCTCTCCATACAGGCTGAAAGAAGCAGATTTTAATGACCTGATGAAGTTAAACACGGATGTTCTGCGTGTTCAAAGGCTGCAGGTATTAAAATTGAGGTCGATTTGTACATGTGCTTTTTGTGGCTCTGAGGTTATATAAACACAGCAGGTATAGATCCTGATGCACAGCCCAAACTTAGCTGTCTGCGATGCATAAAAGAAACGGTCCTAAATCTATTAAAAGCTGCAGCTAATTAAGTGGAGAGACAACATATCTGGCACAAACGCTGAGACACAAGCTGCAGAACTGCACACATCATCCGGTACAGTGTTCCCTGCTAATGTGGATTAATGTGTGCTGTCTGTTTGCAGCTCCCGCAGACACACACTCCTATAGACAAAAGTAATTAAGATGAATAATCAGGATTTAAAGAGCCTTTGTTTGCATTCTTGCTAAACTCCAGGATAAGGACACCGTTTCTGCGAGCTTTACGCCGCCGTGTGAGCCAATTTGCTGTGTGAATGTTATTGTTCAAGGCTAACTAGCTAGTAAAACAATAGGCGTGATGTGTCATAGCAGTAAGTGCTGCTCCGAAGAGCTAAACTCCCCACCACTAATGAATTCATTAATCTCTCTATTTATTCCTGACAAGCAATTATCTCCTGCTGCAGAATGAGGGTCAGGAGGCAAGGTTGAAAGCTCTCACACACACCCGCCGAGGAGGAAACGTTAACCGCTGCTGTCCTCATACACCTGCTGCTGCTCAAACTTATTCTGCTTCGGACCGAGGAGATCTGATGTTTGCAAAACCAGTTCAGGCCGAAATGGAAATGTGACGTCCATGATTTTAGAGTCAGAAGTTAGAGACAGGAGGTGGTGGAAGATTTAAAGAAGTCAAGATCATGAAGAAGTCTCTTATGGGACTGAAACTGAGATTTAGAGATTTATTATAAAATAAAATCCTGTAACTTTGACTTGAAGTCTCACAATTTCAACTTTACATCTTATTATTTTGATTTTCTATCACATTATTTTGACTTTTCATCCTGTGATCATGACCCCCTGCAGTCTCATAAATTTGACTTTTTTTCCCCGAACACTGTTTTTTTTTTTTCTGTCACTTTTTTAATCTTATAATTTTGACTTTTTATTTTATCGTACTTTATAACTGCATACTTCCATACAGCTCTTAATTATTGTATGTTAGTCGGCTAATGGGAGGCAGAAACAGGCATTTGTATAAACAATGATGTCGATGTTATCTGTGTGCGCTCAGACGTTAGCTAATGAGCTAATCTATCTTCTTTGTGGCTTTAAACCATAGACTGTATTTACTACGGACAACTTGGCTCCGCCTTCCGCCAGTTCACGGATTTGAAGCTGAAAAGTTCTCTGTAATTCTGCGATTTTTCTCCACTTCCTGACACCAGCACTTTAGTGATGGGCACGGCAGTTCTTTCAGATGTACTGAATCACTAGAATCAGTTCACTAAAAAGATTCGTTCACCAAATTACCGATTCATTTAGCGGGAGGAGCCTGTGACTCCGACCTCCTGGACTGATACACAGATGAACGTTCAGGATTCAGTTCTTGTAGACGAGAGTTTTTGTCTGTGTTGCTTAAACAGGTTTATAAAAATGAACCTGTTTATAAGTCATGATGTTTAAAGTGTCCTATGGTATGTAATTTACCAGGTCTACTCAGTAAATTGGGCTCAGTGAGTGATTCGTTCACTGAACGTTTAGAAGAATTCACACTGAACATGAACCGTTCCCTCACAAACTGCTGCAATGATAAGATGCTGCAGGTTTTATCTGCTTCTTGTTCCATACTGTGTCCTATTGTCTGAAAGTTGTTGTGGTGGCAATTTAGCAGTAAAAATAAAGGTAGTTTTGTTCGACAAAAATGATTTCAGAGAGTGTAGTTCAATGAGTGATTCGTTCACCGAGTGATTCAGGCGTCGGTGAATGTGGTCCTTCGTTCGCCAGCTGCTGGCCTGGCAATGCTGTTTTTCCCTTCAGCTCAACTGAAGTGAGAAATGAACAAATCACTCAGGTGACTCGGTTCAGTACGTTCACTTAAAAGATTCGGTTCCTTTGAATGAATCGTTCGTGAATGACACAACACTACACCACTTGCGCAGTAGCGTTGTGCGCATTCGGCGGGAGAGTCACATTTATATTCTGTGTCATTAATTTATAAAGTTTGTCCACAGCTCCATAAGGAGGCGGGATTTATGACCTATACTGCAGCCCGCCACCAGAGGGCGCTGTTCTCAGAGTGGCTTCACCCAGCGAGGAGGGAGACGGCGTCCATTTTATACACAGTCTATGGCATAAACTGACAGCCCGCGTTTGGCTTGAGCGTGTGATGACGTTTCCAGCTTTTCTAGCCAATCAGAGGCGAAGGAGGCGGGACCTTATCGTACCATTCTACAAAAAAATATATATATATATCGCCACCTGTGGGATACGCTGTTTGAGCCCAGCGTCATATCGGATGCGTACAACGCTAGTTAGTCCGATTATCGATCAGGAGCAGAAATATTACGACCCTCAAACAGGATTTGTAAAGTCCTGTCGTGAAGTTTACCGGTTTGGTGTTTACGTGGAAGATTAACCTTTACTAATCTAACTGTCCGTGTAAAAATACTGTAGCTCTGCTAACAGGGAAACTGAGACCCACCACTGATACATGGGCGGTAAAACCAGGACCCACCGGTGAGATTAAAGACCCTGGTGTATCTCCACAGTGGAGGCCTCAGATTTCCTGAGGCGTGGACTTCATCACGCTGGGATAAAAGCTGCATTCAGCGGCGTTAGCATGAATAATCCACCTTCCTGCTCTCATTAATCATCCACCTCCACAATAAAACTCAACTCCAACCAGCTTCCGGTGCAATTTTCCCTTTTTCAGCTGAACGTGAAACCAATCCGATCAGATTTATTATAACCTCCGATTTACATTTTTACAGGCTGATTCTTACATTTAACCGCCGAGACCTCCCGCCACATTTCTGACCCTCTGCGTAAAACTTAACCGGGTCCTCCACCACCGGAGCTGGAACTCATAAAGTTTGACCTTGCACCCACTTATGTGTTTTTCACACATAGCAGAGCACAAAACCTATAAAAGGCGTGCAGTAATGGCTGAGGACAGGCCGAACACGATGAAATAGGTGCACGCGGGGAACCACGGCGCTCCATCTCGCGCCGCTCTCTGAGGGATGACCGTCTAAACTGGAATAAAACCCTGTTAAACGGTGTCACAACATGAATCACTGCCCCGGGGGACATCCATCACCGCTTAAAAGGTGACCACAAATGATCTGTGAGCCACTAGATATTGATTACTCATGTGCTGCAGGTGTCAGGTTTAATGTTGCAGCGGCTTGATAGCGTCGCCTCTGACAGCCGCTGCCCTAACTCTCCTCTGATAGATTTTAATGGTGAAATATTGATTTCTTTCTGGCCAAGGTCTGCCAGCAAGGGCCAGATCATTTGTTGGGGTAATGCAGGACACTGTGAGCCCTGGTCCCAATCAATCATTCTGACAGGGAGCAGCAAAGAGAGAGAGAGGGGGGAAAAAAAGGCGGTGAAGCTGCAGCACATTCATCCAGAATCTGGAGTTACAGGAGAGCCCAGAAACGGAGGAGTGTGTGCAGTTAATATGAATACTAATGATGTGTTTATTGAGTGGGAATGCTCAGCAAATCACAGCTGACGGGATAACAGTCGGAGAGGCTCGAGCAGGGAATGAGGATCTTGGAGAGAGGGTCTATATTTTATTTAAGCGTCTCTTTAAGCGGGGCCGGGGAGAGAGACTCAGGTAATGTGTTGTGTTACAACTCAGTGCTCGTTCCCCCCAGCCGGAGCGATAACACACCCGCTAATGGGAAGCCATCAATCACAATCAGCCTCCTATTCCACCAGTGTCTGCGCTCTCCTCGGCTCTGAGAGAGGGAGCTGGAATTGAGGTAATAATGGAGTTTTGTGGCTTAGCAGCAGATCCAGGAGTCATATTTCCAGCAGAGCTTTGCCGTGTCAGCACGTCGTTTAATAAGAGAGCCACAAAAACGGCCGTGAGGAGCTGTTAGAGCCCGGGCCGGGCCTTTGCAGAGGGGAGGGCAGAATTAATGCACAGCAGGTCTCAGGTGGGACCGGGGTGGTGGATGTTTGGTGCCAAAAGCAGCTAATTGGTTTTTCATTACACTGTGTTCAGTCTGCTGTTACACACAGTGGCAGAGCTCAGAGCAGACAAAGGACGAGAGAAAGAAGCAAGAAATGAAGGCGAGAGAGAGAAACCGGAGAGATGTGTCAGCGTGGAGAGAGGAAACAGGAGAGCTGGAGGTGATTCTGACTCTTTAGGCTCAAAGAAATCATTCAAGATATAAATAAAGACGTGTAGAATTAAGCTGAATACAGAGATACTGCAGAGAAATGATGAATATTTGGTTTACTGCAGGTCTAAGGAGGGAAGAGTTTGTCATTTTTGGTCTTGGTTATAGAATAAAATCATTCACAGTGTTAACTATGTAAGTTTTTGTTGATTACTCTTTAGTCAGAGTAATTTCTTGGACTGTAGTCAGATTATTACATCCACCAGAAGGGGGAGCCTGTGAGCACGAAACAGAGGAGTATTGGTAGAAGAAGAGTTTGTTTGGGTTTGTATGAAGTGAGAGGTTAAGGAGAAGAAGCTGCAGAGAAATATCTGAGTAAACAGAGACTCAGATAAAAGTGATTTTAAACTTTAATTAAGTTCTTAACTTTGAGTTTGGCGCCCCCTGTGGAGAAACCAGTCCCTGCTTATCTTGTCGTCTAAAAGTCTAAATCGTGACCTTTGACATTAAACTCATCCTGCTGACCTCGTCACAGTCAAAGTTTCATTTATTATGAATATTTTATAAGAAAGTCGTAAAAACTGGACTTTTTCCTCTTCGGGTTTTAAAAACTACAACATGAAAACTGTCAGTCTAATCACTGATGGTTATTTTAATTATCTTGGATATGAAAATGGATAATTTTGAATTTCAGTTGGTTCAGGACAGACTTGATGTCCATCAGCAGCACAGTCGCTCTCTCTGCTGAACAGAGCTGCAGCTCTTCTGTCTGGATGTAAAGAAGCATCGATGACTGAGAGGATCCTGTGGTGATGATGATGTGCACTTTTCCAGTATTTAGATGCACTATCCTGCACTAACCTGCAGACGTTGTGATCCTGTCATTAGTCAGTTTAATAAAATGTGCTGTTAGTCTGTTTTATACTTATTTTTGGTGCCTTTGCTTTTATAAGACAGACTGGAAACGTGGAGGAAACATGCAGCAGGGAGACGAAACACCAAACCTCTGAGGCGTGCACGGAAACTGCCCCAGTTTTCTGGTTTTTATTTATTTTATTAAAAGAAAATATTTCTAAAAGAAATTGAAGTGTGGTCGTCTTCATGCAGAACATTAAAACTGTCTAAAAACACCAAAAACCTCCCACAACAACCGCTGTGATGAACCGTTTCAGAGATCACAAACCTGGATTTGACTTTGACTATCAGGTTTGAGAAAGAGGATAAACATCTAAACAATAAAACTATATCAGCGTTAAGATGGAACATGATAAATCAGAATTGTTGTTGAAGCCGGCCGATATGAGGCGTCAGGAGAGCTGCTGCTGGTGTGAACCTTCAGACATCTCAGTTCCTTTAAATTCCTGTTCAGATGAATTCATCAGTCACTTCAGAGAATCTCGCTTTATTTTGGACAACAAGAACGACTTCAGCCGTGAAGCTTCTGTCATTTTAATCCTTTTAAAACAGTTTAACATCCAAACCAGTGGATAAATAAGGCGTTAAACTCTGATCTGAACAGTCTGAGTTTCTTTACGATAACCTGACAGAGGTATTCGTCTAAGTTTGCTCTGATTGAGTCACCTGAGGGACAAACTCTGATTGGTTTTCATGACTAACGATGATTTAGAGACGGCCAATCTCAGATGTTCCTGTTTTCCCTGCAAAAAAAACCCTGTATTTTTATAATTGAGAACAGCTGATTTTTAGTTTCTGACATGTTCTGAGCAGAAATAAAATCTGGTTTATGATTAAAAGTCAAACACTTGAAAATGAAACAGAGAGAAGCTGTGATCCCAGTTTGGGGCTGACTGTCTGTCCCAGCTGTTTGAATGTAGAAATATAATGAAGATGACCAGAAGGGGGCGCACCACTACACATCTGAACCAGCCTCACTGACACAAAAACAACCTGAGTGAGCAGGATGAGGAGATCCCAGTGAACAAACACAGACGGAGGGAAAGGATGACTCACATTATCATATTCATATTTACATTAGATTAGATTAGATAAAATAGATAGATAGATAGATAGATAGATAGATAGATAGATAGATAGATAGATAGATAGATAGATAGATAGATAGATAGATAGATAGATAGATAGATAGATAGATAGATAGATAGATAGATAGATAGATAGATAATTACGAAATTATTCATATAAAATAAAAAACACAGTGGACGTAGCCAAATTTGTGCTGCTGAGGTTAATAAAGCACTTGGAGAATAACTGTTCAGATATAAAGTCATAATTTTTGACTGATAAACTGGTTTTGTTGTAAATAAATATATTATGATAAGAAAATTAAAAAAAAATAGGAAAAGTTGTTAAATATTTAGAATAAAAAGTGATAATCGAGCTGCAACTTCCAGTGTTGAAAATTTAAACCAGTGCAGTTCCATCAGTGCCCACTAGAGGCCTGTTTAAAAAGTGCCTAAACCCCACAGAGGCCCATGTTAAAATGCCCGTTTGTTACAGCAGAGTCAAACATAAGTCCAGGTCTGTTAAATCCTTTCTGAATCTGTCACAGTCACACATTATCAACTATAAGACGCTCAGCTGAGTCCAAAGTGACCACATGAGGTTGTTTTTCTGCCATATCATAGTCATAAAAATGTCTAAAAATACAAATATGTATGTTCGAATAAAACTGAACTCATCACAGAGCTTCAGATAGACTAAAAATTATATAATGGATCAAGAAAGTTTAGTAAACTCCAGTTTACTCTTGGGAAAAATATTAACATCCTTGTTGGTTTAAAAAAAAATGAACTAGACAACAGGAGTGAACGAAGTGCAGTTCCTCTCATGTCCACTTGGGGCTGGTTCTCCCATGATAAAATATGAATGTGTAAAACAGAATGAGACATGTTTACATCCTGGGAATATTAAACTTCATCACACACACACACACACACACACACACACACATACACACACACACACACACACACACACACACACTCACACACTCACACACACACGGAGCTGGAGAGGTTAAAGATTTGTAAGCAGACTAATGGTCAACTTCCTCCTCGTATTGTTCGGCGGTCGTCTTCGGGCTGTCTGCCCGCAACATGTCTGTCAATCACAGGGGGGGTCTGCATGTGGCACCAAGTTACCATGGCAACCTGGTAGCGCCACAGCAAATGTCAGGGCCCCGACCGAGCGACCCACACACCCCTGACACCCAAATACAGCAGGGGCCCCCGGAAAGGTGTCCTCCTTCCAAACACAGGACTTCACCGGAGACGGTCGAGCTTTGTTTTCCTCTTTGTGTTTTAATATTTTATCATGTTTTTATCGTTAATTTGACTTCTTAGGCCTAAATATCCAAACTGTGTGTAACCTGCTGTGGTGTGTCTGGATCAAAGTTTGACTCTGTAGGACGGTGGTTCAGATCCACAGTCGGCAGGAGTCACACATATCAAAGTGAGGACTTTGTGTCGGAGCGAACAAAGGTTCGGTCACACATGACGAGCTCTGCTTTGTGCCAAACCCCTGAATCTCCAAAGACGTCCAGCCGGCGGGGATCCAACAGGATGGGGCGCCGCTGCACAGACGGGTCAAGACCAATGTCAACAGACCCTCGAGACGACCCAGACTGATCAAAACCTGCAAGGTTGGTCCCAACTGTATAAATGCTGAAGCTCTGTCTGAGATCCTGAGCTTAGAAAACAAGATCAAATCAGTAAACAGGACTCCTCAGAACCAAAGATCGTCTAGTCTGTACGCTCGTCTGTTTAATTAAGAGAGAGGAAGAAATTCAAAATACAGAGAAATACTAAACAGAGCCTAAAACTACAGAAATCCTCCTCAGATCACTGACCATGGGAGCTGGAGGTCAGGATGGAGGACCGAGTTCCTCCTGCTTTTGCTCTCCATACAGACACCAAAGCCTGCTGTCACCTGATTGGTCAATATTATCTACACACGACAAACTGAAAACTTTAAATATTGGAAACTACGGTGGCCAAGAACCAACACTGCTGCAAAAAAAAAGAATGCAAAAAAAAGAAGAAGCCACAATGGAAGTTAACGACACACACAAAAAAAGTGGCATTGCAAAAAAAAAAGATAAAATAAAAAGTTCCTTACTGCGAAAATAAAAGGATGCAAATAAAAAAATCCACAACAGAAGTGATGTGTTTTACTCAACTCAACTTTATGTGTAAATCACTTTAAAACAACCACAGCTGGACAAAGTGCCGTACATAAATAGACAAAACAACGCAGACGTAAAAAACATAAAAAATATATTAAAACAGTGGATTAAATAAAAGCAGATATTAAAAAGTAAAATATAGTTTCAGTGTTTTTAACTAACTTAAAAACATAGAAACAAAGAACTAAAAAACAAACATAAAACACTGAAACAGGAGCCGAGTCTCATGAATAAAAACGGGTTTTAAGGCGAGCTTTAAGAATAGACAGTGTGGGGGCTTGTCTGATTTGGAAGGGTCGCTCGGTCCACACAGAAAAAAGATCTCCCCCTCTGAGCTTCAGTTTGGACCTCAGTACCTCCAGCTGATCGGCTGACCTGAGGCACCGAGCGAGCGAGCAGGGGTGTAGGGGTGGAGAAGCTCAGATGGGAGAGATGGAGTCAGACCATTTGAAGATTTAAAAACTAATAAAAGAATCTTAAAATGAAGAATCTAAAACGAACAGGTGACCAGTGGAGGGAGGCCAGGATGGAGGAATGGAGACGTGAGACCTGTCGAATTTAAAATCACTGTCCTCATCTTAAAACCCAAATTTGAGATGGTTGACTTTAAATAGTCTGAGAAAATATTCTCAGTTTACGATCTAGACACAGAAGACAAAGGTGAGAAGACGAGCAAAGAAGTGGAAAGGTTATTGTTTGATTTCACTTTGTAAACTTTTCAATGTGTCATTTAGTTAGACCAGGTAGCACCTGAGTCGATATGTAGTTAAACGAAACCCACTACGCCCCGAAAGACCACCCACAAGAGGAGAATCGAGTTTGGTAACTTTACAGCTCGGTTACTTTACTCATAGAAATAAGTACACAGACACCTCGCTCTTTCATTATTGGTCCACAGCAGCTCACTTTCATTTTGACCTTTTTTATTTTCATCCATTTATTTTAACAGTAACTAACTTTTTATTTTTGCATCGGTAACTTCTGTTGTTTTCTTCTTTATTTGCAGCAGTGGTCGTTCTCGACCACCGCAGAAAACAGCTTCTAGATGAAATCTCCAAACTTCTCCATCAGCATGAATCGGGTTTTCTGCTGGATGAAGGTCACATGGACCTCCTCAGACTGTCCTCCTCCGTCTCTGACATCAGGCCACATCAAGACCATGAAGCAGCCGAAGTCCTGAGAGCTCTGCGTGATAATGGGATGAGTAAAGCCTCTGACTAAGCTGCTGCGTTTGTTGATGTGGGAGTGACAATAGGACGTAAAACCGTCAGTAAAATCCTGACGATTATTCTCCATGAAATCAAAGATCTGCAGGATGAAAATGATGCGACAGAAAGTCCCGGGACGAGCCGCAAATCAGGCGGGTCGGAATCAAAGGTTTCCAAAAAGGTGTCGGGGGAGCAGTGAAGGTCTCTCATCAGGACGCTCGTCACCACCGCAGCCACGAAAAAAAGAAAAACCTCCACCCTGCTGAACAAAGAGCGACTGTACTCGCCCTCACACACACACACACACACACACACACACACACACACACACACACACACACACACACACACACACACACACACACACACACACACAGTCAGTTTGTGTCTAATCACACATGGCGTTGTCATCATACAGTGATTTCCTGCCCTGACACAAACTCCACAGTCACTCGGTCATGGAGGTCAAACCGAATTTTCTCAGAGAGGGTCTGAAGACACAAAGACGCTGTCACGGTCCCCGCTGTGATTTGGACTCTGCTGGGAGGTACGCCGAGAAATATCGAGCCGAGACCAAGTTGGTCACTCAGACTTTGAGAAGTCATCGTCAGGAGAAAAGGCGACACTTAAACCGAGAGAAAACCAGGAGAGTTCGACGCCAAAGTCTCTTCTTCATGTTTCTGATCTAGACTTTAAATTTAACATACAGGAAAAGGGTCATGTTTGCACAAATCTGATCTAAAGTCAGCCTTTTCATGTTACCTTACATACTTATGTAAAAGTCTTGACTTATAAATATCTTGGAGAGAGCAGGTGTTGTTTTAGATGTCATGAATCCTGTCAGCGACTCATGATTAATAATCAATCGCTTTTTTAATTTGGTGTGTCCACGAAAAGTCTGTTTATGGCACCAACAGGATCAGATCTTTAATTCAGTTTTCTGATGATATTATAGAAAGTTTTTACACCAGTCTCCTCAACGTCAACTGAGTCCACAACATTTTTCTACACCACAGGAGTTGTTGGATTGGTTTACGCCCAATTTCCATCACATCCTGAACGTCTACTAAGGTTTTTAGACGTCATTTCACCCCGATGACACCATGGATGAGGAGATGCTGATTCTAGAAGTCTAGAAGTAGATTTCCTCCTCTGGAAGGACACAATCTACTGCTTATATGTCTATGTGTCTGTCTTTATAGAGACGACTCGTTATTGTACGATTGAACGTGAATCTGCGGGTTCTTGTGAGTTCTCGTGATTCCTGCTGTCCGTAATCCGCCATGAAATTCGCTGAGTTGGCGGACAGCGAAAAATCGCCGCTGTTCTGGACGCGGAGGAAATTCGTGGTTACCCTAAAACTCCTGTCCGTCTACAACACTCCACCTCATCAGTCATCATTTTTACGCTGACGACACTCAGCTCTATGTCTGTCTCATCACTTCTCTTCTTCTTCTTCTCTGATTCTGTATTTAAGGTGGAAATCTTCGGTCCTCTGACACGAGTGAATAAGGGGGCGAGGACCAAACCGGGTCGGGGTCATGGTTTGAATCTGATCCGATTGTTGTGTTGACACCAGACTCTGAACCTCGTACTCTCTCTGTTCACACACATTTAAACACCTGGATGTTCAGTAGGAGGGGCTTCCTTCACGCCGTTTCCTCCTGTTTACTGTAAACATGGCTGAGGTTGATGACGTGTGGATTTACGTCTTTACATCAACTTTTCGTTTGATTCACTCCTGCAAACTAAAATATTCTGCTTCAACACAAATGCAGATATTTACCTAAATTTACTGGGTTAGAGTAAAGTTGCTGGTCTGTGAAAATACCAGGAAAGAGGTCTGTTTGAGAATACGACATGTTGAACTCTTACTCTTTTATGCACCTGCTGCTTTTTCAGTATTTTTGTAATATTCTGTACTTAACTGAGTTTCTACGACCAAAAAACTGACGCTTCCTCACTTTACCTTTCACCTTTAACCTTCATATTTGATCATAAAAACACACATCTGTTGATTAAATTTACTGTAAATCTGCAGGTTTTCAGAGAAGCTCACACAGATGGTTGACAACATGGCCGCTCAGAGTCAGACAACAAAAGACGCTGCTGCTGCTTCTCCACGCGAGGAAATCTGAGACCTGAGGTAGAAACCAAACTCTGCTCCTCTGCTCTTTAACTTTCCTCCTCCTCCTCCTCCTCCTCCTCTTCGCTCGACTATTCGTCTCCGTCCCGTCCTGTTAGCTCAAACGCTGACAGACACATGTGACATGCTAAATCACCGCCGCCATTAGACATGCTCGCTGACCAAACGGATGACATGCTCGCCTCCTAATCCTCAGTTTGAATCGCACTGTGCGCTGTGACTAAATGCTTTTGGTCAAACACAAATCATCGGTGTGTAATCCACTTAGCCGAGTGTGTGTTTGCATGTGTGTGTGTGTGTGTGGAAGTGAGAGGAAGATTAAGTGTGTGTGTGTGTGTGTGTGGTCCAAAATAGCCAAACAAACTGTAACAGCAGCTTTAAAGTTGAACATGCTCACGGCGAACAGATGACAGACGAGCTGAAACTGGAGCTCCTGTTACAGTTACAGACATTTAGACATCTGTCTGTTTGACAAACTCAAAACATCGAGAACTTCGATTTCACTGAAGGACGAAATCTTCGGTTTGTTAAAAATGCAAACTGAGGCCCGAACTACACGAAGTCGGGTATATTTCAAACCGCACATATTTATGTCCGATTAGGCCTCCCTACCACACCAAACCGGGAGTTTGGAACACTCAAACCGGATAAATCTAAATCCGGAAAAACAAGCAGAGGAATAAAAAAATATCCGTATAAGTGGATTCGTGTGGTCGGATTTTACTGATCAATGACGTCAAACCGCAACTCGCGCATGCGCATTAAAAACAAAAACAATAACAACAACGATGGCGGACATACAGGGTATTCTTTACGTTTGTTTTGCCCTTTTGGGGCTAATTTCAGCCTTGACAGTGAACCTTATTTTATACAATTACATCCACCAGTCAGCCTGCTCACAGAGTCGTCTGTTGCGCCCAATACTTTTTTTGGAGAGCAATCGTAACGTGAACGTTAGGCGTTTTAAAGTTCGCCAGAAGCGTAAGTTTTGGGTCAAACCCGGTCGGACCAGCAAGTGGTGGGACAACTTCGTTAGAGGGGCTGTGCCTGCAGATGAATGGAAGCTAAACTTTTTTAAGCGGCACCAGATAGGATTGAGTTTGAAGCCTACGTGTGGACGCAGATATTTTTTTGAACTAACACGTGTGGACAGATATATTTATTTAGACGGGAGTACAAAAATATCCTGATAAATAAATATCCGCCTTCGTGTAGTTCGGGCCTAACTCTCCTTCCCTCTGTGACCGACTGATTTCAGTTACGTTATCGTTGCTATGACTGGGTTACTATGACGATAGATGGACAGATCATGAGTCTTTCTAAAAAAGAAACAAAATCTCTGCTAAACATAAACAGTAAGGTGATGTCAGTCAAATACAGTCAGTCAGTCATCAGCTCAAAGCTAAAAGACGATGGTCTCAGGTCCAGAGAAGTCTGCTGTTTTTATATGGTTGACCTGTTTCGTCGTTCCTCTCTAAAAACTTTTGACCTTTTTGGTTGTTCCTCCTCTAAGAACTTTTTAGAAACTTGTCTCTGGCCTTAAACATTCCTATATTCCTCATAATTCCTCTTAGGTTGGTTCTTGATCATCAAACAATGAGCGTGGTCCAGACCTGCTCTTGTTCCTTGAAAAGCGTCTTGAGATGACGACTGTTGTGAATTGGCGCTTTATAAATAAAATTTGATTGAAATTTGATTGATTGATTGATAAAAACAGTCACATATTTAGTTTCACATTTGTCTAATTATAATAAATAATAATAATAGATTTTATTTGTAATGCACTTTACATTTAAAAACAAATCTCAAAGTGCACAACACTTTGTACGTTAGTTCTACGTTAGTTTTGCACCAGTTTTAAATAAACCTTTGATAGATTTTTAAACTGTTTATAAGTTTCTAATCTTAGTCTGAGTTGAGGTCGTAGCAGTTTCTCAGATAATCATTATATAATCGATGCTCCACACCCCGTGTTCACGACGTGTTGGTTTGTTGTTTAAAAGTCTAAAAAGTCCCAGTGTTCGTGTTCACCTCCTCCTCCTCCTCCTCCTCCTCGGCCTTCATGAATATCAGGTATTCAGGGGCATTTAAAGGCTTTAAGACTGCGCTTAATCCCTGCTACAAGTCTCCAGAAAAACCAATTTAGCTTCCATAAAGGGTGTGCGTGGTCTCCTCGTCGGCTCTGCAGCCTCTTCCTCTCTCCCAGTGATGGAGATTAGGCTTATTAAGAGGGCTTATTGTCTGCGGAGTCATGGATACCCAGTGATTACACACTCTGTGGCTGCTCCTCCTCTGTTCGCCCTCAAACCTCGCAGGGATTCGCTGCCTCCAAAGTCAAATCAATTATTCCCTCCACCTCCAGCCCCCCCACCCACCCCCCCTCCACATTCACCTCTGATATCGTGCCAGACAGACTGCACACTTCATTGTCAACAAGCAGAGACCGAGAGGCAGAGGGAATAACTGAAAAGAGGCTGTGATTGGGATTACAAAGTGTGAGTTTCACAACGAGGATCAGACAGATTCACCACTGCTGATTCATTCACGACAGATTCACACACCTGTTTCCATAGAAACGAGGGGCGGGAGATAAAAACGATTCACTCAAGGATCGTGATTTTTTCTTTTACAATCTTTAAATCGATTTTTACATTCAAAAAAAATGTTTTTCTCAAATTTAAGGATAAATCTTAAAAACTGACTGAAAATTAATGATGTGTTTTTTTGGGGAAATATGGTTCCTGAAGTAGTCAGTAGACAATCATAATTATTCAACTGTTTCACTGGAGTTAAAACTGCAGACTCAATAACGAGAAAATCAACATTTTATATTGAATTGGCTCAAAAAAATCGTAGAAGAATCGAATCAGGAGAAAAGCGAATCGTCCCAGTCCGAACAGAAACCTCATGTTTGACTGAGGGATGGAAATTTAAGACTGCACATCTACTAAAGGGAATAAAAACAGACCTACACTGAGCAGCTTTAACTTAAAGGTTATATAAATCTGTAGTTTTTAATGATTTATAAAGAATTAAAGGTGACGCTCCTGCTCGCTCGTATCTTGGTCTTACGACCTTTTAGTAGACAATCAGGATGAAGGTTTGTGCGAACAGATCCATGAAAACAACAGAAATGCTGCAGTGTTCATGCCAGACCAGTAGTTGGCAGTATAACTTAAAAGAGTCATCAGTCCAAACATTTACAATAGTTCTGTGACGTGACCTTCCAGAAATCTGAGTTTAGCAGAAATGAAGTTTAATGTTTACGTCCATGTTAAAGTCAATAAAAGCTAAATTAATGAAAAAGTAACTTCAAATTAAAGATTAACGATTAAAAGATTAGCTGACGTGTGCCGATATTTACCTACTGCTGCTCTGAAAGTGTCCGAACGGGGAGCTGAGGCAGAGTTCGAGTTCCGACCCGGATCGGGCTTCAGTCAGACGTCAGGAAGCCTCAGTGGTGGTAACTTCACAAACAGGTATTTTAGAGGAGCCGCTCTGTCAGGAGGATCATCAGCTCCTGATTTATGAACAAACAGAGTTAATCCAGAAAACCGCTCGGAGAAAAACCGGATGACATCAGGCATGAGCGCGGCGTCAGGGGGGCCGCCGGGTCAAGTGCCCCAGCAGCAGGGGAACATTTAAACCCGTCACCCCTTCACCCTCCCTGAGCCCGGGTCCACCGAGGCTCAACGTGGGACCAGACTGTCCTCCTCCACACACACACACACACACACACACACACACACACACACACACACACACACACACACACACACACACACACACACACACACAGCAGGGGGTTCCTGAACAACACAAATCATTGTCCCAACACTGAGGTGGCAACTAGAAGGTCAGAGGTCAAACCGCTTCCAATTCAGGGAGGAGATATTAGTTATTCATTCCAAAGTG